CTCATTTCATTTGCCAATATTGTGGTTTTGCGAGTCAACGAATAGTTGCATCTGGGAGGCTTGCAGCATTTCATTAGTCCACACTGGCGGAAACCAATAAAAAGACGACGCTTGCCCGCATCGCCGCCGCCATCTGACACCATCCGCATCCTCCAGGGAAGCTGACAACGCCATTCCGGTCTAATGACGGTTGATGTGAGCGTCTTACTTGACTTGGATAAGCTTATACTAGAGTAGATTGGTTGACGCGTATACACAATACACTCCTAGGAAGTCCAACCTCAGCGCCAATTCTATGCACATGCTTTGTTGCAGCTCGTCGATGTATTTCCCGCTGCACGTGCGAAGGTGGTTGGACCCAATGCGGGTCCTCGTTTACTCCTTCACATTCAACGAGTATACAGAGCGAATAGCTGGGAGTATCCAAGAGCCGACCCTGAACATACATGCTGCACTGCATTTTAGCGCGGGGGACAGAATAAATGTGAATGGCCAGCCTGTGCCAGCTTTTCAACGCCGAGTCTATGCCGAGCCAATTCTGTGATTAACACCAAGTTGATATTCTATCGTGGATTTCAACTGTCGCATTCCGCACTGCCGTAATGCAAGTTGAAGTAAGATGATACCATGACTCGGCGATCGTCCTGGGACAAAGCTGTCAAGTTACACACACACACACACGCACACACACACACACAGACAAATGCAGTGCGGTATCTTGCACATATCAACGGGGATTAGCTTCTCCTCATACCCAACAAGAACAGATGGGCACGCCAGGGAGAGTCTGATAACACGGAAGCTTATTTCACGCCGCTTGGCCACAAAATGCGCAGTCCCCGAATCGTCTCGACGGGATGCGGAAGGACGGGTAGGCTCTGTGCGTCTACCCTTCCATTGGGAGTTTGGTGGCCTCTTTCTTGACAATCAGTGTCATATGCACATCTCGTCACTTTCAAAATGCTTTTGGTTTGCTTTTGCTTTTTGGGGCACAAATCGAACGTTTAACAAAACATGGATGAACCCCGTGAACCACGTGTTACTCTACAATGACTATGTTACATATACTACGGCGTGAGAGTGCAACTGCAAAGCCAAGCGACTCAAAAAGACTGGCAGAGCACCTGGTGACTGAGTGCTCACGTGTAACATAATATTCTGAGTCGTTGTGCCCCCGACATGGGCCAAGTCATCTGCCAAGAAATAGATTTCGTGTGCCACAACCGTTCACGCAGTGTAACAAAATGCTCATCGCTGTAATAGGCTGCGCGTACATTAAAGCAAACCTAATTGTTCTTTTTGAGATAATCGCCCGTTTTGGGAGTATTTCCGACATGGGGTTTCTTAGAGTTTTCGTCGATTGTTTGCTTGAGAACCAGCCCCCAAAATTGACCTGCGATGGTGGCGTCCAGTAATCCACTGAAATCCGTCAACCATGCTCCAACACCAATATTATGCCCTCATATCATCGGATCCAGTTGCCGCTATCTGCAACGGCCTCTGCAATCGTCATTCCACAAAATTCTCGCGACATGGCCACCGTTCTGAAAGTAGGATATGAAGGTAAAGATGTCCCAATCGTCATTGGTTTCATTTTGACAATCCAATCCGAACAGGTCTAGCAGTTTTTCTCTCGTCTTTTATGAGGCAGGTCTAGATTCATGACCAAAAGAGGCGCTTCTGAAGCGAGCTGCGCTGGCCGTATCCAGCGTAGCTCGTGATAGCGGGACTTCTGTGCGACACCGACACTCTGGGAGAACAAAAGCAACCAGAATCTTATTCCGACGTCAGCTCGGCTACCGAAATCTGCAGGCTTGCCCATGCTGTGACCTCCTATGTTAGGTCATGTTCCCCTGGGCTTGTCTTGTGATGTCTGTTTAACTTACCCACCGGAGCAGGCAATACTCGCGTTTATGATATTCCCACTGATGGAAAAATTCCCAATCCCCGGTTCCATGCGCCGCAGAGCCGCCTGATAGGATGCGCTACAAATACTATGGTACATCAATCATGCCATGCTCACCAACGTCCCGGGACTATTTGCGGCGCATGCGTGTTTGAAGGATTAGTTCGTAAACCCTCGTCACTGATTGGAACTATTATTGAGCAGATACGATAGGATCGCGCCCTATCCCTTGCATGGACATCCAAGCCGCGCACTATCGTGCCACTAGAAGTAAAAAGTCAGACCACCAATATTCAGCATCTAGATGTTCCCGACAGTGGCCAATTGCTGGGGAGAGGCAAGAATGACATGTAATTATTTCGGTGCACTGAAGCAACACGCCTAAGTGCTAGCCAGCTTGCTACTAGATTTACAACAAAGCCGACGGCCAGCCGCCAACCTCCCTAACCTAGCAACTTCGCTCACTTCGCGCCTCCAATTTTCTCTCGGCTGTTCCTCTGGCCCCATGAATCCCGACAACAGACCTGCAGATGCCAAGAAATGGGCATGCGACGCTCAAGCTTAAGCTTAATTCGTGGGCATAACCGTAATCAAATCAAGTGCCCTTGTTCTGCCACCCGACACGCAACCCTTCCGCTCGCAGGGATATCGCCTGCAAACGCGCAACAGTGTCGATCGCATGTCAGAGACAGTAAAGCTTGGCGCCCCCTCTTACGCAAAACCTGTCGTCAAGGATTAAGTGGTACTTTGCATTCCACCCTTGTAGTCTGTCACTCTCAGCGTCGTCATGTATAACTTCGCCCTTTCGCTTATCTATATTGTATGCAGAAACCGTTGGGCCAGCTTGTTCCACAGACAAGAGCGAGTCGAAAGTCATGATCAGATTTCCAGACATCAGCGCAAGACCCAAGTCACAGATGTCAATGAACTTAAAACGGGTCAAATTCTAAACGCCAGGCCTGGGCATTTCAGGATAGGAGAAACCTCCCCACAGGAGTACGTGTGCTTCGTACATTACGGTTGTATCGTGATGGAGAAGGAAGAGCTGGCTCAAGAAAGCCAAGCTTTTCAGGCGCATGAGGTCAGACCTAAAGAAGTATAGCCGACGGGTCTATCAGCCCCACAGACCCATCATCCCACCTTATTCATACCTTATTCTACATGCTGACGCGCGGCCTTTTCTTAGCATCCACTCTTGCTCACTGGGTTTGGCGGTCTCGAGATTAGCAGTCTTGACAAGCTTCATGAGATCGGCAGGTCACTTCGGCTGTCCGAAATCCATTTTGGATGTCTTGCTCCGAGGGACAAGCCCTGACGAGCCCTCTAATCCATGGAACAGGATTGAGTTCGCACGTCTTGTGGGTTGGTCATGCGGCAGGGGCTCCCCATACGGTTAAAGAGCTTTCTCATTCTTTCATTATGTAGCCCAGGACTGCATCCGGATGGACCACTTGCAGCGCATCTTCATGATGCAATGACAAGCTAGCCTACGAGGCGGAACGCGGCTTCGACGGAGCATGCTTGTTGATGACTGATGTGACAGATCAAAGCATGCTGTCCAAACGGACTACGTGGTCTTATTCAGATGACTTCCAAATGGCGCGAGAGGATCGCCGGTTCGAAAGGACTCGTCCCCCCCCCCCCAAGCATGCCAAGCCCCGGCAGGAACAGACGGACCATGGCTACACAGTTCATAGATAGCTCGGCGCCACGGCATCGCAATGTTTATTCTTGGAGCAAGGCCGCCGCATAAGCATGCGATAGGATGGGCATGCATTGCATCATCAAGACGACTGACATCTTCAGAGTCCATGCGTTTATAGAAGAGGCCTTCGTGTAACAGACGAGAGGTGCCTTGAAACAATCTCTAACCAATGAGATTCTAGAAATAGCAACCAGTTTGCCAAGAATAGTTGTATCTTAAAAACCCCGCTGAAACGGGCTGTGACAAGTTTCCAAGATCTGCACGCACGTAAACGAACTCCATATCGCTTATTGTGATGCTCTTGGAGATTAAGCTAAGGCGTAGCAAAGGCTTGGTTTTGACTTGGCTTCTTGTATCACCTGTCGGTATTTCGGCCTTTCACTTTAGCATTAAGGTCAAGGTTAAAGTTGGCGCAGTTTGATGCAGACGGTCTTGGCTCCATCAGATAGGGGCGCGCTGCTTCGCTGGCAGATGGGCTCCGTCATGTTCTGCGTTGTTATACTCTGATCAGATGACGGGACGGCTGCGAGAATACACAGCTCGTACGTACCAAGTTGAACCAAGTCTTTGCTGCCGTCTCATGTCTAGTCACGAGGTAGTGATTGACCAGTCGTAGCGAAACACTGGAAGTATGAAAGTGGTACGCAAATGTAGATTTCACCGCTCACCCTTATCGCGACGGTTTGTCTGTTTGCTTCTCTTCTTGTACCCCAGACCAAGGGTGAAACGAATATTTGGGTAGCCACCAGCTGCTCATTCACCTTTGTTTTCACAAAGAGTATATTGATTAGGATGGTGCGTAATGAGACGCGAATGCTGCCGAGCTTCCTTTACTTTTATACATCCCGCAGTGTCGATTGGGAATTCACCGGCTTCATTCCAGGCGCCTAGACCAACACTATCTGAACATGACAATGAAATCAGAATGTCTTCAATTACTGGCTTACTAGCAACTGTCTATATTAGCAACTCATAATGATATAATTTCGTGACATTATGATAGATTCACAGCTAAGCAACGGCTACTGAATCAACAGCAACTCGACCAACTACATTGGTAGGATGGACCAATTACCTATGCGTGTTTCTAGTAATTTACTAATTTGATGCTTCGAAGGTGTCATAACACATGTTGATTCACAAGCTCTCGAAACCTCGACGGTGCCATCCCTATTGTGAATACTGTTGTCTTGACGTGCTTCGACTTAAGTCGTGTTAGGATAAATATATATACATGCGAGACGGGCAGCCATCACTCAGCCCAGAGAAACGCCAGGCAGAAAAGCCGACTCATGGAGCTATTGTACATTTGCATTCAATCAGTATAGTGACTGATGTACAATTCTACATGCGTGGCACTTGCCGACCCATTGCTCTGGGTTGTAGGCGTTACATTCGTGCTCCATCCGATACGGCTAGATTATGCAGCACCCTCCTGAAGAGCTCCAGAGAAGCTGATGGCTGGTAAAACGGCACATCATGCCCAGCCTCGTAGATTCGCGTGAAACTAAAGTTGCCATATTGGCGGGACTCTCCATACTCTGTTCCATTGACCATGAACGGCGCATATCCGCTAGATCTGAACTCTGTCGAGTGCGTGTAGTTCACCGCAAGTGAAATGGCCTCTCCACCCATCCAGTTGGCTAGATAATCCTGCAGGCAATGTCAGAATACGGGAGAGCTCTCGAAAGGGCCTTAGGTCAGGCGTGGGAGAACAACTTACAGCGTCTCCATGGATCAACGCAACCCTGACACCGAGATTCAGAAGGTTTTCCAGTTCTGGCAGCTTACTGTACGCCCAGTCACCGGAGGAAAGGAAGCCTTCCTGCACTTGCTGGCTTGATGCAGACGTGTAGTTGAGATCGACGCCCAATGCATTCTGCACAAACGCCGTGTTAACATAATTGATCCAGTATCCAGGCTCGGGATCTGCTGAAGCCAACGCTCGAATATCGTAAGGGCTGCGACCACTCAGTGCTTCGGCCGGTCCTTCCACCATAACACGGCATACCGCGGTGGCTTGAGCACAGATTACTTGGCCTATAAAAGTGCGAACATCGGAGGCGTGACAAGCTTCGAGGTAATCGGAACAGCCTTGAGGTGATTTATCTCAGTTCGTTGTGTCATTGAAGTACGGTGCCGGTAAAGGCCTGGACGTCACATACCAATTAAATAAGCTGTCTTCATAAAGTCATATATCGACTCATTGACGAGTTGCAAGCCGTACTGGTTTTTATAAGCGAACTCTGGGTAATAAGGCATCTGTATACCAATATCAATGATTCCATTGAAGATACCGAGTGACTGCATTTCGAGTTGAATGCCGTCAATAGTCCCGGCCTTAATTAGTTCGTTCTGCAGGTAAAAATAGTCGAAGAACGCGGGTCCATAATGGCCGCCGTAGCTAAGAGTCCATAGGTTGAACTCTCTAGAGTGAATCCGTCCGTCAAATGTAGGAAGCTCGTCGAAGAATGCCTGCAGAACTTCCCATGCAGTAATAGCAGCGGCCGAGCTTGTAGTTGTCCGTAATGGATCAACGTCTGCGTAACGGCCATCCGGTGTCAAAGTTTCTTGGGGCAAACCTGTTGTTGCATTGATGATGCCGACAACGGCCTCTATCCCAGTCGTTGTTAGACTTGCAGCACTATCAGATTGTGGGAAGAAATCAAGAATTACCAGCATAAGAGAAGCCAACGCCGATGGGCTGGGACAGAAAGAGCAAATTGCTCACTTCGTTAAAGCTGTTCGCATTCAAGGTGGAAGTAAAATTATCCGTCACGTAACAGGGTCCAACAACTGGTTTACTGTAAGTGTACACTCATATGATTGCGAAATTTTGGGACAAATTACGATCGAAAAGCCCGAATAACGAGTCCGCACCTGGCCCACCCTCAAGCCAGAGAGTGATAGGTGCTCCATTCGGATTATTCCTAGCCTCAAAAAACCAAAAGAATACATTTGTTTCATTGTCGATGCTGATATATCCGGAGTAAGAATGCACACCTGGCGTCGTCTCGCAAACCCCATGCTTACCTGGCTCGCTATAGCGAATTTCGAAGCCTTTCGGCGACACAATAGTTGTGACATTGGTAGGCTCTGCCGGTATTTGTCTCTCGACCAGCAACTCGGCATCCACTATACGATTTGATGATAGCGAAGCTGCACTCCACTGCACTAAATAGGTCAATAAAAACGAAATCAAAGGTGCAGATTGCATAATTGAAACAGTCAACTTGTGTTCTGGGCTTTAAGGGTCAATTCTGATATGGTGATAACGCACGTAGGAAAACACTGGGGGATAATCAATTAATAGAAATCCACGTAAGGCCTATGGCTTCCCACCTGCCCAATCAGGTAAGGCAGTAAAGAGAACATGAGTTCTGCAAGTAAGATGCCAGCTTCGTAAGAACCGCGTTGTCTGCCTCTCATTGGCTACAACTTGACACCTCGTATTCACTGCCATACTGCAGTGTAAACAAAGCGTCAACATTGATCGTGATTATGACTTTAACTAATCAATTAATATATTAAAGCTTTCACCTGAATCATCGTCATCGTGTCTTGCTTTAATATTTGGAACACTTCTCGAAGTATCGAGCGGGACTTGATGCCTGCCAGAATAACAGCCCGGAAAGACTATGGCGAGGTCGATCTCGCCACAGAGAAAAGCTTGTCCCGATGACGATCCAAGATGAAGTGTCTAGCACCGTATAGCTCCTCGGTCCACCACGAGCGCATGATATCCTGCGCGTCTCGCTCTGCCCTGGGAGGCGGACTGCGCCTTCTATTATCTTATCCACATTCGGCGCCTCAATACACTCCGGCTAATGAACCAGGGGCGGTTTCTTGCCTCGCCAATCTGGAGCCCCAGCGGTGCATTTTCGAACAGGCTGAAGTATAGCACCTGAAGTGAGTGCACGCTCGCCTCCTATCACGCTGCTTGCTTAACTAGGGAAAGACAAGTTGAGCATTATCAAGACCGCAAGCCTCATAGAACACTTCGACATGCAGACAGTGGTCGAAGGTGCCGACATCCTCAAAGAGGCATCACAATAGCCAGTTTAACATGTAGAATTGAGCTTGATCACGCTCTTTGAACGACAATGCCAACTAGGGCACGTTAAAGCCGTTGAGAGGTTCGCCGTGATCCCAACATGACCGGTACTACCCGCGTTTCCTTACGATTTTATCGGGCTTTTACACAACCAAATTCGTATGCTTGATGCCGGAGTGAATTTGATGGGTATATGAGTGCAGGAGTGCCGTGACCTCAAGGGGTATGCGGAGCTTGTCCTTCACAGTCAAAGGTAGCTGTGGCAGTCCATCCCCGAAGACGCGTCGGTCGGAAGAATGCCTGGGGAGATAATTGAGATATGCAACTGTGCTGACGAGACATATCTTCCCATTTACTCGCCGGTAACATCATCAATACTCTCAAGAGCCTCACCCTAGCTCACGTGCAGGTCCTGCATTCATGCCCGATTTGTGACATTCCAATAATCTCCTACATGGTTAAACCTTTGCGTCACAAGACCGGGCGGGTCTCTTTATTGTATATATCAAGCATTTTGCAAATCCATTATCGACTCTCATTCACTAGGACAGTTATGAACGAGTCAAAGCCCTCCTATTCGAATCTTGGTCTTGTCGATGAAACTTATGAGTCAGTAGCCGTACCGTGCAAGAAGAAAAAGACAGAATGATTGAAATTTTCACAGCTCCTCAACCTAGCAAAGAGACTTGAAGGGCTGGACGGTCACCAGGCGATTGTACTACCACCTTTGTGTCGACATCACCATGCCCCCAGTCGGCCTTGTTCGTACTCAAGTAGTTGAGGGCTTTAAGTCATGTCCTAGAATGGAGACTGGAGAAGACGTATGACTTCAAAGCTATTACGGTCGTCGCTCTTAGGTAGTCGCCGACACTTTTCCCGATTGCGCGGGAAAGACCAATTCGCGGCCCTAACCAGGTCCCGCCGTGAGATCAAGCCAATCTTTGGACCCCAAAACAAGACACTCTTCTCAAAATTCTAAGCATTGTACAATACGGTATCCACCTCGGCGTCTAAATCTATGTGGCTCCCTAGCATCTGGATTCCAAAGGGCTCCCCGACGACGGCCAATTGTTCTGGTATGGTGGATAGCACCGTAGCGAGGGGCTCCCGCACCGGCGAGGAAGTGGCGTCAATGCCCGCGGAACTCGTGCGCATATCAGCTCGTGCGTGTGGCATAACCTCGTGTTTCTACCACATTGAGAAGCACCTAACGGGGGATAAATACCTCGTCCAGTCCAAGGTAAAGTATATGTGTGAGCTGGAGGGTCCGATCGGCCTGGTCCGACGACGAAGAGGTTGAGTGGTTCCAGATCTAGGACGTGGACAGGTTCAAGAGCGGGCTGGCCACGGGGTGGTCCGCTGCCGAACTATCCGCTCGTGCTGCTGGATTGTCTTCATCCGGTACGGCGGGTTGGACATGATGAGTAAGCCAGACGACGTCGAGACCAGCTCTTCTGCATCGGGTTCTAGAATTTCCTGCAAGAAGTGGCGCGTGACTGCGCAAGGGACATATTGGAGGGTTTTTGTACTCCTGGGCCGTTATCCAATTTTAGTATTGGTTAAACTTTTCAATTTTGCTCGTTTATCAACATTGTTTCAGCTAGTCCCTTCTTACATAAGTCGTAGTTGGGCGGTTTTTTATACTCCATATTTCTACAACGAATAGCGTGAATTTTGACGGATGGATGCAAAAAGCTATTAATGCTGTCAAGAAGGGTATGGATTCTCTGTGCGAACCCTTGCGTTCAACCATGGCCAAGTTTATTTGCCCATATGCCGAGGAGTCACCACACTGGGCCGAGGATCTTTTGAGTTGGCAGTGAAGTTTGTATTTATGGTCTTTTCTGCATGCGTGGTCTTATATTTGTGTTCTGCGGCACGATCTCATTAGCGCATAAAGGATTACTTAATGTCAAGGCACAGTCGAACTTGCTGACAGTTTGATCGTTTTATTTGCTTTCATGCCAGAATTCTTAAAGTAACCTCGTTGACAGGGAAGTCAGTGAAACTTGCCCCCCGGAGCCGCTGGGTCATCGACTAAAATCTCATCCTTCAGCACAGGAGCCCACCAACAGCTGCTTAACAATTCGAGATTCAGACCAACGATATAATTGTGGCCGGGCCCCAAACCGTCAACTCCGGTCGCGTTGCGGGAATGGCGAATTTTAAGCCGCTTGCCATTCTCATCGCACAACCATCCATCCTTTACAGCTGCATATGATTCTGACTTTATCCCATAAAGGCCATAGCCAGAACCTGCTTGGATGCGTCAGGCAAAGTTCGCTTTAGAACGGTGATAGCACTGAGACTCTGGTCCAGAGTTTTAATGCACGTCTCCAGAGAAGTATCACGGGAAACTAGGTTGGACCATACCTGCTGATAAGTCAACTGGTGGATCAGGCAAGAATGTCACGAAATATCTTTCGTCAAGACCCCCTATGGTACGCTGGAACGGTGTCCTTTGAACCTGGATAATAGTCGTTTTAACGTGGTGGCCATAAGGGTCGAATTCGTCAACGACTTGCTGCTGTTGTTCTTTGCCGAGAGTAAAAGACAAGTTGAAACATAACAATAGTTGGAGGCATGTTGCAAGTAACCAGTGCTTCCTTGCAACAAGTGAGGAAGCCGTGATGAGCAACAAGACGAAAGAGTGAACCGAAGACAGCTCCTCCAAGTATCAGAACGCCTTGAGAACACCTTGCGACAAAAAGAATGAACATGTTGGCTTAACTGTTAATATATCAGAAATAAGAAGTGCAAGTAATAATCGACCAGGTCGTCGCCGGAAGCCTGCCACACAAAGGGTCTCTGCAGAATGGTCCCACGTATACGCCCCGGAATACTCAGTAGCTGCATGGCCGGGGTCTGCAGGATCTAAAAGATAGATCACCAAGACAGGACCTAGGTGCTAACGAGAACTGAATGGGGGCATTCTGGGATGCTCAGCTTCGGACCAAAACCGGGGGCCGGGAATCCCTAAGCACAATCTCGATTATCTTGTCGTTATGCTTAGTGATTTCTATCAGTTCTTTCATCATGTAGCCGAGCCAAGGGATTGGCGAGCGCAATGGCTTGATATGTGCCCCAGGTCGCCCATAATACATGCGGTTCTCCCTACTACTACGTTCGGCGGTCGCGCTCTTTGATACAATCTGGATTCAACTACCGTCCACCATGGAGCTTCATGCAGTTTTTGTCCTTGCTTGCTTGCAAAATTCTGCCTAGGATTGTTTCAGGCGCTAAGTCGTCGTCGCCCAGTCAGGATGAACTCATGGTCGGCCCCGTACCCTCTCTTGAAGGCAGAGACGCAGGCGCCTCGGTGACAATTTCAGCCAGAAGTAATAACTCATTGACCATCTTCACTGCCACCGATGAGACCAGTGACATCTCCAGCGAATATCTGGCAGCACTTGCCGTCACACTGGATTATTCGAGTCAACTTATCAATCCTAACGTTCTGTACACTTGGGGCGGTCTCACCGGTGATGAGCTAGATGAGCTTTGCACCGAAGCTTGCTTGGCTTCGATTGCTTTTTATCGCTCTGGAGTCTTAGAGGCATGTGCTGACGACGTTTATACCGATACACCCATAAATTCCACAGAATATATCGCGGGCACGGCAACGCTAGGAACCATATACAAGTGCAGGGTGTCTCTGTTCGACCGATCGGGCTGGTAGACTACTATTTCCTTAGCTACGACCTGACGTGTCTTAAAGACAGGTAAGAACATGGTACCCATTTCTGGGAGAGAATATGTGTATTGAATAACTGACTTTACGAATATAGCGTCACGGATGAGTACTGCTACCTCATCACGGGCAATGGCACGGATTACAACGTAACTGCCTCAAACCCGTGCGGCACCTGCGGTTTAGAGCCTTTCTGGCTTCAGATGGAAGATGCCAGAATGTACGATGAGTCTCTAGCTGCCGAGTATGAGGTCCTCGCATCATCTTGCAGCGTCACAGCAGCTTTAACAACACCAACCGCTGTGCTCTTGTCCAATCCAAAGTGATACTATCATCCGACGGTAAGGATCAGGTATTTATTTGGCTTGTATTGATGCCATGTTTCAGCACTATTGTGAACAACTCAACGACCACAACTTCAACATGCACGGGATCTGCCATCGCGGTACCTACCGGTCTGACATGTGATGAGGTGGCAAAGAAATACAGCGTCGGAACCAGCCAATTGTTATCAGACAACAGCCTCCCAGCCGGCTGTGTCGGCTGGCCTAATGATGCTACGGAGCTATGCATTCAAAACACATGCCAGACTTATTTGGCACAGGAAAGCGATACTTGCACATCTATCGCGCTGACCAACAATATCACTGTTACCCAGCTGGTGACCTGGAATCCATTCATCGATCCGCAATGTGTAAACTGTGATTACAATGTCGGACACAACATCTGTGTCAGCAGTCCTTTAGGCTATGAATATCCTGTCTCGACTGTCACTGATGTCAGCGGAACGACTGCCACGTCGGCGGCTGCTAGTTCGTCTAATACAGGACCTGAATCCAATGCGGACTGTGGATCTTGGTATCTGGTACAGGAGGGAGATTGTAAGCTTTTCCACAAGTTCCTTGGATGCACTACCAAGACAACAGCGCTCACCAATTCTTGACAGATTGTTCGTTGATTCCTGTTTCTCAGGGTATTTCACTAGACAATTTCTTTTTTCTCAATCCAGAAGTCAACAGTAACTGTACCAATCTTTACCATGGATACCACTACTGCGTAGAGGCGGTCGGTTCTATCTCAACGTGTGCCGGATACGGAGGGACTTTCACAGTTACTAGCACATCGGCCACGATTACAGAAGCCGGCACCACAGTCTACGTTTCGGCGTTGTCGACCGCGGCATCTCCAATATACAACTTCAGCACGACAGCAAGTCTACCGTTGGCATCTGGCTCAGTCTCGGATTGCTTCAACGTTTTCGAAAATACCTATAGCGAATTATCATGCGTCGGGTTTGCACGGTGGCAAGGCGTTCCACTTGACAATCTGATTCTATGGAATCCCAGTACCAGCACAGCGAATACCTCCAGTAACTATGACTGCGTGCTCCAGAACAACATAGCATACTGCGCAGCATCCTACGACAACACATGTAGGTTATCATCGCGGGCTCATAGTCTTTCCTTGATTCATTACTTACTTACCTACTTCCAGCAAACTACACTACCACTACCGTGACATCCTACACCCCAGCTCCGACTAATGCTACCACAAATGCAACGACTGAATGTCTTTCCTGGTATGAAACTGTAGACGGTACGTGCGATGATTTCCAAACCAGATACACAAAACCTCGTATCCTTCCACTTGCTCAACATTTTTATCACAGGAATTTCTGATAAATCTAGGTGCCACATGTCAACACATTCTCGACCAATACGAAATTACCCTCGCAGCCTTCTATGAGTGGAAGCCGGCTGTAGGTAAGTAAAAATGACGTATAAATGATCCCACCTCTTTCTATTGGAGTTATAGGAGCAAGAATCAAAGACTGATGCAAATGAATATACAGGCGAGGATTGCACCAACCTATGGGTCGATGCATCTGTAAGTTGACATATATACTCTCACAAAATGTGATACCTAGCATTTACTTTGTACTGACAGCTCTGAACTTTTCCAGTACTGCGTCCTTGGCCCTGGCTGGGAATACATAGTGGGTGTGAATACAACCCAACCAGGCACGATGACTGGAGCTACGTCAACTACAAGTACGGTCTCTTCGACTTCGACCTCCTTAGATACCACGACCAGCGAGATGATCACAACTACCACAGTCAACCCAACAACTACAACGACTATTGGAACGAGTGCCTTCTGCACGCTGTCAGACCCAACACAGACGGGCATCTCGAGCAGTTGTAACTTATACGCAGAGCCCATCAGCGGTGATGGCTGTTATGACTTTGCCGCACGGTTTAGCATAACACTAAATCAGTTTTGTAAGTCCCCGGTGCAATTTTTCCTTCAAATCGCTGGAACAAGTTCAATCGCAATGAATCGCAGCAGACTGCCGGTCACCATGGATGCTAACTGATCACCAGATGAATGAAATCCCGCGGTGGGCGAGTGTGTCAAGTAAGTCTTGTCCACCTCATGAAATCCCGGTGTTATGCGTCTGTATGTTCTTTGCTGACATTACCGACAGTTTTTGGTCTGGTGAGGCATACTGTATGGGCGTGGCATCGTAAGAAAGGCTACATACGTGATATGGAATGCCAGGCATTTTTCGACGCATGGAATCTCATGAGTCTAAGGAAATGTCTAGAATGAGAAGCCCCTGATGACTACTCTACTTCTCATGTCAAATTTGTACAAAAAAAGACCATTCCTGTCCTTTTTTCTTCTTCTGAGTGATGTATTTATATGGGGAAAGGAGAGATCAATGGGAGGGAGTATGCCCCAGTATTGCCATAAACCTTTAGCGGAATACCTACTGTAGTATAAAAAACCCCTGGCTACCTAGCTTCGGATCCACCAAAGGACGGCTCTAAATAGGTCTTTTAAATATTTATTTATTTTTACAGGCGGGGCTTGACCTTGGACAGGGGAATTCAGCGCCCCCGATGCAACAATGGACATGCTAACGCTGCTAAAAGATTCTCGCACGCATCCTTAATGGAACACCTGCTAGGTTAGTCCCATCATGTAGTTGCGGACCACACTTCGCCGCCATCACACCCCAAGTTCTTTACATTTCTTTACATTCGCTCTAGGGCATCAGGCTCACGTGAATCTTACAATTAAGCCAGTCGCCATTTTCAGTTCGGTTTCCAGCTTGACTAGCAATCATGGCGGGCTGGTCATCGCTCCCCCCGGAAGTGACGCGAGAAATCGTGCACTTGGCCGTCAAATCAAACCCAGAATCAGCTTGCGAGTTTGCCACTATTTCCCGCGATTGGCAGGACTACGTAGAGGAAAATACTTTTGTGTCACTAAAAATACGGTCGACACAGATGCAACAGCTGCGCGACATCGTGACTCCCCTTCGGCAGTCATATATTCGCAATATGACCTTCGAGGTCATACTTCCAGAATACGATGCCAAATCTCTTGCATGGTACAAAGAGACGCTGGAGGAGCAACAACTCAATAGTCGCTACTTCACGGATGCCATCCTCCCCTTCTTCGACGCGGTCGCTAGCTGGAATTCACCGGCTGCTGGAAAACTCGAGGAGCGACGCGGTATATCTCTTCGCATCTCGGCGTGCTGCCCTAGTGATAAGGTACCTGATCGCTACGGCGTACTTCGTCGTCGGTATAAGCGCTGGGATAGATCTGTCCTGGAAATTCTTCGGAATGATAACCGCAAAATTCCCTTACTGCCAGCTATTTCCGAGTTTCTCTGTGGTGACGATTCCTACAGCCGCAAACTGTCTCCTAAGGCCTGCTGCGATATAGCAGCCCAGATGCCGAACGTGCACACAATGGACTGAAACTTGTCAGATAACGAGCGGAGTGACCTAGCCCGCCGAACCAAGATGCGTCAAGAATTTGCCGCAGGTTTGCAGACGATTCCTGACTCTGTTCGACACTTCACGCTTTACCATGGTCCCCGCGCCCCTGACACTCACACCTGGAACCCGCCTCGCCTATATAGTGGCGATGAAGATTCACATGATCCACTCAGTGTCGCTTTACGCCGCTTATCGCGGCGTTTGCATACTCTCACCATTGATAACGCTACGGTCAGTCCAGAGGTGTTCTGGCCCGTATCGTCATCATCGTCGCTCCCTCGCCTTGATAAATGTGGCGATTTCCCGTATCTCGAGAAGGTGATTGTCAGACTAAACGAGGTTACTCCGTCTGGAGAGTGGTTTTTTACAGGTCATTATACGCCCGCTGGCGAAGAATCTGGCGACTCCGACGACAGTAACATATACATCAAACCTGATACTCATAGCTGGTTCAGGTACAAGCTCGACCAAAGTCTCGCCGGCCCGTATTTTCTTGCCGCAACGCACGCAGCACAACACATGCCCAGACTAAAGGAGTTCTTCCTCGAGTGGATGGCGACGCCATTGCCATGTGGATTGGAATACAAGATCTCGAATGATGGAGGCACCCGAGCAATGTTGACTCTCTGGGGCTCGCCGCCGGCCGAGCCCTCTCTTGAACTGAAAGAGGCATGGGGTAAGGTGACGGAAATTCTTCTTGGAAGTCCCGATATGATGGAAGTTGAGTTACAAGACGAAGGTAGGGTCTTTGAACCTATATAGTGGTGCAGTTTTGCCATCATGGTCTTTGATATCATGAGCCGCAAATCGAACAAACCCTACAAACATCCATCCTTCAGTAGAAATATGAATCCATAGATGTTTTATTATCGGAAACTGTAACTTAGTAAATAGTGCCTCTTAACTGTATGTAACCCTTTTACGTATCTTTAGATTGCATACTTTAAACTTTCAAGGTATCTGTATGGCGGGAATGAGACGCCTGATACCTATATCTGGCTTCGAGAACTTCAATCAGGCGAGCTACCTGTCTGGCGGTTGCCTCGATTTTTTCCATTGACTGGTCTGCCATTTGTGGAGACCATGCATTGAATTGTGTCAGCACCGTCCACGTGGTTTTCCATGTTGCTTATTTGTGACTCCATGACCGCATCGATAACTATGCAGGAGTTGAGGCAGTGTCTCAAAGTTTTCGCTTCAGCTTGAAGCTTATTAAGCGATGCCTGTTCGTGAGTGGATATAGTGGCGGTCGAGCTACTGCCTAGGCGATCGGCCATCATACAACGAAGTAACATGCCCTAGGGGCTAATACTAAGTACATTAGATTATTACAATAGAGATCCTGGTCAATCTGGCTACAAGCAGGTCTCTAGGGTGACACAGGCCGACATCTTCACCGGCGGCGTCCGCACATCGTCGACACCATCCTGAGCGAGCCCGACACCAACTCGGCCACGGCCTTGGACACGGGCCTGACCTCTCTGGCGGGCGCCCTAGTCCAGACAACATGCTCGCCGGCGTCGACGCCTTGCGCAACGCCAGCTCGACCTGGATGTACAGTCCCGCTGTCTCCGCAGGCCATGCTTTTTCGGCTTGTTCGCTCCTCATCTTCACCATCTTCCTTCTTTCGCTTCGTACAAAGACCTCTCGTTGTCCGTCCGTCTAAAAGTCAAATTACGAGCAGGCTGGTCAAAAGCGCTGGGTGCGGCGAAAGCTGTTCATTACGATTCAAAGGCCAGAACGACGAGGTGTGGTTAGTGTTGAGCAGTAGTGGTGAAAACTAAAAAGGCATTTAGCGCTTTTGCTTTCGAAATTTGAGGCAACGATCCGTCCCGCTTGGTCGCAAGCCGAAGCGTTCGGCTTTAGCACGTGCAGACAGGTGCTTTGTATGTCTGCGCGTTGTTAGCCCGCCAGGCTAAACAACTCTATTATTCCTCTGGTCATGCCACTAACTATGCTGGTCTTTATGCGCCGAGTGGCCGTAGAACTTTTATTGACCAAATCCTGGTATAGGCATTAGTCATCCGTATAGACGCGTTTCCATAACGTCGTTGGAATGATGTCCAGTGTTGGACGGGCCGTAGCAGCATGAGACCGGGCGCAAGAAGGACCGATCGCGTTACGTAGATAAGATTTTTAGTTGGACAATAAGTGCTGCAACTACCCACCCGGCTTCAAGTTATACATCAAAAGCTTAAAACGATGATACACTCGAAATGTATCGGCATAAATGCGCTATACTAAATCGGATGAGGATCAATCGTGACAGCACGAGCTGGCTTTGGAGAGACCGTGACCACGAATCAGCTCGCTCACTCTGCCTGCTTACGTGTAGGCGCTTGATGGAATGCGCTTGCAAAACCATGGCCTGAGCAGAGGCTCGTAGGAAGTGCAACGCGAAACGCAACCAACCATAAATCAATAACCACAGAACATAACAACAGCCAGCGAGAAATCATCAGAACTCTTAAGTTGTATTGCCCTTCTGCCGGTAACAGCGTGGACGGGCGCCCTAGCCATAACGCTGCCTACGAATGAGCTAGGTTAGAGTGGCGGCTTTGGCCTTGTAAACAAGTCACTACAGGTGCCGCCCAGCCCTGGGTGATGCACGTGGCAAGGCGCGCTAGGTCTGCTGTATAAGAACCCGAACGATACAACGATTTTTTAGGCGGATATCTTATCTGTCGAACCCAAATATCCCATTTGCCATATATATACCGAGGTTCTTGAGGCACAACGGCCAGGTGACGTTTAGGAGGCCTGAATCAAGTATTTATCAGGCCCCAATACTCTCCCCGCTGAGCATGCGAAGGCGTGCTCGAGCCAATTTTAGGAATGGCCCTCACACATTCGGACCTGCTGGTTCAGGCCTGCAAACGCGACTGCAATGCCACCGTCAACCAGGAGTACGAAGCAGAACACTACGCAGGTGGCCTGTCGCAATGGCGCCCGACACAGCCGCACTAGGAGAGTGCTACGCCTATATTAACGTGGAACTACAGCTGCGCTCAGCGATGTATCCAGTCAAATGCGACCTCCTATATCGCCCCTGTCGGCCCCTGAACCCTGGCAGCGCAGTTTGCCCACGTCGCTACTGCATCGCCAGCGTGGACAACGCTCGGTATCACGAGGCGCCATTATCAGTCTACCATGTTCATCGCGCGAAGTTGCATAAGTGATGCGATGTTAGCTTTTAGCGCAATACACCGCCTAGCGAAGAACGCTTTTGGAAAATATGTCGCGGTTTCCTGAGCTTGCTGTAAGGAAAATGGTCCCGTCTCACCAGGTAGACATCTCCTTAAACCGCTGGATTAGTACGGATCCGTACTCAGGTGGGTGATCACTGGGAAATCCCTGGTTTTGTATGTTCAAAATTTTACTTTTTTTGCAAGCCACCCTGACTCGAATGGCAGGGTTGAAGGAAGATAGGGTTTCATTTAACAAGTTCTTCGTTAGTAATACTTATTTATTATTTGATAAATCGAAGCGCTCTATAGACTCCACGTAATCGTGCAGCCCCCAATTCAACGGCCTTCTCTTTACAGTTTCGACAACCTCAAAACATCACCCTCGCAGTAGAAGTAGGGTCCATTCCCGTTGCGGGAACAGCATCTCGACATTCATCTGCCTTACAGCGCCTATGGTTTGATCGCTAAAGATGTCAGCCAATTGATAAGCTTCAGCCAACGCTTCGGTCAGGTGTAAATATCATGGTTCACCTTGAAAAAATCATTCGCTCGAGCCGCACCGTGTTGGCCGAGGGCCCCAAACTACAACCAAATCGAATCATACCAGAGCCAGACTTGAGATCTAGACTAGTATGAAGTTCCAAATGTATAGTTAAAGCCGACAGCGACAGAGCCCATATAATCGCCATCATGTGCGCCAAAACTTCCCAAGAACTTCACTTGACTAGGACGGTTCATGCAAGCGCCGAAGCACGACTCGAAATCCCTTCGATATTGTCGCACTTCACTTATAAGACTCACCGCAATGCAATTGAGTTCAAAATATGAATATCAGAGCCGGGTCCGCCCCCACAGAATCGAGCGATTAGGAGAGTCTCGACCTACTATATATTACCTGCCCGATTGGGATGTTAGCTACGGTTCGCATGCTAACTCATTAAGGAATGCACGTTCCACCATCGTGGGGTCCACCAATCAACTGAGTTATGACTAGGATGGTACATAAATGCCAAGAACGGGCTTTCCAGATTGTGTATGCGATCCGTTTGTTAAGCTTTTTATCCGTCCTGCAGCGTTCTGGCCATACCATATGCTACTACGTATAAAACGAGAGAATCCTGATTCTAAGCGTCTCACTTAGATGTTGTTCTGAACATCTTTCGAGTCCTCAGCCCACCTACCAACGATAATGAAGTGGACTAGAATCTTTGGCATTGTTGGCTTAGTCCAGGTTGCCGCAGCATGTCTGCTTCCGGAGGAACGACAAGGAGGCGTCGCCCGAGCCCGAAAGGTCGATCGTCGCCAGAGCTACGGCAAGGCGATTGGCACGGGTGATAGATTCAGTGCCGGTAGTCTTTTCCCACGAGGGATCGGAAGTGGCAACGCGACGAGCATGACCACCATCCTCAACGTGAAAGAAGTCATCTCAGGGCTGAACGGTCTTGCCAAGGAGTATGGCATCGAGACTTTCACTACTCCTTACAAGACATACGGTGGTGCCACACTCTCGGGCGGAAAGGTCGGCGGCCAAGGAACTTGTAACACCACGTATCGTGTGTTTCTGAATGGCGCTATCCATGCTCGTGAGCGCGGATCTTCAGACAACGTACTCTACTTTATATCCGACCTCTTATACGCGAAAAAGTACGGCAAAGGTCTGACATACGGAAGCAAGTCGTATACCAACGCCAACGTTCTCACAGCGCTAGGCACAGGCATCGTCTTCTTGCCGTTGAGCAACCCAGATGGAGTAGCCTACGACCAATCTTCCAACAGCTGCTGGCGCAAGAACCGCAATCCCGCCTCTTCAACCGGCAGTGCAGATTCAATTGGAGTAGATCTCAACCGGAATTTCGATTTCGCATGGGCTCCGTCACACTGGGCTACAAGCGAAAGAGAAGAGGTAGCATCCAGCAGCCCGTCATCGGAGGTCTACCGCGGCACGTCGGCATTCTCCGAGCCGGAAACGAAAAGTATCAAGTGGGTGATGGACACGTTCAGCAAGGTGCGGTGGTTTATTGACCTGCATTCGTACACTGGCGATGTTTTGTACAGTTGGGGAAGTGATACGGACCAGAGTACCGACCCAACCAAAAATTTCAGGAATACAACCTACGATAGTATCCGTGGGATCACTAGCGACTCTCCAACCACCAAATACGGCGAGTACATCTCGGCTACCGAGCTGAGCACTGCAAAGAGCGTCGGCACCTCCGTTGGAAAGGCCATGAGCGCCGCTGCGAGCCGCTCCTACACGGTGAAGCAGTCCGCATACCTGTATCCTACGTCTGGGGCCAGCGATGACTATGCGTTTTCACGACACTACGCCGACTCGAGTCTCAACTTGATCTATGCTTACACTGTTGAGTTTGGCTTTGGGAGCACTGTGAGCTCGTGCCCGTTCTATCCTACAGACTCTGACTACACCAAGAATCTGCAAGAGACGAATGCTGGGTTTATGGAATTCCTGCTCGCAGCAGCAGCAGCTGGTCTCGGTGATCCTCAGACATGTTAAAGTGAGTACACCATTTGCCCTGACGTGAAGGTTAGCCTCTGACCGCTGTTACACTCAGGCAACGGACTTGAATTGAACGTTCCGGTTTAGATTCTACTTCACTCAGTGCTATGGCTAGCTTTTGGATCCCAGAAACTGCTGCATTACGGTATATATCCAACATTGTTCTAAGTAACAAAGCGTATGAGACCGAGGGCGGGATTCGTACTCCAGCGTGGTAAGCAGCTTATGCGATACCGTACCATAGGTTATGGGGAAGATGGTCCCATGTCACTAGGTAGATGTATCCTTGAAGCGCTGGATTCCCCGGTGTTGTATGTTTTTCACTTTTTATGGTCTTTCAACGCAACAAAATTTTTTTTTTTGCTGTACTGAGAAAATAAGGAGGTTTCTGACAACGCTTGGACATCTGCACAAGTTGAAGCTGACGGATCGGAGATGAGGCGGGCAAGAGCGTCATACTGAAGTTCACGCACGGACCACCTAAATATCGGTCGACCATGAATTAGCTCAGCTTTTGATTTACAATAATACGGTCTATGTTCTTAGTAGAATGATCAAAAACATTACGTAATTATACTTAAAGAACTTTGCCGATGAACAGTAATCTTATGTCATTAAATGCTTTTGAAATCGTAAATTCTTTTTATGTACCCTTGGTCGGGCACAACTTACATGTTACATCTATTGTCGAGGATTCTACGTGACGGTGCTGCTGGCTATTCTTAACCTTTCAGATATCTTATTATGGCTTCAAATTCCACCTGATGTGTATGTGAGCTGCGTGTAGACGGGTTTCATAAGCAGGGTCTGCTTGGCCTATTCCATGAGCTTTAGAAATATGGACAAAGTGAGACCTTTAGATCCCTCATTTCATTCAGTCGCTGGGTAATGGGTGACGTGATATGCGCTGGTGTGCTCCAGGTGAGGGAGCTCGAAGAAAGATATGATCAATAGAGTTGGATACTGTATCTTCCCGCCCAAGCCTGTTGACTCTCAAAATTCTCGAGCTGTGTTTTCAATGGCTATGTAGGTTCCTTCTTGCAAGGGCATGGGATAACAATTCAAACAAAATATTTGCCGCGCCTCATGCTGCAGAGTTCAGGTAAGTTTGACTGCGACATCATTATGGGGATGTGGAGCAAAAGACGCCCACTACGCGCTTGGTTCAAATAGCCAAGAATATGGGGATGGCTTCAGGTGAACCCATCAGCCAACAAGCACTTACTGACTGACGTTGCGAATCTTCTCGGTAGCATCTCCGCTATTCGAGAGAGCGATGAGTTGGAGGCTGGATTTATCGCGTATGCACTCGAAACAAGATGTTGGTCTAGAAAAACTTCATCTGGCTTCTATGCAAGAATGACGAGCCATTCTAAAGCGATGATGTAGACATGATGGAATGCTCTCGAAGGATTCCAACAATCCTGTGAAGTGGTTTCGAAACATTGAGCTGCATGGGGGTTGGGGGGTTGATATAGCTGGTGTTTGATTTGTGGTCTTGAGTTGCTGGACTGCGCTAGTTCGCGCACAAAAGCTCCAAGCTCAGCGCGTCGCGTTTTCGACGTTACGCTTCGCTTCAAGAAACGCTCCCAATTCATGCCCATCATGAGTATGTGCATAATGTGAACATGTCGTTTCAATTCCATCCCCGGGAGTGGCCTGAAACGTGGTGTCCAGTACGAAATGTGTGTTGATGTGATGAGTTGCGAGCTTCTCATCAGATCTGTTATCGGCTGAAGATGGTTGTGCCTGCCCTCCTACGCTCTTAAAAACAAGACCTGAAGAACATACAGACCTGCTCAGAAGTTGCACAGTAGGCCTTGTGCCACACAGTACGGCTAGTCAGCTTGCAGTCAATAAGACTGAAGATAGACTCTGTCAAGAGTGCACTTCTTGTAATAGCGGTCAGCTCGTTGAGTCGAACCGAGTGGGCGACTTGTCTCCTACGCCGTCAAGTGGTAAACTTAGTCACAATTAGAAAATTGATAAACCACGATTAAAGTATTCATAAGCTCACTTGAGCTAACCTGCAAAGTTGTTGCATGGTCATGGTACTTTACTGTCGTCGAGAGATTCTGTGAAGAGGTCGAGTGCCGACGACGCGACAGTGCATCAAAACAAGTCGCGTCTTGATGAATGCATTAGAACCGAGATGCAATGTAAAAGGAAAAGAAGAAAAAAACATGAATTGACTGCACATGCCTCCATGTATTACCAGCATGGAATCGAAAGCAGTTCTAATACCATTTTTCGTATTGTTGTCTGCAAATTGAAATGGTTGGACGAAATGTGCGGATAGCTTCATGTTGCAACGGGGGTGGGGGAAATGCTGGGCGCGATAGATATTGCCGATCTGGAGAAGCTTGGTGGTAAAAAAAAGCTGTGGTGGCTAGATTCAATCGATGGCAAATTGCTTGGTCGAAATGACGCGTCAGAGAACTGTTGGAATTGAAGTGTTGTGATGTGCTCATGCTGTACGCGACAGGTTGTCTCTAACGATGGAATGCAAAGAATTGGGCGATATCACGAATATGGAGTGCAGTTCGGTTCGAAACTTGATACTAGACTAACACGATGCATAAGATCAGCCTCTCCTTGTTCCACAAGGGTAGCCACGGGATTGCCACAGATTAATGACTCGAACCATTATTCAACGCAATTGGTGTGGGAGGCAGAATAAAAGGGAAGAGGAAGGGAACGCGAGATGGGAGGTGATCCGGGGGATGATTGAGCGGTTTGGTGAGGACGGAGCTGGAGGAGGGATGTCAGAGTATTTGCGGTGCCAGAACTTGCCAACTCAAAATCATCCCAGAACATGACGAGCAGCCAATCAAAAAAATCGAGACTGACCCACATGCAATGCGTATTTTCGGCCCAAACATGAGAAGTGCCGGATCAGATCCAGGTGAAATGTTCCAGAAAGCCTTCTGGTGGCAAGGCAGGACAGGCCGGACAGGCAGGGCACGCAGGGCTGGCTCTATGCTTTGCTGTGCTGGAGCTGTTGAGGCTGTGGGCATGCGGACAGGACGATCCAACGTGGACGAGCTAGACTGGAACGAGGCAAAGTCACAGCGTTTCAGAGGCAGCTGACCACTCAGGTATTGTAGATTTTAGTAGGATTAAACGATTCTGGATTTAGAATTAAAAAAAAAAAATGATGTTGGCGCGATGTCATGTGCTGTGCTGTGCTGTACTATGCTATCCTAGGCGGGGGGAGGGATGGCATGGGCACAGAAGAGTATGTATTGGTGTTGGAATTGGTATTGATATTGGCAATGGGACTGACTGACTGGCTGCAGTATGAACTGGCAGCACTAGTCACACTAGTTGGATACAGCAGAGGTCGGATCAATGAATGATCGCACTTGCACCTGCATCTGGTAGCTCGAAGACAGAGAACCCCTGTAACTTTGGAGTTCGGGCCACTGGGGCACACGCACCCGCCCGCTTTTGGCACAATCAGTAAAGTCAAATCAGTCGCAAGGTGCGAGACCCCCCCGCTCTAGTATATAAACACTTGACCACTCTGCCCTCGCGTCCCGACCGAGACCTCCCGCCTCTGATCTTTCCATCTGCACAGTTCCGCATCGAATCAACGCGTCTCAAATCCATCTCAAGCCAATTATCGACTTCTCCTTCAATCGGATCTAATATCTACCAGTACCCTCGCAATATAACAAACCGCTTTTTAGCCCTTTTAAACCCCCATCAATCGCAATGGCACCCAAGAAGGACACCACCGCCACCACCACCAAGGCCAAGAGCAACCATGCTTCTTACCAAGTACGTGCTTGCGATCTACCCATAGAAACCAGTCTTTCCGAAAGACGCGTCAAATGCTAATACCCTGCAGGATATGATCACATACGGCATCACAACTGTAATTATCCCTCTACCTTTGCTTCCGGCGCATCATGTCATGTCCAACATTGGTGGTCGGGCAGCATGAATCCACCAGGGCAGTAATGCTGCCTAGGCCCCAATGCCACACGTGACACGCCCGATTTCTTGCGAGCACTTTACTGACGTGTCTATCAAACATTCAGCTTAAGGAGCGCAATGGTACCAGGTTAGTCATGCTCCCAAAGCCCACGGCTCAGATGCCTCGCCGTCGCGTCAGACCTCCACTATATGAACACGTCACTAATTTTTGCTCAGCCGCCAAGCCCTGAAGAAGTTCGTCAAGGCCAACAACGCCATCAATGTTACTGACAACATGTTCGACTCTCTGTTCAACAAGGCCTTGAAGGCTGGTGTTGAGAAGGGTGTCTTTGAGCAACCTAAGGGTATGTTTCAACACTTGGACGTTCTGTTGAACCTAATCTAACCTGACCGTAGGTCCTTCCGGCCCTGTCAAGCTGTCCAAGAAGTCCAAGGACGCCAAGCCTGCCGCTGCCAAGGATGGTGAGAAGCCTGCTGCTAAGAAGGCTGCCGCACCCAAGAAGGAGGGTGCTGCTACCACCAAGAAGGCTGCCCCTAAGAAGACCGCCACCAAGAAGGAAACCGAGGAGAAGAAGCCTGCCGTCAAGAAGGCTGCTGCCCCCAAGAAGGCCGCTGCTCCTAAGAAGGCTGCTGCTGCTAAGAAGGAGGAGAAGCCCGCCGCCGCCGCCGCAAGCAAGACGAAGACCGGTCGTGTAACTAAGGCCAAGGCGCCCGCAACCAAGGCCAAGGCACCGGCGAAGAAGGCCGCTCCCAAGAAGGCAGCAGCACCAAAGAAGGAGGCAGCCAAGGCCGAGGCATAGGCATGAGCTGTTTTCTGATTTGATGTTTGTGCTTTTGCGTTATCTGGATTGGCAGTTTATTGGCGTTCATGGAAAGGGTACACAGATGCGTCTTGTGTGTATTGTTCAAGCGGAAGGTCTAGGTCATTGTTCTGGTTTCTGTTTTTGTAGGAAGGCAAGGTTTAAAGGCCAAGTCAGGCGATTCAGTGACGCCTCGGGAGGTACAGCGCGCGTTTGGGCGGCGGCTTGTTACACGATCTGGTGTGCCAGATGTTGTACATATCGATGGTCGAGGTGTACGCCTGTTTTGCTAAGGATGGCTAGGGATCATTGACGATGTGACGAGATAACCTCTGTAATTATACCAATGGGAGGCTTTAAAATGTTCTAAACCTAACTGTACAAAGCATAGTTATGTGTGATGCCATGATTGAATGTACTTGAACATCCCGACTACTTGCTCTTGCTCGATTTGCTGAGAAACGACGCGTCTCATGCGCGTGTTTACTTTTGTCTCAATTGGGGAGGGCCCTGACTTTCCGTTTTGCTCTACAGTACGCTATCGTCAACGATAAGGGATATCGCGTGGATCCACTCGAGACTAACCGAGCAGCAGAGTGGGGCTATTACACTCAAAGCCTCCCCCGACCCTACACATCCATGGTTGGATGGAACCAAAGGCACAACAAGCGTGTGGCTCCCACTTTCACCGCCCAAGTCTCTCCATTTGATTCATGTTGCCAACTATTAGATATTCTCAATACCGATCAACTCAGCTTTTGTCCATCTCACCACGAGCTTAGTAGTACAGCCTGAAGACTCTCAGCCCACGACCATTTCCTCAATCAACCTGTCAACGTTGTTATGTCCATGTTCCGCCTTATTAATTCCCAGCCTAATTGAAAATGTCGACCGTGTTGGAAGTTCACTCAGCTTAGGACCCGTCATGTCATAGCGAAAGCTCCAGTCGACACCGTGTTCAATGTTTGGTCCACGTTCACAATGCATTACATACACATTACAGTAGCCATCCCGTGTCTGTTGGTTTTGGCATTGCTTTGAAACGCTACATACGTGTCGTGCATTGAAACGATGTCAGTCTGCTTTGCACAATTCCCCAAGTGCAGCCATATCCACATCCATCTTGCACTGATGCGAGTAGCATAGCATCGGTACACGTGCGTCTTCGAGCTTCGATAAACAGTCAAGCGTACAGCCTATACAGAAGTAGCAGCAGAGCAGCGTCCGAATACTAGGAGGCCATCTAATCCGGAGAGGCTTGGGCTATCAACGTCGTTAGTCTGCAACCCAAGAGTCCATGTGAGCCCCACTACAGCTTCACGACCCAGACTACTAGGTTATAGCTCCGAGTCATCCATGCCCAGGGAATCTCGTGCAGCCGGCGCACTTAAACCGTATTCGCTGGAGCTCATGTGAAACCGACGCACGAGTTATCAGCCTCCCTGCCTCTCCTCTCGTCTACGGATCCGTACAGTATGTAGACCATCTGGAATTTGTGGAGGCCTGTGTATAGCATTGTGGTCCGTGCGAGGGCGGACAGATGACATGATAAGTGCCTCGGATAAGACAATCATTGGAGGTAACCGTGCTGCGACAAACTGCTTGCTCGCTCTGGAATTGTGTATAAGGGTTGACTAGGGTTAACACGGAACAGCATAACCTATACCTGGCAGCACAATCATAGTCACCGTCACCGTCGCAGTCGCAGTCGCAGTCGCAGTCACTCACTCACACATCTAGCCGGCCCTTTTAAGGTTTATCTTGGAGGAGGGATTTGGATTCGTCATGGCTCGCTGAGCTCCTGTTGAGTTATTAACTTAGAGCCGCAGCCAAGCATGTGCATGTACATGTACATTCCCGCCGGCCCTTCCGATTGACACCTTTCCCACGTTGCTGGGCTGGCCTGTAGTAACTTATCGCTGCATGAGGGGGAAGATCGGCCACGCTGAACTCCGGTCTGTCATCCCAACTCTCAGGCACAACTCTCCTTCATTTCATGCAATGGCTCCCACGGTTCCAGAAACAATTGAATAATACATAACCGGATCTCCTCCCCAGGTCCCTTCACCATGCCCGTCACCGACACAGGGTTCGGTTCCAACAATCCTTTCCGCCGAACCACGGTCAAGGACCCCTCGTCAACAGCCATAACATCCAGCGGACCCACGTCTGTCTCTACCTCTACCTCTACCTCTACATCTACATCCACCCCTACGCCCGCGTCCACTTTCCCCAGCTCCGGTTCCATCTTCTTCGACGGTGCCTCTGCATCGACATCTATATCTGCCTCTGCCTCACCCTTGAGCTCTGCCTACCGACCGCCCCCGCCTTTCACGACATTCAGGTCCGCCGGCCCCGATGCTGGCGAGAGCGGGCGTCGGGTGGACGAGACACCAGCACCCTCCAGGCCGAAGAAGATCATAAAGAAAGTGCGCGTGCAATCGCCGCCGCCATCATCGCCCGAGGATGCCACTCCCGTCGGGAGATACCCGCCGGATGATTACAGCGACAACAGCAGTACCGATGAGAGGGAGACCGTGGAACACATCGACCCTTTCAATAGCGGTCCGATTAGACCCGAAAAGAAACATAATGCCGTCGACGGCGACCCTTGGCCTTCTCTTCCACCTGCGAATCCATTCTCCAAGACACTGCAGGACCTGGAACAGAGTGCACATGAACAAGAAGGCCAGGCACCAGCGGGAGGGAAAACAGCGCTCGATGTCGATTCGTTCAAAAGGTTACTTTTGACGGGTTATGCCAACATGCCTGGCCCAGGAGGCGCCACAGCTACAGCGAGCAGCCTGAGCTTGGGATCTCAGCAGGCTACAGTTCCAGACGGCGCAAGTAACACGGATGCTAGCTCTGTATCAAAGCAATCTATATACGATCCTGCACAGGATACGCCCAGAACGTCGCATGAGATCTCCGAGGCCGATGAGTCGACCGTTGCTCCAGCCTCTCCTCTGGCCAATGTGCAACCTGCGTCGGGCCGCAAGCCGCCACCGCCTCCCAGTTCCAGGCACGGGAAACTTATCAAGATGGAGCTTGGAGCTAACAATAAAGTCAAGAAGGGACCGCCTCCAGCCATCTCTGTCGACACGTCATCTCCTACCACGGCCCCAAATCGGAAGTCTAGCACCCAATCACTCTCGCAGTCTTCACCGCCGTCAAGCTCCGATATCAACAAACCGTTGCCTCCACCTCCGTTGCGTGCTTCAGGCGAGGAAGATGTGGACTCGCCCTTCGACCGAGAGGCTGCAGGGAAGTTGCCAGAGGCTTTCTTAGACCATACAACAACAACAAGTCCACAACCTCTGGCTTCACCGGCCGGAACGACTCGTCCTCGCTCAGGGTCCCAGACGAGCACACTTACTACCTCGAGTGCGCATCGGAAGCCCGCTGCTCCTCCTCCCCGGCGTCAAGGCCACGGTAGGACAGACAGCAAGCCGCCGTCTATTCTGTCAGATAAGGCTGAAGATGACCAACCTAGAAGCTCTCTCGAATCGACTCGGTCCCGAGCCAGCAGTCTCCAGGTGAATGCTGGCCCAGACAAGCACCAAGCTGCTCCAGCACCACCGCCACCAAGACGGCCGAACCATACACGGCAGGGCAGTACGCTTGCGAGCCCATCTACTACAGGCACCACTTACGTTTCCAGTCCGGTAATAAGTGACGACAGCAGGCCACCAAGCGCGTTGGGTTTTAACCCCATGGCGCACCAGAACCTAGGAGCAGCGGGCGCTGCGACGCATAGCAGGGACGTTCTACCAAAGCTGTCACCTCCTCCACCACCCCCAGCTCGCCATTCTAGTGTGAGAAGACCATCGGGTAACAGTGTCGAAACTACCTCATCGCGCAAGGTGAGCCGCGAAAAAGAAGGTGCCGTGGCCAAACCTCCACCACCGCCGCCAAGGGCAAGAGGGAGTAGCAAACCGACTCTTGGTGCCGCAGATGTGCTTGGCGCAACTGGGCGACCAAGGACTGGAAGTGAAGTAGGCAGATTGGACGAGGATACTGCTGCTACAGGCGAAGAGCTCACTCGAGTTGATTCGGCAGCAGGAGATGATATAATGGAACAACTAAAAGCACTGCAACAAGAGGTCGAGGCAGCCAGGAAGGTCTCTGGCAGTGGCTGAATGGGGATTCTGAGCTGCATTGCAGCAATGCAACTTGACATGTATCAAGATCGCAAGAAACGATATGCCCATGGTAACTGACATTGACCGCACAACCGTTGAAAGGTTGCACCGATGTCAGTACTATGCCACACAACAGGAGCGCAGATCCAAATTCCTAACACAGAGGCGCGACCAGGTATGCCAGCAGAACAAATTGGGGCTTGTACAGTAATGGCTGATGTTGGCGCATATTGGTGGACTTGAAACGGCTTGCAATGATGGAACGACACTTTCTCGTGAATAGACAATTCCTAAAGACCGCAAACTACGCTCTATTGCATCGTGCATACTTCGGGAAGTTGACTTACTGGGCATTTCATTATTAATCTGTGACCAGAAATGAAACAATTGACTAAAGGACTATGTAGCATGGTCTCGGCGATGGGCTTATTGATGGTCAACTCACCTAAAGGGGGTTGTGATGAGCCTTGGAAGTACTGTAACCAAAGTGTCGCCTTGGTGCATCGCGAAGTTGGGTGTACTTATTTTCCAGTGTCGATATAGAGCATGCGTCCATCGAAGCTCGATAGTATGGGGATGCAACAAGACAAGACTCCGAGTCGAACTGATTGAAAAACAACGACCTTTGACAAAGTCAAGATCTAGGTATCATATCTACAGCACTATTGATCGCAGGCTTTAATCCCATTGTCATGCCACAACTAAGAAACATGCTCTTGACACATTCTATGTCCTCGACCGGTAACTCGACTACAACGATAAAGGGAAATCAGCATAGATAAAGCCGTCCTTGTCTTCATTGCGACATGTTACTGGGTATAAAATGCGCTGAAAATACTGGTCCAACATTCGAACGACAGTATCAGCCGACCAGTTCCTATTACCAAAAACAAATCGCAAAGTCACATATACAACACAGACGCTGAGCGTTCGAACCCTTCCAAAGACTAAACTCTCTTCTTGAATTCTCATGCAAATCAAGACTTTCAAGATCGGTCGCAGCATAGTCGGAAAGATCCCTTATCTGGACGAGCCAATGAATCCAAGCCGTTCCGTCAGGGACTCGTCCCCGAGGGGTGCCCGAGCTGTTCGTGCTGAGCCAGGCATTTCGCCTCGCGCAAGATCCACCTCGCCCTTTCAGGCGGGCTTGGTACCGTTCCCAGGATCTCAAGCCGTGGCGGATAGTGCTGTTGAGCAGTACCGAGCACCAGCCGTTGGGCCGCCACGGACGACGCGGGCTCAGCTGCATCGTCAGGAGGAGATGCCGCGAAGGCAGCGAACCAGGTCATCGCGGGCATCTTCCTCCAGTAGCAATAGTAGTGGTAGTAGTTCAAGCAGCAGCAGAAGCAGCAGCAGCAGCAGCAGCAGCAGCAGCAATAGAAGCAGCAGGGGTCCTTCGCACGCGGGTGGTGCTTGCATCCCCCCACGCCACGCCCTGGATATTGAATCCCTCATGCAGAGCCTCGACGAGCTGTGGCTCCCGGACCCGGCGGTTAGCATCGACGACGACCACGAGTGTGTGCCCGCCTACGACGACCGGGAGAACTGCTTCAAGGACCCCAAGGTCACCTTCCTCATCGACCGGCCCCAGAACATCACCTGCTGCCTGTGCTACGAGACCAAGCTGCAGATGAAGCCGTCGGCGGACTCCCCGAGGAGCGACGCCGACACCGTCATCCTGCCCTGCTCGCACGCCTTCTGCCGCGGCTGCCTGGACCGGTGGGTTGAGGACCACCAGTCGTGCCCGTCGTGCCGCCTGCGGCTCGTCCGCGACTGCGGGCACGCCATAGAGCCGCGGGTCATTGCCCGCGACACCATCATGGCGCTCCCGCCCGTGCTGGACACCACCGTCGACCAGGGTCGCCACATCTCCAGGCGCTGCTGGACCTGCCGGGTTCGCGACCAGGCCGGCAACTTCGCGCGTGTCGTGAAGCGGTACCGCAGGTGTCGCCGGGAGCTGGCCAAGTGCGCAGCCGCGGGAGACGACGACGGTGATGATGGTGGGAGAGCGCAGGAGGCGAAGGCGGCCTACGATAAGGCGAAGAAGGACTTTGGACAGTTTTCCAAGAATACTACTTACGAGAACAGCATGTTTGTCCACAGCTATTGGTAAGTAGGATTTTTTTGTGTGTATGGCGGGGTGAAGAAATAGATCTCCATGACTGGATGAGCTTCGTTTGTTTATTGTTTACTTGTTGAAATAAGATTAATTTCGATCAGCCAGCGGTGATTTCAAGATTTATTGACCTGATAGCAATTGTCTGTCTCATGGAAGGGACAAGAAATGGTCACAATTGAATTCAAAATGCGCATTGATATGCCCAATCTGCAGCTCAACCACACAATTTTCTAAAATTTGTACTACTGGATACTGTCAGGGGTGTAACAATTGAGGCACTATATACAATCCCACTATTTGATGTTCCTCGGACATGACGAGCACCGAGCTGCCCCATACATCTGAGATGCAGTGACCGGTCGCGTTGAAGCGCACAGAATACGACATTTAACCAGTGTAAGTGCAAATGACCTCGGATGTGCCCGAGGTGGAGCATGAAGTCAGGACCACGTTGCTCTGCTTGATGTCCAAGATGGTGGATCCGCTGACGCCGACTGTACCACTGCTGGTAGTGGCCGAAGCGCCTAAGGGCTCGTTAGCAATCATTATTCGTCTAATTTCTTGTTCTATTCTGCTTTCTTGGATGTTATGGAGATGTTGACGTACCAGTGAATGTGACAGTGTCGAAGTCAGCAAAGGGGACGAGGGAATTTCCGGACGAGAAATCCTCGACGATCCACTCGGCGTTGGTCTCGCAAAGGGCGTCGGTCTGGGCAGTGAAAGTGTGGGTGACACTCTTGCCAGTCGTGACGTTCTTGATGGTAGCACTGCCCGCCTTGGTAGAGGTGGCAGTGACCGTCATGGTGACGGTGTCACCGGCGCTGATGGTAATGCCAGAGAAGGTGTAGGCGTAGTCGGGGTACCACTCATACCAGGCATCGAAGGAGACCGAGCTGCCCTCAACGTAGAAGTCGACACCAGTCTGCAGGATCGAGGTCTGACAAGTGTCGCCGTCGATTCCGACCCAGGCGCTAGCTGCGTACTCGGTGCGAGAGCTGCCGCCAGAGGGGGTCGAAGGGGTGGGGACAACGATGGTTCCCGTGACGGACTTGACGCCCGTGGTGATCAAGACGGCACCGGCCCAGTTGGTCGAGTACTCGACGTGGGCGGTCTCGTTGCCAATGTCAAGGCCCTCGACGATACTGTCATCAGCCTTGATACGGGGCAGACTTGTTCGATCAAGAGCACGCTTGGCCTTGCGCTCAGCAGCACGTTGGCGGCGCTGCTCAGTGAAGCGAGCACCAAGCACGGCCTCGGCGGCGAGAAGAGTACCAAAAACGGTGGCGAACTTCATGGTGGCTGTTGAGCGGCTTTGAGCTAATAGTCGAAGCAAAGGTTACGAGATTGACTTTGTCAGAAGATGATGAGGTGGACTGTATCTGGGAATGACACTGACAGACAGAAGAGATATGAGCCTCCTTTATACTTCAGACCTATAGTGGCTCAGACAGGGATAACTGTGATATATCAGACCATTATAGAACCAAGCCATCACGAATTCGAGGCTCAAGGACCGTTCCATGGTTCTAGATCTTTCCTCGAATCAAGATCTTGCATCAAGAAGCGATGCCAAGCACCTTCCTGATCTACAACAACGAGCATGGTCAAGTGAGCTGGGGCTGTCCATGTGAGGTACGTTTGTTATCATTCCTAGGATCGGAATGCATTCTGCATTGTTTTTGCTCGTGGTGCTCTGGGAGTTGAAGATGTTCCGAACCTTGAAGTTAGGGGACACGATTGTGAGGAATGCTAGAAGAAACTATGTCTGCATTCTGCGCTGCCCAATCGTAGCGCCTCGTCTGAATGACAACAATGCCCTATACTAGGGTCTAAATGTAAAGACTGACCGGGGGTTCACTCAAGGGTGGGATCTGCATGCGATAAGGGTGGCTTTGCTTACGCGTCACTCATGCTGCAAAGTAACGCCACAGCCGCTGGTGCGTATACAGCCAATAGGCCTGAAGTGTATGATCGCGGGGTGCCTCGTGAATTAGTTCTCATGCTTATCAGGTACCTTGGTGGCATGTTGGAAATGCCGTCGAGGACGAAGAGTGCATGCCCAGACCTGGGCAGGGGGGCTTAAGTAGCATGCGGCATGCGGTTTGTGTGCAGCCAAGCAACACCCGGGCTCTAGAAAAATAACCATAGTGTTGCTGATGACCAGCCAAGAGAGCCAAGCTGTGGAGAGGGTATTGGCATCAGTTGAAATAAGCTTTTAAGCTCCGCTGAGTGGCTGCGCAGTTGCTACAATCTCTATAGCTAATTGCATCTTTATGGTTAAATGTTGACATTATCCGACACGCGTCGGGAACAAGATCTGCGCCATTTCTCTTCCTGATGCTTAGCAACGCAAAACCCCTCATTCATTGTAGAAGTCTTTGGAGTTTGTAGGGTGACATCGACTCTTGTTGGTGTATTCTACAGTAGTGATATACCGGGGCGGGATTGGGTTTGGTTGAAGACCCATGAGTGCGATATGAACCTGTGATAACATGTCGCCACGATGCCGATCTTTCCATGCGGACACGAAATGTTGCAAGCCTTTCAGGGACTCGCAACATCCCTATTACACAATCAAGGTGGATATAGTGTAACGCTTTGGCCTATCGACCTGTTCGCTAATGTGGGACCGGTAGTGAGTGCTACGCTGGTGGGCGGCTCCTTGTCAATGAGAAGGAAGACCTGGTCCTCGACATGAGCAGAAGCCAGGAAGGGAGCCGGGCCCACATCCCTTAACGTGGGGAAGCCATCGGCCGAATCGGGAAGGTGTTCAAGCAATCTGCAACGGCACCTGATTGGATTCGATATGAATGTTTCGGAGCCGCGGCCATCGGAGCACTTCGCTTTATTGTCGTGATGAATGATAAAGAGCATGGACAGCATCCTACAAGGTACCATGTTGCTGTGTTGGCTCAAGACACTACGTAATGGGGACTGCGAGCGATAAGAACTCCACGCACTATATAGTGAAAACAATTCTGCATGCAGATTTCATCCACCAATGAATAGTATTCGGAGAATGTGGGCGAGAGTTGTAACGCCGTTTCAAAGCTTGTTTGTGGCTACATTTTTGCAAAGGCATGTCAGCGGCTATCGCTCTACACTTCGTCTGATAGGATCCCTGTAACCAGCTTTGACAAAACTGACGGGCTCCGAGGTGACTATATTACCACTGAGTAGTGAGCTTAGTCATGTAGAAGTCGAACACCTGTTGCTCAGTACCACACAGCTTAAAAACATTTAGTCATCCTATGTACTAGTGAAGGCAGGCATAAACGACCCAAAGTCAGTTGCATAGCCAGTTTTAGCATCGTTGTTTTCATTTCGCAATCCAACCTGGCGATTCTCGCAGTGCCCCAGCCTAGAGCGCAAGAACAACGCGATCATGCCAGGAACTGCAGATCTAGCTCAGGTGAATCAGTCGGCATTTTGCCAAGCCCTGCCAGAGGTACCTGCATGCGTGAACAACCTTTAGCATATGTAAATCCAGATGATCATGCATTATCTAAAGATATTTTCACGATGATTGGCTTCCCTTGCATCGGGATGGAGTCGAACAATGAGCTATAGTGTTTGATTTCGGGACACGGATAGGACTGATAGCAGAGGGGTCTCGGTTATATCCGCGGATATTTCATCGGCTCGTATATACGTGACAGCAATCTTGGCCCAATAACGACTTTAGTACGTTGGAACTCTATCCATCCATTCGCATGGCACTTTCCTGTTCATGGCAGGCCACGCGGCTGCCGCCTCTGACATTCCATTGGGTCCCATACCAGAACTTAGGGGAACTGATTCCGTCTCATGTTATCGGTCGTCTCTCTGCTTAGACCGAGAAGAGGAAAATGGCAGAGGCAAAAACTGGTGCGCCATGACGACACCGCTTCGATTAACCTTAGTTTCATGTTCCTTGGTGATCCGGCCCTTGTCCGTTATTTGGCATCGACTTTCATACCCGCTCGGTGGTTAACTTTATGGTCCATACCACCACTTTCGTCGGTAGATGACCTCTTTTTTCCATCATGCCATATTGTAATGACGGCTCATAAGGCGGCAGTATTCGATGCGACGGACCATTCATGGGGATCATCCAGTCTTCGCAACAGTAAGGGATCCATCATTTCATGCCCCGTAGCAAACACATTGCGTGCAATGGAAATCGCGGTTCACCAAATTCCTACTCATAGAGAGACAGCGGTCCAGTCTTTAGGGGAGTAGTAGAATAAGATCTGGCTACAGCATGGATCAGAGAACTGACAATTCTTCGGTAAGCTCTTGTGATGGAGTACCAGAGGCGTACGACACGAGGTCATTTATCATGACTGCCAGAACCCGTCGAAGAGCTGCATCAAAGCACGCAGAAAATCGTCTGCTTATCGGTGTCGATTACGCATTTGTCGAAATACCTGCTAACATTGTCACCATGGCGGAAGGGCAACGATTGAGGAGTAATTTCCTGTTGGTGCGTGTTAATGTTTACTGGGACATGCGGGTCGAAATATGTATATCCTTTACGGCTAAACATTGTCCATCGTCACGACTGAGCAATCGATCAGCCTGAAGAGTTTGATAAGGCCCATGGCACTTGACCCTTCTCTCAAAATGCTTGAAGTTTCCGGGCGGAAAGTTTCTGACTGTTCGTCAATGGGGGGATGTTCTTCGGTGGCAGCAAGGAGCGCTCCGGGAGAGTCTTGTGGATGCCAACAAACTCGGTTCCAGGACAGCCCCCATGAAGAATCTTGCAATCCGCGACAATGTGATAGCAGACCTACCAAAATGATTCCGAGCTTCACATCGTTTACAATACAATCGAACGCTCCTCAATCTGTCTCTATGATTGTGACAGCGAGGATGAACTACCACAACTTGTGCAATTCTGGCGTTCATCATGGTGATGATCAAAAGGAGGAGACGGAAGCTATGGACCTGTTCGCGCACCGTAAACGCTCGCTGAAAGAGTACGTGATATCGGATAAATGTCTTGTCAACTTGGCAACATTAGAGAACCATTAACTTTCGGATGGCGTTATGTGCGCGCGTTCGTCTTGTCACAGCGGGAATCGCGTCGCGTGCCTCAGTTTTCAGCTCAGGGCTGGGTTAGCAGGTAGGTGCTTGGGTTTCTACGCATACCTAGACTAGTGGACCCCCTCGTACACTAAGCCGAAGTTGGAATCGCGCAAATAAACCCCCTGGCTTTCTCGGATCTGGGATCGATCCTTTTTCATGGCCGGCGGCGCGCCTAGGACTTTCCCTTGGAATACGTCGCGACATGGATGTCTACCCGTCTTTTCGTTTATTGTATCGTCGTTTTTCCGCGAGCAATCATGCCCTCAAAACACACATATCTTGAATTAGTTTCAAGGCACAAATGGCAGGCTCAAGACAATTTCACTCCAAGACACGAAATGTGCGTATAGTCGCGGCGAACCTCACTACTATGGCTCCTCATATTGACGGGTTACAAGGGCTGCGGTCAGTGTAAGAAGAGGCGGGTGAAGGTAAGCATGAGTTCGGTTTCATGCTGTTGACATTGAAATAACCTCATTCAGTGCAACCTTGAGCCACCCGTCTGCGCTAATTGTCGGAGACGTGGCGAAGAGTGCGACTATAGTCCAGGCAATGTCACACTCTCGAAAGAGTCCCGAAGTCACGTGAAATGCTTGTTGCTTGTAGGCTCCGTGTCAATTGCGGCCGGTAATCCTCGGATGCAGAGAAGAAGGGCCATGCGGGATCGACTATATGGCTTGCCTCTAAGCCTCTCGGAGCCCGCAAACCCAGCTCGATGCATGTTATCATGGGTTTTGGATGAGGTCTGGCTACTACCTTGTGCAACTGTTGGGGAAGAAGCCATGTGGAGGACGACTCTCCAAACGCAGGCCGCTCGGTATGCATATCTCGAGCGCGGTGCTTCGAGCCTCTGGACTCTCTACCAGTCACTTCAAGTTGGACCATCCTCATCAGCCTTACGAGCCGACGCATGCCGTTATAACCTGGAAGCGTCAGAAATCTTCCGAAAATCCTATCACACAGTTACTGAGCAGAATTGGTTGGCCTTTCTGTTGTTTGGTGTCCTCGTGGTCATATTTCAGCTTGCCATAGCTCAGGCTGATCCCGATGTTGCACAGGGTCATATGGAGGTCTTCCAGGTCCTTCGCAGTACATCTAAAATAGCACAAACTGTGACGCCATATTTTAGACGTAGCCCCCTGAAGAAATTTGTCGACGATCGCCATATCTTGTACCAGCCTATCATGGACAAGGAGGTATGGAGGAGAGTCAGTGGCCTCGATGGAATTGGACTTGCTGAAGATACTTTGGAGGATGCCGAAGCATGTCGCCAAGCCATTGCACATCTTAAAGCCTGGGTACAGGAGACTGATGGTCATCCTCGCTCGTGGGCACATTTCTTTAGATGGCCTGGCGCAGTATCCGACCATTTCACTAACATGCTTTTCGGGGGTCATCAGCGAGCCCTGGTCATTTTCGTTTACTGGTGCGCTATCATGCACCAGTCCCCGAAGCGTTGGTTTATGGACGGTTGGGCAAGCCGCAGCGCGCATCTGGCTATTGATTTGATGAGCACTGCTGACGATCATCTCTTGGAGTGGCCTCGTAGCGTACTGTCGTCAGGTCCTTTCGGATATTTTGCTCTACTTGAACGGCTGAACACCACTACCTTGAAAGAGCCTGGGCTCGTCGTTGGCAGATAGCAGAGAGCCCGCCTCCGTATGTCGTGAATCAGTAGTGAACATGATGTCACAGTCTGACATTCTCGTCTCAAGATGGGCATTGCCTACTGATGGGCCCATGACACGTATGGTGATCATTAGTAGGCCTATTGATGGTATGTGGTGCTGCGGCTGAGGAATAGATCTATTCTCTGTACCACTGAAGGCTACCTGAGTGGTCGCCGCAGGTGGGTACCTGGGGCATCCATTACATGCTGTATGTGACGTAGGTAACGGCCCGACCGGCGACCCAACATGCTCTGTTCGAGGGGTGAAATTGGTTGTTACCAGAGATTGCTGGTAATGGTCTAAGAATAGAACAACTGGCAAGTGTAAATCTGAGTGTCAGGTGTGAAACCAACAGCTGTTGTCATCAAACACAATCGAGTTGAGGTCATTGCTTCGACCTAGATAGGCCGGTAGTACAAGAGAAATGATCGCCACGTCTGAGGCAGTCCAAAACTAATATTGGACCTTGAAATTCTGTTTCATGTAAAATACCCTAGAATATAGTCTTATGATAGTGAATCTGAAATTAACCACAAGGTGTCAATTGTGGTTTATTCATGGCCGACAATGGCTGAAATATAATACCAGAATTACTTGTTTGATTGATTCTGCAAAAACAAAAAATTATGTTGGAGGTTTCCTATCACGATACAAAGTTTGCCGTGCCGGTGATTGTTCAGATCTAATTGCTATGAGTATTACGTCCAACATATGGGTAGGGTCGCCTACAATTTTCCACCCATAACGATCTGCCAAATGAATAGTAGCTGAGGAAAGGATCAATAAGTGCCTTCACAGGTCGCAAGGTGTCTACTCCCCTGAGTTCCACACCCCGACCACATCAGATCCGGATGTTCTCAGGCAATCTAATATCATGCCAAACCTAGATTGACCTGAGTTTTAACAAATTGACAAAAAATTGTTTTCAAAGCTGAAATTTGCAAGGAAGTTGCTCGATCACGTGATCCCCTCTCATTTGCGTTCCTAAGGCGTGACCCACATCGCGACCTCACCCAAGCCTCAACCGCTTGGGAACGGACTGCGCTCAGCGACCGCATCACCCGCCATCGCCCTTCCTAGACTACAATCGGAGCATTTGTGGAATCACGTCAAGATGGACCGCAAGAAAGAGCAAGATACGCTCTTGGGTAAGCCGGCCCCTAGCTCGGCCCTCTCCGCTGTCCATCATCCTTCCACCCTTGCCTATCACCAACCATGAGCCCCTAGCGTCCATGGACACAAACACACCTCAAGGCACGACATGACTGATCCAGTTGTCCCGCAGATCGCCACAACAAGGCCATGGCCGCAATCCTGCGGCGCTTCCTCAACATGACCAAAGCCGCCACGGCGCCCATACCCAAGGAGGGCGCGTTGGACAACGAGGCTCTGAACCAGATGAGGATGGAGACGGAGACAAACGCATTAGTACAGCCCCCCCCCCCCCCCCCCCCCCCCCCCCCCCCCCCCCCCCCCCCATCATCCTTCCTGTTCCTTCCCTTCCCATTTCCTGCGGTTATTCATTCTCATGGCTGGCCGCAGCAAACGCTAACAAAAAAGCATAGATCACAGAGATCCAGAACCTCCTCGTGATAACGCGGGAGATCAAGGCGCTCTGGATCAAGGGCCCGCTGCGCAAGCCCGGGGAGGATGCCGCGCAGCAGGCGGAGCTGGACGCCAAGGCGCTGCGGGTGCAGGAGTTGTACAACGCGCTCATGGCGCAGCGCACCGAGGGCCAGAGGAGGGACGCGGAGGCCAGGGCGAGGGGACAGCAGGGCCAGACGGCATGAGATTGGGAGAAGCCAACGAGTTGGACGCCGCGGGGATTGATACTGCGGTGATGAGAAGTAAAAAGCTCGCGAGTCCGTATTAATGCGCGATCGGTCAGTGAGTGAGTACAATCGTGTTGCTATGCTGGAGTTGATTTTACGGCGTTCGGGAACCATGGCACGGAAAAGGTCACGAGGCGCATTGACTAATTTACTGATACCCATGCCTTTTTAGAAGGGCCGTGAATAAAGAATATACGATGACTGTAGGGTGTATTGCACTTTTTTAATTCACCATATGCATGGCGCAACTATCGGGTGGTCGGTGCCATTCATTCACGACAACCTACAGAGCCTCAGAGTCTCACAGATTGGCAAAGTCGTCCTCTATTCTTCCCCGCCGTCCGCAGCTTCGTCTTCGTCACCAAGCTCCTCTTTCAGGCTTTGAGGCATGTCATCAGCCTGTCCGACGCGCTGATGCGCGGCAGCGATACCACCAGCTGTTACCCAGAGGAAGTAATCCGACTTGAAATTGTCGATCTGGTGGAAGAAAGTATGGAACCTATATGGTGTTAGCTGGTCACATTTTATATGCCTTCGTAGGATATGCTTACGAGTTTTCCTTCTCCTCTAAATCGTAAATGCGCTGGTAAATGAAATCGTCCTTGAACTTCTGAATCTCCTTTTCGTAGTTTGCAAAGTCGATGGCGGGCTTCTCTAAGTTACCTACAGCCCTCTGATTGTAGTTGTCGAAAACAGGACGTTCCAACAACAAACCCAGACTCGGCGCCTTGGGGATGGCTATCCTGTCATTGCCATAGCTCTGTGCCATGCGCTCAATATCTGTTGCACACCGAGTGACAAGCACGGCCATTCCCATCATTTTGCGGATTTGGTGCATCATGAAAGACTGGCCGTGAACCTTGATGGACAACCATTGCGTATCGTTTATCTGGATTGGCTCAGGATTGACAACGAAAGACCTGATAGTTCGCTTTGCGGACGGATCAGAAGCATTCTTGAGAACAGTATAGTTGTGGAAGTTATTCGTGCCCAGATACTGATTTAGGGCCTCTTGGAGCTGATTGAGGCGTTCAGGAGAGACGCGATAGCGGCGCTTTGCTGCTACGTAGGCGGCCTTGATCTGCTTCAAAGCAACGTCAACGGGGTTCGGTTGCTTCGGCTCTTGTGGCTTGTCGGTAGGCTGTGGCTCCGTTGGTGTCTCCTCTGATGTGCTCATCACAACGTCTGCAGTTTCAGTAGTCGCGGGGGCTTCTGCCGAGGCGGCTTCGGCAGAAGGAGCGTCCGCCGTGTCTTGGTCGACCGGCTCCTCTATCTTGGAGATCTTGCTGCCCTTGCTCTCCGTCTCAGCAGCATGGCGCTTCTTCAAGACGCGCTCGCGGACTGAAGGTTCCAAACCGTCGATGATGGGCTGGATCTCGTTCTTCTCGACATCCTCCCAGTAGCCCAAGACGTCAGACATCCGGGTGGCATATTCGTGCTCCTTCCCGTGCTCCTTCAACGACTCGAGGACGTTCTTGCCCAGAAAGCTTTCGGGGTGCGGGGGCAACAAGCAGTAACTTGGCATCAAGTACTCGTACCATCTCGAATCACAGGCCTGGTAGCAGCTGAATGAGTTGTTGGTTCTCTGGATGCCCCAAACTCTGATCTGGGGGGGCAAGGCATCGTTGATCTTCTGGACAATGTCTGGGTCCTCGATGATAAGCTTGAGGGACAAGACGTTACCGGCGGCGTGTACACCCTTGTCAGTTCTCGCGGTTCGCACGAGGCTCGATTTCCTGGGGTCGTCTGCGTTGACCTTGGAGATAGCGTTGGCAGTGACGAATGCGCCAAACAGATCTCCCTCAATGGTCTTTTCCTTGTGGTTGATCTGCAGGCCATGGTAACCAGTGCCAGCGTATCCAATCATGACGGCGACCTTGCGCTTCGGTCTGCGCTCTTCGGCGTCCTTTTCTTCCTTAGAGAACTGTATGCTCATGTAGCTCTGCCCATCCTCGCCTGTGCCAACGCGACGGCCACTCTCGTCTACCTTTTGGCGTTTTCGCTCTCGCCAATCAGTCGGGGCCTCGCGCTTGTCTCCTCGTCGGTCGCTGCGCCGTGCTGGGTTAGCTCGTATTGGTATTGGTATTGGCATTGGCATTGGTGGGTTGTGTGAAGTGGAGAGTATGAACTACTCGGTAGAGCCCATAGGTGCATATTCATGTGGCAATACTCACTTGGAATCCTTCTTGGAGAAGTCGTTCTTGCGGCCTCTCCCGCCTCTCCCGCCTCTGGTACCGCCGTTGCGTCCCCGGCCTCTGCCGCGACCGGAATCGAAGTCGCGCTTTCTGGGCTCGCGCTCGCTGTTCGAGGCAGTTGGTTCAGTGGTTGTGTTTGGAAGGCCCTTCGACTGTGCAGAAGCAGCAGGGGCGACTGGCTTTTCAGAGGGCACAGAATTTGAGTGGGATTCGGAAGCCATCTTGACAGTAATTGCATGCGCAACCGCATGTCCTCCTCTGCAATACTTGTACAGGAGAAGGGAAAGAAGAAGGAGGAGGAGGAGGAGGAGGGAAAAGAAAAAGGATGTCGCACGGAGCTTGAGTTTGAGTATGCAGCAGCACTGCAGAATACGTCCCACGTTCATTTAGTTAGTCTAGTCTAGCGGATTGCTGCGACTCGAGAATTTCCCCGCCAAAATTTTTATCTTATCGTCAATCGCGTCTGTGCGCGCATCATCTCTGGCAGTCTACTCCGTGCTGTACAGGTACAGTAGCACTTGCGGCAGCACCTACAATGGGCTTCTCGCTACAGTAGATTTCAGCACTCTTCCCGCGCCAAAACAGTAGGTTAAGTAAATATGCCAGTATCAACTCGTTACTCGTGGCTGGCGATATCATCTGGAAAATCCCATCCACTCACAGTCCATGCCATGGGCTAGGCTAGCAATTGGTGTCTTAAGACATCAGGCTCTCTCTCTGAAATACGGCTTCACGACCGCCTTTGCGATTCCCCATGCCTCATCAAAAGCCGTCAACAGCTCCTCCGGCAGTGGTCCTTTCTCCAGATTCACCAGGTTCTCATCCAGCTGTTGAGCACTGCTGGCCCCAATTATGATCGCGTCGCCCTTCTCCTTTGCCAGTACACCGTGATGGCTGATCCACCTCAGCGCCGCCTCCGCCGTGCTAATGCCCAGCTTCTCGGCAACGGGCCGCACCACGTCAAGCGCGTCAAAGTATGTCTCGTTCCAATACCTGCCCCGGTAATTTCTTCCCTGCGACCTGTCAGGGTCGAACCGACTGCCCTTCTCAAGGTCCGCCACCGCCGTGTCTCTCTGGTATCGATCCGTCAGAAATCCACCTGCCAAAGGATTGAAGGCGTAGAATGCGATCCCGTAATGCCGCAGACAGGGAAACAATTCCGGCTCCACACCACGATGAAGTGCGTTGTATACTCCCTGATAAACGTCCGGTCCCTTCCAGCCATTCTTGGCGCAGATCTCACTGATCTGCGCAACCTCCCATGCAGCGTAATTGCTGATGCCAAAGCGCTTGAAGTAGCCCTTCTTGTAGAGTTCGTTAACCTCGCGCAGCGTTTCCTCATACGGTACGGAATGATCCGGTGCATGGAGATACCACATATCTACCTTGTCGGTCTTGAGCGCCGCGAACGAGTCATTCAGACCGCGCCGCAGATCCTCTGGCGAGTGAGTGTACTTCAGGCTGCCGTTGAGCGGCGAGAGCTTCGTATCCAGAACGATGCCGCGCGATTGCCAGTCGAGTGCGCCGAGATACTCCTCAGTTGATCCGCCGGCATAAGTCCGCGCCGTGTCGACTTCGACATGTCCATGAGCCTGGAAGACGTCAAGGATCTTGCCAGCTTCATCTAGTGAATGAACTCGAGCCTGTTCAGCACCTGGAATAAGATCAGCAACGTACTCAATGGCAAAAGACTATGTGGACGATCAGCACCTTCTTTGCCCAATGTCATCGCTCCAAAGACTATCCGCTGTACCGACTTTGATTGCGCCATATTGATCGATGGTTAGAATGTAGTTAGTGATCAAGGAATACTGTTCAATTCTCTCTCTAAAGGTGGAGTTTGTGCCTATCTGAATTGGTTGTGTTGGTATCTAGCTGGATGCGAACGAAGTGAGGAGACGGTATCTATAGCGGCGTTGTGCGTATGTCCGATCAATCGCCGACCCGCGTTGACGTGACCCAGCATCGGAATGTCGACGCAGGTGATACGCTAAAACCACAAACTTCATGGCAGATCCTCCTCATACGTCGTACCAACTTCGTCAGAGAGGAGAGTTTGTATATCTCCGCCGCGCATAGTGGCGTCATGAGTGCTCGAAAACTTTGGTCTTTATTTTGCATCGCTATACAAACAGTCTAAACCCAAACAGTATAAATGCTCTGATCAAAGGTTGCAAGAACTAAAATAAAATCGATTACCAGTCGAGGATGATACGTTCTTCGCATGGTCTCAAACCGAGTAATTTATCATTCGTATACGTCTTGTTGCTCTTATAAGTACAAACTAGGTAACCATTTCACTGGGCTTCAAATGGGGTCGCTCGCGGCGTCCACTTCATACTCCACATTGTGACATTGCCCGTGAGCCCTTTGTTCCCTCGACCTAGATCAATTTCAGTCGTCTCAATCGTCTCAAACCCCATCTTTTCATAAAATCCTGCACCTTTGGGTGAGCCCTCTACCCACACCGGCACGCCCTCGGCTTCGGCGACAGCCAACATGGGCTCGACCAGAGCTCTCGCGAGCCCCCTGCGCTCGAAGGCAGGGTCAGTACATAGGAGAGCAAGAACTAACATACGATCAGTAAGTTTCGGGATCAAAATAACACAACTCTTTTCTTGGGGGGGGGGGGGGGGGGGGGTTGTTTGTAAGCCGAAAGGGGTTCGTCTCACGAATTAATTCCTCGACACCGTACTTCTGGTGCATCTCCTCCTCCTGCTGGATCACGAGCTCCAGGGCGTCTCTAGTCGCACCCTCCGGAGGGTCGATCTGCTCCACGATCTTCCTGGCCCTCTCCTGTGGTGACAATCCCTCAAGCTTATCCTTCGTCGCCTCCTCGACATCGACGACCTCCTCACCACCGCCCACGACAAGATTATCGGCGGCAGCAGCGGCCGCCGGAACTCCGCCAAGGCTCTCGAACCCCTTCGGCAGGACCCAGGTCGTCCACGCGGCGACCTTGCCAGAGGCCCTGTGGGTGATCTTGTAGTATCGCCGCCCGGGCTTGGTGAGATTCAGCGCCATGGTCCTCCGCTGGAAGACGCGCATGGCGCCAAGGTCGGGCGCCCACCAGTAGCGCTCCGCCGGGCTGCTGAAGGCGTTGTGGTGGCACGTTATTAGGCCGTCGATGTCGTCAGGGGTGATGGGGGAGAGTGCGAAATCCGGCGACAACGACTTGGGGGTGGGAAGCTCGGCGAGCATGGCGGGTGGAATGAATGGTGGGGTGGCGTCACTGGATGGCGTCGTATACTAGATTCCTTGGGGATCGAAGTCGGGTTGTGTTCTGTGCACGATAACTTCTGCTCATTGTTCTGGCGCCAAAATCGTTGTTGGTGTTGGGAACTCTTTTATATCCATTAGGCGCCGGCCCAGATCATTCGGTGGTGCACATCGGCGTCTGTAAACTCAGTTGCACAATAGTGGTGCAGTTGCAAAATGCCGTATATTGAATACGGAGTTCGGAGTCACAACGACTCTGACCCAAAATTGCTGGATCCGGAATTGACAGAAGTTAACACACCGTAAGCGATTACGTCCACTGTTTCGTTGGACTGGATAGGCAGCAACATAATCAGTTCTACATTGTGGGTTGCGCTGAGGTGTGGGGTCACGAGATCATGCCAGTCTGTACAAACACTATAAATGATTCGAATTTCTTTAATTAAGTCAGGGGTATTCTCAACCCGCGGACTACTTGACTTGCGGGGCTACCACACAACCTTTCGTTTGAACGTCCACGTGTCGCCAACGCGGCCACCGTATAATTATGAGCCTGGATGCCTAACCGCCTTCACCTAATAGGTATACCGGAAGCCTCGCTCGCGTATCTCCTGGAATCATGGGTCAGTTTAAAAATAAGAAAATTATATGAATGGCTTTGGGCTCGGAACTTACGTCTTCGTCGTGTTCCAGTTCCTTCTCACCCCTGTCTGCGGCACGGTTGTCGAAGAAGAACTTCGTGTCTACAAGCAGGACCAGGATGATGTTAAGCAAAGCGCACGCAATAGCTGCATATAGACCCGGCTTGTATCCAGTCGCGGCATCTTCAGCTCTACACTTGGAGTTAGTATTATTACCCAGCTGGAAATTTGTTATTCTGTCAAGTCCTTACCTGAACACCAAGCTACCAGCGATACCGCCAATACCTCCAAAGCCGACAAATGTCGCGCTGCAGAAGGCACGCTTCCATTGGCCCCTGATGTTGTTCGCTTGGTACGACAAAGCTGCGGGTACATTCGAGTTGGCACCAGCGGTGACGAGGAAGACACCAAAGTATCGGACCGACGGGTTCGGGTGCCAGCCCATGATCGGTGTACCGATCAGACACAGCAGCATATTGAAGATGATGATGGGTCCTCGTAGGTGGTACTTGTCGCCCGCCCACCCCGAGGCGAACATGATTATGCCTGCAAACGCGTAAGGTGGGGCGATGAGGCACTGCGAAGCCCCGATGGAGAAGCCCAAGTTCGTGTGGAGGATAATCGGAAGGAAGTAAGCCAACGCATAGGTGACGGTAGTAGTGTTGAAGAAGATCATTGCATAAGCCCTAGATGGAATCATGTTAAAGCCCGCCCGCCCAGCAACGATTCGAGGTGCAAGTCTCACCAGATTTTCCAGTCAAGGCCAGCCTTGACGAACTTTCCGATCTCGAACTTGGGCGTTTTCGCATCGCCGCGGTCGGCGTTGATCCGCTTAACGACCCAGGCTCGTTCTCTCTCATTAAGAAAGCCCCTGTTCGCCCGTTTGCCATCTGGGAAATCGACCAAAAGCCAATAACTGGCAATTGCAATCACGCAAGTGATAATGCCTTCCATGATGAAAATCCCTGGGGCACTCAATGTTAACCTTTGATGGTGTATATATCGGACAGTTGCACTCACATCGCCAGCCCGTCAAGCCTCCTAATCCGCTCATCTGCATAAGGCCGTATGCTAGGATACCAGCGAATGCAGAGGCGACACAGCCAATGACGTAGAAAAACGAATATCTCTTGCCCACCTCATCTTTGGATCGTTAGCACGTCACACCTCATCCTCGTGATCGAGCGCAGGCTTACATCTCGTGTACTATCCAGACGATATTAGCAGTCATCCTTGGCACTTGGCGCTGATGCGCAAATTACAGAACTTACCCAGGTAGAGAGAAGATAGACAACGCTGGGAAAGAATCCTGCTTCGAGGACACCCAGAACGCAACGTAACGCAGCCAGTTCCGAATAGTTCTTCACGAAACCAAAACCTATCATCACGGCTCCCCATAGCAGTGTGATGATCGACAAGTGGATACGGGGTCCGACCTTGCGTATGATGACTGTTGAAGGGGGCTGGAAGACAATGTACGTCACGAAGAAGACGAGGGTGACGATGGAGTACCGGTTATCAATAAGCTTGAGCTCTGTAACCATGCCGGCAATGTTGGCGGCCGAAAGATTAGTTCTGCCAAGGGTATTAGCAGCACTCCGTGACATCCTTGCTGGGAAACTTGTGCAAGAATGGGGCAAGAGTTCGCCCGAGATCGCTTACCTGTCCATCAACGATACGCAGTACATGACTCCTACGGTAGTGACGAGCCGGCGGTCGATACGTCGGATGATGCGCTTTTGTTCCTCGGGCGTGTACTCCGACTCCCAGGCATTGGTGGCCTCGGTGGCCGTCTTGGTGAGCTCGACCTCCGGGATATACTCCACGCCGGCTTTCTCGGGGTCGTGCGCCATGATTGTGTTATGAAGATAGTCTGAGATATGGTAAAATTGCCCAACGAACTCTTACCAACAACAGAGTTGCACAGGTCGGGGATCCCAACGAATTGACCGCGGTCAGCGTGGAATATATACGAAGATGACCGGCGTTAGCGTTCGACACGCTTGATTGCTTGGCAGTGTTACCCCAAGACCGCTGGATCCGCGAATCTGCATTGTTGCGGGTTCCCCCATCGCAGCAATTGACACATCTGGATTAGCATGTCAGGAATATTCCCTAACCCTTGCCTACGGTCGATCAACCAACAGCTGACCACGTTTTCAGCAGTCTTGGTCTTGGCCTCCTCAGCAGGTTGTAGAGTCTCCTCATTGACGAAGTTCCCCAAAAAAAATTTGGGATACCTCCTCCTAGCAAACATAACTATTTCACGATAACTTTCTCTCACAGCCGAGAAAATCTGCCGCGTCGGGTGCGGGGCGTTAGGTATAGTCTACCTTTGCGCTCGCTGAATCGCCCCTTTCCCTCAGTAGCAACCATAAGTAGGAATGGCACATCTTACTACCGGATTGCCATACGATGATGTCTCCGCGGTCCACTTAGCAGGATTGCCCCAGAATGGGTGGACCTGGGGTAGACGACGATGCGGGGGAATACTCTGGGCGCCATCTTTAGGAGAGTAGAATGCGGGGTGGTCTAGCCCGAGGGGGCATTCAGGGCCGTGGTGCCTCGGAAGGCGCGTAGAGAAGTGGTCATAACTCCTTCATGATGTTCTAAATGAACACGACTAGTAAGAGAGAATCTGTCGTACCCGGTAGCCGGTCAGGTCTCAACGTAGAAACCATTGGCCCATACCAAGACGCTATGTGGTGTGTGCGTGTGGGAAAGGTCATGCAGCCGGCGCAAAGCCTACGCAATCTAGATCTCCCCCAGACCTCCCCTCGCGCTTCCCAACCAGGCGGCACCTAACCTGCCAAAACACATCACTGGGACAAACCACACACCCCTTTCAAGGCTGTCAGAACCTAATTCAGACTTACCTCGGTGCGAATGCCTGGCCTGTCGAAGAAAGCATTGGCTATGCAAGCCACTTTGATGCACAAATGGGTTCGTGATGCTCTGGTCTTTGTTGTCGTAACTGTTCATTGGGCAACTGAGCCTGCGCCGAGACTATTGAACGAGAGATGTAAGATTAGCCTTACCATGTTGAGGTCGACTCGCGACTGTGCGTAGAGCCTCAAGTTACGCTATTTCGGCAACGACGACGAACCTCGGTCGTTTCCAGGCACCAGTTTTCGAAAGACTCAGACTTGTTGTGTCTCGCGATACCGAGAGGAATAAGGAGCGAGGTGCTGTCGAACAAACCACAGCCATATTGCGGAAGGACATTCTGAAACGCGAGCATGCTATGCGATGGCCACTGTAATGTGTTTCATTAGTCACCACACAATTCGAATGAGTCGCTCGGACCACGATCTGGTTGTAGTGCACTACTCGATAGCAACCAAATTATCTCGTAACTAGGATCAGATCAACACGATACGTTTCGTAAACACAGGAAAACTACCCAGGTACCAAGTCGGTACTTACCTAACAAATCGAACCGAGGTATTGAAGTAGATATAATGTTGGCATTTGCTTGGCCAAGCTTGTTCTGGCTGAACTTGGTTGTCAACAAACTGCAACCACTATAGACTATTTTCTTTTCTCGTCAATGGTGCATATTTGGCATTCCTTTCCTGATTCAGCGAAGCACCACACACAGGTATCTTCTCCAAGCCAAGGCTATATTTGCTGGACTCCTGAATGTAGTTTCGGAAAGAGTCGGGAGCGAGTGACCTGCCCACAGATTCTTTTTGTAAGGTTGACTCGGACCTTGGCCTGATGGATCAACATCCTTCACAGGTTGCCAAACCCTCAAATCATTCAACGCGACCATGGCGTTGACCTCTTCACCACGCTCACCCTAGCGACCGTCTAACACCACCTGTCTCATTCGATCCTCTGCTCGTGGTCCAGATGCCGCCGAACAATGAACTCGACGTTACAGGATCCAAAAGCACCGCTAGACGACTCGATTCTTTCTGCACTTCCGAAATGGCTTCATGACTTTCGAACATGAAGGCGCGGGAAATCACCTGTTTCAGGTCGAGAGATCATCCGTTACCACAATCGTATACAAGATGCGCCAATTGTTCGCCCGTCGCCCCCAAGGTTGTATTGTCTGCGCACCCTTACTGACAAGTTAGATTGGCTTGAAATTCGGGAAAATGGCGGCTGCTGTAACTCATCATGATATGTTCATAGTGATAAGTCGCAACAGTAGTCGGGAAAGGCGTAATGACCATGAACCAAGTGCCTGGTCGATTGATATGATAACGGGCTATCTATATCGTTTATCCGACCCTAGAAGTCTTCAGTCTCCTTCCTTACACCATCTGAGTTGTGATCCATTCCAGCAGTTACCGCCAGACCGTCTTGTTAGAAAATTTTTGCAGGAGTTGAAAACTCGCTATTGACATCACCGCAACCGCGAGCATATCTTCCGGGGTACTCATGACTGTCAGCCTTGCCTAAGTAGTCCTTGCACGTCCAATTGCTCCAGATACCTTGCCCGGGCAGTAATGCATTTGTCTTATCTGTAACAAGGTACGTAGGTGTCGTTAATGGCACCGTAGAGACAGACTGGGAAGATTGTTCAGCCGTGATGTGTCAGCTTGCAGAAGCTGTGTACGGTGCGTTAGCCTCTAATTTCGCCGCGAATTCTCTCATTGAGAAACTGGGTGGAGAAGGAAGAAGGGGGTAATTTTCTGATTCAAGCACAGAACGAGGTTACGTTACGATCTAGAGACGGTTGCAGCTGCCAACACAATGCAGAGGTTGGCAAGTGCCGAAGAGCTCTACCTTCGCTATTTACAAACAACCACTTAACTACCTGCTTGACTTGCGCCCATGACTGGATAATTTATTACCAAGGCATGAATTTCGGAGCAATCCGCTCGAGGTTCGCTACACAAGCCCGATGGAAATGCCGGCCTTGTTCATGTGGTTGAAGAGATCATCTATGAAACCGTTCATGTCATCGATCTCGGGGTGATATACTGCTTACATTCGACCGCCGATCTCTATATTCATGTCAGCAATCGAGAAGACAACCGGACCGATGTGTAGTTTGTTGCACATCTTCTGGAATAGCCAGTTAGAGAAGAGAAGGGAGGTGTAAAACTAATAATCTAGGACATCTCTGGATCCATTGAGCAGGCTGACACAAGTTGGATCTATACAAATGTGAGAACCCGTAAGCATAACGTGTGAAGTGGGAAGAACGAATGCGCAGAGGCAATTGATGAATACAAGCAGTCAAGTGTTGGCGTAGGTCCGTTGTCATGAAATAGGTTTGATTTTGTGTATCTGGTTCAGATTGCTCGCTGAATTGCTGCGCAACCACTTCAAGAGAATCACGACATGCTGAATTCAGCAGTCGCCCACTGAAGCCAATAGGAATACAAGCGCAAGTAGTGTTTGACGTATCATTTTCAACATCCCTAGGTTCTATATGTAATGACTGATATGTATCGCATTCGACGTCTGCCTAGCCGTAAATCATTCAAATCGGACGACCTGTATTTTCATTGTCCTGTATAGGATCTCCTCAAACCCTAGCAGCAACCAAGCTCATGTAAATCCCCCAAAGGAGCCCAATCTGAGTACGTAAAATGTCAGTGTATCATTTATTCGTGGGCTCGTTACAGTCGTCTCGGTGATTAAGAGCGACTTGGGGAACACCGTGGCTTGCGTCCCCGAGAACTACCGAAAAAGAGGTGCAATAGGAATTGGTCACTTACAAAGTTCAAGAAGATGAGTCTCTTCTCTACCGGCAAGCAACTAAAACTGACGATAGATGCCAACGGCCATATCTTGAATCCCGCGATTATGAGAGGGATGGTCTCATATCTCACGTTGTGACCGATCTGCGCCGTCGTTTGCCCCTTCATAACACCCATCAACACGAAGAACGCCACAGTATTCAGGACCGCGCCAATGGTGATGCAGTCGATGAACCACTTTGCAAAGGTGTTGCGCCAGTTGAGCTTCAGGGTCTTCTGATCCTGCGGGCTCTGGGGCTGCCGGCTCTCATGCGCCTCCACTTCGACTCTCTTCTCGCTGTCGTCGCCCTTTTCCTTGCGGCCGCTCTCGATATCTCGCAGTGGAAGGCGGCGCTCGTAGGAGGGAAAGCAGTGCTCCAGGTACTGCTGCCATTTGTAGTTGGGCGGCGCGGTGAGGAAGGCGAGCGCGACGAAGCGGAGAAACTGCGCCGGGTCGAAGACGAAAGGGATCTCCTTGCGGTAGGAGTTGAGAATCTGGGCCAAGAAGTTGGAAGTACTGGACAGCGCTGTGGCGGCCAGCGTCACCTTCATTAAGGCTGAAGGCATCTTATCTTGGGCGCTGGTGTTGCGTGCTGGTGTAGACTGAGTAACTGAAGCGGAATCGAGGGTTGGGTTCAATCAGGCGCTCAATAAGCTTTGGAATATGTGCAGGATGAAGTTAAAAGAGAGCTGCGCATCCATCTGCTAATGCATTTTCATGCAGCTTTTACCTTACGAAGTCTACATACGCGAGAACGGGGATTGAGGGATTGGAGGTCGAGTCGCTGACCCCGACGGCTGTTTTGTTTCGTGTTCAGGACAGCTGCGATCAGCGCGGACCTTCCCCATCAAATTCACCAAGGTTTCGAGGTAACAGCATTTGTGGTTCTCCGTACTTGATTCATCCCGCCTCAGGGCTAAGTATTGTGCGAGCATATGCATACACGACACATTAACTTAACCGCTGGCGTAACGATGGCTTGCCCGCGAGTCCGTTCTCTGGCAATGCAACACATGAGTATGATCCCGTTTAGTGTTCGTCGCGTAGTCTAGAACGAAATGCTAAGTTGGCGGGCGGCTACAAGCAATGACGTCGCATTTGACGTGAAGCTACTGTACAGTATCAAAATCAGCGATAAGATAACTGCCCACGAATCAACTCTAACGTTGGGGGCCGTTAGGGGAGGGGAGGGGGGACTCCAGCGGGCTGCCGGCGAAATTGTTCCACATGCGAACGAGGCATCGATTGCATTAGATGCAGTGCCTTGAGCTACAACTCACGACTCAAAATGCCCAGCTCTATGTATTATGACCCTGAATGACCTCGGACATTAGCAAAACATCCTAGCAATTGTCTAGTGGTAGCTGGGGACATCTCGCCGGGACTCAGAATGAGTCATAATGAAGCCCTCAGTTGACCCAAGCCACTGCGGACGACATTGGTTGGGACCATGGCAGACCTGCTCCAGGCTGGGCAGTGTTCCCAGATGACTCCTTAATCCAGCAAGATGATAGAGATTTAACCGAAGTGAGATTTTGCTGAAACCTCTGCTGTGCTCCCACCCTACAGGCTACTAGTTCTGCCTTGCTCAGGACTGCGCCACTGGAGCTGGGCTTGTGAGTCACTGCTGTAGAAGCACCAATCACATTGTACGGCTTCACACTTGGTATGGCATTGCAGGCAAAAGGTGCGACATGATGACTCTCACAACAGTACTCAGCAATGCTCATCCATTGAGCACAGCGATTTTCAGAGTATTCATGTGCTCGGTTGCTATAAAAACACTCTAGCCCAGGCTTCTACGTGGTGCACTAAATATCCATCTTCACCGATCTAGTCATTGCTTCCAAGCCTTGCGCAGTACACGCCCATCCCCTGGATTGCCTCGACCTTAGTTATACGTGTACAAACAGCCCTCTCATCCAAATCCATATAAGTAAATCGCCTATCATGGACGTGATAAGTACAAATCCAACAGGACCAACACCCAGACAACTCAGGCGAGTGGGCAAAGCACTGAGGCCGGCAATCGCGAAAGGTCTCAAGCACAACCTCGATCAACACCCTTATGTTCAATGGCCGCAAATCTGGCAGACCTGTCGCTTTGCACAGCAGAAGCTAAATGCCCGTGTAAACCACAATAACCGACAGAGGAAAGCAACGCAGCACTCCCGACAGTGGGTGATTGATGGCGAGGACGGCGCCGCGCTGGCACGAAGCCATGTCTGGTTGCCAAGCGATGGCTGCCGTCAGAAACCCAAACTTGAGCGGCAAGAAGCCTTCCGAGTCCCCGAAACGGTCTACATGTCTGACATCGTCGAAAGCGATGCAGACCTGTACCGTATGGGACTCTTGTACGACGATGATCATGCCCGAGGTTCCGGCTTCAACCTCAACACCATCGTCCACTCTAACATCGTTTACGAAGTTCGTCCGGCAAGGCGCCCACATAAGAGTCTGTATGCCGGTCACAACCAAGGAGAACCTGATGAGAGAGGTTCCGTGGCCCTTGACCAATTTGTGGCTGCAGCCTTTCAGGCTAGATCAACGGCGGAGAACGCAGCAGAAGCATATTACCCTTCGCCGGCCTCCACACCGCCTCCTGTGGAAGATGAATTCCCGGAAGTACAGCCTCGCGAGGATTCGCATTTAGAGAAAGACGACGATTGCCAGCGCGGTTGGGATTTGCTTGATTCGGATCTGGACACTGTCTCTAATTATACCGAAGATGGTGCAGAAGTTCCTATCGAGGCTTGGATTGTGCTGGGTGAGACTTGAAGCAAGTTCGCCCATGGGGTTCCCGAATGCCCTTGGATCTCGACACGAAAATCGTGGCTTTCATGCTGCGCGGATTGGTCCATATATCCCAGCACCGGTCTCTGGTGGGGGTTCTGGTTATGGCGGCTAAGAAATGAGTTAAGAATTTAGGGCGTTTGCCAGGATAGTTGTGTGCTCGTGGCTTTTCAGTCGCTTGAGCTCACTATCTGTGTATTGTTGACTTGATCTCAGAGCGCTGCATCATCTCTCGGAGTTTTTGGTGCAACAGCACCTCCCCGTGGTAGTGATTCACTACTGATACCCCGGGGTAACATATTTCCTTTTCATACTTGGGTGTTTCTTTACAGTTCCTTTCGCAGAACCAATACATTTATAGCAGTAGTACAAGATATCTTATCGATTCAAACTTTTCGTGCGATAAACAAGTGGTGCAATCAGCTGTGCACAGTTGACGATATTTTCGTCGGTGGCGGGGTTTCCGGCCAAAGTAGAAGCTTTTAGCCGTCGAGAATTGTCTCATAGTAGGCATTAGCATTTGTGAAGCCATTTCAAAATTGAGTAGCTCGTCTCTGACGATATGTCTCAAAGCCCTGCCATAATGACTTGGTGGTCGCTGCTCGCAGCTTGAAGATTCCTGGCGGGCGAGGATGTGCGGGTAGGAGTCCAGTCCCTCAGCGCATTTGATCTCGGTCTGCCCCCGCTCGGGGTCATTGGTCGATCAGGGCTCTTATCAAGCATCATCTCCGTTGTCAGTAAGATAGGTGGCGCCTTGACAGTGTCGTCTCTAGCAGTCTTCTTCCGGGTCATGTCCGTCTTATCAGGCGACCGAGATCGCTGCCGCTTTCCAGTCGGCGCGTCGACGTCCATGGCCGATGATGAGGGGTTCATCCTTGCTCTGATGCCCGCAGAGTTTGGGGTTGAAAGGTGATGTTGAGATCACAGAAAGGGAACGAAAATGAGTTGAAGAAGAGAAAAAGAACAGAAGGGGCGAGAGGCTATGTTCGGTGTTGGTTGCAAGCCTCATAGACCCCTCGAGGCGGGGTGAAGGAGGGGAGCTTTTGTGTGCTGCGCCGTTTCCGGCTTTGTGGACGATTGTGGATCACGAGATTCAAGCGATTGTGGGGCCCCACGGAAGTTGTTGGTTTTGGTGTCTCGAACGTCACGACCTCTGCTTCCTTACCAGCTATAATGAACTTCGTTACGCCTCAATCCTATGAAGTATTGCGATTGCCAATAATACCTTCCGTGTGGCGCCATCACGTTGCCTGAGGTGTGAACCAAGTGGCGGTCCCTAGCTTCGAAATTGACTTGCCACCCGTTGTAGACATGGATCGTCAAAATGCACAAATGCAGGGTATCAAAGAATGAATCGCAAGATATCGTCAGATACAACCCTCTCAACTTTTCTTTAGGACCCAAATGTCATCTTCACCAAGGCCAATATACTAGACCAAAACGTTCGCTGCCGTATCTTTACCCATGCCGCGTAGCGCGTGTTGCAGCCGCCAACGCTCCAGAGTCATGTTCCGCAGCTAGTATACGCAGAGGTCGAGTTATTCCGTCAAGTCCTATCAACCATTCGCCTGTTAATTGCTTATGTAAAACAATGAAAGTGGGCCATATCTCTAAGTAGACATTGAACTTAGGTCTGATTCAGCGGAACCAGATCCCGAGTACGCACCAAGATATGAGATTGATTTCAGGTGCTGATGATACAATATGGCGTACAATGCGTGTCTTCTCAGATATCTTGAATAACCAACTAAGAAAAGGAACGACCACGCGGTCACGGGCAGGGCCCCAAGTAATATTTCCTTACTCGTGGACAGGTATGTTGTGCAAAAGCCCTAGAGCACTTACCCAGCGGAGATCAGACCTTGAATAGCTGTTTCTTTGTACCATAGGTTTTCGGTACTCAGACAAACCTCAGATGAAGTCTCTCAGTTTGATGCTTCTAGGCAAGCAGAAACTTCAGACTTGATGGAGAAGGACGTACATGAGCAGTCACGGTCATGTCCACTTCTGATCTATTTCTTGTCGGTGGAGTGTGTTCATGGACAGAATATCGGCCACAACTTTTATAGGGAACCTCTATAAATGAAGCACGACACATTATCCCAGTGGCATAGTTCGAAAACTAATTGACTGTAAGTATTTCGGCAGCGATTAAGAAAGTTACCGATAACTCACTTTGGACGACTTCTGCTGGTTGAAAGATGTTTGAGTGTTGCATCAATTGTTTATTTATTCCAACCTTAGCGTCGAGAGGTATGATTTGTGCCAACAGGCACAATCTATCGGGCTTTACGGTAGAGCCTGTATCACGAGGAAGAGTGTCGTGGCATGTAGCATGTAGCATGTCGAAGTTTCGCAGTCCTCCATACTGATATGATCAGGTCTCGCTCAATGTCTTCCCCGTTCGTCTTCAGGGTCAAGAAAAGCGTGAAAAGCGCGAAAAGAGTGAAAATCGTCCATTCCGAGCGACAGTCGTGCCAGTCACTACACCCGTTAGATGACCTGGGAGCTGCTCTTGCCTAGTTTTCTTGCATGTACAATGACCAAATTATGGATACAACAAATCAGCGCGTATCGCGTGAAATCTTTTGTAGAACCGCTGCCAGTTGCGTGACCAACTCTGTCTTTGATGTTACTACCGGAATTGATAACCCCGTTGGTCAAGTACGCGTGTACACTACGTGTGTGTTATCAGTATGTGGTGGAGTAGACTGGAGACTGGTAAATGATCCAGGAAGCAGTCCTTGTACATAGCTTTGAGAGAATTCAACCATGTCCGACCCAGGCAATGATGAGCAACTCGTGGAAACATGTCGAATAGATATCAATAACGCCAAATTCCGAGCTTCGAGAACAAGACGCTCGGTATGCGGGAAGACCAGAGGTTTTGGTGTCACCCGGTTATGACGGCCAGAACACTCGACCGGTCCACCGAGCTCTTTCCGATACCAACACCGAGTCTTGGTTCGGCATTCCAAAGTACGGCTTATCATCTCTTGGCATGTGACGATCCGACCTTGCTGGGCATTAATCCCCAGCCTTGACGGATATAATAGGACAGGGACAGAGAGGGATCGACATCAACTACCGGGACTACGTTCAATAGATAACAATAGACGTAAGCTAGTGGGTCGGCGGGTCTAATAGTCTATGGATCCATATATCAATGATAAACCAAAGAACCCACAAAGTTCCAACAGGTTGGCACTCACAACGTGGGCCGGCAACCTCATGGTGCCACGTTCTACCTTGTGCATTAATGCCTATGTGTTTGCTGCATTTGGTACCGCTGTGATTGACTGTGTGGTCGACTAGTTATTCTTTAAGGGGCTAGGGTCGTCCCTAACACTGTTGCGAATGGCAATTGTAAGAACATTTAGTCAGTAAAAGTCCTATACGACACTTGAAATAATGTTGTTTGGGAAATCTGCAGTCTGACTGGCTGTTACAGCCTTATCCGTATTCCTTGGTCCACTAAATCTTGACAGGATGACAAGGCTGTAACTTGTTCACACAGAACAAAAACGAGAAGCCTCGAAAGTATGCAGTTCGGTGGATTCAATGAGAACTAGCATCTTTTAGGAGCCAAGTCGCGGTTCATATGATGGCCAGGTAATCATATCCACTGCAGGGCATGCGTACTGTATACAAGAGTCGGTGTGTGATGACCACGGCTCGTTCTGTGGTTCTGTCAGTGATCCAAAACATAGATCACATTCTTATCTCAGCACTGCAGATGTTTGCATGTACACAAAAGTACGGCTTGAGGCTCAAGTGCTTTGACGACAGATGTGGTGATGATCGTCATACACTACTTTTTCGTTCGTATATTCGTTATCGCACTGAACTGAGTACGGTAAGGTTAGATTTAATGGATAGCAGCAAAGATACCCCTGCCTGAGTGATCACGATTCACGATCTCGTGATGCGCACCACATCGTCATTCCCAGCTTAGAAACCTTCAGAATCCCAAATTTCCGTCTCAGCTGGATGTCAGATTCAGCCTGTGTTGCTGTCAGCCTGCAATCCAACGTTATGAAGTAAGTGGCTTGTTCGCTCATTAAGCGGGGCTGAATAATCGAGGCGATGCGACCTCAACGCCGAGAGAACCATTCCGGAGGGCGGCCATGTGAGCAGAAACAAGCGACACGCAGACGCTTAGAATAGGTCCGTATGATTGCGGAAACCTCGGTTTCAACCAAAGGCTGCTTGACATGGTGGTAGAGACACCATATCACCCTGCAACAAGATATACGAGCTGCGCCAAGCTGATGCGACAGTAATTCTTTCAATAGATAGCATGCAGCTCCAGCACCTCCAACATAAATGCGCACACGCATAGGCATGCGACTGGTCTTATTCGCATCTTGACCTTATCTTCTGCAAGCCACTGGAACTTCCGGACTTGTTTTAGGCTTGGCGAAATGACATGATTGAGACTCACAGCCACCGCCGCCCTTTCCGCAGGTTCATCATAACCGACAACCTTATTTTGGTGTGGGTCCGGTACCTTGCATAAGTTGTCGGCCTGATGATGCCCGTAGCGAGGTTCGGCGTGGTTGGGCGAAGTGTAATAGCGTCAATCCTCACATGTTGGTGAGAATGCTGATGGTGAGGGCTCTAAGCGGAGCGGCTTCATTTTATCGAATCTTGGCAGTCTCTGAGCGGCAAGTGATAGTCATGTCCTCTGAATTACTTTGCGGACATGACAGCCCAAGGCCCCGCGGAAGCGCACGCATGTGACAGTTCCAAAGCGGCTTTCTCCGTGGGTTTAAGGTGAAGATCAATCTGGAATCCAATGCACCGGTTCCTGACGATCATTTTCAGTCCCGATTTCCGGCATGGCAAGCAATCGGCAACGGCTATCCCTCCCAGCCTTCCTGTTTCACGAGCGCATACAGTCCCGAAGAGACTAGGGCTGTGCCAGAAACGTGAAAAGGCCACATTAAAGTTGCACCAAGCAATCAGACTGTCTCACTGTTGCGACCTATATACCGCATAATAATGCTGAAGATGCTGAGGCGAGCTGCCACAACGCCAAGCCGAAATTTTCGTTTCCGCCAAGACCGCAGATCTTGCCCCCAACAGCTCCATCGGCCCAGTTTATCGTGCAGACACAGTCTACAGGTCAATCAGTCCAGTTTATCGTGCAGACGCCTGCAATCACGCGCGATGCATGATAGACGAGGTGGTCAGACGGAATATCAGTCCGCCTTGGAATGTTCGACTACTACTCTGACTGCATTGCATCTGCATGCCTCACGGCGAGCTGCCTGCAAAAATGTGTAACCAAACAAAGGAAGAATGGCGCATTGCAACTTCTAGTTTAATGGAAGTAATTTGAGCGACCGCGCTGAATACATACCTGTGTTGCAATATTATATGTACTGTAACCCCATGTAGTCCCCCCACGTTGCTGCCCCATACTGTATGTAGTCATATAAGAAATGCGAAACCGATTATATCCAAGTCGGCGACCAATTGAGAATGGTGAAGCGAAGAGCCTATGCGCCAAGATCGAAATCGGGAATAAATCTAGCTGGCTAGTTAAGCTTAAGGAACGTCAACGATCCGAGAGTACTACTGGTTCGTGGGCACGAGCTAGAGAATAGTGGCTTGAAAAGTCCCTAACGTCGGCAATCATGAATCAATATGCCGTAGATGCTGACTCGGCGACTTTTTCGTCAAGCCCGCTAGACACATTTGGAAAATTTTCTCCCGAAGATGACAAGCGGCACACTATGTACGAGCCAAGAATACTCCGTACCGCACGAACTACTATGGTACACATGTCAGCGCAAAGACAACGGGGCTGCCAAGATGTCATGACCACTACCCAACCTTAGTGAGAAGACGGTTGCAATCCGAATGCAAGCACTGCGGATCTACGTCAGAGGCGTCCCTGTGTAAGCTCTTGCATTCGCTCTTGTGTTTTCTCTTGCTCGATCTTTGCATCTTCCATTATGTAACAAGACTTTGTGCATCTCTTGAACAGATGGCCCGGGTGAGCAAGCTTTACCGCCAAGATCGTATAGAATGCCTGCGACTAGTTCACTAGAGGGCCGATCTCCCGCGGCCCGCCGTTGAAACATTACCTAACCTTAGGGGCTTGGTCTTTAAGCTTAGGCTGGACATATCGATGTCAGCTACTCTGTGGCGTGAGTTCGGCGGGACGCTTCACGGTATGGTCTTGTCCAATTTTTCATCATGAATCGGATCGGACGAAGATACAGCGAACCTATGGCTGGCAGCATGTCCGAAAGTATGCAACCCCACGTGGATTTCTTGGGTTCCTTTCGCTTACCTTTTCAAAGTCAATTGCGCCAACGGTCACGCAAGACGAAAGCCACGGAACAATTATTTGCACACGCATAACAAGCATTGACGATTGAACCAATCACAATGCTCGGAAACAATGCAGGATCGGAACAACCAGCCTGGGTCCGCTGCAACGTTATAGAAGAATTTAATTTTATTCTACAGGACGGGATTCATGTCTTCTCTGTTCGTTTACCGCGACTCAGATTACCTTACTTGAAGCAGAAGGTGGAGCTAGACGACCAACATTTCCTGGGATTGCTGTCGATAACACCATTGCCCCTAAGCATTTCTCTCGCCAATGATCTTGGCATGCACACACCGTCATCGAGTATGTGCAATTGGCGTTGCAACCTGATTGCAGATCGGTTACAGAAACGAACAGTCCACTCCATTCATAGTACGCGCTTTGCATCTGCACCAGCAAGGGATGCCGGCCGTGCGCTGAGATAATGACACAGATAGTGAGTGGAACGGCGAGTGCTGCACGTCGACAAATGCCAAGTCTGGCAGTTCTTGCTAGCCCAGTGGGGCATCGCGGAGATGGCAATCTAGTCTTGCAACTGCGAAATCGCCAATCACATCCTGGGACTACCGCCGGATAGGGCATCTTTCGGTTTCTACCTTCTCGACGGGGCACAATGCCGATGAACGGCCGCTCTGGCTCCAGTTTACATAGTTTATCACAATGTACTCTAGAACATAAGCGTGAAGCTTCTGCCAGTGGATACCACCGAAGATTGTACACGGTAAAGGAAGGAGAAGCCGTTATGGTGTAGGGTAGTCCCCCTGATCAGTGATAAGCCTGCCGGGAGTCATTGTTAGCGAAGACTATGAGCCGTTATGGGGGTGCGGGTACTATCAAGTAACACGAAAGGTAGTGTGTCATTGGGAGGAGAATCCGAGATAATGTCCAGGTAACATGTACCATCTGCAGGGTGGACATATAAACGTGTGATGCCAAACCTTATCGACAGGTTGGCTAGGTCGTGAAGTTACTTTAGTATATAGGGCAGCTGTGACAAACTCATTCTGCTAGACTGGCTTTGATTCCTATCGCTTAACTCTTCCAAGCCGGTCACCGACCGAAGACCCTTCCAAAGAGAAATAGTTGGGGAATCCCGACTTGGCGTTCACAATGGCTTCTTGTCAACTTCATGCCAAGTCCATCGTGGACTTCCTTCCGGACCTCCCGACTCCTGCCATCTACGGTAGCTCTGTTGGTGATTTTATCACACATCGCCAACTCAAACAATATGTCGAAGGGTTTCGCCTCCCTTCGACGCGGTCCACGAGGAAAGAGGTCGTAGCCGTAGCGCTCCCAAATGGCCCTCTATTAGCAGCAACCATCATCGCAGTATCTACATACTATACTGCTGCCCCTGTAACTCCAGCTGTGGGAGTTGAGCAGTTCAAGGCAGATGTACTCCAGGCCGGAGCCACAATCGTGTTGACAACGACGGAGGACTATGAGAAACTAGCACTGGGAGAGCAATGGGTCTCGGACGCAAATATTAAAGTATGTCTGGCGCGGATAGAGTCGAATATGAGCATCACAGTCACAGACGTTTCGGGGGCCAGCTTAGCTGTCTTGGACACCCCTACGCCAAGTGGCTCAAAGGATACGTGTATTCAGCTTTTCACAAGTGGCACATCAGGAAACAAGAAGCTCGTGCCGATATCAATAGGGGCAGCTATCAGCGGAGCTCAGATGGTCATTGCATCCTGGGGGTTGACGCCCCAAGAGACGTGCCTGAATATGATGCCGTTACACCACGTGTAAGTCAATTTATTTCCCCGCCTGCAACGATAACTGACCATCGTTCAGGGGAGGCCTTGTACGAAACGTTTTCGCGCCGATCTTTGCTGGCGGCTCAACAATTTGCTGCTCGGCATTTGATCCCGGCCTCTTTTGGGACCTGGTTGATCAAGAGCTGCCGACTTGGTATTACGCTTCGCCAACAATGCACTCGTTGATCTTGAACGAGGGTATTCATCGGAAAGCAGATATGAGTAAAAGTAAAATCCGACTCATCTGCAACGCGGCAGGTGGCCTGCTGCCTGCCCTTGCTGAGCAATTACGAGACACCTTCAAATGCACCGTGTTGCCAAGTTACGGTATGACTGAGTAAGTAGTCCCTGCTGAAACGTTACACAGGCACGGAACTGACTGGATATTTTAGATGTATGCCTATTTCGACTCCACCATTAGATTATAAGTTGGATCGTGAGGGTACTTCGGGAATCTCAGTCGGTCCAGAAATGACCATCCTCGACGGTGCCAACAACACGGTGGCTCCCAACGTTATAGGCCGTATCAGTGTTCGTGGCTCGCCAGTTTTTGATGGTTACTTAAGACCTGATGGCACCCTGGACAGATCAGCTTTCAATGAGGAAGGTTGGTTTGACACCGGTGATCTGGGTTACATGGACCAGGATGGCTTCCTCTACATTACTGGTCGCTCCAAAGAAGTGATCAATCGCGGTGGCGAGATCATCTCGCCCTTTGAAGTTGAGAACGCCATTGTTTCTGCTGCAGCTGACCCTGACAGCCCCATTTTCGAGCGAGTCACTCAGGCGTTAGCGTTTGGACTTTCTCACGACGTACTGCAGGAAGTCGTCGCCATCGTGCTGGTCACGCCCAAGGATAAGCCGAGAGTCGACATTCGTCTGCTTCACGTGGCCCTGCGATCTCTTCTGCAGCAAGCCAAATGGCCGACTATGGTCGTCTATATGGACGATGTGCCCAAAAGGAACAATAAGGTCCTACGAACCAACCTAGCCAAGCGACTCAGCTTGCCAGAGCAGACTGGAAGCACATCTTTTGTAGAGAAGCATTGGGAAGCAGTATGTCCCCCCGTCGATGCACCATTGTCGGAGTCCATCCCAGCGACGAAGTGTCTTCTTGACCCAGCGCAACTACAAGAAGTCGCCAGCAAGATTATGCCAACTCTTCTCGAGGCATATGTGGATATTTCTTCCCATGACGGACGACTGGAGATGTTTCTTGCACCAAGATCGGCAACGGAGGTATCCAAGGAATTCGGTGCGGCGTCTTGTCTCGATCTCAAGAAGCTACTGCCATCGCGAACACACAATTACAACATCCCCGAACGAATACAATACTTAGAACAGCCGATGCCATTCTGTGGATGTGGTACCGTCGACAAGAAGGCTCTCCGCGCGATTGCAGAGGAGCAGCTCAACAGCGCTGATAACGCAGGCGCTACCAACTTAGATGAGGCGGTAGTTCAGATCATGGCAAAGGTGCTCTCGAGAAGTTCTGCAGAGATTGAGGTTACAACAGATTTCTTCTCAATCGGTGGCGATTCCATCCTTGCTGGCCGACTTTTATCGATGATCCGAGGCGAGTTCAGAGTATCCGTGCCAATTGAATTTGTATTCAACCACGGATCGGCTCGCGAGATTGCCAAATACCTGGAGCAGGAGGGCGCCTCTGTAAGCGGATCAGACACGAGCTCCATGGACGAAAAAGACGTTCATTTCTGTGAAAAGCAGTATTCCTCGACGAGGTTGTCTCTGATGTTCCTTCAACTGGTCCCCATGACCGTCTTATACCCCATGCGCCGTGCGCTCCAGTGGACCTTCTTTTTGTGCATTCTCAGCTCTACCTTGAATTGGGTTACCAATCAGTCCGTTCTAGGACGACTTCTCATACTCATACTCAGTATTGCCGCCTCTAAGGTGTTCATTAGCCTTGTTTCGCCATGGGTTGGCATTCTTACTAAATGGGTCATTATCGGACGGTACCAGGCGGGTTATTATCCCATGTGGGGATCTTATCACACGCGATGGTGGTTGGTGCAAAAAATCACAGATATCACGGGAATGGGTTTCTTTGGCTGGTCAGACTGGAGCAAGTGTCTCTACTACCGGATGATGGGCGCAAAGATCGGCAAGAACGTCACCCTTGGAGGCGCTCGTACCGGCGAATGGGATCTCATCAGCATTGGGGACGGCGCGGTTCTTGAGCATTGCACTATCCGCCCATTCGCCGGCGAGCGGAATACAACTATGTACCTCGGACCGATCACAATTGGTCGCAATGTTGTGATCAACAAGGCCTCAATAGTTGCGCCCGGCTGTACTGTTCCCGACAACACCTGTATCGGTCCTAACTCATCTGCGTGGGAGTTGGAGGACGCCGACGAGAGCTTCCGCGATTCGCCGGCGTCGAAAGTGCCAGGGGCACACTGGGCGATGACACTCTTCTTCACAATGCCGCTTGCTTTCGCTAGCTACGTTCTATCAATGGTGCCGTGGGCTCTTGGTCTGCTCGGTCTCGTCATGTCACAGCCAATCGAAACAACCAACCCTATCCGCAGTGTCATCCACTGGTTTGCATCTAGTGGCAGAGTTGGCTACCATTACCTTGCGCTGGTTCTCAGGTCCACCTTCAGTCCCTTCTTCGTCTTTGCTTTCGCGGTAGCTGTCCGTCTATTACTCGACGTGTGGTTTGGCAAAATGTCACCCGGCCCGGCGGCCTCAAGAAGCCAAATCGATCGGTGGCGGATGGCTCTCATGAAGAAGCTCATGTCGGTTGCGCAACTACACAAGATGACTGAGATCTTTGGACAGCACTACGAAGGAACTTCAGTTGCTGTGAGACTGCTAGGCGGCAAGGTTGGAAAGCGAGTATATTGGCCGGGCACTGGTCCATCAATCGGCGACTATCATCTCATCGACGTTGGCAACGATGTCGTCTTTGGCTCGCGTTCCCACCTTGTCACATCGGACGCCATCAGCTCGGAAAAGGTCAAGATCGATGATAACGCCATGATCGCCGACCGAGTGTGCTTGTTACCCGGCGTCACCATCGGAAAGAAGACCGTCATGGGCTCTGGTGCTCTTTCAAGACGCGGAAAATCATACGAGGACGACACTACGTGGGTCGGCTCTCGTGGGGGCGATGCAATTCATCTAGCTCGGCCGCGTCCAAAGCAAGCTGACCCAGAGAAACTCTGCGTTGACACTGCTTTCAGTGAGAAGCCCCAGGATAAGCGTATGAAGGTGGTGATAGATGAAATGAGCCCGGGCGGGGCCAGCTCAAGCTCATCAATAACTTTGGTATCCACACCCCCTATGTCGCCAATGATTCTCAGCCCCAAGGCCAGTAGCCACCATCTGGTGATGGGAGCAATTCATCCTGCGGCCAATCTGTCCGCCAAATCCAGCCAACAAGTTTTATATGAGAAAGAGCTGCCAAAGCCGGAAGAACAAAACCTGAGCCCCTTCGGCCGCGCCTTCTACCTGAAGAAAGCGCCTTACTGGGTTATGGGCCAGTTTGTCATCTTCCTCTACTCGACCTTCATCACCGCTTTCACTGCCGCCTTGTGGAATGTTCCCTTCATTTTGTCGATTCAGATCATTTACTGGATCAACTTCGATGCATACCTCGGGTATGGTTTCTGGATGGATGCGCTTCACATTTGGGGATTCATGACCGCGGCCATCGCTATAATTACTTCTGCAATCGCCTTGTTCGCCATCCTTCTTGTCATTATTGCGAAATGGGCAATAATTGGCCACCGAAAACCCGGCAATTATGACTGGGATAAGAGCAGCTATTGCCAACGCTGGCAGCTCTTCCTTTCTATTGAGAAGATCCGACGCCAATGTTACCGTGGACACGGTATTCTCGGCATGCTCACCGGCACCCACTGGATCGTTATGTACTTCCGCGCGCTGGGCGCAAATATCGGAAAGGATTGTGCATTGTTCGTCAATGGAGCGCCGAGCCTCATGTTTACCGAACCTGATTTGCTGACGATGGGAGACCGATGTGTTGTAGATGATGCATCTCTTGTTGGCCACATCAATAGCCGTGGTACCTTCGACCTCAACGAGCTACACGTTGGCGACAGGTGTGTCTTGAGGACTGGAAGCAGACTGCTGTCCGGTGCCAGCATGCAGAACGATAGCTGCTTGATGGAGCATACGCTCGTCATGGGTGGCGATGTCGTGGATGAGAGATCGACGTTGCAAGGATGGCCGGCCAGAGTGTTTAAAGGCGACACTGCCGGCAACACGGTCCAATAAAGAAGATGATGATCTTTTCTTAGTCGGAACTAATGATGATAAAAAATCTCATTATCCATGTATATATGGATTGCATGAATATCAAACTTGTACCTCAAAACGTTTTCAGCCTCCGTTCGTGTTACACCTGAATTCGTCATGCATGACTACAGTACCCGTGATTACTCTTCGCGCCCAGTCTCTGGTTTTCTGAAACTGATTTGAAGCATGCTTGATCGTGTTTCGCGGTCGTTTGATGTCAATTTGCAGATCTCACTAAACTACACCATCGCTGCAATGATCGTACGTTCTTCGCAGCCTTGATATATATCGCTTGAGTTAGTAGATAGGATTAGTATGGTTAAGTAGCTAGATCCGGCTTCTTTTGCGAAATCGTAGCTCACATATTTTGCACATAGTGCACGGGAGGTCGTGCGGAAATGCCCCAAACTCAGACTTGTCAAAGTTGTCTGACTCGTGCAAGGAGTCTCCAGTAAATGACAATGTCTCACTTTGCGGAGGTAAGCCCGGGATGCGTAAACAGGCTGCAGGCTGGCAGGCATCTCTGACAGAATCCGGCCATCGATTCGTACTAATTTGCTAATATCTAGAGGCAAACCTTTGGGACGCGGTTGTGTTATCATAACAAATGGTGCCCGGGTATTCGGATCCGATTCTTTCTGTACGTCAGACGTGTGTTGTGGAGGCCCACGAGGAATACAGTATCTTCCTATCGAGGCTGTCCTAGAAAACAGGCCCGTCGATCACCAATGAAGTTGTCAGGCCATTTCTTGTACCAGCTGATCACGACAGCCAAGTCAGTCCGCTCATCAGTACGGCACATGATTGATCTCCTTTTGAAATTCTCCTGATTCGAGGTTGTTCAATTGTAGAGTGGGGATACTATAATAGTGTAATATGTTGATTTACGCTAAGCCCTGGGCGAATTAGTGGACAACAGACGTTCGAGACTGAGGAGTCTCCATCTGAACTCGGAATCGATGCAAATGGAAGTCATCGATTCAGAAGGATACAAGAGCTACCACGCTGCCAATCTCCATTTCCAAGCTTTTTAGACCGTAAAGGACCGAAGGATGGAGATTTTCTCTCTCGCGCTCCAGGGGAAGAAGATCTACCCGAGAACTAAGGCAGGCTAAGCCTGCTAGGAAGCCCGGCTGATACTCACTATTCTGAGCCGGCCCTTCAGCCCAGTGGATGCTCCCAGTCGCCTGCACCTATAGGTAAAGGCTGTCATAAAATATCGCCAGAAGGTGGTAAAACTTCCGGGTGAGTACATGCTCTATTAGTATGGGGTTCGTCCAGGGATCTCCTAATGATATCTGGACCCTTGCATGACCAAACAGGCTACGGAAGAGCCAAATGAAAAGCTGCAGAGCGCCCACCCACGCGAGGTTCACTATGCCGCTGTCAGTGGCTCTCGTCTTTCTAGAAACGATCTATTCACCTGTAGTAAGTTGTATCTGATAGTAGCCATGTCTGCTGAGACACCCTTCCAAGCAGAGGGATGGGTTGAGTATACCCTCGGGGTCGTCATCCTGCTGCTCCGAATCTATGCTAGATGGAAAACTGTAGGCTTCAAGAACAGCTGGAAGGGAGACGACATATTTTCTCTGATTGCGCTTGTTCTTTGGACTGTTAGTGTTTCTGTGCTTGACCACTTAACCTTTGCAGCTGACCCCGATTCCCTTAGATGGACATCACCGTCGTCACAATAGTTGGTAAAGACTCCCCGTTGCACCGAAACGAACCGGACGAAATGATGGAAAACCTCTTATCTGACTCCAAAATAGGCAGATATGACACAAACATAGGTGTCACTAAAGAACAAGCGGCGGCAATGAGTCCAGAGGAAATAAGCAGGCGAGAGTTTGGCTCCAAGTGGTTGTTCACCGGCTGGAACACTTATGTCTCTCTCATATGGGCTCTGAAGGGTTGTATGCTGTGTTTCTTCAACCGCGTCACGTTAGTTACTCGCGCCCGGCTGTGAATCGTATGATACTGTATACTGACAAATAATAGCCTTGGTCTCAGCCAGCAGAAGATCGTGAAATGGGCAGGCATTGGTTGCGTCACAACCTACCTCATCATGTTCATAATCATATACACTCAGTGCCTGCCGGTAACCGATAATTGGAGAGTATCTCCTATTCCAGGATGTGAGTCAATAAGGAAGCTGCACTTTGGGGCTAACTTAACATTGATCATCACCAGATAATTGTTCCGTCAAGACCGCGAATTATATAGCTGTCGCAGTCCTGAATATCACGTAAGTACTCTGGACGAAGTGTTGAACAGCGCAATTCTAAATCGTCGCTAATTCTCTACAGCACGGATATGGTGATTGTGGCCATCCCAATTCCACTTCTTTTTGCTGTGAAGTTAACGATAATGCGAAAGCTTGCGATTGGAGCTCTGTTATGCTCGGGTGTGTTCGTTATGGTGGCAACTCTTCTGAGATGCGTGCTTTCGCTCCAAAATGTCGAAGCCATCAACACGTGTACTATCTGGGCAATCCGCGAAACCGTAGGTCCATCTGTGCCCCCTCACGCCTCGGCAGCGCAACCGGTCATCTTTGGCTTGTATCACAGTCCACTCACAGAATTTTTCACACAGTTCGTCGCGATCATCGCCGTAAACGCCGCGGCCATCAAACCGCTCTTCTCCAGCAAGCGATGGATAAAATCGACCTCGAAGGACGGAACCGGCAGCAATACACCTGGGTACAAGGGGAGCAACACCTACGCGCTCTCTGGAAAGAGCAAGACGTCGAACATCAGAAGCGCTCTACCATTTCATACCACTAAAGTGGGTACTCAAATACTCAGCTCGAGTGAGGAGGACATCGTGAGCGGCAAGACGACATATAGTCAAACATCGGGGACCTCAAGCATCAACATGGACGACGGCCGCGGGCGGCGCGAAAGCGAAGGCGGCATCGTAGTCACGACGACATACCAGGTCAAGGAAGACGGGAAGGATTTGGAGTCACAAGAGTCGAAAGGAAAGTGGTGACGGCGCAACTGTATTATGCAACTTTCTTTAAGACGATGTAGGTTCGTGTGGCTTCACTGGATGTCGTCATCGCCTAGGCTGCAGCAACTCTTGTCAGAGGCTTTTCTTTTATAACAATACAACTTACATTTATCTCGAGAACTTGCTCCTACCGTTTCACAACTAGCAAAGGCATTCAAATCCGATTTTTTGCATGAATTAATTGAGTGGCTTATGTGACAATGATGTATCTATAATAACACTTTGAAACGACTGTAAACTCCCAAGCAAGTGCTCTTTGCGCCACCGGTACATGATCAAACCTCCAGGATATCATGATGCTTGACATAGAAAAGCCCAATGCTAGTATGCGGTAGTGTCGATCCGCCATAGAATAATGCTGATTAAAAGGAAATAACTGCCTGATTGGCAGTAAGGGCTCATACGCCATACAATGCTGTTGTAAGGAAATATCACTGCTCGTCGCAGCAGAGTTTTCATCGACCGCCAAAAATCCATTCGTTATACCTCAATCACGTCGTGCACCTTAGTTGACTATATGTAAGAACTTTTCCTGGAATGTTGCTGCCGCGCTGCAAACAGCTTTTGTCGTGATGAAAATGTCGTGTCTGTAAACCCAGCCGTGTCTATGCGCCTTCTTTTTTGGTGGGTAGGTGTCGTAAGTTGTGTATTTGAGCTGGAAAATGAATATGAGCGGCCGCTGGACGATGGAGTTGGCGGCAGAGAGCCGTCGAAGGAAAGTGTGGGTGAGTGGCCCCAGCTCTGAGAATGGCTATAGGAAGGCCTGGTGTACAGGGGCCCGACAGGCTCTATCTCCACGGACTCGATATGTGACCAACTGAGTGTCGGTTCTGGGTGTGCATCTTCCAATGCCAGCTGTGCCTGTTCTGTGCGGCTTTCCAATTCGTTGAAGCGCTCTTCCCAAGCGACGGTCAGTTCTCGTATTCTCTCATTATTAGGTAATGTTTTGACATGTTTCTGCAGCTTCTCGATCGCGTCGACTCCGCGACCGGCGTCGTGTGAGAGCAGCGTGACCTGACCTTCAGCCACATTAAGGTTATCCTCAACAGCTTCCATGCGTTGGCTGAGAGCTTTGGTCCTGCTATCAATTACTCTGGAGCTGTCATCGATCGCCTCTATCCTTTGGCCAGTAGCACGCGTCTTCTTTTCTAGCGCCTGAACACTGTTTTCGACGGCCTCAAGGCGGGAATTAAGAGTCCTGTGCGTAACATGGGCAGCTTCTTGGTCCAACTGCTTCCCATCAATAATCCGTACTCCTTCCTCCAATATCTCCATCCGCTGACTGATCGCCGTGTGCAAGTCGTCGATGGCCTCCTGGTCCAACTTGATCCTGGACTCAAGAGCCTCCAGCCTTTGATTGACGCGTCGCCTTATGGTCTCTTCAATAGCCTCAATGCGATTGCTCAGAATCTTTTCGAAATCTTGCTGGATGGTTTCGATGCGTTCGCTGAAAGTCTTCTCAAAGCTCTCTTCCATGGCCTCGGTGCGTTCACTCAAAACCTTCTCAAAGGTTTCCTGGGTGGCCTCAGTACTGTCGATGAGCGACTTCCCAAATTTGTCCTGGGTGAGCTCGGTGTGGTCTTGCAGCGCCTTCTCAAACCCATTCTGGATGGACGCAGTGTGGTCGTTGAGTATCTGCTCCAAACTGCCGTGGGTGGCTTCAATACGACCTTGTACTGTCTTCTCCAGGCTCTCCTCCAGGGTCCTGAGCTGTGCGCTCAGGCTGTCTCGCAGGTTGTTGAGGACTGTGTCGTTGTGCTGCTGGGTTTCCTTGTGCTCAGCGTGAGCCTCGTCCAGCTGTTTCTGAAGGCGTCCTATATGCTCGTCGAATGAGTTTCGTACTGCCTCAATAGAAGCTTCCTCCTTCTGCTCAGCTTCAACGCGCGCATCCTGGTCCTTGTGAAGTCGAACTTCCAGATTTATAATGCGCTCAGCCAGCGTTCTTTGGATTCGTTCTTCGAAAGCGATGCTGCGCTCATCCACCACGGCAAGCACGTTCTCACGGATGACCTCGTCATCGTTGCGCTTTGCGGTGGCGACGAGTTGCGCCGTCGACGAGGCTCTCGCGCGGCGGCGCCTGCGCACCAGATACCAGGTAACCAGAAGCCAGACAGTGGCCAAGATGATGACAGCAAGCGTTGCCTGGGCTACGACTTGTTCTGATACCAGCGCATCCAACAGACCTGCGCGGGTGTCGAGCGCGTCTGATACTACCGCGTCTGGAGCCACATCAGGCGGCAGATCAGCAATGGCGGAGGCTGGCGCGTCGGACGCCGTCGTCACCGACCGCCCTTTCGGCTCCGGGGGCTTAACATTGGGAAAAGCCGACGACAATAGACTTTGCAACAAACCCGACATAACCTTTTGGTGTGTATATCGTACCAATAGTATCAATCAATAGATAGTTTGAAGAACCAATACTCGCGAAGAGAGCAAATCGCTCGAATGCAACGGGAAATTGTGCTGGCCTTTGTGCGACTGGTGGCATGAGGGCCACGAAATTTGACAGCCGAGATAACGCGTGGGGCGTTCTCATCCTCGTTGTGGGTTACATTGCACGGATCGTCACCGCCAATCTGCATTGAGTCTATGGTGGGCCTGTCCATTGCGCTCATTTGAGCCATGTCATCCTTCGAATAGCTCAGGAGTCTGCCACTAGAAAACCTCACCGCCGCAGAACACCTCTGAAGCTAGCTGTAATTGACATCGTGAGTGCGCTGGCGGTTGAGCTGAGCGATGCTTAGAGTAAGGCCAGATCTGAGTTGGCACCAACAGCGTTTTCAACGGGCGTTTTTAATGCAGTCTATTTTAAAGTTGGAGGGTCGCTAGTCCTAGTGGTGGTACAAGCAGAATGTACAAGACCCAATGGCACGGCATGGAATTCTACTCGACGGCGGGTTTTCTGACGGCCACACCTTTTTTGACAGCTTCACTATGGGCCGTGCCGCAGTCATTGTTTGGCTCAGTCCTGTCGACTCCCCGTGCATTACGCAATGTGTTCCTGCGTCAGGGTCTTCGGAGGGTCACGCAGTTCGCGATGCGCACAAGTCGTCTGTGCCTTACAGTAGGTAGCTTCCTTTCCCCCTTCTCAATATCGCCATTCTCGTCTCCATTCCCGTCTCCATTCTTCTCCAGACCAGCCTGGATATCATGGCTCGTGCCCTTACAGCACAGCCCCCAGGTCGGACTCTCGGAAGCAGCGAGCCAGAGAGCCAGATGGCAAGCCTCGTGCCTCGGGGGGCCTGTGATTCCTCAAGAAATCAAAAATAATTTTCTTTATTGACAGAACTTAAGAAAACCCTGCGCGTCGCGTCATGCGTTCACCCCCGTGAAAGCCCACAGCTCCACACTCGCGATCATTTAAATCGTGTTTTAATGCCACACAAGATCCACATGAAGCTGTCTTGCAAAGACGGGGGCCATGGAGTTCCCTATCTCACCCTTCAAGCCAGACACGACACTAAAGACGATCTGGTCTAGTTAAATGAGACGCAGCAGACGAACCACTGCAAGTCATTTTCGTGCCGCCCTTACCATCCTGACGACAAAGAATACTGACGTGATCGGAAGTCGAGTTTGTGATACACTTCTGAGCCGCATAAATAACAGCACAAATCGTGGTTCAGTTGGTGGAGCTGGCGGCGACTGGCGTAACAATTCTACAGTACGGCTTTGCAATCACCACGGGCGCTACGCTACGTGACGTGGTTGTAGTAATGTAGTCCACATGCCTAGATATATTATGCTACATGGATGACCGAAAGAGGGTGTGCCTCACTAGCATTACCAAGAAACGAAAAGAGCCATCCCGCGTTATTCCCCAGTTTACAGTTCGTTGCCGTTGCCGCCGCCGCTACATTACTCTGCGCAGCAACGACGAAAGAAGTCTCAAGAAAGAAAAGTTGCTGGAACTTGCCCGAGTTGCGAGCCACTTCTCGGACTAATCAAATATGTACGAGTTCCCCATGTTACACCAACGATTCTACGACATGGGATGAGAATCGGATTGGATTTATCGGCGCCCAGAGCCACAGTAACTGAATGAATGCCAGTTTCTACAATCAGAAGGCTCTCATATCTTTCATTTTGCCCTCTCCTTTCTCTGCCTGTTGAACCCCCAAATTTTCTCGGCTTGAAGGTCATATCTTCCCTCTCAAAGGATTCGTCATGATCTGTTGAGTCTCTCTGAAACATGACCAGAAGCGGCCATGGTCGGCGCAGAGTCGTATCTTAGCTTCTGCATGACTTCTCTTGCAGAGTTTCTGACAAGAAGCAGAATCATTTTCATATGACGAAGGAATGCGGCATTGGTCGTTCTTGTCATCAAGGACGTTGGGATCACTTGGTAGATAAGGTCGCATACTTACTCCAAGTTCTCTAAGCTTTCCAATTTGTCGGACGAACTGCTGCCAAGTCTGTGACGCCAAAGGATTTGTTCTATTGCAAAGTATTGGGGATCCGTGGGTTCACTCTTTTGAGATGACAATCTCTAGTAGCAACGGCCGCGGTCAGTGATGCCCGGCAATTCTATGACCCGCAAAACCTTCGATCGAAGTAAATCACAATGCCATATTCACATTTTCATTTTCCTCTCCGATACGAACTATATCGTTCGGGGGCTCAAAGAACAGATACAAGCTGATATGGGTTTCTTACCAGCTCCACTCTCGCTTATTATCATTTCCGGTACCAAGTTCTGTAGTCACTAAGATCCAACACCGAACGATTAGGGAGACAAATCCAGTGTGCATGTGTGTCGCCTTTATTAGCGAAACTCCTTCCTCACGCAAGGTTCAAGACATTGCTACTGGCTCAGTATCATAGGTGATGTTTGGCACGTTGGTTCATGACCGCTGCCCGGCACTTGGAGTATTGCGGAGATGCAAATCAAAACCCTGAACGACGAGGCAACAGACGCAAGATTTGTACATTGCCGCCTATTCCACTCGCTGTACTCCATATTCATATGGAGAAGTATCCCATCATACGTCACAGCGGTGTAGCCTTGATATATTTCGACTTGATGATACAAGATGAAATATTCAAAGTCGCAAACGGTAGACACCCGAAACATCGTGAGGTTCGCTGATAGATTGTCGCAGGCACGAAGCACCAGTACGATTCCGGCCGAGACGATTCACAGCGAATCCGTTCTTCAAGAAGTTTGCCAGAACTTCAATCGGCCGAGTAGACAATGATCCTAGACCCCAAGGCCATCGAGATTGGACTTGTCTGTTCGTCGATCTTCTGGAAGGTCCACTCTTGCATAATAGAGCCGTTTCCAGGTCCTCGTATTGAATACAATGTCAGTCGCGTTGCGAAACGTGCTCCACAGCCGTCTACTGACCAATATTGCAATCTAAGCATTGTGGCCTCCATGTATGTTCAACAGGGTTACCAAGAATTTTATTGTTACACATACTCCAAATACCACCTGTTCGTCGCCGGATCTGGTTTCACGACCCCGCGCGCCATTAGCCAATGATCGGGGGCGGCAGCGTCACTAGCGAGGTAGACCTGTGGTTGGAGTAACGGAATGGCATGCTGGAGAGGTTCGATCGTTCTACAACATCAAAGCTGCATCTGTGGATTTAACTACAACACTAGACTAGACCGAAGTGCATATGCTGTTTGTCTGAGACCAAGAAGATATGATTCGTCGACGTGCTCATCTTTCACAGCTCTACATTAACCGCAGGGGTTGGACTGCCTTGCTTTGCTGAATTGGTTGGGCATAAGGTTTAGTTCTTGGGGCAAACGACATCGATCTCTGCATTAAAGCGTCATGGTGGCTTCAAATATTTCAGCTCCACCGTTACATAGTCCAATCAATGCCGGTCGAGTTGATGGTCAAATCATCACACCCGCGAGATTGAATGACCCCGCGACGTGTAACAAACGTTGAGTGGACGTTCGTGCATCTAAAACCAAGTGATATCAAGTCGAGATAGTCAAGCTGTATATACACAGCTAAGTAGCGGCCTCTCCGGGAAATCCCCGTTGCTAATTTGGACGAATACACCCAAAGACAGCTATTGCTCATCGTGGGAAGTCTGTCGCCAAAATCTTCAGACAATGCAGGCTTACCACCTCTACTATAACGCAGGAGCTTGGTATCCTATTGCCGCCTGAACGCGGCAATCTTCTTAATGGCAGGAGGCGCAAATATCCAGGGATGTTTTCATGCAGATGGAGGTCAATTGGATACACAAAGCTGTTCTTATAGCGTAATTGTAATCAACTTGGCCAGGATTCATGTGTGAGGAAGACGTCTTGGTAATGGTGTGCTTGGTTTCATCGCACCAATACGGGGTCGTCCCAACACAATTTGTCGTCAGCGGTAAGGAGAGCGCATGAAGTATTGCTTCATCGGTCAGAATCCTTTGTTCCAGTTGGTTATCACTGTCTCGATACATGACACAAGGTGAGGTAAACGGCTACATTGGGAAGCGTCTCCAGTCACGAATATGCACAGAGTCGGATGGCGATCTTTCAACCTTGATGGCGACTCACCAAGCTCTGAGATACTCACGGTCGCCCATGGGCAGCTCTGGCTATAAGATGCCCCTTCCTCCCCGGGTACGAACAATCTTATCATATCTCAACCAGAGATCTTCAGCATATCGAGCTATCTCAGCCTCTATCATCACTTCGTCCAATATGGGTTTCACAGGCGCCGGTGTTTATGAAATCGTGCCCTACCAGGCCCCTAAATTGAATGCCAACTCCTGGGGAGGTGGCCTGAACGTTGGACAAGATGTCAGAACTTAGTGAGCCTCACTGCAAACATTTCCTTGAAATCTCAAGATTCGTTGAACTCACTCATTTCGAAATATAGCGAGAGGGGCAGCAGCCCTACAGACAATGCGAAATGGCAGTTGGCTCTTGTGGCAGGCTCTGGCGACGACGCAGAGTATCTGATCATCAACGTGCTTACCGGATACTTCATCACCGCTACCGGCGAGTTCCCGTCTTATACCCTGCAGTTTGTATACCGTACTAATCTAAAGTTACAGGCGATAACACGCTTGTCTCTACTCCGCAGATCTCCCCGACGGATCCCACCGCCCGCTGGACTATCAAGTCAAGCTCAGCTAATGGATACGATGTATATACGTAAGTCTGGATGCCCCATGTCCTCCTGAAGGCCATGATCTGAGATCGAACCGGGCTGACTGCTGAGGGCAGCATTACGAGCAAGGTGTCTAGCCGCGGCCAGCTCACCGTGAAGGACTTCTCTACTCAGTCTGGCGCCGACATCCTCTCTGCGACTAAGAAGGATCAGGATAACCAGAGATGGTACTTCGAGCCACGCTAAGTGATGCTCGTCAGACTCTGGGGAAGGTGGCGCTTCAGTGCTGCTTCCATCTGCCCACCTGTTATAGGTTCCGTAGCCAGAACCATATCTCAATCAATCAACACTCTTCCCTTCGTCGCTTGTTCAAGATACTTGCATGAACGAAATCGTGACCACACAATTTGTGGAGAATGTTTGACGCGTCCCAAGTAGCCGACCATTTCCCAGTTCAAGTTAGTCGTTCAACGGCTTATACCTGCATCCCCAAGACGGTCGCAGATTATGAAAGCTCGTTTCTATTGTGTTGTCAGACAATTTGTTCGATAACGGACCTGATAGTTTCAGAAGTTACGACATCTTTTGATGAGTAGCCAAGAAAAAGTAATCCCTGCACGTTTCGTCGCACGTGTCAAGGCTGTTGCCAGAAAAAGTGCCGCACCCCTACACACAACACTAACTACTATCACTACAGGGGTGCGGCACTTTTTTTTTTTTGTCAACACGTTGCGTGTCAGTGTTCAGGGTACCCCAATTCCTAGACTAGCGATAGCCGTACCAGTGTGTAACCAGTTGCGACAACTTAAGCTTGTAATATGTGATGTATGTCTTTCAATGTGATGGTGGCTAGTTGACCACACTTATTGGCTTGTCTCTGGCTCAAGTCCGAAGGAATTGAGGCATATACGGTAGAATAAGCAAACATACACCGGAGTCTCCACCTTTGGCAGCCCCGCAGACCCCAATTAATGGTCAGTATTATATGTATAGGACACTCCGACTAATACGCTCCTGGTTTGCGTCCAGTTAATAATCGATTCCAGGAAAGAGAAGTGGCTTCCCATATCGCTGATGTATGATTCTTGAAAGGAGCATGAGGGATTAGATTAACACGTCATTCACAAGATGTGGTCATGTTGCAAAGTTAAACTATCTGAGGGCTGAGTCAGCGCCTGTCTTTGCAGAATCCGTAATGAAACGCACAGAGGGAGAAATCACCGTTGTGAAGCGATTTGTTCCACAATAAATTTGGCAAAGGTCATTTTTGAAGTGTATTATTAGGATCTAGAAGTATTAATTAAGCATATAGGAAGTTTCCCCAGCTGATTATATCTTGTCGTACACTCATTATTAGTAAAACTAGCCAAGCCACAATTACGCTGTGAGTATTTTATTACAGATTTTGCGAGCTGTGCGGCGCAGCAAGTTAAGCGATCCAGACCCCCGACGGCTCAAAGTTCCAAGGGTTAGGATACTCCGAATAGAAAGCTTGCCGACCCGCAAATCCCAGCCAAATTTAGGCGAGACCCTGGACTGAACAGGGGTTGCGGCAGCATCACGAAAGGTCGCCCGTGGCGCCATCACGCAAAGGTGCATCTCAGTTGGCTTTTTATTGGTTTATAGTTACACAGCACAGAACAGAAAGGAGGGATGCCAGGGATGTTTCTCAGCTTGGCTGAGCCTCGTGAACAGGATGCGCCGACTTCAGTTGTCCTTCGCTTACCATGTTGTACGACGTGTGGTGATATTTCTTCTCTTGACTCTGTACACAGTAAAGCTCATGCCTCTTCGCTCTCTTGCTTATTATTCAGCGACCATTCTCAGAGACCAAATTTTACGATCTGTGCGAGAGTTGTCAGAAATGCCATTCCATGCCTGAGACCCTTAATAACACTTCGGCGTCGAGTCTCAGGGATAAGGCCGCACGCGCGTGCCACTCATCTTTAACCCGTTCCCAACGATGTCGGAGCACGTGGTCCTTGCTGATTGTAGAGATAAGTCTGGCATCCTATCATCGCAAATTGCCTACTACCCAAATAGCAACAGAGGTACACCTCAAGATGTTGCGACAGTTGCCACTGAGTCAGGCCAAACTGCTCTTTGGGTTTGCGACACGACCGTAGGACTCTTCACCGACACTAATACTCAGTTTGTCGCCAAGCTCGGTCCCAAGGTTGCCGAAGGACAATATGCCGGTACGGGAAGCAACGGCTATGATAGCAATAACGGGGGTTTCCGGTGTTGGCAAACCTTCGAGCAAGACTATTATGTATATGGCAACACAGCATGTAACAGTTAGTAATTTCCATAATCGTTTACTACCCCTTCTGGCATGTCTGTGGAGCAACCATTCCCTACCCGGGCCAACGGAGCTCGTTGTGGTTGTTCCACTAACCCAAGCAGTTCCGCAGCCCATCTCAGAGAAGCACTTACTGATTTCGAATGTGTAGTGGTATACAACTGCGATCATATTATTGCTCCTTGTAGGTACCAACTCAACCCTCACTAAAATGATTATATTGGGCAGCAGCAAGTATGACTGACCTGACTACTCGTCCCCAGCTAGTACAGCAAGTGCCAAATGTGCCAGTAACACAGCTTCGCCTTCTTCATCAGCCTCACCAACCTCATCCGGCTCTTCCACCCCGGCACTTACGACTGGTGCTGTGATTGGCATCAGTGTTGGTGCGGGTGTTGCTCTTCTCATCGCAATTGGCGCAGCATTCTTCATTTGGAGACGTTTACGATCCAAACGACGACGGAACCCTGCTGAGCTTCCCGCGAACCAGTCAAAGAGCAGCGGGGATCCGCTCGGTATGCTCAAGAAGAGTCCTGTGCCCACTCCCTCACATGGTCTTCCAAACGAGGCAAATACGCCATGGCATCGACATGGGTCACCACGGCCCGTGTATGAGATGGATGAGCAAGGACGTTTAGAAGTGTCCGGGCTTACACCTCCGAGAGAATTGGGCGGCAGTGTAAGAGCAGAAATGCCGACTCCGGAATCACAATACTATCTCTGGTATCCTGCCAATGAGAATAGCAATACTCCTTTAGACGGACCACCGGCGAGGCAATCATAGGAAACAGTAAGTCGTCCTTGGATCAGCCAGTGGTACTCAGTGTTGTGGGACTGAGGGAGATCCGTGACTTATTATTCTTGACGTTGTTCGCATGCTGCTCATCTGTCTCTCGATAACTGGGCGAATGCTGACGGTTTTTAGTATCGTTTACCACGGCAATTGCCTGTGAGCTATTAAGTGCGTCATGCTTCTCAAAACCATCGACTCGTCGAGTAGAAAGACAAATCTGTCTTAATAAGTTGTGAAGCGTCGACCTGTAGATTCGTCCCTGGCGCCGTCGAGATTAAAAGACTAGGGCTCAACGACAACAATAGGAAGACCGAAGATTGTGACTGGTAACTCGAGTAAAAGAAAAGAGACCCGCTTGATGCGGCTAAGTCACCAATACTGTGAACATCACGACCAGACGCAGTTGTCGATGACTGAAGCCGCACCCCACGCCTACTAGTCTTTTGGCAAGCCACAATTAAGGCTTCTCTAGCTGCATGTTGTTTCTCTCATCAAGGCAACCAGATATCAGCTGCGACCAAATCACTACGACCAACAGCATTCAATTACGAAAGAAGACCGCCCCCAACTCCTCCAAGAGGAAATTGTATCAGCATTCTACGACAGAATGCATCTGTTCTCCGATTTTGTGACTGAGCTCCGGCTCATGGTCATCGAAAACGTGATACTGATGAATTCAGACCCCAGTAGATCCCGAAGTAAGATCGGTTTTCCCTGTAGCGACCTCGCCCGTTACACACACGTCGGATTCCAGTATCCCCGGTACCGAGCTCCTTGGTTAGCATTGATGTCAACAAATAAGCAAACTTGTAACGAGGTTATGGATATCTTGGCAAAGTTGGAGAAGCACCCCGTCACCTGGACTCTGGACTGGAGTTACATCGGCGACAGAGAGCTCTGGTCTCAATGGACTTCCGTCCCGTTCCTGACTGACTTCGTTGATACGCTCAAAGTCAACCTCACCGATCTGGACTCTTCCATGAGTTTTGAGTCCTCCCGCAGGCATCTTCGCGGCAAACACATGATGCACAGCATCAAGTTTAACAACTACGTGATGATGTTCGCTACTGCTCTGAGCATGGTCCTGCGCGCGGGACCAATTGCGGCCAGCTCCCGAGTGCAAAAGCTTCCATACCCACCGCTAAACGTTCCCATCCGAAGAGAAAGGCACGACATGGCGGGAATTATCTATCGTCATGGCCTGAAGGTCAACAAATTGATCATCAACGTTTTGCCAACACCCGAACCAGAGGTTCCCAACACGCAAGCCTATCCAACTGGTGAACACCATCCTGCTCCAGAGGGGCAGGAATACTTCCGCCAACATTTCGGCCCGGATTGGAAGCCAGAATCCGCGAATCCTGGCATGATCGCTGCGGAAGCCATGTGCGAATTCCTGGTAGAAGTCATGGCTAGCATTCTATATGAATATTCCCTATTTTCGGAAACCGATTCAGCTCAGCGCGAGGTCCTCGGAAGAGTCATCACAACGGAGATCCAGCTAGCCGGCAAGACTCGGCATGTCTTCAACTGGAAAGACATTCGCAATACATGGACCCAATACCGGAATAACTCGAATTTGACGTTGGTCAATATCCTGCATCTGACCTACTCTCAGACCCTTGGGTACTTTCCAAAGGAAGTCATACTAGATAAAATTCGAACCGCCAACATGCTCGACGATGTTGGAGACTCAATGCTTCCCTTGATCGAGGAGCAGAAGCCGAGTGATATCAAAGATGGGGAAGATGAACAGTAGACAAGGGAACAAAGGAAAGACAAGTAGAATGAGGTTGGTTCCCCTTGTACTCAATCAAAGAACACCAGAGAGGAGCAACGATCCGCGGTGGGAATGGCCGGCGGAGCAGTTGACAGAAAAGGGGTAATGTGAGGATCGGCGACAACATAATATAGGGGACTGTCGGCGAAGCAGTTGGGATGTGGAAAAAGAAAGGGGTAATGTGAGTATCGACGACCCTTTAGCACAGCAGAACAATGGCTAACGCTGACGATGGCAGGTGTAATAGAGGCTGCCAGCTCAACGGAAATCATCGGCCGCATGACCTTGTATGGAGAAGATGAATAGAGACATTGCCACCATGACTGCTCTTCCAGCCCTAGTGTGCTCGACGACCCGTGACGATACCCCATGCCATGTCCGTGCCTGACTGTGCATGTCCTGACAATGCATACCTGACAGTGCATACCTGGCTAAACGAACCCTGCAAAACCAAGAACAAACTATGATATTCCCTACTGTCCCAAGATATAAGTTTCAACCTTTGGCCTGCCTATACAAGCATGATCACTGGGTCCGCCAAGTCTGAAGGAATCTCACAGGATCCGCCGAGCCTTTTAGAGCCTCAACCAAGCGACGACCCCAGCCTAATTGCGTTCGTATAGGGCTGGGCAACTAGGCTCCAACTGGTGAAGGTCGCTTAGCTCTGAGGTGAGCATATGTGAACCACCATGCAAAATCGGATATATAAGTCCTTCAAACTCTGCGACAACGATGTCTCAATCTTACAAAATCACACCATCCTCCACACAGTCATCCGTCGCCTTGCTAGCCTCGTCATCATGAAGACCTTTGCCTTCCTCTCCATCCTCATGGCCGTCACCGCCGTCAACGCAGTCGCTCTGACTCCCGCAAACTCGCTCGTAAGTCTTGACACCCCCTCCCCTGACAACATCGCCTGTTCGCATGGGCTGACCTGAACCAAAAGCACCCTCTCAACGCTCGCTGCCACTGTGACGGCCACTGCTGTGGTGGTGGCTGGTGCAACGACGAGGGGACCGGCGAATGCGTCGGCGATGTGCCCTACTGCGATGGAGTGCCCTGCCCTTGGGCTTAACAGACTTCCGCGAATTTTCGCGGTCGGCCGGCGATGTCGTGTTCAGGTCAGGCTCATTGCTCCTCCGGTAAAAGCGGCCGAGTCCGTAATGGCTAGATAGTGGCTCTTGTCGCTAGTAGAGTTGGACAAGGTTGGATCGGAAGCCATAGCCGCAAAACGACAAGATACGATTTATGACTATCTATTTTTGAGGGCTTGAAAATTCGGCTGCATAACAGCAAAAATACAGTTAAACTCTCTTGATACATGCTGCTCGAAGAATGTGACTGTCGAGAAGTGTTTGTATGATCGATTCCAAGGACTTTCATGATTCGCGCAAGTATACCCCTTCCCATTTGTGCATGAGTTGTGCATTAGTGTCGAATCTCCGACGACGCAAGTATCATAACAGATCACGCAATACTATAGCAGCCAAGCGGCTGGTGTTGACTCAAGGAGAGCAGTATGTTTGTCGAGACTGGCTAGAAAATCAAGAGTCGAAGTGGCCACATTTCGCGCATTAACTGATCATGTTTTCCATCAGAAAGGTAGATTGCTTCGAAACCCGAAGGCTTCTCCCCCCTCCCTCTCTCCGCGAGACACTTGGGAAGCTTCACTGCAACCAACAACGTCAGGGTGGTCAGAGAGCCGCGACATCGCATGTCTTTTTCCGGCACAAACACGTGCACGCCAAGATTGACTCAACTTGACCAAGAGCAGGCTCTGCAGACTGCGGTTTGATACTATGTAGATATTCAGCGACGGTTCAAAATGCCCTCCCCGGCCTTCTGGGCGAGACAAGGTCGACGCAAACCCAAATGAGACTACCGCGGATGATGTAGCAATGCTGACCTGGCTTTCAGTGCAGACACCGCAGCAGGTGAGCGTTGTTACATAAATCCGTGGGCACTTATCGGGCTGTTTCATGAATACAGAACCGAATTATTTGATAATGGAAGAAGGATGAATTTTGGAGTGGTTGACTAATATGGCCGACCACTCTCTCTGGCCATTTTCTCAATTTTCTCTCCGGCTGGTTACTGACTCTAGTGCACCAGATGATATTAACAATGTGACCGAAAATGCGCAGTACAAAGCACCTCTTACCTCAGTAATGAATCGACACATTCCTGATACATGTATTTAAATATAAACCCACAAATAATAAAACAATATCTTATGTCTCTATGTAAATATCACCTGGTTAAACATACGATAACTGCCACTAGGTGGTCTGCCTACTGAGATAAAGGTTGTCGTAGGTGGGAGACGAACTAAAAGCTGAGAAGTGGATCGATTGGGCACATTAGGTCATAAGCACCATTTTTTCACGAAAATTCAACAAGAAAGCCAATCATCTCTCGATTAGTATAGTGGTCAGTATGCCAGCTTGTCAGTGCTTCGTCGGAGAAATTCGTTGAGCAACAACTCGCTGGAGACCGGGGTTCAATTCCCCGATCGAGAGTCTTTTGCTGTAAACTTCGATTTCTATGAATGTCACATGTATCCTTTTATTTTTTTTATTTTTAATCTCTATCAAGCTATTTGGTGTGTTTGCTGGTACCATTAAAAGGTGGAGCAGCTTTTCAGGCTTAAAGTTTTAGAATTCTGTCCGGAGTAGAAAAGGTAGAAGAAATGTGGTGGTTAGTTAGTGGAAAGGGTAATATAATAGGCTATATTATAGTACGACACACATGTATGAAGTTATAGAATGTTCGACCAGATTCACCACTCAATATATGTATGTATTATTTAGCTGGTTACTCACCACGTACTCGCTACATACTGATTGAGATGCACTTGGTTGTTTGCTGGAAATTAATGCTTCTTTCACGCATCATGTTTCTCAAGTATCGAGAGCCCCACACTCTGAACCACAAAGTCTAGGGTCTCTTCGTCCTTGAAATTGTCCGAGTTCTTCTTTGAGTGTGTGCGTTTGCAATGAATTTATCGGCTTCAACTATAATCAATTATGAGGCGAAACTTCTTGAATTGGAGTGCAACCGAACCATAAACAAGCGATCCAACCCTACCAAGACACAAAAACAGAGACGACCTGTACATAACTCACATAACACCAATATCCCAACGCCATAGGAGTCAAGTTGTGACTGGACCACAACGCCTGCTAATAAGCCCAATGCATGCAGATACGCCCTCATCATTGCCGATCGCCCAAATTACGCCCAAGCCTCGCAGCAGCAGCCTGCACAGTACTCTTGTCAAGCGCCGGTGTACTAGTAGATCCACCCTCTTCATTTGGGCCGTTTGCAACTGGTAAAACTTCCCACCTCTTGATGGGACCGTCCATTCCCGGCCACAAATCGGTAGGTATGTACTCGGCAACATCATGCCTGAACGTCTCCCGTTGTTTCCGGTCCGCTTCAATAATCTTGTCCACACTATCCTTGGCTTTCCGCCAGACACTTAGGACTCGCTCTTCTTGTGCTCTTCGTCGCTCAACTTCCAAAAGCAGGCTGTCGTATGCATTGGCGTAGTTCTCGTAGAATAGCCTTAGCTCCTCCATCTCGTCCATCTTGATACTGATAGTATCATGCTCTGCAACCCACCGCTCGCGGAACTCGGTTTCGGCGGCGATGTAACTTCGGAATCGGGTCCCAATGTCTTCAAGCACTCGAAAGGCATCGATGGTCGTTGTATAGGTAGCCTTCACTTGATCGGTCTGTTCGACCAAGTGGCAATACTCTTCTTCCATGCTACTAAGCCGTTCGTTGATCTCTTGGACCACGTCAGGCACCTCGGAGGCGTCCTGCACAACGATCTGGAGCATTCCCGTGCGCTCTTCTGCGGAGATTGGGTCTTCGTCGGCCATGTGTGACTCTTGTTCCGCAATGACACCGGATATGGAGACAGCATTGACATCGCCTTGGGATTGCGATGCTTCTGCGGCTTTCCTTCTTGCCAAAGCTGCACCTCCGTCGGTCATCCGCACAGCAGTGACGCAGAGATCGAAATGGGTCGTGAGAGAGGCCAGGAGCTCAGCCATCTCATGAGAGCTCTCCATCAGAGATGCCAACAGAAGCGGGACAGGAGGGTAGGCGTTGGAGGCAGAGGGTGACGGCGGCGAAGGCGCGGAGGAGATGGTCTTGTTGAGCGTCCGAAGATCGGTATCGAATCGTAACAGATCACCGTCGAATGAAGTCTGTGTACTCTAGGAGCGACGACGGATTAGTTACGAGAGTCGAGACTTGTCATGTATCAACCGACTAGAACGGCTCACCTGTAGTGCGGCGATGTTGTCTTTCAAGGCACTGTGCATCGTGTCGACCTGGACCACATCTACAAAGTCCAGCAGATTCTTTCTGTCCTCACCTCTCGGCCTGAAGGCGCTTTCGACAGTCTGTTCCGTCAGGACCGCCATGGTAGTTTCCAACTGGCCGTTTGCGACATCGAGATTCTTGATGACTTGTTTGAACTCGCGCTTGCCGCTGTCATAGGTTCTGTTCATGCTACGGCGGGCTCTCAGGAGCAGGCGGATCTGGTCGTTGATGCCGCGACGCAGGAACTGGGCCTGGGCTCCGAGGATGACGGATTCCGTGTGGGCTTGTCGAGCTGCTGTCACGATCTCGTTTGCCCGTAGGACCTGGCCCATGGATGATAGCGACCGCTTAGCTTCAAGCAAATGCTGAACGAGGGTCTCGACGGGGGTGGAATCGGCGTCTTGGTGGTCGCCATGCGGTGAAGATGGGGGGGAGCCCCGTGGAGATGACGAGGCTGCGGATGAAGGGGACGCCATGGTGATAGTACTATCTGGAACTTGAGACTATATTCAATATCTCGAAGCGAAGAATGGCCAGCGACGACGCCGCAAGGGCTACATGGTCGCTTCTGATGATATCTAGGTTTATTCGAGTTGGGGAAAAGGGTTGCGAGATAAGAAGAGAAAAGCTAAATTCATCGAGGTTGAGCTCACTTGGAAGCTCAACACGTCAGTGCAGCCTTCCTTGGGGATCGGCAAGACTTGAAGTTAGAGACCGCGGTAAAATGTCCGATTGGGCCAGGCTCGTCGAGAGGGATGCTTTTGCGGGCGATGCTTGTGATGCTGCGATGCCTGCAATGCTACAGTAGAGTATCCATAGGCTAACCTAGCTAGCCATGGGGGCGTTGGGGTTCTTGGGGGCGTTCCAGGCGCTATCGGGTCCACCAACCCGGGATTGCCTTAACCTTAGCACTGTCATTCAGTAGGCACTGTAGCAAAGGCAATTGATTAAGCAATGCTCCAGCTCCCAATGCTTGGGGAAGTTGGGGGATGGGATTGTGCGTTTGCCCCCTTGGTACACATTCATCGCAAGCTCGCATTTCGCTGTACAAAGTAGTCTCTTGACATTCGGAAGCGACGCATAGGAAACCAAAAAGGCGCCTGACAATGTCTTGGCTCATTTGGCAGTGAATCCATATAAATCATCATGCCCAGATCTGCCCCATGCGGCTTGCTACTTTATCAATGAAAAAACCCCCTATCTTGATTGGGGTCAGAGGAATAGCCAGGCGTTTCTTGCCAAAAGGTGCAGCTGCAGCTTGCAGCCGGATGAAGACGATATGAAGCCTCAAAAGATTCAACATGCTCAGGTGGAACCACTACCGCGACCCCTAACTCCACCTCCACCGTACGATATTTCAGATATACTAGACGACTACTTCCAGGATCAGGATGAAGACGGCAGAGGCGGAAAAGGTGACAGTGACGACAAGTTGATCGAGAAGGCTGCCACCCTGGAGCTGGAGTCTCGACCACCTCTACCACCAAGACCAAACACTCTCCCCTTGATACCCAGCGTCGCAGAGTCAAGCTCCGTCACAAGCACAGAAACTACCATTCCTGAAGAGCCCGGGAGTTCAACTTCTTTCTGGAAGAATGCTCTCGACGAGACAATCTACTTCGCGGGTGGCTTGATATCTCATCCGTTCGAGGCAACTAAGCACTTCAGTGTCCTGAGGCATTCATCCGGTCTGGTCTTCTACAAGGGTCCGTCAACCAGTGTCACAGTCACAATCTTCTCCGATGCGCCGCTTCCATCAGATAGGTCGCTATGGCTCCAACGCAAAGGCTTTTCCGGCAATATGGGCATGAACATGAGCACCCTGCTCGGAACTTCTTCTGGTTGGATTGACGTGACTCCAACTTACGAAGCCATCCCAAGTGACGTGTCCGAAGCAGACGAACGGGCGTGGCAGAGGGATATCAGCAAACATGCCAAAAAGACCGCCAAGGACAAGAATTGGTCCAAGCAGACTGTTCGTGAGACGTGCATCATACGCATTCCTGCATCGGCTTCGGACGGTTATCTCCGTCTGGTACTGTGTGCTGGTGAGAGCCGCAAGAAAGTTCTCTGTCCGAGCCCCGTCTTTCGCATCGCCAGCACCTCCAGCGATGTTAGTATCTTTCGTGGCGCGAGCCTTTCTACCATGCCCCTTGAGGCTGGTCTGAAAGCTGCGTCCGTGGTCGGCACGACCATGGCCAACAGATACATCGGGCCCGCCAGGCTGCTTGTCGACAGCCGCGTGCAGAAGGTCGCGGACAAGTGCAAACCTGGGCTCGTCGTCAAGCATGCCGAGCGTATCGCGTACGCCAAGTCTGGCCTGCAAAGCAAGTTCGACGCCTTGGAGCAGAATTTTGATGGCGCTCGAGACGTATCATACGACCCTTTGCATGCCCCGATGCTGTCCGACGCCCCACCCGAAGTGGTCGGGGCCGACACGGGGCCGGAAAAGCCGTTTCCTGTCAAGCTCAGCGGAATAGTTGTGCAAGGTGCCGGACAGAGAAGTAATCAACTTGGCATCCCAACAGCCAACTTGAGTGGTGTCCCAAGCGATCTACTCCTACGACTAAATGGTATCTACATGGGATGGGCTCGCGTTGAACCTAAGCAAGGCACTGAGCATATCTCACGCGAGTGGCATGAGGCCATCATAACGGTTGGACAATCCCAATATGCATCACCGCGGATCGTTGGCAAGAATGTCGCTACAGTGCACATTATCCATAACTACCAGGGCGAGACTTTCTTCGGCGCGAAGCTCAAGACCATGTTGATGGCGTATCTGCGACCGGCGCCAAGGGCAGATCGGTCTCAACAACCCATTGACATTGGCAAAGCCGTAGCGCGGGATATCGACGTCACTCTTGCCAGCTTGAGTCGCGAGGCATGGGGCGCAGATCGCACTTATGAAAGACTGGCAGCAGAGAAATCTTCACGCACGATGGTTGATAAATATGTCCAAGTCAGAACGCAGATTGAGAAGCAGATCCACAGCGTGCCTATGCACCTCGCCGGCGTTAGAACAACAGGAATGGAAATGATTGATCAAGCTAATGGTCGGGGCGGTATGTTCATTCGACGTTAACTCGCATGATTTGTTGTTTGATATCAAGCGGTCCCGACGTTCCTCTCGGCCTACCAAACCTACAAGACAATTTACAATTTGTGAAGCGTCGCGCATAAAGCATGGTTATTTGGCAATCAATGTTACCAGCAAGTTAAATAGTAGCATCGCAGAATAGCATACTCGGCGACGGCACGGTTGGGAGTCCTGTCGTGCATCTATCTATCTTGATTGAGGTTGACCACGACGTCGATTTAAATGAGGTTGGAAATGAATTTCGCTGCGTGGCAAAAAAAAAAAAAAAAAAGGAAAATAAAGAAAAGAGAGTCATGTTTGGGTGAATGGAACTGTGGTTTCGAAATGCAAAAGAGTTTGGCCATCGCTTGACGGCCTACATCTCTGCCTACACTATCGAATCACCTGGGACTGGTCCGAAGACACCTGTCTACCACGTGGAATTCACGGTCACTTGCTCAGGGTCGTGGGCACATATCACCTGAGGATTACCTGGAGGGTAAGGTCGGATTCGAACGTGTAACCTCGAGATCAACGGGGCTCCGACTATAACCACTGGATGAATTTATAGGCAGGGCGGACATAGGAGAGGGGTGACCACTTGGTCGGAAACCGTGCACTAATGGAGTGGTTGGGAAATGCAAGTCGGCGGCGACAGAATGAAGCAGTTTGCGATAGTACTGAGTGCTGCGCAGTTACAGGTCGAAAGAACATTTTGTGTTGCGTACCGGAGGGTTTCCTCTGACGGGGGACCAGGCGACTACGAGTGGGGCAGCGCACCAACAAGATTCTTCTCTTTTGCTGGCAGTCGCGAGGAGCTCTAAGACCATAGGGAACTGGGTGTCTTGTGTCTTGTGTCCTATGTCCTGTGTTGGCGTCAGCTCCCAGTTTCACGTCTGCCGGTTCTGGGTCAGGGACTTTCTACAAGTTGTAGCGGGGGGTGGGCTATAGAGATCGCTCCTTCAACTCCAGCACGTCCTTTCCCCGGCTGTGAATATGTATTGGGCCCGGGAGATCACCAGATGTAGCACGCATGAGGGTGAAATTTAGCTTGTAAACGTATAAGCACAACGAGCGGCCAGAAAAGCAACAGGTATCATAAGCCTTCCGAATTGGAAATTATGCTTTCAACATCCGTCTTGTATAGATAAGACATGAGAACTCCGCACATACCATAAGAACTCGGTAGTCACATCTATCACCCGGGCCACAATCGAAATCAATTGTCAAACCGGGAAAGTCTGTCAAGCATATACAGTCGATGATTAGACAGCAGCGGTTTTTATCCCTGCTTCTTACCTTTCTTATGCGATAACTAACATAAAAATATGTGATGCAATGCTATTAGTGCTATATGCTTCGGGCATGGACGCCAGAAATCTGACCGGGGCAACGTTGTACAACCAGATCATGCAAGGCAGTATGCCAACCATTAAAGCCCTGAAAACATTTACCTTCATCAAGCAGCGCGGCTTACTTAAAAACTTCCCGACACATGTCTCGTACGTCGTCCACTAGGAAAACTCACAGTATCTTCTCCCTTGTCCGTGGTCAGATAAACCGTGCAGCCGTGCGTGCGGTTGCATTGAGGATTTTAGCGGCCGCGTTGTGGTACTTCTACCTGGGGGTGGGGAGGCAGCACTGCAGACGCGAGAACGATTCAGTTTCATTCAGCCCGTCGAACCAGCAAAGCCTTGCGGCTACTGTTGCTACTGTTACTACTACAACTTGGGAGCCTCAAGACGACAACATTCCTCTCTGGTTCATGTGTGCGGCCCTGTGTTCTTCGCTCATCCCCGAGGATCTGTGACAGGGGACTTTGTCTGTTTTTGCTAGGACGGGAACAATCGAAGATTGCCTAAGATCTTGTTTGACTAATAATAAAGATGATCGAGCGAGAGACGACACACGCTACGTATGTATGTATGTATGTACTTGTCTCCTTTAAAAAGAACGCTGACGGCAGAATGCAACATAATACTTACACCTATCTATAAGTTACATGGACCCAACCAACGCTTTTTCTAAGCCTCGTTTGGGAAAAGCTGCGTGCCGATCCTTGCCATCTGCCGCCCGACAAGGAATGTATATACATGCAGTTGCAACGCTCCCTTATCTATGCATTCATAGTTCTTTGGGGTATGTAAGTAGATTAACAGGGGAAGTATTATAGAAGAACCAAAATAGTAAGCAGAACACACACATGCATGCATGCATACATACATACATACATACACACATACATTGAAACGATGAGGTCCTGTTTCTCGGCTGCGTCGGGCTTTTGAAATGTACCACTGGGGGTGTAAAGTTAAAAGTGGCATGCATGCATGACTGCGGCTCAGCACTGCATAAGTTACCCACTGGGCTGGGGGACGCACCGGCGAAGGCGACGGCTCTGCCTGTCTTGTCTCTTGTTCCATCAATGCTTCTGGAAACCGAGCGCTCCCAAGATCTGCGCAGCTGGCTTTGCCTAGCACGCATACAACTGCGGTCACGGAAAATGCCTTGTAAGATATTTGGCACTTACCGTCTCCACACGTTAGGCAATGGTTGTTTGCCGTCATCCCGTACCCTGGATGTGGAGGCATCTCGCGTATAACCCTGGAAGTCAGAAATAAGTGCATGTCAAGATTATGAGTCCAAAAAACAAACATTTGCGCACGTGATAATGGTGAGACTAGATGTGTACGGTATTTGTTCAATTAACTACTAAGTCAATACCAAAATCAAATGATGCGTTGCAGTGCCGCCAGGACACTCATCAACGACACCATGAACCAGCATCTCTAGCCTTCCGCTCACGTCATGCACAGCACGTTCGTGTTGGTCGACGCCTTTCCTACCCTGTGGACATGTTCTGTACCAGCAAGGAAGTTCAGGATGTAGTGAGATGAACTACGATAGCTGCCTGGTCACCCCGACCTCCACCACACTGAGCCACAAGGTTTGACATCTTCCAGCCGAAGACGCCGCCGCCCAAGCTGCACGCAAGCACAGACCTGACTAGCAGGCGGTATGGCTTTGTACGCTCCCTCGGCGCGGCACTTTTCGACCTTGGAGCAAATGCTCTACGGCATATGGTCGGGTGGCCAGGGTGACGGCAAGCGATGGCGACAGTAAAGGGCCATGCATCTTCCTGCCCCGCAAGAATTATCGTGTACTGATGCCCAGCTTGTTTGCTTGTGATTCTACCCGATGCTTTCAAGTCCCGCCTACATTCCTGATGGCGACCGATCTTGCCACGGCGCCATCGAGGATATGAAACCTTGATGTCGACAACCAGTGTCTGTCTTGACTGCATAACCTCCGATATGCGTCTCGACTACGATATGAAATGCTGAAACAATCCTGCTGGTGTTTGGACGCAGTCCAAATTCCCACGGAATCCCCTCACTTAATCGGCTTTCGGCGAAGAGAAGTAATCAGCATCAAGCTGAACCGTATTCTTTCATCCTAAAGTCGTCATTAAGTTCGTCAGATATTCGTGGCTAGGTCGTCCGCTCATTCGTATGACATTAATCCAAGGCCGGGTTCAGAGAAAAAGAAAACTTGAAGCGAGTGCGCAGACCAGGTTGGAGGTGGTCGTTCCAAGTCGCGGTATGGGGTATCATCGGAAGAAAGCCGCTTTATGCCGTATATAAAACCAAGAAAAAAACAACCAGGGAATCCGATAAACCAATGATCTTTGTCCGGTCTTTACCGGGGTATGGGTGGTGCATTGCTGCGTATACCTCTTATTTTAGAGAGAAGAAAATCCGGTCTTCTTTATGTCAAAGACCTGCCCTGTTGTAAATGCAATCAAAAAAAAAAATACCCTCCCGGTTCCAGCCATGATGAGAAAAGGTATAGCTTGTGACCGAGCTAGCGGTTGTAGTGATGTGAGATGCCCCAAAAGAAATATAAAAAGAAAGAAAGAAAAACGCTCGCTTGCTAAATCAATAAAAAAAAATCCTGGATATTATGTGCTGAAGGATTTCGAGTGCCGATAGTCGCTGTTGTGATGATGCAAAACGCCGATATGCCCTGGATGCCATGATTCCCTGCCGAAATTCCCTGTGCGAATGGAGATGAGACCGTGAGCTGTAACTCATTGGTCCTCAGGAGATGTGATTATCGGGGACTGTGATCCCGTTCTGACGGTTGTTGTCACATGGTCGTGGCATACTCGTGGTAACGATCCCAACCAAAGCCACCGAAACCAGCGCCAATACCACATTGTGATGTCAACATACTAGGTAACGGCAACGCAGGAATAGGGGCAGCTACCATTGGCGAGCTATAGAAGTACCCAGCAGAGGAAAATGGTTGGCTGTATGGCTGGGTCGGCGAAGGAATCTGTACCTCGGTCATCGCCATGTTAGCCCATATCGGCGTGGAGTCGGAAGATGTCGATGTGACACTTGGGCTCGAAGGGAGTACCCGCCAGGAATCAACAGGGCCGGAGACAGCGGCGGGCGATGGCGTGTTTTGTGACCAGATACTTCCTGCCGGTGAGCTGGGAAGCAGAGGAGGCTGGCGCACAACATCGACAATTCTCGGGGGAGGCGGGAGTAGCGGCTTCATCAATATCATGATGTTGTTCTTGACTTCTTCACTCTTTCCACATAGCAACTCGCCGGTACCTTCTTCTTCTAGTCCCTCGAGAGCAGAGACGTGTGTTCGGAAGACGAAGCGGTTGATAGCCTGGATAAAATCCTCATGCATCTTCTTTGCTTGCTGGTCCTTTTCCGACCAGTCATATGTGCCGGCTTTGGCGTCGACACAATGGACATCCTTGTGGTACTCAATCAGAGCCTCGATGGAATCTGGCGTCAGCTTGAAGGCAACCTCATTTCGCAGAACCATATCCACATGAACGATATAGGCTTCGATGTGGAGCAGTTGATAGTTGAATAGTGCCTCTACCAGTGGATTGGAGTCTGTGCGCAACTCGGACTCAGGTGCCTTTGGTAGCATGATTGACGTCAGGGTCCAGAGAGCATTTGGCGAGGATAGGGTCTCGGTCAGGCATTTTTGGTGCTGCGGTACACTGTTGAGTGGGCGCTTCACCTTGTTGACACGCTTCAATGTTTGTGTTAACCACGGTTCAACCTTTGAGCCCAGGACGACGTTGACTGATGATGCTCTCGGCGCAAAGGCCGCGGCAGAAGCCGGTAGTAGTTGGACTGGCATCGCAAATGGTGTCTAGAGTTGTTGGCAAGAGAGATGACACAGGACAAGTGACTAAGAATATCCGAGGGCGGTTGACAGCGTAGCGCTGGTCGAGGTGACGAGGTTGGATGGGAAAGACGAATAATAATAAGAAAATGGATTTCGGAGCTAGGCGGTCCCCAGGACAGGGTATTAAGCTTGCACACCTGGCTACCACAAATAGGAAGAAGAGAATGGAGGACGAAGTACTCGTGAAGAGAAGAAGGAGGGTAAGACTGAAAGTTACGATGAGAGGTGGGGTGGGTTATAATCTTCTCTCACTCCCGCTCCGACCCGGCGTCGCCAGTGTGACCCATGTCATCTTGAGGCCATAACTGGAGTCGCCTATTTTGCTCATTTTTTCTTTGGTGTGCAAACTCGCAGAAACTGCGCGGTCTCTGGGCCTGCTAGGTCGTTCGGGACATGCCCTCGTTGGCTTCTCTCCTCCTGAAGTGCCCACCGAGATGCAGCGAAGACAACCCTAGCAAGCCTGGATACATAGTGCGCAGGCGGGATCAGCACCAGCACCAGCAGGCACCGGAGAAAATCTTGTGCTAGCAGGAGCAGAAGCAGGAGTAAACGGATGTAGCTAACGCTTGTGGTCGATTGCTGGTCATGCGCGGCAAAAGATGGCCCTGGTCTTGGGCGGTAGCATCGTACTTGAGTGGGCTGTGTCGCGTCTTGCATATGCTGAGAGGAAACGGACGAATAGTGGCAGGCGCTGGACTGAGGAGGGAGCTGAAAGGTGCATCTGGTCAGTGCACAACGCCACCGTCCTTCGTACCGGTACTTGGCCCCCAGCAGCACTGTTGAAAGAGGTAGGCCCAGAGGTAGGCCCAGAGACCTGTATTTTGCCCGCCAGCACTAACCTAACCTAACCTAGGCGAGTCCACATTCGTCACTGCCTATAATGGGCATGCCAGAAGATTTGCACCGAGGCATTATATGCAGTGAATGTCTCACAGACTCACCCTCAGGAGATATCCATCAATCGGTCCACGCGGACCAGAGCAGGACCAACCGAGACGAAACGGAGTTGTGTAAACATCTTCACTTCGTGATCCCTTGTTCCCTGCACCTATCAAGAAACCCTCTACTTTAGTTTAGTCTTGCCGGCACTCCGGGACGAAATGGCACTTGCAGGTCCTTGCAGTCTCTCCCGACGTCGAGGCGCTTGCATTCCGTCACCCACGACATGGTTTTTATCAGGTCGCATAATAGTTGTTTGACTCCCTTTGCATACCGCGCACTGGTATGCGATAAGTGATACTTTAGACTCGCAAGAAGACGAGACTACCACCATGACCACTCCACTATAGCCATAGGAATAGTGTACTCGCGTCTGCAGGCGATCGAGCAAGGGACGTTCTTTGAATCTTTTCATTGGGCATATGCATGAGACTTGTTCATCAATTTACACAGTTGCAAATCTACTATTTCCAATATTTGCGCTGCGGGCCACCAATGCAACCATCGAGGCTCAAGCTATCTGTTCAGCAGTGAAAGGAGAACATTGCGCTTATGCAGGTTCAGGAGTGCAACTGGATCCGGATCTAGTAGTCGTCGAGGCCGACGGGGGCCAGAAGTTCTTTCACCGAGCAGCAGCCCTACTTCAAGAGCGATTCGTTGACGTGAGATTATCGCAGAAATTATCTAATCAAAACAGCAACCAGTGAATGGGTCATAGTAGGAGCTGAAACTGTCCGGTGTCATCAAACCACTCTAAACTTGCAGCGATCATCAGATGTTTCCAGAAGACGCAATTCTACATGGGACAGCGTCTATCGGGTCATGTAGACTCAAGCTGCAGAGTGCTAATGCAGTAAATGCTGGAGGACATACGATGACTTGCATATTAGTGACATTGGCCATCTGTCCTTTGGACGCCGACTGCATTGACCGTAGATGAAACCTCGCAACCAAGGTGGATGTGATAGCTCTACTGTGGTGTTGCAAGCGGCTGGAAGTTGAAGCCGTAAACAAAGTGCATTGACTCTTATATAGCGCCATGTAGCAAGATTTGTCGGTTCCAACTGCTTCCTGATCCAGTATTGGTTTGATCTTGAATTCTGGCTGCAATGCTCCTGCAGGGTCGAGGAGAAACTTTCGATGATCAAAATATCATCTTGGAGCCAGGCGAATGGGAATAGCTTCTGGCCCGGACTTTTTTTTCCCCTGAAGACCCGTACCATATCTCAGGTACCGCGAGAGCGCTTATGGTGGTCAAGAAGCTAGTCGCGTCGAGACGATACCGCGCGGAGACGCTGGGTGTGGCTCCTAACACGGGTACAGAAGACATCACAAGGAGCTTGGAAAAGGGTGATGGACGTTTGACCGAAGATGGAGAAGGGGATGATAGCAAGTTGATATCCAACATGTCAGCAATAGTTTATAGCCTATCATTGCCATATGGCTGGGATGTGGTTCTCGCTAGTGGCACACTATTCAAGGTGAGCTAAGAGGTGAAAGCGCTCTTCCGAATCCTCATTGGACACGGTGTAGCTGACTAGAAAGACAAGGGCGGGGGAGAAAAGGTCAAATTATCATTGGTCCAAAAATCAGGAAAATCAGGAAAAGCACCAACCCCAGTTTCTCGGAAAGCATTCATGAGACGAAGGAGCAATCATGAGAAGAAGACAAGGAATGATGAAGCGACGGTTGTGGTGAGCCTTCAGAAAGGGGAAAGTGGCATCCTTCCCGAGTTTGAAGCTTGCGAAATAGGGTTCAAGGGGTTAATAGATATCACCCAGGGCTTTCTCTTTTCAGAATATCCTACATGACTAGTTTCCGACCGCATCCATTCTGGTGTTTAGCCTCGACATTGAAAATACAAAGTGATTAACTACCCCCATCCCCAGAACCCAGTTGCCAAGACGGAATCTGGATGTGCTTCCTAAAGGGTACCTCTGGAGATCTACTGAGCCGTGATGAAGACTCTTGACAAAGCTTAGTCTCGGACATGCACAGCAAACATATCCGTTAGATCATGGTACCGTTAAAACCGACGCGGAACAGACCCAGCATTGTAGAACTGTTGGTCGATGGCAGCCATCTGACTCTAGAGGCTTCCTGACATGCCATCATTGGCCTCCTGATCACGGAAGACCGCAATAAGATATACCGAGACGGCAGAGTGCGTGCTGAGGGTCATGTGTTTGTGGAGTCATGACCGTTTCCGTAGTTTGCATGGGTAATTTGTAACTCAAGGCCCGAAGTCACGGCACTGTGTCATGTTTTCATAGTTGAATGCTGACGTGATGCTCGGAGTCTAATGTGGTTGTGTGGGCAAATCTAGATCTCTAATGCAGACGCATCGAGGCGTCTATTTTTGGGAGTCATGCTATGCTTACGATTTGTAGAATAGGTGCGCTAAAGTTTTGTTTTTTCTCCCCTAGAGTGAGACCATTGCCAACTTCTGGCAGGTCACCTGAAATACACTGTTTTGCAGTTTCTATCATATGCTGCGAGCTGCTTTGATCTCCGACTTGGACTAACTTACCCAGAGTCGTTCGCAGAAACAACATTTCTCTCGTCGTGTTTACAAGCATGTGATTCAAGAGGCCGCCAGGCCCATTGCGAGGGCTTTTAGCGGGTACTGGCGGCTCCGAGTCGGTGTTCGCCGAGTACAACAAGTCGTTTGCGGCAACTTGGAGAAGGGCAGTGTTGAGTCACCATGCAGATCAACCACGAACACAGCGAAGATACCCGCTGAGCTTGCGCTCTATTATGCGTTTACGTGCTATGCAGGGGACGTCTCTACAGACAAAGTCAACATTTAGTAACCTAGTAACGATTACGAAACAGGGGAGAATGCGTGTTTGAACAGGCGCTTCGGTTCAGGGACGCTTATTCGAGTGGGTACTCCGTTACTATGGGCTCGGTCCTATGATTGTCAGGGAAGTCCTGTCCTTGAGAAGATATATTGAAGCCGTACTGGTAATAATTGCAAAGCTGCTATAAGACCCGATGGAGGCTCTGGTCCCAATTGGCGGTCCTGAGGACCCTGAGCAAAGCACCACCTGATACTTGATGTGAGGGGGAAACCCTTGCAGTCCTTGGTCATTAGTATACAGCGACCAAGAGACGAACCTGTGTTCTTCATTAGCACAAATTGTCACTATAGACAAGGCAGTGTATTAAGACGTCTAAATATGCCTCTGGGTGCACGGTGGATCTTACCATAGCGCACCAACGCACTTAAGCATAGCACGCGCCACGAAGCAATAACAACCTGTACAATCGGCAGACTATTACAATCATCTTCCACTGATTTACCAAATGGACCTTTTCAACCCTGCTACTATTTATTGTACTGTAAATGTTGTTCCATGTTATGGAATCTGAGGTTGACTGGCAAGGGAGTTAGATGGTGCACCATCATCACTTGCCGAGGCCATAGCATTGGCACTTAAAAAGCAAGTAGGTCAGTAGCGTCACTTGTTCTTTCCGCACGCATCTTGACATCATAGGACTGTTTCTCGACTCTCCTTATTACCAATGTCTAATTTTCCATCTAACCCATCTTAGTAGAACGGACGCCATCAAAACAGCGTAGAGCTAGTCTTGGTTTCTTCTATTTTCGTCTATGGGATATGGATAATGTTGCAAGCAACTTGTATATTCGTGGTCGGTGGCAAGCCACAGATAGACCGACACGATGGCAGAGGGGAAGGTCTGTGGCTGTGTCTCGGTAGTCGACCGGAAACCCTGTAGATTACCCGCTGAAAATTACCACCGACCATCTAGAGGTACAGTACTTAGCACAGCGCTCTGATACGACTCTAGCTCGCACCGATGGACCGCAAGAGGCCTTTGTCTTTGCCTTTGCCTGCTGTACCCAAACTCATCGTTTTACCACAACCTGAATTGGCCTCTTCGGCGGAGCCTCTAAAGACCACAAGGGCCAATCTATTTTGACAACTGTCACTGCGGCTCGCTTTGTGAACCCAGATAATTGTTGTTTTAGTTGACTTTGCATGAGCTCCAGTGGAGGTGAGTCCCTAGCACAGCTGAAAGATCTCCATCAGATTTCAGCGCTTCGGCAATTGTGCCGATTCTCGCTGTCCCTTCGCATCCGCAGCCGACGTGTGTCAATCCAGCCACTCTTTCCAAACCAGCCGCCTAGTATCACTATTCGCATGAATCTTGCAGGCACGTGAGCATGACTAATCCATCGAATGTCCGTCTATGATGTACATTTCCAGGCGAGCTCGCGGTATGTTGAGGTCAACATGGCATACACCACTCCACAGCGCATCGACGTCACTGTGAAGCCTGTGGTCATACAAGTCAACAAGCATGGCATCTCACCAGAATCGCGTCGCCGGGCGGCGTCACGGTTCGAATGCATCATTCGTATTCTGAATGGCTGATATCAAGAACTTGCCTCGGTCGCCCCTAGGTTGCCATTCACCGCTTCTCAGACAGCGGGCCGCTAGCCCTCGATGAGTCACCCAAGATGCAACACTGCGGTGTGAGGCAAAAACCACGCAAGATCTTATTCATATCATGGCAATGAGGAGGTCTGGCTCAATTCAACCGATTAACTATTTATCAGTCTGAGATAAATGGTCTCATGACGTCAAGCATTGACAGGCAGTGTTGCGCACGTAGCTGAATATTTAAAACTGCTGTTGTCGAAACGCATAGGGACTGCCGAGGACAATCCGAGACGTCTCCCGAGTATCGCTAAGCGCCACCACGAGGTTGGATTGTTGATGAGACGGTAAACTTGTACAGTACATAATACTAATCCCGCTTGTGGTTTTGCTTTTGCGGTGCCCAGTGAGACCAGCATGCTTCTATGACAGCATCTAGAAATCTCACGTGAGTTCAAGGATTAATTCGATCGCAGCAGATCTTCCTGGACCCTACGTCAATATGCATGCTTTTGAGAAGAACACACAAAAGAAAAAAGAATTATACCGCATATTCCTGGTAGGTCTTGGCAGTAAATCCTCCAGGATTACAGTCTTCTATGGAATAGCCAAGTAGCATGGTCACAACAACACACGTTATAGTTGATAGTAACCAGACTCTACGGTGCTTATTGTGCGGTCTATCACTATCTAGCAATGTTCATGCTTTGAAATCGCTTCTGAGCTTTAGCAAGCACGCCGCCCCTTTGATGCTCATTCGTGTACAACGAAGCCTATCAAATGAACAAATCCTGCTCAAACTGATACATGAGCATTGTCTTTCATGATACCTGCCTCCTTCATACCTCGCGTCACTTCCTTGCAGACATCGTAACTGTAGAAGAACTCCTGCACAGGCGTCGAAAAGTTCATCGCCTGGTGACCGAAAAGCTCATCTCCGCAGAGCTCCTCCGCTTTCCGCCGATACTCATCCCTCGTGCCTGGTATCGTTTCGCTTAAATTTTGGACAACGTGTATATGATTTTTCAAGAGGTCGCTATACAGTTCAAGCCTCGAGGGAACATCAGCAGAATTAGTTAGGCCTTCCAGCAAAAGTTCAAGCGCCGCCGCCTCCTCGACGGCGAGGACCGCTCCCTGGGCGTGTGTAGGTAATATGGTGTGGGCCGCGTCGCCAATTATCACGGCCCGGCCGCGCCAGTATCTCAATAGCGGCTCCCTTCTGACTAGCTTGTAGATCTTGATGTCTGATGCCTTGTTGATGATTTCTCCCATCGTAGGATGGTAGTCCTTCAGCGCCTGCAGAACATCCTCGCGCGCCGCCGCCGAGTTCCAATCTTCCTTGTCACGGTCCTTGGGTTGTGTCTTGTGCCGGAGCGCGATGTTCAACGTCTGGTTATCGCGGCAAGGGTATGCGACCATGTAGAAGGCCTTTGGGATGTAGAATGGTGTCCAGTAGCCTGCAGGCTGGTTCTCGAATATTGACCGAGTTGCAGGATCCGATAGAATTGTATTCATGGGTATCAAACACCGGTAGGCCGACCAACTCAACTCTTTGACTGAATCGTCGTGACTTGTAATCTTACTGATGAACTGTGAACGAATCCCGTCCGCGACTATGATCAGATCCTTAGTTACTGTCGTACCGTCCGCCAGGGCGATCATCCCGGTATCGCAGTCAATGTCCACCACGGCAACGCCTAATCTGATTGTCGCCGGCGTTCCGGGCTGGTCGGCTTCCTCGCCCTGCGCCATTTCTTTCAGGGTAGTATGCAGGTCTACACGGTGGTAGAAGCCCATCTTAGCCCCGAATTTCCTCGGTACATCGGCAAGATCCTCCATGAACGCCGTCTCCAGCGTGTGGGCGTGCACCATGCGGAGGACCTTCGCCTCCGTGACTCGGGCTTTTACCTCGTCGAAGCCCCATGAGTCTAATATACGCGAGCCGTTGGGCGTGATGGTGATAGCAGCGCCGACCTCATTTTTGAAGGATGACCGCTCGAATATCTAGGGTAATCACCAAGTCAACTCTGGCATCAATCAACCCAGGAAACGTCGCACCGATAGCGGCACCGGACATGGGGTCAGTTCAATATTTCCCGGTGTTACCCAAAATGTTCTCTGGTCAACAAGAGATCGGGCCACTGGGGAAGTCTCACATCCTTGCAAGGAACGCGAAATGGAAAGGCTCCTCACCTCTACCTCAGCACCTATACGCCTGAGACCAATAGCGGAACTGAGCCCACCTATACCGGCGCCTATGATGCCGACCCGAAGGGCCATATTGGTTTCGTGCAAATGCTTGCTGCTGCTCTCTCTTCCTTGTTCTTTTCTACATTCTTTTTCTCAGAGCCCCCTTTCGTACGACCGTGACGCAAATATCATATCCACGAACAAGACCCAAGATGGAGAAGAAAAAAAGGGACATTTGCAATCTCCAACCACAAGAAAAATAAATACACAAAAGAGCGTCAGACAAAAAAGAAAAAGAAACCCAATTCACAGCACACCCGAAGCGCCCTCACATCTAGTCGTCACGCTAATTCTCACCTTCTTTCTGTCTCTCACTCTCCCCCTTGCGTTTTTTCTTCTTTCTTTCTCTATCCCTAGAATGGCGCTGTGCGGCAACAAAGCATTGAAGGGGAATAGGCGAAAGCGTACATCTCGGCCGTAAGAAGGCGTGGGACGAATCGCTCTAAGTTTCCGCCCACCCTTCCGAAAAGGTAGAGCCAATCTACCCTTTCCGAACACTAAGTAAGGGAGAGAACGTAACAAAAGGAAAGGAAAGGAAAGGGGAAAAATACAAACCCCAAAAAGAAACAAAACCGGCCCCATTCATTCAGATAGGTATCTTTTCGTGTACAACCCACATCATGTAGCCAATTGTCCTTACATCGAACACCGCGTATGAAAATATCAGAGAACGGCCAGAGATTCGTGATAGAGGGGCTTTGCGACGACTAACAACCACTTGCGGCCGGGAGAGTCAATCTGAGGCTCAAACAGAAACACCAAACCACGCGCCGCGGGTTACAGAAATAGCAATGCGACAAGACATTGTGATCTGCCCGACACATATCAGAAGCACCGGGGAGGCCGATTAGGTTTCCCGATCAAACGGCCCGGGCAGATCCAGCCTCGGACGTCATGGTCATTTGGTGTCACCAGAAAAAAAAATAAGATCTTGTAGCGGAAAGTTTATATCCAGCTCGGTGAACCAAACTCCACGTGTGATGATATGGAATTTAGCACGCAAACCAAAAATACCATGCATTAGTGCGCATTTTTCGATGCTCCGGCCTTGTGAAGAGCAAGCTGCCTTACGGACGAGAGTCGCCGGGGTTAGAAACAAAGAAAAAGGCTCAAGCTCGCTTAGTTGCTAAGTCTCCAGAGTTCCCTGATTACTGATCACCTATGCGAGGACACTGATTTTCCATAACCAAAACTGGAAGAATTACTGGCAAAATCAATGTGCAGCGAAACAAGGTATGAATGTTCATTGCCGTTGAAAGCTAGAATTATACACGTGCGAAACCACGTGTCGAGATTGCTCCACATCATTCAACCACAAATCTAAGTCCATGTAGCAGGCCCAAAAGTCTGACCTTCCGGTAAGACCATTTGTATAGCAGTATTCTTGGCATCCATGGTCGCCGCGACAATACGATTGCCCCACCAATCAGGCGGGTCTATATTGTTCAGCGTGAAGGCGAAGAATATAAACAACGTAGACAAGGCGAGGCCGAGATCGAGGCCCGAGGACGTCAGGAAGTTGAGTCTGCTCCACCAATTAAAGTGGCGCTTCTTAACCAGATATTGGAAGATGAAGCCTACGATACCCCAAGAGAGATAGTTCAGGGGCGTTGCAGGAGGGATTGCACCGGCTCCACCAAATATCAGTGGCGCCATCAGGTATTTAACTGGCGACTTGGGCCATTTCTTGGCGGCGTAATAGAGAATCACGGGTGTGATTGCGCCGATCACGAAGAAAATAAAGAGGCCTGAGTAGACTTGGCCGGGGGAGAAAATGCGAGCTGGTCCGATGAGACCCCAGATCACAGAGGCTGTGATTGATTGAGCTGTCAGAATCGTAGCTGAGAAAGGACAGAAAATTACTCACCAGAGAAAAAGACTCTGCCTCCAGGGCATGTGAAATGCTCAGGCTGCGTCACGGTACACACGTCATCAATATTGTTCAAGGCAAAATTGAGCACTGCAATCTGGATGAAGCAAGAGAAGGTCGTGGCAACAACCTGGCTCAAGAACATGGTCCTAGGTGGGATCTTCATATAATGACCAAATTTGAGATCGGAAACAAAGCCCAGAGCCTGAGACATTGTGATGTATCCAAAAGTTTTGAATCTGTGCGGGTTAGCATGACATAGCCCACACTAGCGACGGGTTATTGATTCAACCTACATCATGAGTGCCAATGGCCTGCCCGGCTGAATGTAGCCGTATACGAACTCAGTCAAGACATTCAGACCGATCTGATTGTTCGTGACTGCCTGGATGATACCAATGGGCAGCGCAAAGGTGAACGAGATGGCAACTGCCAATAGGAACGACCACCAGTTGAGATTGGTAGGATATGCCAATACTGTGATGAACCCTAGACCCAGCATGACCGAAAAGAGGGTCATGTACCACCAGGTAGGTGCCTCCTTGTACTTCCGCATGAGTTTCATGTGGATATCAGGTTTCTCAGTTGTGCTATTCTTGTACTGGCGCCAAATCGTCTTACTGTGATGGAGGTAGGTGTACACAATAAGAGAGGTAATAGCAGCGAATGATAGTCCGTAAGACATGGCAAATGTTGTACTGGACAATTGATTAGTATCGACAAGCTTTGGCATTCCGTGAGTAAATACCGTCATACCTGATAAAGAGGGGGGAGTAGTTCTTGTAGGCTTCTTCGTCTAATGTGAACTCCGGCGTCAAGATACGAGTTGTGTTGTAATGCGAGCCTGTGTTGTCGTATGTAGAGGCATCACTCATGGGCAGGAACTGAGCATACCATACACCGGTGTAGTGAAAGGCTGAGGCAAGACCAATAAAGAACACCACAACACCGATAAGCGTGTTTGCGATAGCGTGCCAAGGTGGGATCAAGGGGGAGCCTATATAGCCTGCAATTTGTGTCCAGTCAAAGGTGATCGGAAGCAGCGATAAACCGGTCGATCCACCAAACAGCTGGTTAATGACAGGGCTGTTTGGCGCAAGCCAGGTGGCGAAAGCAAAGACACTCAGGAATTGGGCGAAAAAGCCAGGAATGAAATAATACAAGAAAGCGCCCAGTGTGACATAAGAAAACCATCTGTATCTGGGCATGTTTCCTCCAATGACTGTTGGATCGTTGGGGGTATGTTTCTCGTACATGGCGTTCATCAGCACTACTGACACCAGGTTGCCGGGCCATATCATGGATGCCGGGTATACTAGAAAGACAATCAGCAAACTTCTTTAGCAGCACGCTTCTGGCTTACCAAGGAACTTCCTCATCATGCCAGCGATGCCATAACCCAGGCTCTGTGTTGAAATTGTTAGTAATAACTGCCAGGGAATGCCGAAATCTTGCTTATAAAATACAAGTTGCGCCAGGATAATGTCCGTGGCATATGCAACTGAGAAGGACACGCTCGCCATGACGACGATGATGGAGTGCTCCTTGATGTTGAATGGCCCAGGGTTCAAGCTCCACTTGATACCAAGCACCGGGAGAACAAACTGTTTCTTGGGCATGATCTTTTCCCAGCCTTGACCGATTGGCCATGCAATGATCTGGGCAATGAGCGCGCCGAGGCCGATCGACGGGCTCCTGAGCGAGAACAAGGTGTTCATGGAAGCACCGATGACAACAAGGAACAACCCAATCGTCCATGCCCGGACCGTGTTGCAGGGCATATCTTCATCGTAATTACGGACGGCAGCTCGAACCTCGGGATACGGTGAGTCTTCCATTTCATCAAGCCCCCTGAAATTCGACTCGCCATCTCCCATCGGATCATCCAGCTCCAGCTCCTGCATCTTCCTCTCGTGTTCTTCGGGTAGGTTCGGATCTAGAAGCATTTCGTACTCTTCACCCTCTTCAAAAGGTTGACTGTTATGGACACTAGACTCACCCCATTCCGAGAGTCGCCTCTTGAGGGCGGCGACAGGGTCGTTGTCCCTCGACGCCGCTGAGCCCTCGGCCAACTCTCGCCCACTGACTTCCAGGCTGTCTTTGTCACTCCATGATCGATCATCGTCTTCCACTATCCTTACTCGGTTAGCCGTTCCAGACGGCCTCGAGTTGGAAGTGTCATCCATCTTGTGGACTTGGCGTATGAAGAAGATCGACACTATGGAAGACAGCACATGGGAAGCAGTGAGTTCTATATAGGGGTGATCTAATGTCCAAGAGAGCTATTCGAATTGCTGGGCAGGCTAGGTCCAACTCTGTGGATCCTAGACAAACATGAAGCAACCTGCAATAGGATAAAGCGATTTGCGATAAGCTTCGGGTCGGAATCTCGCCTTCCTACTGGACGATGTGCCACACTTCCTGGTGTTCACGACTGTTTGGGATATTAAGATGGAGCTAAACTACCATGCCTTCCGTGGTCGTATATTCTGGGGGTATGGCTGATGTCAAGTACAGGCCCGGAGAAATGGAAACAACAACAGACTCAGAATTGAGCACGCAATAAGTGTCTATACTGAGCTTATCGTGTAACAAGGTTTGCGAGTGTGGTGAAGACAAGATGAGCATGAATCTTGAGATCGGAAAGACGATATCGCCGACCGCAGAGGCTGGGACGCACTGGCCAATTTACCTCACAGCCGTCCACGGAATCAACTAGCGGCCTACTGATAAGCTGAAAAGGCGTATTCCGTCGAGCATCTGGTGGTGTTTTGAAACCAATATGCGGCACAGCTTTGGTCTTGATAGGGCGATCTAGGCGATCTGAGGCTGGAGAAATCAGCTAGACTATGGCCAAGTGTCAACCTTGGCCGAATTGACGATGGAGAAACACGACGATTGCTTCCTCGAAAGTGGCGCAACCTCTTATCTGTGAAGTCGTCGTTACTGATGCAAGTTCGACGACGAATCGGTTGACTCATTCCGCGTCGAATAGTTTGTTGTTTAGGACGGCTTTGGCCTGAAACGTGTTCTCAGATACAGATACGTACTTCAGAGCACAGCCGCCAGATCGGCCTACGTAAGATATGGGTCCTAGCCTCAACTGACTGAGCGCGGCTTTGAGAAATCGAGGCGAGTTTCCGATCAAGCCATATCCGTGTAGCCTCAGTAATAAATTGGGATTCACGCAAACGAATCAAGACGAGATACTGGAAAGCATATGCGATATGTGATCCTAATGGTCACGTAGCGTTGCATTACGTGGCACCGGGAAGCTGATTTTCCAGCAGGTGCAACCCCCCAAGCCCCCTGTCTGCTCTCAGCTGGACTAGTCTAAACCACAAAAAGAATAGTCTCATATCTTGTAGACTTGCCCTTGTGATCAATGCTTTTATCGACTGGAAAATCATGTTTTTCGGAATCTTACGCGACATACCTATATAGACGAGAGCCATGATTTGATTGGTGGTTGGTCGTGTGTTTCATACAATGCCCGCGTCCAGTAACTCGCACCGAGCTATCTTTTCCCCCGACGTCCAGGTTGTGGAAGTGTGATGCGCCGGGTTGTCGTTACCGGTCTAGGCGCTATCACGCCTCTGGGTGTGGGCGTTCGACGTTCATGGACTCGCCTCCTTGCCGGTGAGTCCGGCATCGTGAGCGTCGCAGACTTTGAGCCTCAAAATCAGTGGCGTCATCTTCCGAGCACGATAGCAGGGATTGTGCCCAAAGGAAGTACCAACGAAGGCCGATGGGATCCGCATCATTGGCTTACTGCTACTGAGCAACGAAGAACGTCGACTTTCGCCCAGTATGCAATGGCTGCCACATCAGAAGCTCTTGAAGATGCTGGCTGGGAGCCGCAACGGCAGGAGCAGCTTGAGGCCACCGGTGTTTGTCTTGGGAGCGGTATTGGCAACCTCGACGAGATTTACAACACCAGCCTGACATTCAATCAAAGCGTGAGTCCACTCGGTTGCTTCTTGTGTGTGACCAATATCTAGGTACTAATAAAGTTCACCTCTAGGGCTACAAGAAGGTATCTCCACTCTTCGTGCCGAAGATTCTTATCAATATGGCAGCAGGTCATATAGCCATGAAATATGGGTTTCGAGGACCAAATCATGCTGCGACAACAGCTTGCACCACTGGGGCTCATTCCATAGGGGACGCTTCGCGCTTCATAGCATTTGGTGATGCTGATGTCATGGTTGCTGGCGGCTCGGAGTCTTGCATTCATCCATTGACCTTTGCTGGATTTGGCAGGTCACGGTCTTTGTCCACGGCGTTCAACCATGATCCTCGATCTAGCTGCCGACCCTTTGATCGCAGCCGTGATGGTTTCGTGGTTGCTGAAGGAGCTGCTGTGATGATCCTTGAAGAATTGGAGCATGCCAAAGCAAGAGGAGCGCATATCTATGCTGAACTGAACGGCTATGGCTGCAGCGGTGATGCTTACCAAATGACGGCGCCTCGAGAAGACGGATCCGGTGCTTATCGTGCCATGAAGATGGCACTGAGGCACGGTGGTATCAAGCCAGGCGAGGTCGATTATATCAACGCTCACGCTACAGGGACCTCGATTGGCGACACTGCAGAAGCTCGTGCGATCCAGTCCCTGATGGTGGGACCCGAAGGTTATGCTGAGGACGGTGAAGTAGCAGTGAGCAGTACCAAGGGATCAATTGGACATCTCCTCGGAGCAGCCGGCGCCATAGAATCTGTCTTTTCGGTCCTCGCCATCACAGATGTGGGTCACATACTGTCAACCCCTTTCATAGACATGTACTGACGATTCCCCCAGAATGCTATCCCGCCCACGATGAACTTGGTGGAGCCCGACATCGAACCGAAGTTCAATCTGGTGCCGTTGGAAGCGCAGAGCAAAAAGGTCAACACAGCCATGTCGAATAGTTTTGGCTTTGGTGGCACCAACGCGTCTCTGGTGTTTTCTCGATATGAGAACTGAGTCTTTGCATGATGCTCCATTCTGGATGTTCGGCTGAATGTGCAAATGCCTCTGGCAGCGTCAGACACAGCTACATTATATAATGCCAAGTCCTGCGAGAGACTCCTATCAAAAGGACATGGCGAACGATGGGGGACTACTTCCGTGCAGATAGATACGTGAAAACTAGGATTAAGAACTAAAAATCAAAAACCAAACAATTTGCCGCGTCCTTGCAAGGGCAGATACATTCTACACTGCTCTCTTTATGCCTATTTTACTCAAGGTTACTGCAAGTCACCTGAATACGACAGTACGCACCTTGAGCCCACTAGCGTCCGACGCACCGCCTCCGGAGCTCTAATCCCTGGCGTCGATCAGCGCAGCTCAAGCTTCACTAGGTGCACTTTTTTTTCTCTCCTCGAGAAAGTCCTGAGATGTCAATGACGCGAAGACCCTGAAGACCCTCCTCTCACTACCAACCGCAATTCACACCATATCCCATCAAAGGCTTTCCCCTCCATCCAACCCAATTGAGACGAACCCGAGCCAACGAGCAATACGCACGACACATTAATAAATTAAATTAAAATGGCATGCAGAAGCTGCAGACGAACGCTCCTAAGGGACCTATCAACGCGACACGGCGGCCTCGTCGCATCATCCACTGATGCTCAGTCCCTCGCCCTCGCAAGACAATTAAGCCGCCAGCAGATCGTAGCAGCGGCGGCGGCAGCATCACCATCATCCACAACGCCCATTCAGCAGCAAAGACGAGGATTCAGGACCTCGGCGCAACGCCAGCAGTCATGGCTCAAGAACCTCGGGAGCCTCATCGGCAGGTCCGTGGCCGAGCCGTACCAGGTGCACGCCGCCACCGAGACCATCTACAAGGCCGCCGCCGCCGAGGCCGCGTACACCATCTCGGAGACGGACAAGCGCAACGGCACCGTGAAGAAGACGGAGGAGGGTGAGGAGATCGGCACAGGTAGCACGACGTGGCATACCGGTACGTTTGCCCCCCGCCTTCCCTTCCCTTCCCATCCCCCGTACTATTACATTCCTATGTCCACACTTTGCCCAGGCTTTCTGGTTTCTTCTCTCCTTGATTTTCGGCACCACGATACATACATATATACACCAGATTATTCACTTTGAAAGGACCTGAGAAGAAGAACACATGACGAGGAAGAAGGGAAAGAAGAAAAAGAAAGAAAGAAAAGAAAAAGAAAAACTGACATGTACTCCCAAACAGACTTCGACCTCCAGCCGACCTTCAGCACCTGGTCCCAGATCACCATGCTGCACCTATACCTCATGTACGCGCGGCTGCGCAACCTGCCGGCGGACTCTGCGCGGTCGTGGCAGAAGCAGCTGACGGACCACTTCTTCTTCGACGCCGAGGAGCGCATGGACGTGGTGCACGGGCTGACGTCGCGGGGCTTGCGGCACCGGTACCTGAAGGACCTGTTCATCCAGTGGCGGGGCGTCATCGCCGCCTACGACGAGGGCGTGACCAAGGGGGACGCCGTGCTGGCCGCCGCTGTCTGGCGCAACGTCTACAAGGGCCGCGCCGACGTCGACGCCCGCAACCTGGCCGCCATCACCGCCTACATGCGCGCCTGTCTCAAGAGCCTCGACGCCACCCCCGACCAGTCCCTGTTCTTCGCCACGGCGAGCACGTTCAAGCTCCCGGCCAGGCACGAGTTCAGGTTGGTGGACCTGCCCGCGAGAGAGTTGGAGGGCGTCCTGCCCTCGTCGCCGACGCCGCCGTCGTCTTCACAGCAGCCTGCGCAGACGTTTGTTTCCGAGGCAGCGCCCAGGATAGTCAAGGAGGCCGTGTAGGTCAAGGACTTGCATTGCTGCATAGGATCTTGTTTACTGTTGTCGTTATTATTGTTATTGTTGTATTATGATTGTACATATCATGTATCATATCTCTCCCAATCGCCCTGCGGATGGCAGAACCAAGAAACTCACCAACAAACCATCTTGGCCTTTGATTTCCCAGCTGTCCCTCATTGTTTCTCCCTCTGTCCTCGCATGTGGGAAGGTGTTGGTGCTGGAAAAACGGAACGACGAAGGCTTCGTGAGTCCCGGGTTTCCCTAGCGAAGAGGCCTGCACTTCTCGACTCCCGAGCCGCGGCAGAAACGGACCACAGCTATTATAATACATTATAGTTCAGCCACACTCCCATCGGCTGCCAGTGCTCAGAAATTCCGCATCGAAGTGCGAAACGCCCGAAGTCATGTAACCCGCTCGGGATTGATTGGACAGGTTTTCGTGATACGTTCCCTTCATCACGACCTTTTCTCAAATAATCATCTTCCACAGGGAAGCCTCCCGGTCCAGGGTCTCGTGATCGCCAATCTCGAGCTCCTTGTTCATCCTCTCGATCCACTCGTCCTCGGACCTCCGCGCCTCCTTCTCGATATCCTGCATGAGCTCCATTTCCGCAAGCATGTCATCTACCAGGCTCGTAGACCCTCCCAGGGCTCTCGAGAGGCTCGATCTCTGCGCCCTGTCCTCCACGTCTCCAGGCGCGGGCCCGATCCCGTCCAGCATCCCTCTCCACCCCTCGAGCTTCCTCACTAGGCCGGCACAGTCGTCCTTCCACCTCGTGTCTAGATCGCTGACGAACAAGATCTCGCCGTCCCGGACTAGATGTTCCTCTGCCTTCCCGCTCTTCCTCGCTCTCACGACACCCGCCATGCGCTCGGCCCATGTCTCGAAATCCTCGACGACCCTATTATACCGACCACCGGGCTCGCTGAGGGCCCAGACGCCGTCCAAGACCTGATCCAGGACCTGGATCTTGTCCTCCAACCCTCCCGCTGTTGCCTCCCCGCCACTTTTCGCAGATATTGAGTTTACCGATCCCCAGCGCACTAGAGCCGCGGCGTTCCGCCCCTCGACGCCGTCCCGCTCTTCCACGCAGAAGTCGTCGTGCTCCCGGGCGACGCGGCGGAACCTCGCGCCCAGCTTCCTCCGCGCGCTGTCGTGCCACTGGCGCGCGACGGCGCCGGCCTCGCGGTGGATGAGGGAGAGCTGCAGTAGCTCCGTCTGCAGCCGCGACGTCTCGGCGCTGATGGCCAGGTTGGCGGGCAGCTTGGAGGGCGATGGTGGCGCCAGGTAGCTCGCGGTCAGGGGTTTTGGGGCGTGGGATTTCAGGGGCGAGTAGTGCTGCTGGTTCGTGTTGAAGGTTGGGCGGCGGGGCGGCGCTACTGCTGCTGCAGGTGCGGCGGCCGACGGGGCTTGGGTTGCTGTGGTTGCCGTCGTTGTGCTTTGAGATGAGTTTCGGGTGTGAGATGACAAGAGGGTGTTGGTGCGCGGTCTTGTTGGGGTCGATATCGATGTCGTCTTGGGCGAGGGAGGCGCATTCGAGACTGGTGGTCGGAGTGTAGTCGCGGCCGACAGCGCGGTCGCGGTGCTCTTGGCTCTCGCATGGCCGAGCGGTCGGGACTTGGGCGCCGTAGGAGAGGGCAGACCACCGGAAGATGTAGGACGTTTTACGCCGGCCGAGGGCACCCTTCTGCTCACGCCTGCTGATGTCGTCGCCGTCGTTGTGGACGTCGTTGTGGAGGATGTTGTGGAGGCAGGTTCGCGCGCGCGAAGCTGGCGGATCGAAGGTGCTCTGCCCAGCGGCCTGGACGGCAGGGGCGCATGCGCAGGCGCATCATCAGGGGCGGTTGGGTTCGCGCGCCGCGCTGCCCCTGGCGTTTTCCCCGAGAATAGACCTGCCAGTGACCTTCCCGATGCCGTGGTTGTCGTAGAAGCCGTCGCGGTGCTGCCCGCCCTGCTCCGGGCAGCGGCGGATGCGGACGAAGCTGCTGTCGTAGTGGCCGATCGTGTCAGGGGTTTGACCTGAGGTAGTCGGCTCGGCGACGGGTTCCTGGCTGCATTTCTGGTCGGGGGGTCGTCCTTTTGCGTCGACTGGTTCCTGGATGTTGCCGGCTGCCGTATGGACCGGGTTCGGCTCAGCCCCGTTGTCGAAGACATGCTGGCCGCGGCTTGTTGGGTGCAATGTTAACTCAATGGATGTTTATGTTTACTTGCGTTCAGAAGGGGGTGAGTGCCGTCCCCCGTCCAGCACTACGCAGCTTAAATTAGTGGGGAGTCCAGGGTTCTGCTAGGCTACTAGGTTAGGCTGCTAGGCGGCTACCTACTGTAGGTAGCACTGGGTGCTACAGGTACCCCAAGTCCCCCGCCGCGTTGTTAGCGCGTGGTAACCCGGAGCTTAAGTTAGCACTACCAACTGCCTTCGATACCAATTGTCTTCGATAACGATGCCTTTCGGCACGGCATACTGTGCTTAACTCCATCCATACGTAATTAATAAGGGTCACGGGGCAAGCGACACTGAGACCCCTCGCCATAGATCACAACCGGCTCGAGGACAGAAACGATCACGACCTTTCATCGGCTCTGCTCTTGCGAGCTAAGGCTGCTTTCCTGAAGAAACAAATGACGACCACGAGGTGTCTGTCCTACGGAAACGCTTCCACCAACACATGCCTCGAGGGCAAAACGTTAACAAGTCTTACAAACCATATTTAAATACCGGAACATGTCAAATATCTAGGAGCATTGCAGTCTCTTAACAAAATGTTAATGTTAATTGGTGTCTCATGACTCTCTTCTCGGAACGTCATGATGTGGTATCTATCTTATATACACTTCCCTCCTCCAGGGCGCGGGTTTCCAATTTTATCCTCATAACCGCCCACATCCTTTTATATGCCAGTATCCCTATAGTCCTTATAAAAGCCTAGGACAATTTGATATCTTTAGAATAGTACAAAACAAACGAAGAAGAAAAAAAGGGAAGAAAAGAAGGAGAAGAAAAAGGAAGAAGGCGCTCGTCCTGGCGCATCTCGATCGTTCTCCCTAAACGTCCTTCTCTATTGTGCAGCGGTCGCCACACCCTTGCTCTTGCCCATGTCTTGGGTCTTGCCGGCCAATGAATCAAAGTCCAGCTCCCCGATTTTGCGCCCAGTGAGGACGTCCGCGCAGCCGACACAGACCCGGATGCCGCAGGTCTTGCACAAGCGGCGGTGGCCCCGTTCGCCCTCGTGGCAGAGCATGCAGGCGATCGGGACGGACGAGTTCTCCATGTGCAGCCAGCGCCTGTGGTCAGACAGGCATGCTATGTGATCGCTAGTGAGTTCCTTGCACGGCCAGACACCTTGCTTGTTCGGGCTCGCCTGCGCCCAGTTCCAGTTCTCGCGGTTCACCACCCTGCTGATGGCATCTGAAAGACTCCTTTCTTCTTGGGGCGTGAGCTGCAGGGGCTCCTGGTCCTTGTACTCCACCGGAACCCTCGGGGCTGCTCTTGCCCTCGGTGACGTGACGGTCAGCTGGGGTGCCGCGGCCAGCCGGGGTGCTTGAGGAGGGTTCGAAGGGCGACGGGCTCGAGGCGATGAAAGAGCCGCTGCGGCCGCGCTCTCTTGGAACTGTTGGAGTTCTTCGGGGAACTTCTCCTGTGCCGCCTCCCGCTGAATGCGCTCGCTCCGTTCGGCTTCCGATCTCAGACTGATCGCGCTCCTGGCTTCCCGCAAATGCTGAGCGGGGCTGGCTTCTTGTTGAGCCTGCATGGGCTGAGTGCTGGTTTTCGAGCCTACCTCGCGGCGCCTGATTGACTTGGCCGGTGGCTCGGGCGACGACAGTGGTGAAGCCGCACTCATGGTTGCTTTGACTTGCTGGGCGGACAGAGGTGCCGCTTCACTCTTCTGTGTCGGCGAGTCCTTAGGAGGCTTCGGAGGCGCAACTGTGGTCTGCACCTCTGGTTGCCGCGGTAGTGGCTTGACGTTGCGACCTGGTAAGGCAGAGCTTGCTTTAGGCGGTAGCGGTGACGCCTTATTGATGGTCTCGCTCGGTATCGCCATCATCGGATCCGCTAAGGACTCTTGCGACGTTCTGGGTGCCGCTGGCGGCGCCGTGGTTTCCGCCGTTGACCCATTACTTAGGCCCAAGTTGAGCTGAGCTACCGCTATGTTACGATCCGACTTGGAGGATGCTCTTCTCCGCCAGATCTCCCGCCTCGGCGGCGATGCGCTCGTCAGAGTCACCTGGCTCGACGAGTCGTCAGTGATCTGGGGCGAGGGTGCCATTCCCGGTCGTGGCGTTGAGGGTAGTCCGACGCGTGGTGTGATCGGCCTTGATGCTTCCTTCATTGGCGGAGGCAGCGGCAACGGTTCATGCATCATGATCTCCTTTTCCTCGGGCGACGGCTCCTCATACGGACTCCTGCTGTATGCCTTGTACGCTTTTGCGCCATGCTCCCTCACTTCCCCACGCCCTGCCTCCCTCTCTGGTGAGAGGGAAGCCACGCTCCCCTTGGTGACTGAACTTCCTTGTGAGGATCTATGTACAGAGTCTGAGGAAGTGTTTGAGTATGCTGACAACAGACTCGAGATGGAGGAGACACGCTTTAGTTTTTTTGCATCCGCCATCTCTGTCTGGGCAGGCTGGGCTGGTGGTGGTGGCAATGATCCCACAGCCGGCGGTGATCCTACCGCTTTCCTCGGTATCGGCGGCATCTTCTTTTGGAGTTCTGGCTCTGATGCTTTTGCCGGAAGCGCCGGCAATGGTAGCTCTTGAGGTCTGGGTGCGAACCGAGCACCCACACTATCCATCCTGGGTGGGAAAGCCGTTGAAGTCGCCACGTTGGGCAGATCTGGTAGTTTTCGAGGCACTGTATAAGCTGGCGAAGCGGCCTGGGAAGTTTCTTGCGGAGGGGGTGGCATAGGCAGCGCTTTTGAGAAACGCGAGCGGCCAGCCGTCCTCGGGGTCTGCAGCATGGTCGTGTCCATGATTAAGTGGCCGTGTTACAAGACGGCAAGGACTAGGAACGCGGGCGAAAATGAGGCGATTGATGCAGTATAACGAGAGTAAATTACGCTTGAGTGTGCGGGCCTAGAAATCATGCCTTCAGATGGCATTCCCTTGCCCCCTCGTTTATCCCCGGAATAGAAACGCGAAGGAAGGCCCGTTGGTCTGGTTGCAGATATATTCCGCCGAATGTCGTGTGGGTTGCCGAACCCTGTCCTATAGTCGGGCTAATGCAGGTACAAAAAATCTCACGCAAGCAATGTGGAGGTGCCTAGAATTCCAGACTGCAGATCCAAGTGTTCAAAGTCCCACGACCCGCTGCCAGAGATGTTCCCCTTCACGTCAAGAGGCTTATTGATATGGGCTGTGCCTTGGTAGAAAATGATCCGCTGCTATGACATCAATAGATCATTGAATGATTCCGGGTCGCGACCCCTGAGCAATATGAAACTGTAAGTCGATCAACCCTCAACTTTATCGAGATTGGATAGGGGCCCGCACTCAGATGAAGACCAACGCGTTGTGTAGCAGAGATATAATTTTGACCGATGTAGCACAAAAGAAAACATTGAAATACAGACAGCAAAATGACTAGGTGACGAACATGGTATAGCTATTATCTCTTATGGCGACACAAACGGTGTCTTCCCCCTTTTGCTCTTTGTTTTTTGAACATGAGGTCTTATTTTCTTCAATTTCCCCTGGAATGTGAGACAACAGCGACTGTGTTCAGAAGTGTAGTATCAAGTAAGTTAGCTACCCAGCCACAGCCGCTTCGTCATTGTCAACTAGACTAAACACTAGAACGGCCTAGGAGAGGAGGGGATGACGGCGCGCGGATGGCCCAATGGGCAGAATCTTTGGGTGTTCCCTGGAAAGCGCTGGCAAGCCTGGAGTATGGCTTCGCATCAAGCGCAAATGACAGGAATAGCATTTGCTCTCCCGAACGTTTCATCCGGAGATCCATGGGTCCGTCTGCACCCTATCAAGGCCATCATTTGGTACCCACCCCAAGCCATTGGACCATTAGGATGCGCCGGAAAGCCTCGAACAAACCTCCAGCCTCCCAGTAACTATGTTGGAAAACACATGTCGGAGACCACGATTGATCTCCCCATGCTTGCAGTGTCAATCCTTCATGCAGCCATGATTATGCTTGATTTGCCGTGCATACTCTCGGTTAACGCTGAGATTTAGCGATCCTTTCACATGTGCTGTATCATTGCCTTACCGTATGCAGTGCTCATGGTTTCTTTGAACGGTCTCTGGCAGCTCATTCCAGATTTCCAGGTTGAATAAATAAATAAATAAATAAATAAAAACCGACCTCATCTATAAAGTTTACCGTCCAAGGCGACCCAAGGATTTCCCCCAAAAGATGCGCTACTTAAAAGTGCATGTCAGCTTTGATACACACGTGTGTCTGTCCCTGCATTAGCGGTAAGACCGCGTCGGCTGAAGATGAGTCGTGAGGGTCGATTTGCTGCGCCTTGGCTTTACGTTAGAGGAAACCTTGGGGACGTGTTGGCTGTTTTTGGACACGAATTTTTTTTTTAATTTTTTTTTAATTTCGTATTTGTAACCAGAGGTCGTGCTTCTAGTCCCTGCCGCCGACCGCGCTTGTATGGCGCAATATGGTTGATTTCAAGCCAGCATCTGTCTTCTAGCTATTCACGTGTCTACACAACGAGCAAGGCTTCTCTCGGAGATTTGCTTTTTCGCCTGTCTAAAGTTCCTCCGCCTCATGCATGGAACGCAGAATCTTCCCAACCCAGCTCCACTAGGTTCTAACTCGATGGCCATACTATACTTGTTCATACCAACGACTTCCGATGTTTGTTGTATTTCATGACAAGCCAAGCTCGGTGATTACCAACCATGACATCCGTGAATGTTCGTGTCCGCCACTTGACAATACCAGGCGTTCTTACAACCACTCTCAGATTATGCAGTAACTGCAGTTGAATGCGATGTGGCATTGGTCATCGGCAACATGCCCTCAACCGAAATCCAAAGGCCTCATAAGTCTTGGGTAATGAAAATTGCAAGATACCAGTAAGCGTGTGAATTCTTGAAAACGCCGATAGGGTGACTCCGGTACCCGATGTGCTGGAGCTCCTCTTCAGCGGGGAAAAGACTTGGTGCCATAACGCCGATCGCGTTGACGCAATCGGAGATGCTCCGACGCCCGGGAGCCACGGATTGCTTTGGCACTAGAGTTTTTCGCGATTTGTGAGGCAGAAGCATCAAACAAAGCGTAGATAGTTGTCGCCTGTGGTGTGTAGAATCAGTCGAACGTCGTCGAGATGTCCAGAGAAACTATCCCCCAGGAAGCTGCAGCAGCGTCGGAAACCGCACCCTTGCTTGGTGCCAGTTCCTCAGAAAACGGCAATCCTGCGAAGCTCGATAGCAATGGGACTTTTACAGACCCCGAACATGCAGCAAATGGTGGTGCTCAGAATGGATCTGGCGAACAAGTCAACGACAATGGCCCCAAGTTAAAAGTCAACATGGCCTCCTTGCTACCGGCTCTGGCTATCGGCGTAAGTAATATTCGCTTGAAGCACGGAATTTCGTTGACACATGACTGAAGATCTTCCTTGTTGCCATGGACCAAACTTTAGTCATCGCAACGTATGGAAAGATCGGTTCTGATCTGAAGGCTTTGAACAATACCAGCTGGATTGCCACGTCGTAAGTGTCAAGTTTCTCGAGTACAAATCGTAATTACTAATCTTAATACAGATACTTCTTGACCCTCACGACTTTCCAACCCCTCTACGGGAAACTGAGTGATATTTTTGGCAGGAAAGAGTGCCTGCTATTTGCTTACACTGTCTTCGGCCTGGGATGTCTCGGCTGTGGACTTTCTCAAGATATCACTCAATTATGCGTTTCGAGAGCCGTCGCTGGCATGGGCGGAGGTGGCATGAATGCTGTTGTCTCTATCTTGATGACAGACCTGGTTTCTTTACGAGACCGCGGTGTCTGGCAAGGTTATATCAACGTCGTCTTCGCAGCCGGAATCGCGAGCGGTGCTCCGCTGGGTGGTTTGGTAAGTAGTCCAAAAACATTATGCAGGTTCTAGTGAATCTTTGATTGTACCCGTTGGACGAATTCTCCCAATGACGATCAGAAGGAGTGGCTAACATGCTGATTGGTTTAGATGGCTGACTCAATTGGCTGGCGCTGGGCATTCATTGGTCAATTTCCCATCGCAATTATCGCATGGTCTGCGGTGTTTTTCGTGCTCGACCTGCCCAAGACTGATCATTCACATTGGATCGAGAAGTTCAAGCGCATCGATTTCCCTGGAGCCATCACTCTCAGCGCTGCGGTGTTCTTGCTGGCTTTCGGTCTGGACAATGGCAGCAACGAGGGCTGGAGCACAACTGAAACCATTGTCCCGCTTGCTTTGACCCCGGTACTCCTCGTGGGTTTCATTTTGATCGAGAACAAGATCGCCTCGCACCCTTTCGCGCCAGGTCACGTTATTTTGGACCCGCCCGTATTGGCGGCTTACGGGGCCAATTTCTTTGGTGTTGCAGCGCAGATGGGATCATGGTTTTTCGTGGCACTCTTCTACCAGGGTGCTCTGGGTCTCACGGCATCTCAGTCCGGGTTGATGTTCCTCCCGGGCACCGTAACCGGTCTGATTGGATCGCTCGGAGGGGGTTTCGTTATGAAGAGGACTGGCAAGTACTATTGGTTGACGCTTGCTGGCTACGCCATCGTGCTCCTCAGTCTGGTATTGATAGCGCTGTTCTCAGGGGTGGTCGAGAAATCCCTTGTGGGTGTACTGGTGGCTATGGTCCTCCTCGCGTTTGGGGCGTCAATATCGATTACGACAACGCTTATTGCAGTCATCTCGAACACCGCTCCTGAGGACATGGCGGTGGCTGTAGCTTGCTCATACCTGTTCCGCTCCCTTGGTACGACTATCGGTATCAGCATCTCGACAGCTGTTTTACAGCAAGTTCTGAGGACAGAACTTGCGGTTCGCCTTAGCGACAGTCGAGCGGATGAGATAGCTGAGCGCGTCAGGGAGTCCCTCGACTACATCCGAGAATTGCCCATTGACGTGGCAAATGTTGTTCGGGACTGCTATGCGACTGCGACCTCTTGGGCTTGTCTGCCGGTCATAATCATGATCATTCTTTGCCTGATCTCAAGCGCATTTATCCGTGAGAAGAAACTGGAAAGGTAAGATATGATTCTGTGCAGATACAAGCAGCATGCAACTGGGTTTACGGGTGTGTCACGTGGCATATTTTCGCAGTCCCTGGCGATCGAAGGTGGTACGGTGCCGAGACTGATTGTTGTAAGACCAAAAGGAAAAATTGCTGCTAAGAGGAGCATATTGAGAGAACAATACCATGTAAACTTCTAGAAATAGAGCAGTCTATGCTTTTGGTTCGGGTAGGATGTGGTGACATATCCAATAAGGATTTGCGGATAACTCGCCTAATCGATAGAATTACTACTTTCATGTGCCGCTCGACAACAGGTCCATTGTGCTAGATGATCCTTATCTACTTATATTTGTATGCAGTTTCAATGAGACAGGCGCGGAAAGGTAAAACTACATACACTGTTGCGATTACCACGGCTTGGTTTTTGCGCTCAGCCAATCCGTCAGCCTGCGGATAATATGCCGTGTTCGTTAGAAAGTGACTCCCCGGTACCGTCTAAAAAAGATTTATATATACAAACCTCTCTAGTAGTCTCGAGGCGGCTTTCCGCGTCTCGGTCTTATAGTGGTAGTAGGAACGGGTCAATTAGAAGCGCGAACAACTCATTTGCACTGCAATTCTAACCCTCACGAAGAGTATGTGCTAAATATTCCTAAGCCATTTTCTCCCACATTTGAAACTCATACTCTGTCCCATTCTCCTCTTGTACGCCTTCTGGTACTGTCTCCCCTGTATACTCATCGAGCTCCTCTTTCGAGCTCTTCACCCACTTGCTGTCACCCTGTGACTCAAAGAGCTTGAGTGAGAAGAACGTATCGCATTCAAAGTCACTCATGACCTTGGTTAGCAGAATTCTTTTTGTTTCCTTCAACTGCAGGGCGGCGCTATAAATCTGCGCTCCGCCGATGACATACGCCCTTTCGATGTTCCCTGAAGCACTGGAGTTGACATATTCGACAGCCTTCTCCAGCGAGTTCACCTTGACAGGCTGGGCCTCGGAAATAGCCGCTTTCTCGGCCGTATCAGAATAAGAACGGCTGATGACGATGTTCAGGCGCCCCTTCAACGGCCTGAACTTGGGTGGGATGCTTTCCCATGTTTTGCGCCCCATGATCACTGCGTTTATAGCAGAAGGTTGTGCCTACTCCGGGTGAGATGAAGAAACACGATGGAATTGGGTAGACAACTCCTTACATCGGAAGGCAGCCTTTTCGTGACTCTTGCAAAATAAGCCATCTCCTTTTTCAGACCTGTCCATGGCAGCCCACCAGCATGGCCGATGCCCATGTTCCTCGTTGCCGCAAGGACCAAAGTCAGCTCTGTCGGTAGCATGGCGGCTGTAGATTCTGATGACATATCAAGGATATATGGTAGAAGTTTCCTCTAGTAACTATGTTTTCAGATATTGTTGCTTGGAATTGCTTTATGGGGAAAAATTCGGCTGCTGTAAAGTGGTAATTAACTAAGATCGCGAGAGTGACGCGCGAAAAGATTTAAATGGAGGGGCACTCGTAGTCTTGAAACCCACTGAACACCGCTGTGGGGTTACATATCGCTATACTTTACAGCGCTCAGAAGGTCAATAGAATTACACCTCTGTAGTGTTCACCTTATTCAACAACCGCTTCCTTTCCAAAGCCTCATGAGAAGTAAATGTTCCTATTTGTTGGTCGTGTATCGATTACGATGTTTACAGTAGCGTATGTATTGACTTATCGGGCAACATCAGATCATATGCAGTACTCTAAGGTCGCTTCCCAGCTTACAAGCAACAAACATGTCACAAGTATAATTATATTCTAACTGCAACGGCGGAATTATACGCACATGTGAAATGTAAATCAAACTGCAACAGCAAGCTCTCTTGCTTCCTTTAATCTCTTCTCCTCGTCTTTCTTCATGGCCTCCTGTATTCTAACTCTCTCTGGGATGACCGCCTCTCTCGGTTTCGTTATCCTCCACCCCTTCAATTTCTCCTCGCCGCCGAGACTCTGAATAGTCTTTTGTTCGACAAGACTATACTTTCCGTCCTCTCTTTCGAAACGGAAAGGCTCCTGTAGACTCACTGGAGGATTCGTGATGACCCGGGGTATCCTCAAGGCATTGTTGGTTGCCGAGTGCATCATCAACGGATGTAGCAGGTACACATCGCCGACCTCGCCGGACGCCTCGACAAAGCTCTCGCAAGTCTGCGTGGCATCACAGTACCACTGCAGGTTCCTCTCCCTTGCGAAGTCCGGGTGGTCCCGCGGCACCATCCGCGGCGACACGCCGTCGGGGTGCTCGAACAGCCAGCTCGCGACCCGGGGTATGGCATCGGGGCAGATCATGGTGCCGCCGCCGTCGGGCCGTATGTCCGTGAACAGCGGTATGACGAGCAGGCCCTGCTCGGGGCTGTCCAGGTAGTGGACGAAGAAATCGCCGTCGACGTGCCAGTTGTCGAGCTCCCGGGGCGGGACGGGCCTGCCCTCGCCCTCGGGTGACCCCAGGTTCACGATGAAGGAGTCGCGCCAGTGCCGCGAGCCGGCCTCGATACGGTCCTCGCCGCCACAGAGCTCGCAGATCGCGTACCAGGCCCTGGGCGCCACCGCCGAGGCGTCGAACGTGCTGTGCGAGGGCATGTTGATCCGCGGCTTGGTCCAGGTCGACTTGTCATCGGGGGACATGCCCAGGCGCGTCCATAGCCCCGAGGTCAGCTCAGCGGCTTGGGAGCGGCTGAAGCAGTTTTTGAGGTGTAAATAGCCATATTTGAGGAAATGCTCCTTTTCCGCTTCGGTCAGGGGAACAGGTGGTGCTGCCATGTCGATATGGCAAATGGGATGTTCTCTGCAGACTTGGCGATGGGGGCAATATACCTGGACATAAATAACTTGTCCTAAGTATAGATAAAAACTGCTCGTACTGACAACTTCATTGTGTCCAGCTTTATACTCGCCCGATCCCACCTTACTCGGGCGGTATGTATGCAGCCTGACGGGAAAACGGGAAACTGGGGTTGGAGCAATTATGATGCGGGGGAAGTAACAGAATCTAACCACGAAAAGGGTCCAAAGGGCTCGAAATGTGGTTACAGAGCAATCAGTATTCTTACTCTATGATAGAAACAGCGATCAAATAGTCATATAAACAAGCTAGTGCGAGTTTATCATCAAGATCCAAAGAGACTAAGACATTTAGGCTAAATGGGAATACCGCTTGAGTGTAGGCTTCTAGTCCGCTTGGAGTGTGGTCTCATTGTAGACAGGTTTATTTAAGTCTAGATTCCTCTAATTCTATATCCACGATTGGCCGATGGCCATCCAGCTCATCGGGTGCTGAAAGCCGTTGGTGTTCTTCTGCAGAAGAAATCACGACTTTGCGGCTCGTAGGTCACTAAGCTTATCAACGTAATAAGCAGGTACGGCGACGGCGTCCTTTGCCTCCCAATCGGCCTTCTTGTTAACGCCTGTTAGTACAGCGAGTGTGCCTCCCAAACCTCCTTCGACACCAAACTGTATGTCAGTATTGAGCCTGTCTCCCACCATGCAGGTCCGCTCTCGGTCAAGATGAAACTTTCCCTCTATAGCATCCATCATAGCTTGACTAGGCTTGCCCAGAGAGAGCGGTTGTTGACCCGTCATGTTCACCAGTGGGATCGATATGGAGCCCGCGCCAGGAAAGAATGTATGGCTGTTCGGAAGAGTGCTGTCTAGGTTCGTAGCAAGGAATTTAGCGCCGCGTTGCAGGTATTGAAATCCAAGAGAAAGCTTCAGGTAGTTGATGTGGAAGTCCAGACCTGCAAGTACGACTCCCACCTCGGGATCCAACAAAGACCCGTCAGCGATCTTGCCATAGTCCTCGGGGGTAATGTCTCGTCTCAGCGCAGGGTCGGTACCACCAATAAAGGGGACATTTTCAGTGCGCAGCTCAGTCTCGATACCACTCTCACCGATCACAAAAACCTTGTTCTTTCCCTCCGGCAGCTTCAATATGCGCGAGATGTAGATGGCGGACGAGTATGCTGATGCAAATATCTCCTCAATATTACTTGGAATGCCCATAGACGTCAGCTTCTTCTGATAGTCTGCGCGGGACTTGGTTGAGTTGTTTGTGACGAAGACAACTTTCTTGCCTGCAAATTACCACGTTCAGAAGTTGATCTTTAGCAAAACAATTTGAAACATACTGACCTCTAGAACGAAGCATCTCCAAGGTTTCTACCACGCCCTCGAAAAGATGATCTCCTGACCAAAGGACCCCTATATCTAGGATCAGCCATGGCATTTCGTGCTAATCAATCGTGACATACCATCGCAGTCGAAAAGAAAAACCTAGGTCCAGCATTAGTAAGATGAACAGCCATGAAAACTCATTGCTTACGTCAAAGCGGTCGATGAACTCGTTTAGAGCCGCTGGATCGCCCGTGAGGTATTTAGGTTGTGCCATTCTCGCTGCCGCCCAGAAATGCAAGAGAGGCAAATAGTAGTCCAGAATGCACCTGGGACGTTATGATTTTAGGTAGCTTGCCGACGAAGTTGCTGTGGTTGTAGTGTGGCAGTCTGGGAAACGAAATACTTAACTGAACTTGAGTCGGTCAACTCGCCGACTCATCGACGCCAGCCGGCACCGGCCGGACTTCATGTGGATTCGCCTCAAGTAATAGGAATGGGCTTTCAGAAGGCCTTTGTCATGGGTTTTCTAAACAACTTCTGTTTTTGTTGTACTTATTTAATCTATATTTGTCTGGTGTATTTTCGATGCAAATAGTGTGTGTACAAACATGTGGACTTTTATCTCCGGCCAATTTTGCGAAACTGACATGAGTATGTGCCTATCAATATTAGACGACCAGATCGATGTCTGGTAGAAGGATTAGTTTGCCTACAGCAAGGCAAGTTTCTACATCCCCTTGAGCAGTGGACACAAGAGCTCAAGCAGTCGCTTTGGGGCTTCCACCCATCTTAATATAACAATAATCACACATCTCATCCTATTTCACTAAGCTTTCTCTCAATTTGAGTCCGTCCGCTTAGGTAGGCTCTCCGAGATGCGCTGCGACACTTGGATGCTTACAGACTAAGTTTGAGGTGCCCGGAAGTTTTATGTTCGCCGCGTAAACTTTTCAAGTTATGATAAGTTAGACTGGTAGCCCAGCACTGGGTATTTTGACATTTCATGGCTGAAATCATTTAGAATATGCATAAGCACCTTTCCAATAACTTGCTTTTCACTTGTCTGTCGAGTGCGGATTCCGCAATCCTGCGGCGATGCCCACCCAAGGCTAATAACTAACTACAACTACCTTTGAGGATTCGGGAAGCCATTCATGCAAGTATACCGTCATGATGAACAGGCGCCCCGAAGTTACCGAGAGCGAGAATAGCGTCTTGGACATTAGGTGTGGCGTATCTCCAGGGCAGAGTTCGAAGTGACGTGCAGTCAGTGGAGCTAATGATGATGATCCGCTACTATCAGCCAATTCCTATTTGTTACCAGGCTTTGCCGACATGTGAAAGGTAGGTATCTACCAGTGTAGGTGTACCTGGCATGTTCTTATCAACCAACGCAAAGGCGAAACTTTATTCACGTTTTCTCGTTCATGAGGTCTACCAAGCAGACCAATATTATTCATGACTAGTCTAGTATAGACTAGGGCATGAAAATGAATGGGATATTTTGTGAGAAGTGATACGGCAGGTATATGCCTCGGGGCCTCTGTTACGGAGGTGTTCCCGCGCGGGCCTACGCCAAGCAATTACCTCGTCCTTCGACCCATTAATTCGCAAATTTCCTGATCATGGAAAGCTTCCCTACGTCAAAACACCCCCGCTGCATACTGTAGAAATATCCCCCTCCCCCAAAAAGTCTAGGTTACATAGTAGAGGAAAGGCACCATCTGCCGAGGGTTGCTCCGCCGACTCCCCAAGTAAATTCATACGTAGTAGAAGAAAAACATGGTGGGACGTGCAATATGCAGATGGTTCGTAAGCCATGTAGCTGACCTGGATTTATTTTCATCCCGTAACACAACAAATGGCGGTAATTAATTTATCTCCTCTGCAGAGCTACCCCGCCTTTTTCCGTACCACATCCCATATCCCACTTCGGGTCCCTCCCATGGTGGTGTAGATGGAGTACAGCGAGAGACTTGAGGCTTAATCAGAGCCCAACAATCGTAGTTTATAAAATAGCACGACCCTTCCAAGCCAGTCGTCATGATTAGGACCAGACTTGTTGAGAATAAACGACAAAGTATGGTGCCTGGTCCTTGGACTTTCAAGGTTGTTGTACCATGTTTCCGGCATTCTGATTCGGGCGTTATCTGAACGAAAACAACCTTACGGGGCCATACTAGTAGGAGAGCTACCCAAAACCAAAACCAAACCGCTCCATAAACCCCCACTATCGTCATTGCATTTTATTCGTACCGCAGGTTACTTGACGGTTTAATTTTTATTTTTACTCTGGAGAACCACACCACAACGAATTCAATAAACTCCCCTCCGTCGCCAGTTCGACCTCCTCAATTCCCTAGTACATAATTTTAACGCTTCTATCAACCTTGAGGGACTTACTGCCGCAAGCAAACCAATACGCAAACAAACATACTCTCTTCGTGCATATTATACTCCACGCCGGCTTACACAACACAACACGACACAGAACACCTTTTTCCCCCCCATCCCCTTGACGCACAACTAAAAGAAAAAATGGGTAAACAACCAAACCTTTTCGCCTTCCCAACAGCCGATGAGCTGGCGCCGGCCCTCCGCGCGTATATCATCCAGGCACAAAACGCGGGTATCACACGCCACGGCGTCTTCAAGGTCGGCGTGTCCGGCGGCTCGCTGCCCAAGACTTTGGCCAAGGCGCTGCTGTCGGCGCCCCGGTCGGACGACGACAAGGTCGACTTTGCCAAGTGGGAGATCTTCTTCGCCGACGAGCGCGCCGTCGCCCTCGACCACGAGGACAGCAACTACGCCCTGCTCAAGTCGGAGCTGCTCGACAAGATCCCCGCCGGCGCCAGCCAGCCCACCGTCCACCCCATCGACACGCAGTACCTCGCCGACACCCAGGAGCTCGCCGACCAGTACGAGCAGCTGCTCGTGCGCTCCTTCGCCAGCCGCGACTCGGTCAAGCTACCCATCTTCGACCTGCTGCTCCTCGGCACCGGCCCCGACGGCCACACCTGCTCGCTGTTCCCGGGCCACGAGCTGCTGCGCGAGACCAACGCCTGGGTCGCCCCGATCGAGGACTCCCCGAAGCCCCCGCCGCGGCGCGTCACCCTGACCCTCCCCGTCGTCACGCACTCGGTCAAGGTCGCCTTCGTGGCCACCGGAGGCGGCAAGAAGGACATCATGAAGGAGATCTTCGAGCAGGGTAACGGGCTGCCCGCCGCCCTTGTTAACGAGGCCACCGGCGAGCGCTGCAGCTGGTTCGTCGACGAGCCCGCCGTGGAGGGCGTGAGCTACCCGCGACGGAGCTTCTTGTGACGGGCGAGGTTGTATTAGCAGCCAGATGCGAGCCAACTTAACATATCCAATCTTTGTTTTCGGCAGCCCCAGCGCATAATCGTGGGAGAGTGGGTGAAAAGAAAAGATGCGTATGATTCACAAAGATCCCTTTTTTTTCTTTTTGTCTTTTACTGTTGCGGAAGAAGACGATTGTGCTCCAGGGCAATCTCATGGGATTCTACAGAGCTGTTGCTCTGTTTCACAGGCCAGTTAGACTTGCGACTTGCGTTATTTTCATTTTTTATTTTTATTTTAGATCGGATACGGAACACATTCGCTGCAATTTGATTGTTTTCTTCGATATCCTTGCACGAATTAATGAGATAGGAATAAACAAAAAAAAATTTCACTCCCAACCTCCTTCCCACTTTGTTTGTAATTCCCAAGCGTATCGGGTCTCATAATCACGAGGGAATAAAAAGTCTTGATTTCGGGTATGATAATTATATGTAAGCCAGCCCACATAGTATCTATCTGCTCATCACGGAACATGCTACAGAGCAAAGACGCACATCTGTCAATTAAAATTCAACCATGCCCATGTCAATCGTCCCACAGCCTCCCTCTTTCCTTGCTCTTTCCCATTGGCTGTAAGCCAAAGATATCCTCTGGGAGGACTCCCTTGCCATCGTCAGCACCCGAGGGCACCTCACCGAAAAGGAAGGCCGTCTTCTCGCGATTGGCGTTTGCGGATGGCTTTTTGTGGTGCTTGTTGGCCGGCCTCGGCTTGGAAGACGACGACGACGACGATGGTGATGATGACGACTCGAAGGCCGACGGCTTCTGAGCGGTAGCCGAGGATGCCGACTGGTCTGGCTCGAGCATCCAGGCAAAGGAGGACTGCGCCAGGGTCGAGCGCGTCGGTATTGGGGCGTGCGGCCTCTGGAGGGACGCCGCTTGGGTGGGTGTCGCGGTTCGGGAGGTCGATGGCGGGTCGGTGTCCATGGCGTCCGGAGCATTGGCTTGTTCGGCTTCCGCTGCTTCCGCTACCAGGGTAGATGCAGAGGCCTGGCCTGTTCCTTGCTCATGGGGGTCTTCTTCTGTTCTAGGAGTGCCAATGGCCATCGCTGAGACGGCGTCAGTAGGCAGATAAGGCTCTGTGCGCCCTGGCGAAACCTCTGCTGGCACTTCGCTTGCTAGCCGTTCACCTTCCGGTAGCGCTACCGTGGAGTCTTCCAGGTAGACTTTAACAAATTGAATCTTGGCCACCGCTATTTCTAGTGCCTCGGCATGTTTCTTCTTGTCCTCCATATCTGATGACACTAGGGCCCTAAGATTCTCCAAACTCTCATCTAAAATCGCTGCTAGTTGTTTGTTCCTTCGGTCCAGGGCGTCGACGGCCTGCATCGCTATCGTGTTTGGGCCGGGCTCCGAGAAGAGATCACGGCTGTTTGCCTTCATCGTGCTCCTAGCCTCGCTGACGTTGCGTCGGATCTCGACTAAAGCGTCACGCACTGCTTGGTTCACACCTAGTTTCTCACTCCTTTCAAGGATGCCCTTAGCTGCTCCTTGGAATAGTGCTTCTACGCCGCCCTGTTGTTGGAGGAAGCGAGTCGGCAAGCGTGACGGCGAGAGCGGTGATCTTGCCCCTCGAGCGTTGTGCCGTGCTTCGAAGCCCGATGCTCTTGGCGTTGTTGGCCGAGAATTCTCAGCGGTTTCAGGTATTTTACCTGTATATTTCATGACTAGCGTGGAGCCTCCATCAGTGTTGAGGTGAGTTCTGAGATACGCGGCATCGTCGATGAAAGTATGCGGCCCGTGATGAGCCTGAGGAGCTGGGTACTTGAGCAGTAATTGTAGAGCAGTAGAGTAGTCCGCCTCAAGTACTGTTGTGCTAGGTCAGCTCGTAGCCCATTATTGCTCATGAACCAGTACTTACATTCCCAGCGTATTCTGAGAAGCATAGCTGTGCAAATCAAGTCTACGAGATCCAGTGACGGATCGATGGAAAAAAGGGTATCCCAAAGAGCCAGCATCTGGTCGAAAGGAAACTCGCGAGAAAAAAGCAGTCGGATCCAGCGGCTGCAATGTCATCAGTAGTACACGGCGGTGATATATCCTGGAGGACTTACATCAGAAAGATTTGCGGGAGTACTTCAATGTTTTTCAAGTGACTCGAGAGGTCAGGGTCGACCTTGTACAACAGGACTTCGTGGATGTGTTGACTCTTTTCTACAATGGTTGACTGACTGATCTTCGAGTCGTCGCTTGTCTCATAAAAGAATTTCGCACGCTCCATGAGCTTGGAAAAGAGTGCAAAAGCATCATGCTCGATAAAATTCGCATCTAGCATCTCCACCATCGTCAGATCAGCAGCACCCCCAATCGCCGTGCCATTGGGATCAATGGCATCTTGTTCCAGCACGTAAGCTACAGGCGCAAGAAGCTCATGCATCCCCTGTCGGTAACCGCCAACGTCTGGATTGAGCTTGCAGTAAATGAATAGAATGTCAAGAATGAGAGTTTGGGTACGGGGTTCGTGGTAGAATGGCTCATCTGGCAAGCGCTGCACGTCTTGCAGAATCTCTGCTCGCAGAGCTTCATCTTGCCTTAATGTGTTCCATGGTGACTGGAACCCCCTTAGTTACTTGTACTCTCGCTGGAGGAATATGCACTCACGTCAGGATTGTCCGCGAGCGGATCACTGTCTACGTTTGCCAAATGTTCCGGGTGTTTGATGTACTTTAAGAAATGATCTCTGAGGGAAGCGTAGGTGCTTCGGGATTCTAGCAATGCATGGGACCAATTCTTCGTATCAGACCCATGGCCTAGCAGAAATACCTTCCAGCATACAGATCTGCATCCTGACACGCATGGACTGTCGGGACCGCTGAACTTGACGGCTCGCTGGAGGTCGGAAAGGCTGGAACTATGCTTGATCGTTTCTTGCCATCGAGCTCTGCGCGACCAGTCAGACCTGACGATAATCTCGTAAGTTTTCAATCTTACGTTGATTCGGCCAAAGATCTCATCTTCGGATATGAGGATTTTGATTTATGGCAGGAACCTTGAAAGGCTCGAGAACAGCTAGTGATTCAACTCAAACATGCAGCCCCAGTGTCAAGTATATATAGGTACTCAGTGTGTAAGCCTTCATTGCAAGCAAGGTAAATCGGTGAAAGCATCTCATGGCTATCCGCCAGCTGACAGGCGACAGGCTTGGAGGGGCTGGTAGCGCTTTCTTGGTCTACAGGTGTCCGATTTTGCGGGGATAATGACTACATACTCCGTACACGAGTTGTGCTGTACCAGTATCGATGATTTCTGAACATGAGGGCAAGATCACCATGGAATGGATGCGCTGAAACTAGATAAGTAATTGATGACTATTGATCGATTACGGCCCATTTCGTAGGATGGCCAAGTTTAGTAAGAACTGTCGGGTTCATACCCAAGTGCATACACGTGGAATTTGTGCGAGTGCTCCGGAGATAACTCGCATCAAAGATGTCTTTCTGGCGACCCACTCCTGACGACATTAGACCTCGGCGAGCGGTGCTTTATCATTAATCAGCGACTTTGAGCGTAAAGACTTCTTCATCTGTCAAAGTGTATTCCTCAAACGAATTTCAGATAACGTTGTGATCTGTGCTTGCGGTCCTATATTGTTTCTCTCTACAGTATTATTATTTCTATAAGAAAGAAAAATTCAAACGGTATGGCAGGCGCGATTCCGGATCTTCCACTTCTGGCAGAAGACGATTCGATGCTCTCCCGAAAGTTTGGCCGTGAAGTCGCCAACTACTTCTCGGGCAGTCCGTTGAACAGGGTTTCTTTCCTGCGGGTGGATCATGCATTCTTGTCTTCGGCATTTGCGCATCCTACGGCGTCATTTCTGCTTATGAACAATCTGTCGCCAACGGTCAAAGACCCTACCAAGTTGGCCTACGTGGGGAGATCAGAGGTTGAGTCTCTTACAGGACCGGAACCGTTTGGAAAAACAGAACAGGATTGGCTCAAGACGTTTAACTCCGACATCACTCACCCAGTTGTTCTCTTACTTGGCATTGACGAGAAGACGAAGTCGGGATTTGAATGGAAGGAGTACTCTGGAGCGCCTTATTTCGCGGTGGATGTAACTCCCAAGGGCTCCATCAAGGAAAAGGCCGAGAGCGTTATTGATGCAATCAAGGCCAAGGAGGGCATTGATTTCTTACCTGGGGCTCGTCACCTGTCGTTGGACGCCCCCGATGGTAAGACCTCTTTTCTTTGCAGTTTAATAGCAGGGTTGCTGACTTTTCCCAGCTGCTATTTACGCTCAAGCCCGGGCTATGCTTGACTGGAATGCTCGCAACCCCTTCTGTGGAGGTTGTGGTCAGAAGACCCTATCGGTGAATGCAGGAGCGAAACGAGTGTGCCCGCCCACGGATTTGGCTGGCGTTCCCGAGGGCGGCTCTCCTAGAGAGCGTGCCCCTTGTCCGACACGGCAAGGAGTATCAAATCTTTGCTTCCCGCGTACGGATCCGACCATGATTGTGGCTGTTATTTCTGCGGATGGAACAAAGATGCTTCTTGGTCGGCAGAAAAGATGGCCGCCTTACTGGTACTCAACCTTGGCAGGTTTCCTTGAACCCGGTGAGTCGATCGAAGAAGCAGTACGCCGCGAAGTCTGGGAAGAGAGTGGCGTCACTGTGGGCAGAGTGGTGATTCACAGTTCGCAACCGTGGCCGTATCCCGCAAACCTCATGATTGGCGCCATCGGACAAGCTCAGCCTGGAGCTGGTGAGAAGATTGACCTTGGTAACGACCCGGAGCTTGAGTCCGCGAAGTGGTTTCCACTCGAGGAAGTCAGAACTGCGCTTCTTCAAGGAACCAGTGGCTTGGGCGAGCCAGCACCAGATGGATACAAAGAGGGAGACCTCCGACTGCCACCTCAGACAGCAATTGCCAATAGATTAATGGACGCGGTCACTGGAGGCTTTCTTACAGCATCCAAGATGTAGTTGTGCGCAACCATAGACCAAGTAGGATTAAGAGTGGTAGACGTTTTGTTGGTATTGCGCATGGTGGATAGATCTAGATATTTTATGATATGAAAGCTCTGACATACGATTTCACAGTACCCTTTACACAGTATGTGACAGCAAAACGAACATTGAAAGGATGGAAGGTTTTGGGAACCTTCATACCAATCGTATGTTGTTTTTCTCGCAGTCGGACCTCCAGGTCACTGGCAGCTGACTGGTTAGCGACTTGGCCACGGGCGTTGGCTGAGCATTGGAACTGGTCGTGGCCCACCGCCTAGTGTGAGTCGTCCCCCAAGTTTCTAGCCATTCACCGCCGGCGGAAAAGGGCAGCAGTAGCCCCACACGTCGCCAGATCGGTTGACCATAAAAGTCTGTTGACGCTGCCGCAATTCTATTCTTCTTTTCCTTTCTTCTTTATCATCAGTATGGGTTGATCTATTACCGTCAAGTAATAAATTAATTTCATCTTGAGGGCTCCGCTATGCGGCTTGCTGAGGGTTATTACTTATTCTCTGTGAATTTCCTTCCGTTCCCGGCCCCCTAAAACAAAGCAGACGCTCTTCCTAATCAGCCGCCGACGCCAGCTCCTCCTGGTTTGTGACTGTGGGGTGTCTTCGACATACCGTTTTCGAATTATATAGATTTTTTTAATCGCTCTTGGAGTGACCAATGGGCTCATTGACAAGGTGCAGATAATGCGCTGCCCATAGTCTGTCATCTGTGCCCAAATTTGATGTGTCGTGACGATGGCTGGTGGCCAGCGATTCGTATGGCAAGATTGCAGCCTTCTATAGCCCCTGCGATCATCCAGAAGGTGATGAGCGATCTAAACTCAGCCGTTGTTGTGTGGTTTGGTCATAAGGTTGTTGACGTAAATGTTCACTTGTTCATCTCGTAAACGGAATGAAGCCTGATGCTTACCCCGGAAGTGGATGATGCCAATTGTTGACACGCAATGGCACAATGCGTCGAGACAGACTGTCGATTCTGGCCATGGAGGAATACTCATTTGAAGATACGGTGCATGACAGCATTTTCCAAGTAGTCGGTCAATTTTTACCAGTGGAATGCGACCACTCCCGGGTGCGCAGATTACATCGCGCTTCGCATATGATATATGATGTTGTACACAGTCCTCGCATTGAGTCAAGTCTTGATCTGCGGTGGAGGTTCGCTCAATTGTTTGCTACTTTTGTCTAACGTGCTAAAATTATTGTCCATATTGCTAGCACCATTGTGAGTCCAGTAGTGCTACATCCTCCATCGATTACGACACCCGCTTAGTAGATGCGCTTGGGGGGAGACATGGAAGCCTTGAGGACCAAGCTTCCAACGTTCTGCCAGCCCTTCTTGAGGAGGGAGACAAGGTAGTTGATGGCCAACATGACGTTGGCGACCAACTCCTCCTCGGTCATACCGACGTTGCCGACGGCGACACCCATGCAGAGAACCTTCTTCAGCTGGAACTTGATGGTGCTCTTGACCTCGGTGATCTTGCCAGCGAGATCGTCGGCGTGGGAAACGGGGGTAGGGAACTTGCCGGCTGCGCAGAAACAATATTAGCATGAGCTTTCGATGAGTGTGATCAGAGGACTTTGGTGCTTACCCTTGGACAGACCAGGACCCAAGAGACGGGGGATCTGCTTGATCAAGGCCTCGGAGGCAACGAAGGCATCGTACTTGCGAGCAAGCTTCTTGATGAGCTTCTTGTTCTTGTTGAGCTTCTTCAAGTCATCGGCGCTCATCTGGTAGAGCTGTTAGCATGGCGGTTTATCTCCAAGGAGTCGAGAAGAGAGACGTACGGCATCGACACCACCGTGCTTGGCACGATCCAAATCGTGCTGGTCACCCAAGATGCAGATGGACATGTTGGGGCGGGGGACGGTGGGCAGGCGGATGGTACCAGAGAAACGCTTGTCACGCTGGGGATCGTAGTTCTTCAAGCCGATCTGGAGCTCGATGGTCTCCAGAAAGTTGCGCTTCTTCTCATCTATTTTCCTGTTAGCGAAAATGGATGCTTGTCTAATTTGTGCTGGCGTTCACATCTTGTCGGGAATACGGACTGAGAGAGTAGTCAAGGACATCCTTGATGTTGCCACGAACTCCGGCGACTGTGATCTTAGACATGATGGGCAGTCTTCCACTATATTGCTCTAGTGGTGAGGATTTTTTCGTGTTGGTGTGTAGTAAAGGGAAGTCGAAAAAGTTCGGCGTTTGGCCTAGGAGATTTGGGAATTTAGAGTCTCTTGCCTCCAATTTTTGTGGGTGGATCTTTGTGCGGGGTCCTTCCGGCGGGTCCAGGTTCCGGACCGTCGGCAGATGTCCACCAGTATGCTTAAGCAAGCCTGTAGAGTAAATCAATTCAAATTATAGCACATGATTTTCGGTTTTCTTCTTATTGTCTTTTACTTCCTAATCAATTAATAATTAAGTAACAAAAAAAACCAAAAAAAAAAAAAAAAAGGTCTATCCTTGATTAAATGCATTTAAATTGAAGAAGTTATTCTATATCGACCGGTTAGAAAGCTTTTTATCGTTCAAGTGTCACTGTGTAACGATCTGGCGTAAAGCCCTTGTTCACGACTAGCCACGATAAAAGTCTTCTTCCCTCCTTAAGAATAAGTCTCTGAATACACTTACCCTCTATAGCGAGCCAATCATTGGTGTTTTGTCGAGATTGTTACACATGAGAGCTCCGATATTAGAAGGAGCATTTCCTAGAGTTTCATGCCAATCAAAACCAAAATCGTAGCGGGTCTGTTCACCTTTCCATTTTGCACCCACATTAGTTCATTCAGATATTAGGCGCGCCCGATTCAGGGAAGGTATTGGCCATGGCATCGTATTATAAATCTATTAATCGCTCTCGAGTAATCAAACCCCCAGATCGATGGGTCCTATTGATCATCGAGGTTGATGTTATTATTAAGGCTAAAGGCGTCACGTTAATGGCCTTAATACTACGATATTATCTGATATTAGTCCATAATGGGAAGCTTCTCGTGATAAGAGTAGCACACAACCCTGACGTTGCTATTAGATTTGTGAACGTCGGTTAGTGCAAGATAGTCTACGAATGGCGGCTATAATACAAAGATAAGATACTGCTGTCACCAAAATTTTATTAAGCCGCATATTGAACACCTCAATCTGATAACCTCTTATAGACTTGAGTGGTAGGCGCCATCACCTCCGACTAGACAGCCTAGGTAAATTAAATATAGCTATTGACTAGAGCACTTCATTGAAATATTTTTCGCCCCTTATCCGTATGTTCGAGCTCTGTGTTCAAACATTTCCGGTGGATGAATTCGTTTATTTGCCTACCGAATTGTCATCGTTGGGTCCCAGTTGTGTCCCCTCAATCCTATTCAAGGCATTGAGCATATCGGGTTGCTTTTGCAAGCAGGCCCTGTCAGGATACGCTTCAATTGGAGACAATAACCTATTTGCATGTAGGATAGCGATGATTCGAGATTGACTAAGTCCCGAGAGAGTCGATTGTTGCGGTACTGCGAAGTCGAAAGACCCATGCCTGATCGTAGCTCATTGTGATTCTCATGAGTATGTAGAAGACTACACGGAAGCTATCCTTCATCGAGAAAATCGATAGGAAGAAGCCCAGGAGAGAAATGTTAACTTCGGATACGGCTGGAGTTCCCATAACACAAATAACTAGGAATTGCTCTAGTCGAGTCACTATGTGCTGCAGCGGGAAGAGATTGCAGAAGACGCAGGCAACAAAACATACCTCGTAAGCGAAAAACAGTTCAACTAGAATCGCTTGAAAACGCTAGATGATTATCTATAAGCAGAAATTGAGAGCTTGCGTATAGCAGATATTGATGTTGGTACTGGTATGATCACTACTTGCAAAATATGATAGTGCCTCCATGGTAGACCATGCTGATCAGAGACCCTCGGCATTGTATAGTATCAGGCTAATCGACCTCGCGCGGTACTTACCACCATCTGGCTGTACTGATGGGCTCGAAATCGATATCTCTGGAAAGGGTTTCTTTGAATTGTGCCTGAACGCCATAATCAACAAAACTTTGGGACTTTGCACACCCGTGCCGACAGGAGGTTAGCGACGGTCGCCTCCGGGAGGTGTGACGATTACCAGATCCTACGTGCCGGACAATGCGACCATCGTGAGTCCGAGGTACTTACTCGCACGGCTTGAGACATATTTTAGGAAGCCCGATCAATGGATCCCGGAACGGTGGACAAGTCGGCCCGAACTTGTGGAAGACGTGCGTGGAAATGCGCCATTCTCACAGGCCACTTCATTTACGTTAGTAAGACGCTCACCATAAGTGAAATGTGGTTTGCAATCAACATGTTAGTCAAGAAGTTCCAACTCAGTTTTGCGGGCAATGAATAGGGCGAGAAGCTATTCAGGGACCTGAGGTCAGTTCACAGTTGCACCATGGTGGCTAAATTTGCAATTCTCGTCCAAGACGTGAAATCTGTTTCATGGCGCCTGTATTGTTCTAGCCCTTTTCAAACCAAATAAAGCATCTTGATCAATAAGCAAATGTAACAGTTTTAGTAAAAGCGGTAATATGATATAAACTTTTTGATACGTTATAGTCAACGGGGGGCAAGGGTCACATGACCCACCACAGGTCGATAAGCTATTCTGAATGGGTTTCTGGTAGACTAGTTTAAGTCAGTTTCTGGCAACTGAAAGTGACCATTTGACCTTCACCTTCCTCACGCTCTTTTGAACATGCTAACTTCATGCCATACTTCTCCGTGTGCAAGAAGTACTTTTAAGCCGTTGTACTCTGGCACCAGTAGGTACCCATATTACAATGGATTCATGCTCACCCCAAGCACCAAATTCAGCATTACTAAAAGCAGCCACAAGGAGCGAGCGCCAATAGGTGCTCTACTACCAGGCAACTCAACTACGGCTAGCCCACTACCTTCAGTCTCTAGGTTAGACAATAATCTACAAACCAGAGTTACTAACGTTGCCTCATTCTTGGTTATATATACGGAACAGACCGACAATTACGAGGACTGGACATGCGGGTTCTAGTTTAAACATTAAATGCAATCAGGGAATGCGCTCGGTGTTCCCCGCGTCGTCACAGATAATTCACCTCGAGTTTGACGCATGAAACGCCGCGTATCACAATTCCATTAGCCCCTCCCTTGACAGACGCCAAAGCCACGTTTCGCGACTAGTCATATGTGTCTCGTAACTTGACTTGTTGAGCAGCCAATCGCGACGAAGCCACAACTCGGCAGTCATGTTCTTGTACTCCTCGTGCGACTCGGGATGCCGGATGGGCATAATAGTGGCATTAGCGCACGGACAATGCAACAAAAGGTATATCACGCTGTGACGCTGCCTTTTGCTCCCAAAGTCCCAGGTTATCTCAGCACATCCTATGGCAATTACCATGGCGAAACGCTATGACCGCAGTCAAGTTTGTCTAGCTTTATATGAATCGCTTTCTTCGGCTCTTGCAGATCCGGGCCACTCTCAAGTGGATACAATGATTGGTGGCCTGTCGCAAGGTTGGAATCAATCACAATAGGCAAGTTGCCGACTCGAACACCCATTCAAGCGGTGCTGAGGCGACAAATTCGCAAATGGTCTACCGGGGTTTCAGAAAATTTGAAGGATATCACCCAGCTTGCCGGTTGAGCTTACTCACAGAGGCGATCAAGGTCCTATTGCAAAACCACATTCCCGTCATATTTTATAGTCAAATCTAGACTCGGCTTTATGTAACTAGTCTCTGGTTTTATTTCGCAGCTTGTATCATAAGTCAGGTCATGCCTAGTGGCACTTTCGTTTCTTGTCTGTCAAACGCAACCTTGGTCTAGCAGGAGTGCTATACTAGATGGAGATCATGTGGATATAGAAAGGCTTCAATAGTTGCCGGTTCTAGACTCCAGTCTCGCGAGGCCTACCCTTACCATGTACCACTCCTCACTTGCTTCGGACGACTCCGGAGTTTTGCTCAATTTTGAACAGCACGGCTTAATAAGGCATTAGAAATTGTAGTCATGTGTATTCAAATGAATCTACGCCGCCAACTTAACCATTCAAAGCTCACAAGATCCTGCCGAGAGACATTCCGGCAATTCTTCAATATGCAAATACTCGCTCATTTATGATATGCCAATACCTGTAACGTCAAATACTCGGGGAGCTCATGCGGTGCAGTATTCGCCATTGGCAAAACGTGTCCGACCGCAAAGATTGGCCGTCCGTGGATCCAGCCGTAGGGTGTCTTCGGAAACGGGTCTGTGGGTGTTTTACCAGTCGCAATCAAGCGCTTACGGGTATAACATCTTCGGCTTGATATTGGTAGTGTTTGCCCCCAGAAACCATGGTCTTGGCAAACTGCCAAGTCGAAACGAGCACAGACACTGAGCGAGGCCCTGACAGATCAGTGGTGTTCTTACCATATACTGCTATCGTTCGTCTGCCAAGGGTTTATGCTTGCGCTGACGTCGTTTGACAAACGTGCTAACACTACGAGCAGGGGGGGCATGTGACACGCCACCATCCTAGTCCGACGTTACTTTCGGGCATCATGTTGCAGCTCACTGAAGCGGCTCTGCTTCACCTTACACCATATACAGACCCACCACCCATTGCCTCAACAAAACAACTACTGCCCATGTCTTACTGGTTCCGGCTGGGCTGCTGTCATGAACATGTGGAGCATTGTAAACAGATGTCATTGAAAGACGTCGGGCGTAAGGCAACATCGGCACATGAAGGAAGCAATGCATTTCATCCGGTATTGTTGCCACCACTTGGCTCACTCAAGAAATTTCCGAGTATAGAATACAACGGTTGTCTCCAAACCTTAGTCCGGTCTCGTCAACTTCATTTTGTTCCTTCAATACCAAGTTTTCAGATTGTTGATATGATGATGGCCTATTAAAGTTTTCTGTGAAGAAACTATGGTTTTTCGAGAACTGCTCTGACCTTTTGCAAACCAAAGAACATTATCATTGAGATACTGATCAGCTCAATCACCAATTACCGATGTGTTGTTAAGGAAAGGGCACTAGTTGCGACCATGTCGTCTGGATCCTCATCGTCTGTCGCTGCCAGCTGGCCTGTGCCTAACTACATCAACCCAGAGACTCGAGGTTCAGCGGGCAAGATCGTTGGGATCGTGCTGGTCTCTTTGGTCACTATTATAATCATCCTTCGGATGTACACGCGACGGTTCATTTCGAAAGGATTTGGCCTTGATGATGTCCTCATCTTGCTTGCATTTGTAAGTAGCAACCTGTCTGTCATCTGTATCATGCTCACCAAATCCCCAAGGTGCCCGCCACAGCGTTTGCTGTTATAGGTGTATATGGTGAAGTAGGTCTCCAGTGGAACAGACACATCTGGGATGTTGATCCGAGACTCTATGTTCCATCGCTCAAGTTTAGGTAAATTCAAATCTACGGAGCATTAGGACTTGGCCTTTCTGCTAATGCTCATCGCGTAGTCTTTCTGAGTTGATCCTCTTCGATTTGTCAACCAGCACCACAAAGTTGTCCATGTTGGCCATGATTCATCGTGTTACATCAAGTTCCAAGAACAAAAGAATGAACATCGCAGTCCTCACAGCCGCGGTTGTAATTAGCGTGAATGCATTTATCTTCATCGTAGTATCCATTTTCCAGTGCAGGTTAGTACAAGTCCTTAGACCCATAGTTGATCATCACTCACCTTGACTACAGTCCGGTTTCTGCTTATTGGACATTGTCCTTAAAGCCGAAGCAATGCATCAACGAGGCAGCACATCTTCTGGCTGCTGGTATCATTAACACCATCACAGACTTCGTCGTGGTGTTTTTACCAATGCAGACCGTTATTAATTTGGAGCTGCCACGGAAGCAACGAATCATTGTCGTCGGACTATTTGGTGCTGGGTTCTTGGCTTGCGCCGCTGGCATTGTCAGAATTTACTTCTCATGGATCATGACAACTACTACCAACCATGACACCACATGGAACTCCTGGGCTGTGTGGTTGGCAAGTGGTATCGAGCTTTATGTTGGCATTGTAAGTGATAAACTAAGGTCATCGCTTCTTCTGAAGGTCTGAGCTAACAATGGGCCTCAAGATCTGTGCTTCAATCCCAGCGATCAAGCCGTTCTTCGCTACTTACCTCCCCCAAGTCATCGACGCCAGCATGCGCTCACGCAAGTCATCTCGTTATTCCAATGACACTAAGTTGTCAAGTCCATCAAATAACTTCACGGGCTCCCACGCGAGCTTCCAAACCTTCATATACGGGCCCTCAACGCCTAACCTCTCACTCCGGCAGCCGCAGCCCGTGGCGCAAATACAGAACGAAAGCCCACTGAGTAACGAGCTTCTCGCCGTTGGCCTCCAAAGACCAACGACGGTCCACAGGAAGTCGCCCAGCGCGGATCTCAACAAGCCGCTCCCGACCATCCAATACACACAAAAACCTTCATACCCCGCGATGCCGCCCCTACGGACGGACTCGTCGTTCTCAATGGAAGAGGAGGACACCGAGAGGCTCTTCTCGCCGCAGCGAAACGGTCGGAGGTTCACCGACACCTTGTCCATCCCGGCGGCCGCGGAAGACCGCACCACCGTCTACATAGCATACCAGGGAGAGGACCAAGGCCGTGGCAACGTCTTCTGAAGCGGTGGCCAGAGCCAAACCCGTTTCTTCTACACACACTTTCATTTACATGCTACCGTTGTCATGCGCAACACGTATCGCCATATACGATTTATTTTGTTTTATTCTATCATATCCTATTTCTCTGGCGTAAGGTTTACTTTTCTATTCTTACTAGACTTAATACCAGTCATTAGCCATCATTGAACGACTTTCGTTCCTCTGTGTATATAGACTATTAAATAGGACAGGACTTCCACTGGGGATAGACAGGACCAGGTTGTAGTTCTTGTTTTTATGGCCGCGGTGTACGACACACCCTAACGTCAAGACCACCGACTCCTTGTGGGAATGACGGAACACGCAACACCACAACATGCATACGAGAAAATGATACTTTCATTTAGACGCTTATACATCAACTCTTCAGATACCATGTCCACCTATCAGCACTAAGCACAGATAGTCCTTGGAGTTCACTAACAAGGATTTTGCGAAATCGAAGTGGATTAGATATCACGGGTTGCGCACGATGGGCCCAGAATTAATTGTGGTAAATCAGATTCAGTTAATCAAGTAACAAACAAAGCCATATAGGCACTTCCTCCTGTTGATGAGCTCTTGCTCTACATTGTCCCGCGACGTGTCCTTCTATAGAATAAAAATAAAACGAGCTAATCAAACAAAACACTAGCAAGGGTCAACTGGACCCGTACAAAACACACTGCATCGTGATCAACTTCATAATTGCAGCCGCGGCTGCGGCGTCCTCTTTCTCTAGTCCTCATGGTATCCTCAGCAGGATAGACATCCGGTAAAGCCCTACTTTGCATCCCGAGGGATGGAAAATCAGCGCCTTGGGAGTTTCCAGTTCCAGCAATGTGCTGAAACAAACCATACCCGTCGGGTCCATTTGGTTTCCTCAGCTCCGGCCATCATCAGAGCGATGTATATGCCATAAAGCTGGATTGTGTGTGCCTTGATCTCCTGATCAGGCATGGTATGTCGAGAGCGTGTGAACAAATCCTTGCGTTCACTTAGCCAGAGTAGTGCATCTGGTGAGCACGTCGGTGAGGCTCACGCGACCTCTTCAGTCTGCGCGAGATCTTCTCCATGGCAGCGAAGTGGTCACCAGCTTCGCCGGATTGCTCCAAGACCTCGAAAGCGACAGGGTTGTCGAAGCGCTGGAGATAGGACTGGAGGGCGTTGCGGTGCTCCCACCACTGCTCCATGAGTGGTGCCTCAGCCTTGGCGGCGGCGGCGGCAGCTTCCTCAGCGGCGGTAGGCTTGGAGGACGACTTGCGGCCACTGGAAGACTCAGAGTCCTTGCTCTTCCTCTTGCGGCCCTTGGCCGAAACAGCTTGCGATCCACGGCTGGAGGAGTGAGATCCAGTGGACATGGTCAGGGCCGTACCATCGTCGTTGTGAACACGCCTCATGTGGTCTCGGAGATTCCAGTTGCGTGGGAATCCACATCCAGGAACAGCACGGTCGCATCCTTCGTAGGTGCACAGATATGGCTTGTCGCCGTGGCCGTGCATTGCGTGGGCCTCACGCTCATGTCGGAGAAGGCATGCCGTGGAGGAGAATCTGGCATTCTCGCAAGAATCGACCTTGCAGCGGTAAGGCTTCAAGTGGGAGTCGACAAACTTGCTGCATGAGGATATTAGTCTTGCTCTCTAGAGAATGGGATATCGTTCAACTTACTCATAGTTGCACTTGAGCTTCTCGGGCTTGTGGTTGCAGGACGCATCACCCTCCCAGGGGCAGTGGAAAAGACCATCCGCCCTCGGCACGGCGTTCTTGTAAAGTGGGTGGTCCCGTGCAGTCGACTCTCCGTCGCCGCTGGATCGGCGAGTGAATGCAGGGGGCATCATAGCGTTCTCCAAAAGGTCAGCTCCATAGAAGTCCTCTACGGTTAGGCCATTTCCAGTGTGGTGGCTCAAACTATAATATCGTTAATGACATGCATATATCTCACGTTCCATAGTACTTACGTTGGGGAATGGAGTCCAATAGCTTGAGAAGCAACGCTGCCTTGCGATGAAGATCCGACTGGCACATTGCTCCATGGGTTCTCTGTGATAGCCGGGCTGGGGGTGCGAGATCCACCGATTGGGCTCAAACAATCGCTCCAAGAAGCTGTGGGAGAGTTACCTGTCAAGCTAGCATCAAAATGCATCTGGGTTGGGTCCATATGCTGTTGACCTAAGCCCGAAGCTAGCATATCTGGGGCATAAGGTAGCCCATCCATGCCGACGCTCATGGGAAGCGTTGGGTAGAACATTTGTGATGAGACAGAGTGGGCGTCTGAGTCATGTAGGAGGTAGGCATCTGCCTGAGCGTTACCTGTCATGTCGAAAGCTGACATGTGTGAACCATGAGATACAGTAGACAGTATCCTTGGGCGGCTCTTCATCGAAGATGCCTTGATTGTTCTGTTCTTGTGGCTGCTGCCAGTGGAACTTTGTGAAGTGATCCTTCGCATGGGCTCTGCGATGACCGGGGCTTCCTCTGTGGACATCCATTTTCCGGAGACGTCATCCTCTGTTGGGTCCTGTCCATTGGCTCTGGGAGTAATGTGGCCAAAAGAAAAAGAAAAGTCAGGTTCTCCATGGAAGTTCTGTGTACCATCTGCTGCAGTAGCATCCCATATCGAACCATTAAGGTCCGCAGGTACTGTATGAGAATAGAAATGTCCGTTGGAAGTGCTCATCATGTTATGAGAGTATGTGCTGTATTCACTAATTTTGTTAGTGTTCTGTTGCCCACTTTCCCAGGAAGACTATATGCGCCGAATACAAAAGACGAAAAGAAAATCAAGCTTGGCACAACTTTGGCTTCTGCGATATTAGTTAGCTTAGCATTAGACAATCATCGGGGTATGTTGCACAAACCAAGCTTTTGTATCAGTCGAAGTCAATCCAAGGGGCGAATAAACGAGTGTCCAGTTTGGTATCCATGGTTATGCTGGTCGTGTCCATTGGTGGTATTCCAGGTGCGGAGAGTCCAAGCCAGGGATCGAAATTGACTAACGAAACAGAAAGAAATGCAAATATGCAGTCCATGGCGCCAGGAAGCTTGGAAGAGCCTACAGGCACAAAAGGAAGCATGTTAGTGGCTAAGACACGCGAGCTAGGTGAAGTGAACCGTTTCAAGCCGATTCAAATGGCTTATACGTACCGTTAATTGTGCATAATAGTAACTCCAGGAAGAGTAGCACGCAGCGTCCAGTAAAGAAAATTCCAGTGACCAGGTAGAGATACTACAGGTGAATATGAAAGAACTCGAGACCTCGGGAAATGTTGAAGTGAACCATCCTAGAAAAATCCATGGGGCGAAAATTCCAGTCCATTTCGGTTGCAATGATCCAGCCAAGTTGGTTGCTGAACATCGCTGATAGTTGAACAAAGTAAATGTTGAGCAAGTCCATGATTCAGTAGAAAATGTGTCCGCGAAACCCAGCAGTTTTGGGACACGACCTGGAATCCGATTTGTCGAAAAGAACCGTCCACAGTGAAAATAATCCTTGGTCAGATGAAAATCCATTGAATGAAATCGGAGAACTAGTGAAATCCATTTCCGGTGTGCTACGGTAATGTCGAACCTGTGGGCAGGTTCCTTTGTCGTCCTCAGAAAGGGATGCTCGGAGTCACATGCTTGCGGGTGAAACTTACCATCTCTCATTGGAGATGTTGGGGAGACTATGTCTCAAGAATTTCTTTCGTTTGTTTTGTGTATCCAACTGAGGCCGGGACAGCTTCTCAGTGTTCAATCCGGAGTGATTGAGTGATCCTAGTAGAAGCCATGGGAATCCTTTCCTGGGTAATGGTAATGTCCTCGAAAATGTCCTTTGGAGTCCTGATCCCTCGGTGTTTGCGTCTACCAAGCACTGGCTGGTATGTCGCAATGTGAAAAGCAAATTACATGACTGAGCGTAGGACATGATTTGATGGTTGCAAATAAAGCTCCGGTAGTAAATAGAAAGCAGTGTAATATACCTCGCGGGAGTGTGGACGTTGTCCATATCTAGAGACGAACTGTAGCTTGGAGCGACAGAAGCAGTCATTGTTCCTGGAACAGACACAGCTGGAGTGCTTGTCCTTGTGATAATCCTTGACGGATGAAGTCCTCGCGGAATACAAGACAATAATGTGTCTCGCGTACAAAGGATCCTTGGGCTGTTGAATGTTGTTGTGGTCGACAGCAGAAAGAGTTGTACAGAGATGATCCTGGGATGATATTTCACAGCCGGGAGATCAGGGCGGTATGCGTCGATGCACAAATGAGGCGAGGATTTGCAAAAGATGTAGAGGAGGGTTTGAGAATATTGGGTCGTTGGGCTGAAATGTTTGTTGGGTTGTAAGAAAAGAGGGAAGAAGAGGAAGTTGGGCATTGAGCCGGGGCTCAAGCGGGTTTTATCGTGAGTATTGTCTTGGGAAAGGAGCATGGCTGGCGGAACTGCCAGGGTCAGACCTGGTCGACGCTACTGTTGCTGTCTCCGCTTTGCATTTCTCTCATGTATTCATTCGCTCTGGCGGTCAAGTTGCAATTCAACTAACTGCCAACTCTTTCCCAGGATTGGAGAGGATTGCTGCCGCCGTCGTGTTTCCCATTTGGCCGTCACATTGGTCGCATGTCTTGGGATTACTGCGCTGGCCCTTTGCTCCTGCACGTGTAATAGGCGCGAGTCAAACCAACTCTTCCTATTGGAGTATTACCCTGCAAGACCTTGGTTTTGCAACGGGTCTCTATGGTTGCCGGTGGAGAACAGCGTCGTCAACAGCCTATCAATCGAGAGAAGATGTTTGATTCCACAATGTGATGAGGCATTATGGCTGCAGCGACAACGCAGCACTGCAGACCAGCTCAGAAGGTGAACACATGACAACGAGCACACCTTCCGGAATCACGAAATCATATTGCGCGAATTGCGGAAAGCCTCAGTCTTCTCCCTTTTTGACCCATCATTTCAAGCAAAGCCTTCGTGTTACCAGCCTCGGAGTGGAGATGTTCCGAAATGATGATTGTCGGTCAAGTACATCTTCCCACGACGCCAATGCACGAGAGCCGTAGTAGTGGGCTGAATCGCGACAGCCGATCATTCAAAGGGACCCTTACTACACCGCAGAAAACGTGAAAGGAGCCACTTGCCTCTTGTAGTCCCGTTTTTAGGACGGGAGTGACCGAGCCAGAAGATTTCATCTTTCCAGAAGGAAATTCAAGGCTGTTCAAAATGGGTGTCTCCGATACATCTAGGTTAGCACGTTTCTCGCGGCTAGGTCGTCGGATACAAATGCCATGCCCAAATGACCAACACACACCAGCGATGCAGTTTTTGGCCGGAATTTTGGACCGCAGGACCGTGATTAATGCTGAGGGTGTGATCTAAGTTTCAATGGACACAAGTTGCAGACATTGCATACACTATGAACCTACAAGTCATAACGCCTGCTGACCGGGCAAATATAATACCAGGCCATTTCCCACAACCAGAGTGGTTCGGCGTGTTCCGAACAAGGGAAATGGCAATCGTTTCATTCGTTCCCGTATACACAGATGCGGGAAGCGTCTCATCAGCCAATGCAGAATACAACTCAATTTAGAATATAGACGCCCGAGGAGTAACATCCCACGACCTTCGAAGCATGCGAGCATCTCAATCGGTATGGGCTCATTGGTAGCGGCCTGCGCAACAAAATGTTGTACTTAGTCTACTGTACAAGCTAAGGCTTAGAGAACTTGCTTCGTCGTGGCTGTTGACACCACCCCAATATATATGCACATCGAGTTGTCTTTCTGCTTGTTGGTTCCACCCTGAACAGAGGTGCCATGTCATCGTCTGCCCAGCTTTGCATGCATCCACGCTGGCTGTCTCGACCGTGTTCGACATCTTCACAGTTCAGAACAAACTTCGTTCTTGCATAGCCCACGATACTTGACGTCGAGCCTATACTCAACACATCACCTTCTTAGGGAATACTAGACCAATGGTAGCTTCGGACGACGACTACCATCCGCCCAAACAGCCTCCTCCCATAAAGTTTTGAGCTCTTCTTCCCCGTCAAAGCCGTCCTCCCAAGCAAAAAGTTGCATGGTTGACTTTGCCCCTTCCCAACTCTTGATTTTGAGTAGCTGGCTTGCGAGGTTGATCTTGTCCATGTACGAATCTTTCGTTGCCTTCATTTGATTTTCCTCTAAGGAAGACGTGGTTTTTGCAGCTACTGTTGCTGAAGCTCCGAACATGACGGTCCAAAACCACAAAGTCTGGCTGTATTGGCCCTTTTGCATTAGAGACTCCGTTCTGCAGACGTCGGCAAGTAATTGCTCTAGGAACCAGTTGAGTACGAACGAGTCTATCCACTGGTCACGAAGTATTATGTAAAGGTAAAAATAGCAGGAGATGAAATCGCTCCTGCTGGTATCAACGGACTGTAAGGGGCCAATGGAGGTATTGTCGAGTGCTTGTGAATCATGGGAACAGTCTGAAAGTGTTTCGAATGGAAGATCCAGTCGGCTCAGGGCAAATATGTCATGATTCGGGCGGATCGGACGTATCGCTATGCCCAATAATGATATGATCATAGATTGGTGAGTGTCGTCTGTTTGTAGAATATCGAGTATGTCATATGGCGGTCGTGATTTGATACAACGTGCAGCCCTGTGAGCAGGTCTTAGTCTCTTGGTTGTTTCGGTGGAACCAATCGATGACATACATTAGAATAAGTCGTTGAAGAAGGCCCATGGGTCTCTTGCCAGCGACCTTTCTTTGCAGGTCCTTGATTCTGATCAGCCCACGCAAGTGGAATGCTACGGCATCGGCAGAACCCAAGCAATTCTTTGTGATATTAGTCGAGGTCCTCTATCCGTGCTTGACTCATTACCCACCTCGACTAGAGCAAGACTTGTGATTGCCGCAATGGTACCATCGTCCACTGCAGTTTCGGATTCTGCTAACTGCTCGTTGACGAAACGTATAGCTTGCAGCTTATGATATAGATATGGTACTCGGAATTGTTCGCTATCCCCTGTCGACCACGCCCATTGCAGTGTCGTCATCAAAAGAGCCGCGTGGAGGAAACCCGGGTTTGATAGGGCACGGTAGACGCTGCGAATCATAGTCAGTATCAGCCTAGCGGGCAAAGATAGTATATTGCTTAACTTACACAAATGAATCCTTTTCTCTGGCTATTGGTACTGAGTGGAGGATTCTAGTACTCAGGACTGCGGCGTACTGTGAGTAAGCCTGCACCTAGTGCGAGAAAATTTACATACAAAGCTGAAATAACGGTCGTGACTTGAATGGTATATCACAGCCAGTACCAACAAATGGATTTCGTGGTGTACTGTCTGACAAGCCCAGAGACACCGGCGATGATCTATCGTCGACATGGTGAAACACTTCGGAATCCTTGTCTCTACCGTTGGTTGGTATACCAAATTCTACATCCAAATATATACACTCTCCGCCATGTCGCAGGCAATATGTGCTGCACTTCCTGTTAGCGTGCACGTTTGCCAAAGTGATGCGCAAATGGGGGCCAAAGGATTGCAGCGAATGCGCTGTGGTGACGCAACAGTAGATCTCATCAAAGATATATAACCTTGATGAGTGAGTACCTACGGGTTGACTACTTACCATAGAGGTGTTTTCTCGTCGCATCTGATATGCTTCTTTTTGCATACGGTGCAGCCTATGGTAGCACGCGCCCACGTCACAACAACGCCGATGGGGCGCCGCGGCGACGTATGCGCGGATAAGTCAGCAAACTCTCCAGATGTCATATATGGTACTCGACGGTCACCAAAGCCCAGTCGTCAAACCGTCTGTTTCCAACTTACCATTTCTGGACCTGCGGTGAAATTTGCGTTGCCGCTGTCGGATCAGCAAGGGCTGCTCCTCAATTGGCCTCATATTACTTGCCATTAGCAGCGAGCTTTCGTAGTACATGGCTGACATCGGGCGACCAGACGACATTCATACACATCTACTGATTATGTCAGATCAAATCTGAAATTCAAGAGCACGCGAACCCTACAGAATACGTTGTATTTCATCATGCTCTCCTCAAGGCAACCGTATTTCTCCCCCCTCCTGAAAAGCTTAGCATGCCGTCGTTGGTGCATGCGAACCATGGAGGACCCGCACCGTTCAGGACGAGCAGAATGCTTTTAGTTGAAGGATCCGACACACGAAATGAGCCCGTTTTGTTGCAAAGGTCTGCAATCCTTTCGGCAATCGCTTAGCGTTTTCCTGAAACCCCCTGTTCTCGAACGTTGGACAGCAGTCTAGCGATCATTCAGCCATGTCGCAACGTTAACCGAACCACCCCTCGGACATTCCAAAATTCTTCTACGTAGGTCGCAGGGTCCTTTTCGACATCACAGCTAAGTTGCCTTAAGCGCGCGGCAGTCCGACGACAAACACGGAATAGTCTGATCCAAGCAAATGATAACTGCATACTGCAATATCTCATGCGCTGATGTCGGAGAACGTAACTATTTTGCATATGAACTTGCTCTCCCTCCGAGGCGTTGAGGCATGTCCAACCCAAGTACCGTACATGTGGCGCTTGGAACGTTGGACCGGCCGCCTGGGTAGAGCAAAATAGCCCTATGAGCCCTGTCAAAAAAGGGAGACCGGAAACGCGGCTATATTTATCCTATCCACTGTAAGAACTTAAAATTTTGGCAGAACAGTCGTGATTGGAGCTCTCATTTCTAATAGTACGAGTAAACTGGATTCTAAATCCATCGAATGAAGTTCTTGATTAATAACAGCATCCAGTGGACACGTCGCGATCAGCAACTCAATCCCACGGACGATGGGATTTCAATACCGGCGAGGATGTGGGCAATTAAAGGCACCCTTTTTGTTCGCAGCTGTATACTAACAGTTTCTTCATCTACCTTACTGTGGCGCATTTTGTAAAGTGTAACAGGCTGCTATCGGGACAAGATCCTGCAAACTCTGAGGCCATCACTGGTAGACTGGCTAAGAACAGCTCATAAAATAAAGCCATTGGCATTTGATTAAGTCCCGGAGACATATGCCTTTCATCAAGCCCCAAGAACGCAGCCCCATACTCGCCTTTCAGCTTTAGGCATCCATATAAACCACTACCTGAAATACGGCTGTACTATTATTATCATTCATGTCGCAACAAGTATACAATGTCTCCAAGCGACACGAATCATGACATTGTGATTACTATGTCATTGTCGAGTCAGAATACGAACACATTGATATGGACAGTCGGTTTGGGCTTTACTTTTATTTTAGTTATTTGGTGCCCGCCGCCTTGTCGTTCATTAGATTGCCGGGCTTGAGCGACATCCCCACTACAGCACTATTTTCTGCTTGACCTTCCTGGCATAGAACAACAAACCTGCGCTTGAACTGCGTCTCGATGAGTGATGGCAATACCACATAAACCTTGGAAGTTGACGACGCAGCCTTTTGCGGCTCCAAAACCATCATAAAGTCCTCATCTCTGACTGCCCAATTATGGCCCTATCAGTCTGAGCCAATTGATGAGCAGTCCCTCGCCGTGGCATCAGCAACCAGTGGCCAGCAATATTCGTTTCTGTACATGTGGTCCCGCGCGTGTTGGCAAAGCGGGCACTGCTGAGGTCGGCAACGTTGGGTTTCTACCCCATTGTGCCACATCTTGAACCCAATTCTTTGCAGCCGCCCGAAGGGTTGCGAACCACAGGTCACCGCCATTGTTCTCAAGGTAATTCCTTGTAGAGCAGAGTTGCCCGTCGAGACCAGTACCGCATTTTCGCAACGGTGGTTGGGTTCCATCTTCGAGCCCAATCGATGCCCTACACTGGTTTGGGATAAGATGTGCCCCCACTACTCAGATGACATATTCAGTCTTCGCCCGTCCTGGAAAAGCTTCCAGGCTTGAGTTGCAACATGTTCCAGGGGTGCTCCTTGACCATAGCTGATTGTTCTAACTGAATTGCCGCGATTGACTTGACTTTTGCTTGCATTTGCTGCGGGTAACAAACTTTCCGTTGCAAGGCCTATCCTCGCCCGTTGGGAGAATAGTTCAGTTGAGCGAAATACTGAGATTACGGCGATTCCAGGTCACAAGCCAACCCCTTGTTGCGAGTGACGTTGGCATCAACATCCCCATCGCCCCGGGTTTTACGAACCTTTTCAGGGCGGCTGACATCCTAGACAACCTGCTTTACAAGGTCAATCTACCCGACAGATCTGTTCCCAAGTGGCGAAACTACTATTTGCCTCAAGAGTATAGAGGTGGACATAAAGAAAGTGATCCCTCCCCAATATCAGGATTGTTGATCATCGACTTCATCACTGTACAGATCACTCGCAACACAGGAAAGTCAGCCAAAGTTGCTTTCAAGTACCGTTGCCGCGGGGTACTTTGACACCTTTCCATTAACTGAAAGCAATATCTTCATTTTTCCAGGAGCGGACTCTTAAATTTCCCTAGGACAAAGGCCCCATTAATTCATCCAGTCAGCCGGAGAACATTGAGCACACCGCTCCCCGGAGAACCAGTATATCCCAGGTTGAACATTCTTCTCAACTTTGTATCCCGCCTTTCTGGAGGAGAAAAAAAAACCCCCCTTAGACCCGTGTACTTGGAGAGCCCCGGAAATCACGGATTTATCCAAACGGAAGGCTGCCGCCTGGAGGAACTTCAAGCGCACTTATACTGTCTTTGATTCCCTCGATATAGTCTTCGAGGTTGAGATTCTGCTTTCGGACTTTCCCGCCAAGGAACATGACCCAGCCGGAACTAGCCTATAGGACAACTGCCATGTCGAACGGACCCTGGAACCCATCCCGCAGGTGCGATCTTCAGAAATCTCCCGATCACGATGGCTATGGTTAGGCTAACTCACTCAAGTATCGCATACAGCGACCCATACCAAGGTGGTACCTATGATAACACCTACCCACGGTCAAGGTAAGGGACACCGCTATTAGCCTTTGAGCCCATGACGGGACTGTCATAATAACATGACCAAGTGTTGCATATCCATCTAGTGGACCTGGTCCTTCTTATAGTATTCCAATCAGTGCGCCGTTCGAAACTAATGGCCGACCCGAGTCGACTTTCTCATCATCGCCGGTATATACATCTCGACCGGTCTCGGGAAGTTACACAGTCGGCCACGGTTCAACCTCCCACGGGTGGGATTTACATGGCCAAGGAGGTTACTCACCAACGGATTCTGTTGACGATATAATCGCTTCGCCAGGTATATCCGACTATGGCCTAGAAAATGGAACAGGCTCTTCGGTCGCTGGAAAGTCCAAGAGTCATGGCAAGGGCCGTCCTCAAAGGCGTCCATCGAACAGAGATGAGTTTGATGGCCCTCATCAATTCCTGCAACGGCCACCTCCTAGTTACATCGCCATGCAAGAGAGAGATCTTCCACATCTCCCAACGAATTTGCTGGTGCAGGAGCAAGACAGTGTCTTGAATCAAGTGAATGACAGGCTGTCACAGTGTGCCTATGACTTTGTCGCAAAGTATCAGTTTCCTATTCCTCTCACCCAGGATATGAGGCCAGTCGAGCGCCCACAGGACCGGGAATGGACTGAATGGGTTTACTTACTGAAAAGACTGGCAACGAAGAGGAGAATCCCTGTGAGTTTATCTGCGTCATACTGCGCACCTTCCCACCCCCAGGGACCTTATCGACGAGCCAGCTCAGTCGAACTTGATGATAAGGACGATATCTTGCATGCAAAAAATAACGGCCACTGACATTGTACGTGACAGGCCAGGGTATTATATAATGGACAGATTAAGCAATTTGTTACCATTCTGGAGAATTCACTAGGTATGTACTCCAAATGTCTCTGCGGTGCATGGGTGAGCGCGGTCTAACTCCGTTGCAGAAATGCGTCATGCTGCAAAGCATCAATCACGCCCCTTGAAGGATGATAGAAACATTCTCCAACTAATCAGCGCTGGAATCCAAGTGGCTAAAATCTTGAAGGATGCGCAAGCCATGGATTACCTTGACAGACTATACGTTTCAACAGATCAACAGATCAAGGAGCGGAGCGCCGCCGCCGCGGCTCGCTTCCGCTGAATATTGGAAGGACAGGACACTCACGTTATGACGGCTTATGATACCTTTACGATGAAGACATCACACAAGCTTTTTTTCTTTTTCATCTGCAGGATGCGAATAGACAGCACCAGGCTGTATATATGGGAGATACCCGGAGCCCTCTGGGAATCATGCTAATTGACAAGGTGTGTGTGTGTGTGTGTGTGTACGAGAGGCTGGTGCCCGATGGATGAGAAATCACGAATCTCCTTGCACGATTCAATTGTGCTCGAAATTTTCTTCAGGGGAAGAACACATTATGTGGCGAGCCAAACTTATTAGGGAGTTTCAAGGATCAATGGGAATATATCTGATTTTCAAATGCAAAGCGTGGCAATGTGGATACTATATTCTTATGTTCCTTACAAAGCCTCCTTCAATCTGATCATTTTCCACGTCTCTCAGCCTTGCTCGAATTACCTGAATTGCCATTGCCGGCAATGTCGGGTTTATTGGGCACCAACCGTGCATAATAAAGGCCTCCGAATCCGGCCAGAGCTAGAGCGTATTCACCACACCTCACGCAAATGCATGCGCAGAGTTGTCATTCCGTCACATATTGGGCTCCTCCAATGAGTGGTTGGCCTTGCTGCCACATTTGCAAGTCCTACCGGGTTGGGCGAACCTGGCAATCCGATTGATTGATCGGGCCAGGTCGCAAGGTCTGTTAGGCTCTCGGAGGCTCGCTGGCAACTAGTTGTTTCTTTCGCGTTTCCGGCCCTCTTCTGCTTGATCTTCTTCTTCTCTCTTGCTGCCTTGGGGTGTGTTGCGGTACATTCGGCCGTGCATGGAAAGAAGGGCCACATCAGTGGACTCGACACCATTGTCGCGGGAGCCGCAGAAGGTTAAACCTAGTCATCGATGCATGACAAAGCCCTACTATGTCCCATGACATTCCATGCGGTACTTTACGCCGTCCCAACAGGTTGTGAGATTTCTGTGGAAGTCTAGAGCATCTCGCTGGGTTCTGCTTCCGTCGGCATAACCTGGGAATATGCATGAGCTTTATGTCTACCTATACTTTAGAAAACATGCGATCAGCTCAGGCAGCCAGCCAGCGGGGGGTCACCCGGGTAAGTACTGCCGTGATCTACTTCTGTTTTCAAACGGCCCGTCTGCCCTAATGCCCTTGCTTTGGTAAGATCCGAACCGCTTGCCCCCGAGATCCTTATTCACGAATAAGAGAACCCGCACCCTAGAGCTAGTGTAAGTAAAGGCCTGATTAGGGTCAACTCGAAGCGGATCTTCCTCCGAGCCTTCACTAGTCAGCGTTTGTCGCCCGGTCATCGATCTGGGGGTTCTCTCCCATCGTCTTGGAGAAACACATCGATACAGTGGCCCGAGCACGGGATGATTGGCTCGGGGGATCGCGGCGTCCGGGACGCGGGTCTCAACAGAACACGAAATATGTAACACGGCCAGGTTCCTCGCACCACAGAGCTAATGCTCTCGTGAGGCTACGCGTGCATAGTCGATTCAACAGCTCGCGGAGTAAGTGCCAGTGCTAAAGTCAATGAAGCGAACACGAGTACGAGGAGAAACGGGACAGAGATTGGCTCCCGGAGATGATGGGCATTGAGACCTGTCGTAGAGATGGGACCACGGAGGTTGCCATCGACAAATGTCCCGGAGGGTAATTAGTAATAGACATGTTGGGCATACTTATGGGCCAAACGATGGTCGTAGGACCAAACAGCTTTTTCGAGCAAATCTTTTTTCTTATTCTTCTTCTCTTTTTTGTCTGGAGCTCAGGCCGAGGAATATCATGGACTGATATGAGATCAAGCTTGGGCTTCGAACAGAGATAAGCAAGGTTTCATTCCGGACAAAAGTTGGCGAGAAAGCCGGAAAGAATACCTCGGGACGGCCATTCTCAAAGTCGAAGGCGTCTTGATTCTGAACATTTTAGAAGCCACGGTCCAGAGCGTACTTTGTTTTTGCTACTGACTGGCGACATAATTACCTGGTATGAGAGTCGAGGTCAGAACTAAATCAAGATGTATTGGAACAAATCCCAAGCAACTACGTACAAGTATGGCATTACTTGCTTGCTTCTCGGGGGATATATATCCAGCGTTATGGACAAAATATCGCATCATGACCAGGGAGCCGGACACACTGCCATGTCAAGCTGACAGGACACAAACACTGGATAAAAATAAGATAAAAATAAAAATAAAAATAAACATTGGTCAGTATCGGGTGGGACAATGGAAGGGCGAATAGACGGATAAGATGAAACACGACCAGTATTTAGCCTTTCCAACCGACAAGTAGGAGAGCCCTATCGCCTAAGCTAGGGAAGACAACAACCGCCAGCTTCGCGCAGATATAAGGCCGAGTCAGGATGCGCCGTGCATAACAATCTGAGGCATCAGAAGAAGAAAGGGGGGGGGGGGGGGAAGGCCTTAGGGTGCCTACTATACAGCGCTGGAGGTTGCCTACCAGAGCACCAGACGGGGCTTTTGGTTCCTGCCATTGTTGAGAATCGCATTCATAACGACCTTGAATACAGTATTATAGTAGCTTTAGGGGCCTTTGTATTAATCTGCATTTATAAATGTACGTCTCGGACCAACCACTCTCCCTTTCAGATATAAGCTTTCTGTCCTGTCTGCCGTCTGTAGATAGTACGTTGTCATGGAACTCGAGGGTACGGTAAGCTCGAATTGTCCTGGAGCGTGTTGGGATATGCTGCCAGGCTGGGGGCAAAAAAGCAAGTTGTCGTTTTTTAAGCAAGGAAACGGTACGGAAAAATTGGCAGACACAAGGGATCACGGTATCTACTTTGACATTGGATTGACAGGGGCAAGAAAAGGAAGAAAAAAGTCTTATTTGGTATCAATTTCCCAACGCCTTGACCAGTCTCTACCGAGTCTTCAGTCAGTGCCAGCCTTGTTCTTGCTGCGTCCAGAGCGCTTCTTGCGCTTCTTGGAGCCCTCGACGGCGTTTGCTTCCTCTTCGACCGCCTCTTTGCCATCTCCTCTCACTTGGCCATCACCAAAAACGAAAGCAGGACCTTCTCTTTCGGCCTCGGGGCCGAAGTTCTCCTTTCGCCATTGTCGCAACCTCTGCTTCTTACTCAACCGCTTCTTGTCCTTGGCTTTCTTGTCGGCTGGTCGGAAGTGTGCCAACTTCTTCAGGCCAACGTATTCATTCAGGGCGGAATCAGAGGGTGCCATGAGGATGTCTTTGGCTGTCAGGCCATAAGACTCCGCCCAAGTCTCCCGATAGGCAAACCTTGACCCTTGAGTCTTCTTGGACGAGCCACCTGGAATTATGGGATCGTCGATATCCATCTTGGCATCAACAAGAGCCTCGATCTTGGAACGCTCCTTACGTGCCTCCTTCTGAGTAGTCAGACGCTCCCTCTTACGATCCTTGGTCGTCTTCTGCTTCTTGCGGGCTGGGCCGTCCTCGTCCTCATCCTCGTCCTCATTGTCGTCGTCGACCTCCTCTTGTTCCTCTCCTGCCTCCTCAAGATCAGATAGTACCACATCAGGAAGCTCGTCTTCTTCGAAGTCGGGCACAAGATCCTTGATGTCGATATCGTCATCGAATTTGGGCTTCTTGACCTTGTGCTTCTTGCTGTCTTCGTCATCCGATGCTCCCTCACCCTCGGCGTAATATTCGTCGCCAAACTTTCGGTTCATCTCTTCTTCCCACTTGTCGTTGTCCCACTTGTCGTCGAGGAATTTGATCCACTCGTCCTCGTCGAGGTCCTTGCCGGAAAGACCAGCTGCCTTCTTGATTTGCTTCAGCTTGGCCTCTGCTTCCTCAATCTTCAAGTTGCGGAGGCGGTTGCGCTCCTCACGACGTTCTTGCTTCTCTGCCTCCTTCTGTGCGCGCTCCTCCTCACGCTTCTTCATTCTGCCCGACTTCTCGTCGCGGCGAACGGACTTGGCATCGACGACGTCTCTGGCGTAGGACTTGAGAACCTCGTTGCTCTTGCTGGGATCCTCGAATCGCAGGTTGTAGGCAACCTCCCATTCGTCAGCCTTGCCATCGCTGTCCTCTTGATCCGAGTCGAAAGCTTGCCAGTTGTTCTTTCCGGGCTCAATCCAAGCGCGGGCAGCCAGGAAGTTCGACAGGTAGGTTTGGGGGTCCTTTTCGGCATTTGCGACATCGAGGTTGGACAAGGCCTTCTTGCCCTTGGCCGCCTTGGCCCCCTTGACATTGGCGGCCCGCGACGGATGCATGCCGTCGGATGCCAGCTCCTTCTTGATGCGCTCTGCCTCGCCGGCCTTGGGCTTCAAGAAGTCATCACCGTCGTCGTCTTCGCTCTCGTGGTGGCCCTTGATCTGGGAGTTGATCTCGCCCAGGATGGACTTTTTCAAGCTGTCTTGCTCCTGGCCGTATGTCTGGGGGTGCTCTTGGTCCTCGTCGGCTCCCGTGTCGCCGGCGAGGATTCTCTCGCGGTGGTAGTCTCGTAGTGTGACTGGTTTCTCCTTCTTTTCCTTGGGCTGTGGCTGGGGGGCGCCGTCTACTGGGTCGTAGAATTTGGCCTCGGGATCGTAGATGCGAGGGTCCTTCTTGCGGAGAGCTTCGAGGGTGGCCATGAGCTGAGCATCGAGCTCTTCGGTTGCGAGGTAGCCATCCTCATCCTCGGTCTCATCGTCGGAATCGTCTTCGTCGTCGTCGTGGTCTTGGTGGTCCTGGGGTTTGCCCTTGCCGAATTTTTCCTCTAGCCTGTGGCGCTCTTCCCGCTTCTTGTTGTGTTCGAAACGTGCAGCGTATTCGTTGTTGACCTTGAGTTGTGCGCCTCCATCGGATTCGTCTTCACTTTCGTCGAACATGGTCATCTTCCGGTCTTTGGAAGAAGGAGCCATGGTCAAGAGAGATGGGGGATGTGGTTTTAGGTCAAAGAGAGTGCGAGGACTATCTGACAGTGCCCCTAGTTCTAAAGGCTTCCTGGGAAGAATGTGGCAGTCCGGCGGTTGCTTCAATATGAAAAGTGGTGAAGATTGAAGTGAATTGGGATTTTTTGGGTACCTGCTGCGACACCAGACTAGATTTAGATCACACAGAGACCAGGCCTTAAGAGCTCTGCAACTTTTTTTTTCTCTTCTCTTCTTACTGCCACTCAAGCGGGGCGGCTTTCTCTGATAAGAAGGACGCCTGGCAAAGCGTCAGAGCCAGCATCAGAATTAGGTTAGGCGGTGACAGCAACGGTGCCAGAGATGTTCCAACCTCCGCGTGTCCTGTGGTCCCGCACTAGGCCAAGGAGCGTGTAGTGCAAGTTGACGTCTGACGTTTGCTCAGCTCGCTTCAGTTAGTCTAAGGCTAAGGCTCACCTAGGTTAGTCTAGTGCAATCCGCACGGGATTACGGCGTACTTCAGTGGCGCTTCTTATGGTCCTGCGCCCGTCGTCATGTTACACGAAAGTTCCAGTTCGGTATCTCTCTCTGCCTGCCCTATCGCACTTGGCCATCCTCTTCGAAAACCCCCCCCCATCGCATTTCAGATAACAAGTACAACGCCCATTTCATCTAATTGAAAACACCCCGACCACACACTTTTCGTTCCCGTAAACGAACACGACAAACATGGCGGATGCCCCGAAACCGAGTAGCAGCGTCAAGCTGGTGCTGCTGGGAGAGGCAGCTGTTGGAAAGGTGCGCGGATAGCTTCAATTCGGACTCGGGTTCAGATTCGAATTCGAACTCCAATCACAGTCTCCAGCGCAGCGCAACACCCGCGACTAACCATGCCTCTGCTCTAGTCGTCACTCGTACTCCGCTTCGTCAACAACGACTTCCAGGAGAACAAGGAGCCCACAATCGGAGGTAACGTCCTTGCACCAGTCTTGTGTCGCGAGAATGCGCCCCTTCTGACCACATGCCCCCCGTCATAGCCGCTTTCCTCACACAAAAATGCAACCTACCCACGAGGACCATCAAGTTCGAAATCTGGGACACGGCAGGTCAGGAGCGCTTCGCCTCTCTGGCCCCCATGTACTACCGTAATGCGCAAGCGGCCCTCGTCGTCTACGATCTCACCAAGCCCACGTCCCTCATCAAGGCAAAGCACTGGGTCGCCGAGCTGCAGCGGCAAGCATCTCCCGGCATCGTCATCGCACTGGTCGGGAACAAGCTTGACCTGACAAACGAGAGCCCCGACGCCGACGTACACGACGCCGACGCCGACGCCGACGAGTCCGGTGATGCCAGGAAAGTCTCCACCGACGAGGGCAGAACCTACGCCGAAGAGGAGAGCCTGCTCTTCTTCGAGACGAGTGCCAAGACTGGCCACAACGTCTCCGAAGTCTTCACGGCCATCGCCAACGCCATCCCGGAGACATCCCTGAAGAGCACGAGAGGCCCAGGAGCGTCAAATGCCGTCAGCCGCGGTGGCGAGGAGCAGAGAGTGAGCCTCAACGGGCCGAGGGAGGCAGCCAAGGAGGGTTGTGCTTGCTAGAGAAATCAAAGCAGTGGAGAGTGCTCGCATATTCGATCCGACTCCCACGGTGTAGGATATGGGAGAGTCCTGCACGTGCTGACGAGGGGACCAACTCATGGAATACGTTTGAGCCAATCCGGCAAAGGCACAGGGAATCGGCCGCTAATTATCATCGTGTCCTCCATATGCGGCTTTTCTGTTTCAGAGCCTCCGGTAGCATGAGGGGATCGGAGCCTCTTGCGTTTCTTTGGCAGTGTGTTCTTTCCGAGGCTATGGGAGATAGCTTGACGGCATGTCTATCAAATCCAACCATGTGTGAAGAAAGTGCAGCATGTCAAAACATGTCCCATGTCGATCGCCTTTCCTGCAGCGAATAATTTGGGTCTACAGTGGGTTTGTTTCAGGTCAGGTCTGGGTTGTAATAATTAACAGAGGTATTATTTCGTGAAAGTTTTTACCTCTCTTCTCTGGTAAGTGGTAGCCGAATAGAATCAAAGAAAGAAGAAGCGTTTTCAAGACTTGTACACGTTTTCGCACGGCATGCGTCTCGGGAGCTTTTACTTGTCCCGGGCGCCCTTCAATGAATCAGCAGAGGAAAAGGAGGTATGAATTCGCCTCGGTCCGTTGGTACATAGCCTAGGTGTTTGTAAGCCTCATCTGGTTCAAGGTACATACAATACGGAGTTGCAGCAGCAATCAATCCTGATGGAGCCCACTACTACAGCCGCTACGACTGCCATGGATGAATCAGCGGCGCAGGGGTCAAAGGCTCAAGACGAGGTACCTGTCTGAACTCTGGACTCTGGACTCTAGACGCCGGACCTTCTGACGGGGTTTTGCAGCCATGCAGCCAGCGCCGTAACTTAAATTGTGCTTCCAGGTAATGACAGGTGCTCACACAGTGTGTAGCCGGAGCTCACCTGCAAGCTGTCGGTCCTAAGCTACATGGCTTACTATACTTGGCGACTATACCCCCAGGTTAATGTACATACTGTATCCTGTCGCTAATCGATCATCAAGCCAGGAGTTGTAGTTGCAGCAGTTGCGGTCACAGCTGAGTTGCACCGAGTTTGGGGTTGACTTGTGCACCCCCCCACTAAACAGCGCCGAAGTCCCCGTAGTCTCTGCTAGATTGCGGTACCCGTTAATGAATTGGTCAATTACCTTCCTGGGGGTTGCAATCAATGACTTGATCGCAAAGAGACAGCTTTACAATTTTGAGGAATTTCAGGGAAGCCCGTCCCCCCCGTCTGCCCAGTCACTTATTCCCCCCCTCTGCTTTCTGCTGGGAAGAAAACGAGACGACCAGGCGAAGCTGTCGTGGACGGTCATGAACAACACGAGCTTGCCATTGCCATTGCCCTTGCCAGATTTGAATGTCTAGGTCTAGATCCCAGAGCTGAGGCCCGCCCGCCTCATGAGCCACCACTACTCCCGTCGTCTTATGTAGCCCAGTGAGCGACGACAATTCGCTAGCTATGTCGTGGGACTTGCTTCAGAGGTTCTTCGAGAGTGATGTCTTTAACCAGAACCCCTTCCTCTCCGTCTCATACCTGTCGTGAGTCTCCTCCCCTCTCCCGCCCTGCCCTATCCTGTCCTGTACGCAATGCGCCGCCCCCCTCTCCCGATGTCTTTGTCTCTAAACTAGCTTCTTCCTCCTCTCTAGACGATATGCAGACCATGTTGGCATACATTATGTCTTGTGCTCCAAACTCCGACAGTTCCCCTACGAGGACATCGAGTTCTTCCTGCCGCAGCTATGTCACCTCATCATCAGCATCGACAACGAGTCCATGGCTCTGGAAGAGTTTCTGCTAGACCTATGCCAAGAATCCGTCACCGCCGCATTACTGGTTAGGAACCCTTGAATTCTTTGCTCGTGGCCCTGTCAACGGTCTATATCCGTGTCACTACCAGAGCCCATGTCATATGCTGATCGATCCAATCTGCTCGCAGACCTTCTGGTTGTTCCAAACCTACCTTCACGATCTAGCGTCAACACCACAGGCCCAGCCCTTCAAGACATGTCGGAGAATCTACAACAAAGTCCAACACATTGTCTTCGGGCTCTCGGATTCCGCAAGGGCCGACAAGATCACTGAGAACACCCTTCCCGTAACCGTCCTCGCGAGCTTTGTCTTGGCCAGCATTGGTCTTCCGCTCCTCCCACAAATAGCTGGGCCCCTGGCGGTCGCGCAGGCTCGAAGAACCACTCCGGATGGCGACGTGATATCCGAGGCAAGCCAGACCCAGAACCAGAACCAGCCCGCCAAGATCACGAGAAGCCAGACTGTCTCGGCCCAGAGTACGCGGTCGAGGCGTCGCGACCCGAACCGAGTACCGAGCGCACCAACAGCTACCATCCAGGAAGGCAAGGTAGCCAGAGAGCAACAACAGCTGCCGCAGTCCCCGCGCGTGACCGTGGCACGCCCGCCCTCGTCGTCCGGCTCAACCAAACGAGACGCCCCCGACAAGCCGCGGAAGCCCGACTTCATCGAGAGCAAGATCTTGGAGGCACGGCTTAGTTCTTCGTCCCTGCCCTTGCCCGATGTGCGCTCTCCAAGGGTTTTCACGCAGCCTGCGACTCCCGTCTCTGCCGGTTTCCCTCGTCCGACTGATGGCCTCTCGCGACGGCATTCCCACCACGTCAAGACTCTCCTAAGCCAGGCGGAGATGACCACGGCGCAGAAAGCAAAGCTGTTGCGCCAGAACTATTTCCGCTGTCAGACAGCCTTCCTGACGGCACTCGAAGATATCTCCAATCGCTTGGTCATTGTACCCAAACAAGCCCGTCTCAGTGCTCTACGCGCAGAACTAGCATTGATAGCCAGAGATTTGCCTGCCGAACTCGACATTCCGATTATCTGCCCGCCTACACTGGTCGATGGTTCTCCTTCCAAGAGTCGGCATCACCGTATAGTGAGGGTGAATCCGGCCGAAGCCACAGTTCTGAACAGTGCCGAGAAGGTGCCATATCTGCTCATGGTGGAGATCCTGAGGGATGATTTCTGCTTCGACCCAGAATCGCCTGATAACCAGAGATTGTTGACCACACTCTTGGCCGAACAAGGGAGCCGCAAACGGATATTTGACCTGTCAGATGCCCCTCGAGTCTCAACTGGCGAACGTATAATCGGGCCAGCTGTGAAGGAGGAAAAAGTGGACAGCGTATTCGAGCCAAGCTCGGGTGACCTAGGAAGCTCGCCAATGCTCAAACCGGTCGACGATGAAGCCGCCAATAAGAAGCACGGCAAACTACCATCCAAGCCCCAGCGCGTGCCGTCTGGAACTACCACTCTTTCGAGTTTGTCCGAACTGACTCTGACAACACCCCGGACTTCGGCAACGTCTACTTCGAGGTCCAGTAGCCCAGGTGGCCTGAGAAGGATGACATTGCAGAACCCGAAAAACAACTCGGCCGACCAGCCCGACTTCTCGGCTTTGGCAACGCACATGCGCACTGCCTCGCAAATGCTGGCCCAACTCGAGGCTACTAGTGGCAAACGGCCCAAGCAGGAGGTGGCAGCTATCAGAGCCAAGATCATTGCCAGCATGCAGAACCTTGAGGAACAGAACTTCGAAGTGAACGATCCCCAAGGGCCGACTTTCGATATGATCATTGCAAGAACGACTGCTGCAAATGTAGCCGCTGAAGCTGCCGAGATTGAACAAGAACTCGAGACGGGAATGAACGAGAGCGCAGGTCAGGCACGAATGGAAAACGACGCAATGACTGGCGGCGTGAGACGCAAAGGAGACCGCGACGACCCGAGTGCGGCAGTTTTCGGTGAAGCATGGGAGCAAAAGAAGGAGCGCATTCGGAAGTCGTCCCCCTATGGATGGATGAAGAACTGGGATCTCGTCAGTGTCATTGTAAAGACTGGAGCTGATCTGCGACAAGAGGCTTTCGCATGTCAGCTCATACAAGCTTGTGACAAGATCTGGACCGATGCCGGCACGCCTGTTTGGGTGAAAGTCATGCGCATCCTTGTTACGGGAGAGTCATCTGGTCTGATTGAGACCATCACCAACGGCGTGTCGCTCCACTCGTTGAAGAGAAGTTTGACACTTGCACTGATCGAATCTGGCCAGAACCCGAGGAGGCGGATTGCTACGCTCAGGGACCACTTTATAAAGACGTTTGGTCCTACGGATAGCGAGCCGCACAAAGCTGCCGTGGATGCCTTCAAACGGTCACTTGCGGCATACAGCATGATTTCATATGTCTTGCAGCTCAAGGACCGCCACAATGGCAATGTTCTCATCGACAACGAGGGCCACATTGTTCATATCGACTTTGGCTTTATGCTGTCAAACTCGCCAGGCTCCGTGGGCTTCGAAGCTGCGCCTTTCAAATTCACCTACGAATACCTTGAGGTCCTCGGCGGCGTTGGAACTCAAGACTACGACGACTTCAAAAAGCTGTGTAAACAAGCATTTCAAGGTGAGCAGCTAACTATCGGGCATGAGGGCGATCCAGAAGCTAACTGTCAACGAACAGCTCTGCGTCGTTCTGCGGATAACATCATCGACCTTGTTAGCATGATGGGTCGAGATTCAAAGATGCCGTGCTTCGCAGTTGGGATCACAACTGTCACCGCCACTTTACGGCAACGTTTCCAGCTGCATCTGAGTGCTGAAGAAGCCGAGAACTTCGTCGAGACTGACCTGATTGCCAAGTCATTAGGCAGCTACTACACACGACTGTAAGTACTACCATGATACCTGGATGGATTTGCCATCGAAGAGCTGTGACTGACTGTGGCACAGTTATGATACCTTCCAATACCGTACCCAGGGTATATACTAAGCAAGCGGAGATCTCGTGAGAGATACCAAGTTACAAACAGAGAACTAGATTTTGTTTCGGGTGGGATTGGAAGATACAATAATGCATTGAAATAAAGCATCTGGAAGGCGTTGGAGGTATACTTTGGACGTATACACATATAGACATGCGTGACGAGTCGCAGCCATTTAGGATAAATCTCCTGCACATGAGAGAATAACCCATGCCGCCAGAGGCCAATCCGACAGCAGAAGGAGGCTGAGCTTGGGGGGTTAGTGAAAAAAAAAAGGAGGGGGGGAAAGAATATTGGCAAGGCCTCATATATACATATATTTGTGTGAATGTATATGGATTTCTCTGCATTTGGGGTATTTTGTATTATCGAGATAGATCGTGCGGAGCGCAGCAACGGTGAGAGTTGAAAATAAAGTGGTGCAAACATTTAACACAAATTTTCTTGCTCTTTGTAAGTCGAAGCATTTCATCTCATCATGCTCCGGCTGATCAATATTGAGAAAGAGAAGAAAAACGCACCTTCTACCCCCACATGTACTTGTGCTGGGAATCTGTAACAGCAATATTATTCATTCAAGTATTTTTGTATGCTTGGATCTGCGAGAAGAGTTGGTATCTTTAACATGCATCATCGTCCTCGTCATCGCTCCTTGTAACCTACTGATCCGGTGCCTCGATCCTCGTCTAATAACGTGAGGACGGGTGGCGCGCCCAATGGTCCAAATCCCGTGTGCACTCCTTTTCCGCACAAATCCCGTGCTGTGCCCGTCCCATCTAGGCCCGCCCTCTTCCTCCTTCCGAGGCCATCGTCCCAACCAACCAGACATACCCCAGCTAGGCAGAAGAAGAAGAAAAAAACCCCCGAAAAACAAAACTACGCCGTCTCCTCAACCAGGATGGTTCCTCCCCGCGCCAGCCTCGACGTTGGCGACGAGACCAGGGAAAGCCGCCACGTCGATGCCCGCAGATGTCGCGAGCGCCTCCCAGTCCAGCTCGTCCGCATCGCCGCCGCCCTGCCCGTTAACCCCAGCGGCAGCTGCCATGAACCACGGGTCGCTTCTCCCCGGCGGCGCGACGACCGCCGTCGCCGAGCCCGTCAGCCGCTGGGCGAACGTGAACAGGCCAGCGCGGTCAAGGGGCGCCGTTGCTGCAGCCTCCCTGGCTGCGGGGCCGGGGGCACCCCGCGCTCGCGCTTGAGCTGGTGCTGGCTGAGGCGGCGGCGGCATGGGCTCGTCGGCGGGGCCCGTCGCGGGGGTTTCCTGTCCGGCCGCGGCCGTCGTTGTCGCGCGGTAGGGAAGGCTGTTTGTGATGCCCCGCGACAGGTGAGCCCACGGCGATCGCTGGAACGACGCGAAGACATCGGGCCGCGTGCTCGGGATCTCGGGGTCGCCGGATTCGGTCGGCAGCGTCGAGCTCGATGACGGCGTCGTGTCGCTCGCTGTTGTTGCTGCTGCTGCTGTTGGTCCCCAGAGCAGCGGGTCCTGATCTTGACCGGGCTCGGTCGTGCTGGCGTCCCCGTGTGAGCCTCTTTTGCGCTTCGCGGCGTTCCCTTCGTCAGGGATGATGGAGCCCGGAGTGATATCTTGGCCCAGCATGGACTTCAGGCCGTGGTCCCCGGCGTAGGTGCACAGCCCGGCACCCGTGCCGTTGTCCTTGATGGAGCTGCCCCAGCCGATGCCGCACTCGCGCATCCTGTGCGGGTTTACGATGCCCTGGGGTTTGCCCAGGGGCAGGCGTCCCGGCAGCGGCGGCTGCGGCCTGGAGGAGTGCCTGTTGATGTGCGTCCGGGCGAGCAGGGGGATCCTGTGGTTGCCGACCGTGATGGTGTTCGGCATGTCGTCTACGCTGGGCGGCCGCCCGATCTGCGTGATGTTGTTGAGCTCAATGTCCACCAGGAGCTGCTTCAGGAACGCCCGAGTGATAATGTGCTCGCGGCCGATGGCTTCCATGGCGACGACGATGAAGTCCAAGTTGTCAATGTTCTTCGGGCTTGGGTTGGCTTTGCATTGATAGATGAACACCGATGCCGCGCAGTAGAGAGCTACGGCCGCCATTGGACTTCGCTGTGACGCGTGTTAGCCACGACTCTGTTGCACCGCGGAACCAGGTAGGTAGGCTTACAGGGTTTGTCTTCAGGTGACTTGTCATCTTCATGATATTGACGATTTCTTGTGCCGCGGTGAACAAGCGACTCTCGCTTGCAATTTTCGCGTGGTCCGCGAGCTTGTAGTCATCTATTCTCTCCAGCGCCGCAAGGTGTAGACAGATGAGTGACGCATGGTAGTTTAAATTGGTATGGACCGCAGTCGGATCCCGGTAATGTTCCGGGAGTCTAAAATGTTCAGGTAGGAACATGAAAGCGCTAGAAATTGTGTTGTCAATTCCGCGGTGTCGCTGCCAGTACTCGCCGTATTCGTAATTTTCAGGGTGGTCTTCTCGGCCAGGCCTATGGACGTGCCTCATTATTTGGTTGAAGAGATGACAGACGAGTATGGCTCCAGCGAAGGAGGAGTATGACGGTCCCTTGAACGCCTCATGGAGCATGCAAGTCTCCATGGGCTCACCACTTACAAAGGCGGATTCTGACGCCGGGAGATGCGTTGTAATCTACAGGCGGGACTCAATAACAAAGTCTAAACATGGAAAGTGTTGAATCTACTCACCTCACAAGGATCGATCAAGTGTGGCCACCCGGTTGAAACAGAGCTATGGCTGTCCAGACAGAAGATTCCCCAGAATGTTCGTCGACGTTCCTCAAGCTCGACCCAATCTTTGGGCGGCATCAGTGTAGGAGAAAGATCTTCGTCATTTCCGTCCAACCGATGAAGGCCCATCATGTGTGCTAAACGAATGGCACGGGCTCCGCTCATGGCTGCTCGAGTAAACAGCATACACTTGGCCTCATCCGTGGTTATCAGGGCCCATGCTTGAGCATGCTGGACGGTGATGAAGTGTTCTCCAAATCCCTGTTTCTCATAAGTCGGTGTTCTAGGCAATGCTAACATGGCGGCTGACATACCTTTAACTCGTCGGCTTCTGCGTATTGCCGAGCGCGTTGGTAAAAGATGTCATGGAGATGGCCATATTGCTCGTGACCGTTGGACGCTAAAGTCCAAATCGCATACTGAAGACACATTGGCGGTTTCATATGAGGTGTTGAGTAGTAAGCTTGATAATATCTAGCGGGTTGTACAATGGGAATGAAATGTTGTTGACGCTCAAAGAAGATCCGATTCCTGTGGCCAAAACATTAGACCCTTCCTGAGAAGGCGCTTCAGCTGTACTCACAGCTCCTCTGTCACTTCGAAAGGTGGCAGCGTTTCGGACATACCTAAGCCGAATAGCTCTGTCCCGAAGGCCGCGCCAGATGTTTGAGTGCCATCTGCGGCTGTGAATGGCATGGAGGGATCGGCTTGAGGCATCGAGAACATGGCGCCACCTTCAATTGGAACCGATGGGAGTGTGTAATCCATGCCCTGAAGGAATACATCTTCAGTAGTAGGTGCGAAGTCGGCGAAATTGAAATCAAATATTTCATCTGCCTTTTCTTCTCCTGAGTCTTTGTCCCCAGATTGCTTGAGGAGATCCTCCACTTGTGCTGTATGGTATTATTTAGTTACGAAACATCACCACGCCGACCATTTGGGGTTTCGGTACCTAAACGAGCTTCGAGCTCTTTTACATTCCTCCGCTTGAAGGCAGGTTTTCTTCGAGACTCAGGATAGACACATTCTCCCTGGAACTTCGCACATCGAGTGCAGGCAGGCTTGACGCGATCACACTTCAGCTTACGATTTCGACAAGATGTACAAGCTCTGAAAAGAAGTATTAGTCAAATAAGCTATTTTGTGTATTCTGTCCTCAAGCTCACAACTCATTGGATGAAGAGCCCTCTGCGGAGGCATCAGTCGGCGGCATCGTGCTTGTCCGAGTTTCGGTCTCCGGGACACTACGGCATCGCTAAGTGGCACGTTGTGATTAGATCAACACGGTAGCCGTCAATTGTTAGAGTATTCAGCCTTGCATTTACTACAGTACATCACAGGGCCCGAACATTGCCCGTTGCAGATAGGCACCAGCTTCCCGGCTCTCAGCTCCCTTCGCAGGCCTGAGAGTCGGCATAACGTGAGGCCGAGTGCCGATGACACGTCGAACTTGAAATCGATGACAACACCACTCAGTCAACGAAATCTTTTTATTGGTAGGCAGGCACTGCTATTCATATCCTCCATGCTATGTTTTTTTTGCTAGTACCCGGACGTCGCTTCGTGTTATTGTACGTGTGCATGAGGCTCTAGTCTTGCTTACTCTGCTGCGATGGGCCATCATAATAAGATCTTGTTCGATCCATGATCGATACCATAGCGACGTCTTCGAGTGCGCGCCTGCTCTTGGCTAAATCCATACCTGCCCGCCTGATGTCAGGCCAGCAGATCACCAGACTTGATTCCACGGAGATAATTTTCACAGTAGGGAACTTTTCGTCGGCCGAGTTATGGAGAAACAAAATTCTCGTCCGGGCAGAGACACAGTTAGAGACCGCGAGGCTTAGTGTGCGTTCAACAGCTGTCGATCCAGGAACTCATACAAGAATATGAGGAGATCTGGCGTTTATGTTTGCGCAGTACAACTGGCACATCTAGGTACTTCGACTCGGCTTCCACGATGTCCATCTACAAGACTACTGTCCCATGTCTCGGGTCGTCGTGGGGAACCAGTCGATGAGGGGACTTAGTCATGTTGTGTGTGCCACGGTGTTTTGACGTAAGGAACTCTGAAAAAGGACCACACTAGACGAGCCGTTGGAACCTACGTGACGCCTCTTTCAGCACATGCGGAATGCGGAGGGCTAACGTTCTCGGTCACGATGTCATCTGGGTGTGGCTTACGTGGAACATATTCTAGTTCGAGCCACATCCAGAGTGCCGGGTACTTTTGTGAGACAAAGCCGCAACGCCTGCGTATTCGGTTCCTTGACTCATATACTATGCGAATCAGGGTTTGCAAAATTGGGGAGGCTATAGTCTTAGTATAAGATCGACTGAGTGTGTTGATACTTGGCAGACAAGCGACGTTGTACGTCCTTTGATGCTAGATACGATGCACTACAATACGTAAACTTCCCAGAGAGAGCCTCGAAATATTACCACTCATGAGTGACCGCTATCGCACAGGCCCTCATCAACAGGTATACATGCAGGATTCGACAGAAACGCACAAGCAAGATCTCTTAGCACCTTCTGGTTGTTTTACAGGACACTTGACGATGAACCTCGGCTACCAAGCAATCACGGGGTTTCGACCATGCAATACTTGGTAGTTCCTCAAGCTTTCGAGTGGAGGAACCCGTTTACAGGATCGGCAGTGCGCCTTTTTCGCGCAAAACTGCGAACCTAAATATGGACTATCGGACTCTTTGAGGTTGCTTGCGTCGAACCAACTCGGCTAAATAAACTTACGAACGCTACGGGTTTCCCAAAGAGTTGAATAGACCTGCACTAAATTCCCAGGGACTGGAATCCGGATCGACGGCCGTCAAAACCTTCGCGCCTCCTGAGCACGATCCAAGGGCTAAGCCGGTGAGTTGGCGTTCGAACCTAGTCGTGTATGCGGGTTTGACGCGTCGACTGACAGAACGCTAAGAGAAACCTTAAAGAACTATCATGGTAACTCCGGTGGGCTTAGTCTTACTGCTCATCCAGTAGTATCGAAGCCGTCCATGACCATCATTAAACCACAGGTATAAATACCCACATGGCGTGTCAGATTCCATACTATGATTTTGACCCGTCGTCAGCGAGAGCCGCTGTCATTTTTTAGCTTATGATGGAGAGCCAATTACAGTACCGTGCAGACACGAGATTATTTGCATTTCGCTACTCGTTATTAGCTACGTTCACGACGACCAAAGGTGGAGGGATCAAATTAGCTGTCGAAACAGTGCTGTTTGTATGTACTCGGCTCTATTTGCAGGTCCTCAAGCTGTACCATAATAGCTGCCTTATTCGCGGAATTTTGCTCGGCTCTACACTATACTATGTTACTGCAATCGACGTCTCGGGCACATGCTACAGCACTCTAGTTAGTACGGTAATACTTGAGCTCGGGTTTTGATCGCAGGAATCTCTCGTCTGAAGAAATGTGGTTTACACAGTACAAGCGAATCAGAATGAACCGTTTTGAACAATATGTTCTTAGCTTAAGGACAACCTTTGTCGGAATTGGATACCATGTGGCCGACTTCACGAAGAATGCGAACCCGACACAGTGGTACTTTCTGAAACATTTAGAACTTTCCATCAGACCACAAATTGTCACGCTTTGTCGCTTTCCTTGACTCTAAATGCTCCCACCGGACTGCTTTATACATAGATCAGGACCCACCAATGGACCCAACTGCCCGGTCGTCCACCTATGTCATACCAAGCCGTTCAGAATATCTGAGACTCAATCCAGGGACCAATGTCTTGCTTGCCCCTTTGTCGAGTTGAGACCCCAAAGCCATGAGTTCCATGTTAGCATGTCTTGGAACGATTCATACCAACCATGTGTACTTCCCCACAACGACTCAAGTGCCTACCCACGTAGACCTGAGACAGCAATCTTGCAGCAAACTGCAGCCCAGTAAGACACAGTCTAGCCAGCGTTGACTTACAGAAACTTAAACCAGGGGGAAACGGACAACGCTCAGAACTAGGGGAACCCAAAGTCATGCGATATTCCAGATCGAGGGGCCCGAGCTCGCCAAGATGTTGTATAGTAATCCAAAATCACGTTCTCGGTAAATCGTCCGGTGGGCAAATAGCTTCTAGTATAGAGGCCGTATTCGTAAGGCGCGTGGGCTACCCGTCATGTTGGCGTCACCGCGAGTGCCCCGGATCTTGGGTGAGCCACTGCCGAAAGGGGGAGGGATTCGCAGGCCAACCTTCGTCATCATCATCATCCGTCTATCCCAGATGATCTCGCTGATGCAAAGGCTTGGGCTGCCTAGACCGGATCTGGTGTGGAAAGCCTTTCTTTACAACCGACACCCCCCCCCCCCTTATTGGAGATTCGACGACAACCGCCGTGGCACGAAACTGTACTTTTTTCTTTCTTTCGTTTTTGGATTTTGGTCTTTGTCACTGCCTTGACCAATCGTAACTGTTTGTGCGGGATAAATGCACACAATGGAGAATGCAAGTAGCCAGCCACAATATGTGCACACCGGATGATGCTCTTGGGGCTCACAATGCCGGTGCCCTGCAACGTTCCAGGCCCAAGGAAAGGGGCGAGATCGGATCGGTGACCATGGGACGGCATCCAGCATACCTTGGTACTGGTACCATCTTGGCACCGGGTCTCGACAAACCATTTGGGATTCCAGGAGATGGTTGTGTCGCACAGTGCATGGGATATGCACGATTTGGTTTGAGAATATGTGTTTGCACCTCAGCTGCGAGTGCGGATGGAGAATGGGAAAGGGGAAAAACAAAACAATAGCCCTGCTGGGTCTGCCGTCCTGGCATGTGTATGCACATATAGATTAGTTTTAATATATCGATCGGGTGATCCCGCAACCGGTAAAGTCCATGGTGCAATTCTCATGATTAAAAAAGTAAGAACGTAGTCTTGTGATCTGTACGACCATGCGTGACATAATGACGGATAATTGGTCACCTGTTGCCAGAGTGTATGCATGAAGCTCACCGCTTTGACAAGAGTGGCATATGACCTGGACGCCTCAACAAGCCTTCCCTGGACGATCTTCCTTCGCACGACTTGCCCGATTTGATTCTAAGAAAGAAAGACAAACTTTGGTAGTGATGATTAAATTGATTCGATAGACCGGTCTATGACCACCTTTGTTTGAGGGCACACGAAGTCCCATAGTAACCTACAACCTTCCATGCGCCTTGCAATTTCTGTGAAGCAAAGATATGTCCCTGATAATATAGCGCTGTTTGCAGCTGGCTCCTCTGAAGCCGGCCATAAGTCCCAATTTTAAGTTGCTCCGTGATGATGCCAAAAACACATGAAGCCTGCCTGAAGGATGCCACCTCCTATAATCCCCATTTCCCAAGATAAATTCTAGCGACCAGTAATAACACACAGATATTGAATATAAAATTACAGGGCAGAATCCTGCTCAGATACTGCCACGCTTCATGTTGGCCGACCTACGGCGAGCAAGGGTGTCCATGTCGACTTCGTCATAGGCGCTACCCTCGCCATCGCTAAGCGGCACACTGGCCCGCTTGCCATCGTGTTCGTACTCCGCCCTTTCAGTTGAAGGCAAGACTTTGCTGTCGCCACCACGGCTTGCCATGGCCTCAGATTCGGTACGAGCGTTGTTGACCATAGTTGGGAGCTGGCGACGGCGTGCGTTGATGAACCAGTTAGAAATTTGGTCTGGAAGAACAGGGAATATTAGCACTTTGTGACATTTGTGAGAGTTTGGTTGAAGACTTACTCATCTGCAATCCAGTCTGCCTCATGAGCTCCTGTTTCTCATCCTCTGTTGGGTATGGGTGATGAAGATGTGCCACGAACCAAGCACGGAGTTTGTCCGTAGTCTCCTTTGGAAGGTTGCCCCGGCGCTTTCGTTGCTTGTTGTCTCCACCCATACCCATACCCAGCTCTCCAATTCGCATAAACGTCTCTTGGAAGGGGTGGCCATAGGCGCCTGGTGCAAATGGCGTGCGGTCTAGTGGGTGTATCGACCCTAGCGACAATGATTGAACTCTCGTCGGGTGGTGGTATGCATATTCATAGCTCGGTGCCCGGTAGTGAGCCGGAGCGGGTGCCTCTATGGGGACACCGGCCATGTGTGGAATGCCTTGTATCATAGACTCCTGTACAAAGTCATCTCGAGAAATGCTCCTCATTCGATTCATGGCCACATTTCGCTCGTAATCCATTTGAGGTAGACTTGGCAAACTGAGCCGCGATTCCATTCGCTCGCGGAATTCGACTGCTCTTGGTGACCGCATGGATGGTATGGCACAGTTCTTCAAATATGGGCTAGTCCTTCCGGAAGCCGACCATGGCTCAGGAATTGGACGACTGATGCCAGGAGACTGGTGCCGGGAGATCACTCGAGGCGGGCTGGCGTAAAGTCGAGGTATTTGACTAGGTCTCTCCATGTCCCTGTCACCGTCGATTGAAAGCCGCCTCCTTTTGTTCTGGTTAGGTGAGTGGGTGTATTCGGGAGGAGTTAATACTCCAGAAGGCCCGGAGGTTGGTGAAGTGGCAGAAGGTGTCCTTGAGGGGATACCTTGCTGCACCTGTAAGTGGAGTTCTGGGAATGCCTAACCTCTGATCAGTTTGCAGTCTCAAAACCCAGCTCATTTGTCTGCTTACCTGTCGAATGGAAGGCAGAGCAATCTTTTCAGGCTCATTTCGTGGTCGAGAAATATCGATATGACGGGGTTCTTGCCACTGGAACTCGCGGTGGAAACCGGTGTGGTGTTGAGGAAAAGGCATGGCGAGTGTAGACATTTTGTGAATTTCTTCTCGTGGTCTGTAAGTACGATCTATCTTGATAGTTCGAAATGAACTATATTCCATAACAAGTTGGAACAAACGTCTGGTTCCTGTAAAGGCATGTTAGTTAATTACTTGGTCAGATATGTGGATAAATGCAGATCAATCCACAAAGAATTGCTTGCCTCAACTTGAAGTTCGGGATATATAGTTGTCGAGCCGAGAATATCTATTTTCGCATACCCTTATGGTATGACATGAGCTGTTTGCGGCCGTTGAACCAGCTTGCGATTCGTGGTTATTTTCTTGTATCCCTTGCTCGTTCTTTGAATAGAAATTCCCAGGTTGGTGTGTAGTAGACAATGTTTGCTCCCAAGCCGAGCACGGTCCCCCCCAGTATGATAATGTCTATATAAAAGTAGACAAGAAACCCAAGGATATCTTCGCTGATATAGGTATTTCTATGACCACAATTTTGCTGAGATAGGATAATAGTGAACGAGGTCCGCGGAGCCAGGCAGTCAAATGGATAGGCGATTGGGTGTTTCTTTTGTAGCAATCGTGCTGTGACCTCTTTCATGGACTAGACGATGGTGGATCAACGAGTAAAACGCACGGATGGTCCCTAAAGAGGCAATGGCAGAGAGCTTGGATACGGTAGAAACATCCAATGCTTGAAGTCGATTTTGAGATAGTCGTTCCCGGGGACAAGTGACACAAGCAAAGCCTCAGACGAGATCGGCATATAACTGGTCAAGTGATGCTTTAGGCAAAGAATAGTCGAAAGAAACCAGAAACGAAAGAAGCACTTTGACCAAGGAGTCTAAATGCTTTTGAGTGTTGAAGTTGGAAGGAGGACCCCTTTCAACTATGGAGTATGAGTTGAGACGAAGAAGAACTAAACCTCAAAGAGCCCTGAGCAGCGAAGGCACAGGCAAGGAAGAGACAATAATGAAATGCAACTGTATCGGAAGTCTAGATGAAGAAGAGGAGAGACAGATTGATACTTCAGGGAATGTACAGTTCCCGCACCTCCACAAGTAGGTCTACCTGGAGCTTGTGGCGTCGTCCTTAGTGGGCATTAGCAACGGACTGATGAGACTGCCAGGCTTGGTGGCACTAGATGCTCAAGCAGGGACATGGATATGGGTCTGACGACAGGCAGACCCGGCGCGAAGGGGAGGAGACAAGAAGTGACACGAGAGACGACTAGGGAAGGGCACAGGTACGTACTGCATTAACCAGGGGGTGCGGACCCCGGTCTAGAGCGGTTCTTCGCTATGATCCACATACAGGTCCAGATGAAATTGCCCGATGGAACGATGAAGGATGCTGTGGTTCACAACCATTACAACCACCACGTACCAGTGCATATTCAGACTGCAGGCACTTGACAGGTGGTGTATCCCAGAGAGTTGTGACCAGTATGGGACTTATTCTTTATGCTTTCCGCCCTAGGTTAGCTGTTTTCATATTGTTGTAGGCCCTATCCTGTTAATAAAGCCACTTTATTGCATCCCGAGAACACAGAACTTCTCTACGAGCCCGTGTCTTGGCGTTGAACTTGTAGCGCCATTGGATAGAATTCGATAGCCGTTGAGTATCAAATCTCAATAATACAACTTCACGCTTTGAAAGTAAGGGACACGGGCAAGGCTACTAGGCCGCCATGTTCTGTAGCCAACGACATTTCAGCAGATGCAAGTTCCCGACCCAAGGGAATGCTCCCGTGCACAGTTCTCGGCTGTAGACGTCTTATGGATACCAACTGATACGCACCGAAGAGTTGGGTCCGCCTTCGTGGTAGAGGCACGTTACGAGGCGGGTCTCCTGACCCGGGGTTATATCTCGACTGCAATATTTGCCATGAACAAAGGGTCCAAATACACGCAGATAAGAAGCCTCCGGGTGCATGAGACTTGACTGCGACTCTTCATACTTCGTTTAGGGTTTTATCGCCTTGTTCCACTGCGGCAAAGCCATGTGTTGAGTTGGAGATCTTGCTGCCGGACAAGTTTCGAAGGCTGGGCAAATGGCTTGAATATGTTGAGTCTTGGAGCCCGATCTGACCAGAGGGTACAGAAAATGCCAAGTCGGTAAGCAATGATTACCTGTTGTTGTGGTGATCATCTTGACGTGAAGATTGCAAGATCGCTGTTAGGTTGAGGTTCAATGGCAATGTCTTTCTCTGCAATTACGGTTGGAAGGAATGGTGTTCGGGATACTTGTCAGCGGGCTGGGAGAGCCAACCTAGAATTCCCAGCGGCATTCAGTACGCTAACGCAATCATGGCATCCGCCACTTAGCGAACCAAACAAACTCTATCTGCTGCTGCAGGTGCTCTACTGCACGAGGCTATACACCTACGGCATTGGCGCCAGTGGTTTCTGAATTCTGATGCATATCCTTGCGTGAGAAGCTTCACATCACTACTTACCAATGGCGTTATCGTTCTGGGTGTTTTTGTGTGCAACCGGTGTAATCAAGAACGACTTCATCAAACAGACACCACCCGGTCACACGAGGGCCCCCAAATTGCCATGCGGCCTGCGTTACTTAGTCCGAACTATGATGACCCGGCTCGAAGTACATTGGAATTTGTTGATGACAGTGTTTACTATGACGCTATGTGCTTGTCCTTCATCTGTTATGTTTCACGGCTGGCCGTCTCAGCTGATTCAGATCCAACCACCGACTATTGCCTGATGTTTGTACGTTGTAGCGAAATTCCGGTCGGAGAGTAAATCTTGGAGATCGTCATCAGCGCTCAGACTGCGAGAGGGAAAGGCCGCTGTCACAAAGTTCGTGCTTGGAGTCCTATCGGACCAGGGCGAGATCTGTGATATTGTACAGAGGCCAGACCATCCAATCATCACCCATCTTCTGCACACAAATAGTAGTTGCATGACAGAGCTGACTTTCTACCCGTGACGAATGGGGATCAAGAAGGCTGCCGTGTTGCTTGTTTTGTGCGGCGGCCTGTCTAGCGCGCAAATAGTATTTCACCGAAAGAATCGCGATGATTTGACGATTCTTTACCAAACAGGCCTTCCCTTTTCTGACAGCTTATTCGGCCGGGTTCTCCGCTCGAGTCATGGAGACTGCTGCCGGCTCAGGTGGAGGTCTCTACCGAGGGCTTTGACACCCATACCACAGTACACCGGAGAAGCTAACCCATTACCTTATGCTCGGGTCGCGTTAGCAGGAATCTAGTTCCTGGGTAGGTTTCGCTTCACTTGGTGCTCACTTGGTGCACCTGCCGTTGTTGACGATTCGGCATGCAACTTTTTATCGCGCCTCCCCCGATGTTGCCCAGGCACCTACGCGGCTGATGATCCGCATAACGAGCCGTCTTGCCCATTTGCTTGCTCATCACTACCAGGACAGGATTAGAACAAGGTTTGCACTTATCAGACCGTTGGAGAGGCTGAAGAACAGGCACGAACTGTTGCACGGTGCTATGATTTCATCGATCACAAGAATATATGCACTGTGATGGATGTCCACGTCAAAATACAACCCGCCGGCTGAAAACGTCTTGTGTTTGAAGCTATCTGGATCTGTGCGCGCCTTGATGGAAAACAAAACTAAACAAAACCCCGTAATGCGGCTCAAGGTTTGGAGATGTGAATGCGCGGGGCGAACAGACAATGTCAGATAATGATCTCTGGATCTTCATCATCCGAGCTGCAGAGTAGATCCGTGCCGAGACTTGCAATCTTCTGGCACGTCAAAAATGTCAAAACAGAATTTTGATGAATTGCGATTGGTTCTTCAGCAAGCTGTCAGTCAGCCTGGAAAAGCCCTGCCGTCACCTTGATGCGCTCGGGCACTCAAGAACAGGTGAAAGCTGGCACGTCTATTACCTAAACATTCGTGTGCCGTAAATGCTATGGCCGGGGCTGATCGTCATTCAGTCCTGAAGCATCGATTTTCGAGCATTCCGGGGCGCCTTCCTGAGAACTTTGCGGCATCTGGCTTGCATCTAGACTCAGTGGTTTCACAGTGCATTGCAGTGCTTTGGTACATATGCCAGACAGAGGATCTTGTAATGTCTCTTATAAAAAAGTAGTATACATCATACAAGTGATCGTCCTTTCACGACACTCATCAATAAAGAAAATGTCAATCACATTTTAAAGGGCTTCAGGAGGTCGAATTGCGGGCTGTTTGATCGTCTACAGGGTAGTGTGTAAATGGCTCTTTTGGTCGACATGGACGAGCGTGCCAAGGACGCGAATACGATGGAATAAAGTTTTCTCGATGATGGCTTACGAACCCTACCCTACCCTACCCAAACAAAATACTACCTTCGACGTGCAATGTCCCCGGACTTGCTGGTTGAGCAAGTCGAAGCCAATTTCGCGTTCGACGTCTAGTTACTTTGATCGCGTTGTTCATAGCCCGATGTTTGTCATATTCTGTAAACGGATATAATGCATTGGCAGATTTGCAGATTTCTTGGATTTGCGGATTTGAACGAAGCGTTTCCGGTTGGTGGAAACCTTTTGCTAATGCAGAGAGAACCAGGATCCCCGATCCTATTCTCCGAAATGACAATTCTTAGGATCAACACAATCGTCAACACAGCTCAATAGCAGCCGCATGTATTTCATGCAGAAGCAATACGTTTTTGTAGATTGATTAGCCGTGACGCAGTTTCCATCGAAAGAAAAGAAAAGACTACGCATGTAGTATAAAACTAGGAACACCGTCAGGACTGCTTACACAAGCGACTGCAATGTAACAAAAGCTGTTGAAGGCGACCAAGCTCGTACCGCTTCTCTGTACCGTACGTTAATTTTTGTTTATTTACCACGACACGAAAACGATGCGATGATTTAGAGTTTTCTCCTCAAGTTCAGATTGTTGCACATTCGCCATCGTACAAAGCTTGGACCATTGAGAGTGCCGTTGAAAGGCTGACAAGCCAGGGACAGGGTGAGTATGCATCTTCTGTTTCAGGTCCGGCTACGAGATGCAATGTCTTTTTCCTTTAAATTTCCCCTCCAAAAATCAAAACGCAGTTTAGCAGTATCCATTCTACGTACAGTAGTGCCAGTGATCGCTCTTGTCTCTTTTAACAAGTACGCAACGGCGCGTTTCCGCGTGCTTATTGCGGCACGCCGGTTGCGCATAGTATTATGCGCAATTGGGTTAGTTTAACACTGCTTATTATAGAAAGGATCCCTTATAGAAAGGCCAAAGGACCAGACCTGGCGATCCCACTATTGAATATATTGGTCAATACAGAAGCCGCTGTCATTGAGCCTTTTCTGGAGTCGCTAGTGCTAGCTCTTGGCTCAGTGCCACCTTCACCTAACCTACTGGATTTTCTGATTTGATTGATGTACATTCGCTCGGTTGCAGCAAAGCTCCCTAAGATCCTGCTGCACAAGCGCTGCAATGTCGATTAATTAACGCATACATAGCATCCCGAGCAAGATCGTGTATGCAGTACACATTCTAGTACCTTGAACACGAGATGCCTCCGACGTTTGGGTTGATCCTGGCTTCTGGAGAACAACACCTTGCTTTGGCTTCTACTGAAAGCTAGAGTGGTGAGCTATATTGCTTTTCCGGCTACACACAGGGTGCATTTAATCTTCAACACTTCTTTTTCTGGTCTCCTCATGGCAGCATGGCTCTCTAGTCCCTTGTCGCCATGCGGCTATCCACCGGCGGCGTCGAATCGAACTGCTCATATGAGCCGATTGGCATGGTAGTCGCTGGCCAGAGAAAATCTGTGCTATGCATGCAGCCACCTCGTGTATGTTGCACCCAAAATGGAGCGCTCTTATGGTGCTTTCTTTTTCATCCTGGACTGATGCGTGCCTGACACTCACGATGCTCTAGAGAAGTCACAACTGCCAAGTCTTGATGGGGCTTGTGCGTCCGTCTGTCAAGTTCAGCCGAAATCTTAGCTCCATGTGAGAAGACCGCATTGTTAAGCTTTCGACGTTTGGCCCCATCGGACAGGATTCGCGACAATAACTGGATCAGGAAAGGAGTGGTGATCTCTCAAATGCCATGCATGTAGACGGGGTTCAACCTGGGGGTCCAGGGCTTTCGGCTCGCCCTGAAGTCTTGGATCGACACCTGTCTCCGGGGCCTGCGGGCCTTTGGCCCCTTGGCTTCGAGAGAACCCTTAGTTTCGGATCCAGCAATCTGCAAGATCCTCCAATCGGCCCTGGACGACTTCATGTGTCACTATGTAGGGAAACAGCAATGGCGTTGATTCTTGGGCATACCTTTATTCACCAAAGGCTGCCCGCAAGAGCGCAACATTGCATATGCGGTGGACCATCACTGTCAACCAAATCGCCGGAAAGGCATCGTTGCATTTCAGCTAACTGAACATACGCGTGAGAAGTGCATGATCCAGGTGCATACAATTCAGCCAGTGTTCGAAGAAAGTGCCATGTATACAATTGATGAGACCCCGACTGAGGAAGTTCCGCAATCAAATAGCTTTCTTATTTCAAAGTGCGCCAGCTCTCTAAGCTAACAGAAGTCTGCTTTCAGTATTTTCTGCATCCGCACACACGGAACAAGTATCATGAAAGATTCCATCACTGTTCATCGAAATAGTGTGATATTATCATCGAGAAAAGAAAGAAGAAGAAAATGGGCATCCTGATTCCACAACCTCAGGGAGATGAAACCAGGCTGTGGCTTCTTACACAACTTCGCTAATCTCGCAGGCAGTTTCAGACGTCCTAGAAAATGTTTACTATCTGATCAGCGGAAGATAACTATGCCGTCAAGATCACTCAAAACAGACAACAACTGCATGTGGTACCAGCCTCATCCGTCTTTTCAGCATACTGCTGTGCTACCCTCGAATGACATGCCCTGTCTGCTGACCTCAAAACCACCCGACACTCTGGATGACATCGTCGACGTAAGCTCTTACCGCCATTCTACTTGCAACACAAACGGAATCACGCATATTCGAGCGGGGATTATTACTGATCGAAAAGCAAGCGCCCGAAGATGGCATGTCCCTCTAGTAGATCTTGGGGTTCTGCTTCAGTGGCAGACCTAATATTGCGTTACCCTAATGTCATCCGTCAAATACAGAGCACTAGACACCCGCTGTATACCTAGGTCGTACGCCGTAGTATGGACACCTTGTCAGTCGCTGCTTTCTATGGTAGTTGCTACGAGACCCCCGGATTTCATCCAACCAGTTTTCCTTATCCGTCCGAGCATAGATACACAGATCCGGATGTGTCACAGCAAGAACAAAAAAGCAAAACTCTGTGCAATCCAGAAATACTTGCAGGCATTCCAAGACATATTGAAGAATCCAGTAGAGAGAAAAAGAGGACCGTGTCACTTGTAGAGCACGAGATATGTGGTCACATTTCTTCTCCTGGCAGCCACCATGATCTCAACGGTCATCTCAACGGTCGTAAATCACCAGCCACGGCCTCACGGCACCCAGGTTGTATGTCTCACTCATAATTAAGGACCCTGGCGGGTTTGCTTTTCGATTTCGGTCGGCGACCTGTCACCACTTTCCCATGCCAAAACGAAGCGCATTTCGTGATTCGATATATCACATCCAGCCGCAAACTTTGAGATCTGTGGCTGCCACACCGGACGCATAACTACTGTATGGCAGCGGGGCCTTGGTGTCAGAAGGAAAACTTCATTCGCACCCGCTGCTGAGCAAATCCTCGTTCACAAATGCCGTTCAAAAGCACTGACACGGTCCCGGAGATGGAGATGTTGTAGTCCTTGCTTTCCCCATTTATTTATTTATTTTCATAATCAATCGGATTCTTGATGTATGTACGATGGCAAACCATGATCCCCGGCGATCTCGCTTCGCGTCAATACACCGGAAACGGATGATTATCCGTAACAAATATTCCGAACTCTGCACCCTGGTCCTTGAAAGGGAATATCCGTGTTGCTCACCGGCAGAGGGAAGAGGTCATGACGGTGCATTTACGACACCTGATTAAATTTTTTTTTTTTAATTCGTGATGTCATTTGGAGGATCTTGGTATCCTAACGCGACTATACACACATTGGAGAGCTGTTCTGGTAATCCGTCACACCCACTTACAGTCCCCAAAAAGACGTTTAGATGACACTTGGTCAGATCAGAATAATATGTACAAACCTGGTTGACCGTTGTCGGTACCAAAGTCTAAATGCATAACCCTTGCTCACCCGCCGATGTGACCCTGGACTCGTTGGAATGACGCGGCTCCCACCTTGTCAAGGGTTCAAAATAAAAGACTGGGCCCTCACCGCACAGTAGCTATATTGTTATCCTACTCCATGCAGAAGTATCGCTCCTTGGGTAGTGAAGCAGGAAAATGGGTAAATGTCAGGCCCTGCTTTCGTTTTCGTATTGCCAACTTTTTTATTATTATCATCGCAACACGAGGCGATTCGGCGTATGGCGTTTGACTCGTGCTCTTTTAATGCTCCTCTGCAGAACATGGAGACCCAGGACACTGCAAACTCTGGCACAGCACTTTGTAATAGCCAGCTAATTTGATTGGCTTTGGACTGTAATGATTCATCTACTATGCAGAACGACAATCGAGGGGGTCGGCTGATTGTACGGTCGAGACTCGAAACTAGAATCTGTATGATCAGCATATTTGCGAAAGCCGTTGAGATCGAAAGTGGGAACAATCTCATACGAGTCATGTAGTCTCATCTTCTCACATTAATGAATTGCGAACTGCCGCACTATGAATTCAAGTGATCAAAGCTCTTCCTCGTCATCTACTATGAGAGGTAATATCTCGGACAACCTTGTTAATATCCCAACCCACAGGGGGCCCCACTGTGGGAAGTGTCGGCCGAGTCTGACAGTTTGACAGCCTCAGGGGGCGGCAGACAGGGTGGTAAAGTCAGATGTGAGTCCCGTTGTTGGCCGACCGAGGCCGTCTATCGTCACAACGGCGAGTTGGGTGCCCCCGTCGATAATCCCGTCATGATATAATACTGCTTGCAAGCATTTCCCCCAAGAATTTATTAGTTTGCTTCAATATCCGAACGACCTTCCTCCCTACCCCACCGAGAGAAATCCACGGGCCAGTCGGCTGGGGTTGCTGTCACGGTCACAAAATCCAAGATTCGCAAGATCCCGGCTGCCCATGCCAGTTCAAAGACTCCCTTGTCTATGTACAGTAAGTTAGGTTCCACTCCCGTTCGCCGGTGCGTTAAGCGAGGGGGGCCCCACCCAGTGGGAGATCCTTGCAGACAGATTACATTCCCCATGGAATGTTCCTTTAACCAACAAAGTGAGTTTCCAATTAATATCCAGCGCTCACCTGAACGAGATGAATCCCAGTAGAAGTATAGATGAGCCCGCCTCATGCTGAACGACGCCTCATGGTGCAGGCTGCTCTGTGCTGACAGGCATTTCCGGGGTTCAAAAACCCGGAGCTGCAACCCGGGGACGCACAAGCAGAGCCCGCCGCCCATAAGGTTTTCCCGATTCTTGGTCCGAGCACCTGTCATCACTTATTTCGGTCAGGGGCTTTTCTGACAAAGAGCATCCCACCCTACCGGCGGGCATGGCAGGTGAGCAGGGGGGGCCCCTAGCTGCGACAGGGGAGCATCTCACGGTCGAATCGCATCTTCAGGATGACTTTCCAGAGCTCGAAGCGAAGCTCTTGGCGGGTCCGGTGGGTGACCACGCTGGAGTTTCGCTTATGATGCCGGTGTTGTCCAGATCCCTGAGCGTGGATATACTCGTACACGATGGCTGCTGGGATCGCCACGGGTCCTCATCGGGCTGGCAATCGGCCTTTGATCTTTGGGACGACCCTCCATTCTTACCAGGGGCCCCGGTGACGGGTGGCTTGTAAGTGACAAAGTTACTGCACATACCCACTCAAGGTGTTTGACCAGGGGCTGTAATGTGGCTTTCCCTGGCCAAGGAGGCGCGTTATCGATCTTGCTCATGTTCTGTCCGTCGGTTGATTATCGATGCATGATATGCCGCATCTTACAGGAAAACGGGGCGAGACGGGGGGATATGATGTATACGTAATGACCCCCAGGGAACAAACAAGGCAAGGTAATAGCATGGCAGCAGATGTCTGACGGACCTATTTTCTTTTCTTTTCGAATTCAGGATCCGCTCAATTGAGCTGAATGCATGATCACTAAACACGATAACATATATGTATGTTTCTCAGCCACGTGAATTCACGGGCACTAGATCCGTGTCTCGATTATCAACGGAAGTGGTTGTAAAAGCAAGATATGAGCTTCCTCTGACGGCGGGCGCCCTGCAAGCCTAAACCCAGAGATCAGTAGTCCCTGGATCTCGGTGCGGGTCGCCCACAAACGAGCGGCCCCCCATCTCATCCGGGCATGCGACATCCAATTGGTGCTAGATTACTCGCCCAACTGTCGCTGAGGCTGATCTTGTCAGCTTACGACATATCAACAGTCTAGAAATACCAAAACCTATGTCTAGAACTAGGGCGATGGATCCGAGTGGGAATAAGAAATCAGGTCTTTCTGCAAGGCTCTGCAAGAATCAGCTGATGATCTTCAAGTGCCTCAATCAATTAGAGTTCAAGTGACGTGCGGCGGAGACCAAGGGCCACTATGTATTTTGACACTCCGGCAATTCCTGCACGTTCATCTAAAAGGGCTCCCTAGACTCCCTTTGTTCACATTGGCGTAGGGCTTAGACGTTTGACGTTGAACGTATTTTTCACTGCTCTGAAACCATACCGGCAGTACTCGTGTCATGCTACTCGACTAGACTAGCGACAAAGGCAGCAAGGTAACAATCTTAGACAATATAGAGCGTTGCTAGTAAAGTAGAGAACAATATCGGGCTGGTATTATCCTGCCAAAGTACGATAAAGAAAAAAAAATCTGCTGGGCGTTTGGGAGCTACTTACTATTTGCGCGAACTCTTGTGCTGCTGCTTGCCAAGTGCGTACCATGGTACCCAAGTTAGCCTTCTTGAGCCTGGAGCAGATCCCAAGCTGGCACCAACACAATGTTATGTAGCATATATGGGTGACATTGTGGCTGTTGGGTTTAGCAAGCTCTACTCGATTTGGACGCTTCTCGGAAATGCAATCGCGACGCATCCGGGCCTTTTGACAGCTTGGTGTGTGTGAGATCCAAGCTTTGACGTGATGGTGCATCCGTGCGATTGGCAGATGGGCAGTTCGGCCTGTTTCGACCTCCCAGCGGACGAAGTATAGTTCTGTCAAAGCACAAACAAACAGAGGAAACCCCTTGTCGCTGCTTACTGTTCCATTCAAGACTTCGGATGACTTCTGACCTCTCCCCCAAGGCATGCCGGCGATCCGCACAAGAGTTGCTGCACTTTTTTGTCAAGCGTTGTAAACTTGGCTTTGTTGATCCGGCAAATGGCGTTTCCGCAACGTGGAAGAGCGCAGCTCATTTCCCTTTTCGTCCTGCAGATTGGGCTGGGAGTTCCAAACTCTTATTCTCCATCTGGGTTGCAATGCTCGCCACCCCAGGGTACTGATGCTTTGAGAGGATATGGTCCTCATGGTCATTGATATTTACAGGACCACGTCGAATATCAGCCGTTGTCGTCTGGAGCCGTCTTCGGAGCCGGTTGCTGAGCATCTCCTCCAAGCCAGACACTTACAAAACCCGAACTTGGAACAGAATGGATAAAGAAGGTTGGTGCCTGGCCAATTGCCCCAACCTTCGTGTGTACTATTTGGCCTCTGGTGCAGTGCCGGGTTGTCACAACAAAGTATCAAAGTGACGCCAATATGATCGTGCCATGCCAACACAGACGGAAACGGTAACATCGTTGTGGCAGAACCCCGATGAGACGGTTGTTTCCCCACTTCCGATTGGGAAATCACGAGGACGTAGATAGAAACACTGGACAAATCGCTTCTGACATCACGATAAACACAGTACCCCCGTCCCGGAAACAAGTCGCAGTCAACTACTGTAGGGAATCTCCTTGAATGTCTTGATATTCTAATTAGTGAATAGAAACACCCGGCGAGTCGCCTATCGTGGCTGTAGAAAAACCACGTCCCACCACACAGCACGGACAGCCGCATCTCGGAATAAGCTTCCTGGCTGTTTCTGTCCTGATACCCGCGTGCCTAATGCATCCATTGGCTCAAATAATATGCCGAGTCTACAAACCAGGCATGTGCCCACGAATGGTTCGACCGCAAAAAAAGCGTCAAGCCAAGCCCCAGAGAACTAATCTGGAGCCTCAAGGCGGCCCAGATTGTCCCAAGCTCAGTAAACATTCGTTTGACAGCGACAAGCTTCGACCTTTTATGCGTGCGGGATCACCTCCCGCTCCTCAGGATGTTCCTGAGGACATTGCGTCCTCGACCCTTCTTGGAATCGGCACCGCCTGTTCCAGAGCTGTCCTCCGGCGGCGACTTGGCGCCTGTCTTTTGGTTCGCACCGTCCCTACCCTGCGAGTCGTCATCCGAGTCCGCAACATCGCGGACGTCGCCTCTATACCTGTCCTGCTGGAGTTTGTCCGCATAGCCCGACTGCCTCGAGCCACCTACACCACCCCTTCCGGTGTGGTGCATCTTTTCCAGGCCCCTTGACAGGTGCTCGACAATCGGGGCTTTGATGTTCCAGTTGTCGTCGGGCTTGAGCTCAAGGACCTTGCGGTATAGGTGAGGCAACCGTCGTTCCAGTTCGATCTCAAGGTCTTTCTGGTGATTCTCTGCTGCTTCTGCACGCTCTGTCTTCACTGCGGGTGCCAGTTCTGTTGGTAGCGCACGATCTTCACCCTCGAGTAGCTTTAGCCAGTCCTCGTACTCCTCTTGGTTTTCCTTCTGCAGAGGGGGGAGAAATTAGTCTACTCCGGAGTAAAGGGGGGTTGTGCATGGGGTTCACACCTTCTTTTGGGCCGACTTTTCTTGCAGGCTCTCCAAATACTTCTTGGCACTGCCAGATATCCTCTGACCGTCGATGTACTTGTCAAAGGAATCTGAGAACTCGCGGTAGTGGCCTTTCAAGATGAAGCCCTGGCCAGACCATCTCTTGCTGCGGAACTTCTGAATCAAAGCCTCGGCGGTTGGACTTTCCCATGCATATTCCACGTGCCGATCGTAGAAGATAATGCATTTGCAGGTATACCAACCATTGAAAGTTTCTCGACTGGCCTCATCTGTCAATGTTTTCTCAATTATTTCTAGCGGGGCTCTTTGGACGAATGAGGCCGGTGCCCTGAAGTTGATGGAACCATGTATGTGAGACCTGTCATATTCTACCTTTGCGCGCATATCGACAAGGAGGATCTGGTCGGGAGATACAATCTCTAACAAGTTGTTGAGGTGACCTGGTAGGATCATTCGAGCACCCTCCCTTGGTGGCTCTGGACGTTGGTCGGCAATGGGTAGGTTTCGCAATTTATTGTCCACTTGCTGCTGCTCTCGGCGATGCAGGAACCATAGCTGGCGAACGATCAATACAAGCTCGCTTTCCTCAAATGAACGGGGAACTCACATTAATGTCAGTAGTCTCGACACCCAGGTTGGATGCGAGAAATTCCGTTATTCCAACGGTTGGTGAGGGATTGTCTTGAAAGTATAATTCCAGACGAGATTGTACATGCGGGGCCAGATCAGGCCGGGTACGAGCCCTACGGCTTGAAGTCGATATGGTTCTTCTCGAATCCTTGGATTGGTTCATTATCATCTGATTGGATATGCTTTCACTAGAGGTGGCTGTAGTAATTTCCGACGCTGGCGCAGTCCTGCGCCGGCTGAAGCCCTCAATAGACGGACCAGGTGCTCGGCTTTCTCTCGCTTGTGTTGCTGATGACGAAAATGTACCAGAAAAAGTCGTTGCTGTTGTGCCTGACAGGATTGACATTGCTTCTTCCTCCGCACCTGTCGGTATTGCAAGCTGGTGACTTGATGGCTCGCCTTTGCTCTGAGCGGCTAAATTATTTGATCGGATGAAACCAATAAAGTTGCACGCGAGATCGTTGGGCAATAGATCCCAAACCATGACTGGCAAAGATAGAAGTAGGAGTGTTGAGTGGCTTTTGAACACTCCCTGTACCTTGACGTACTTCGCAATTGCTGGAAACGCCGCCAGCCAGCTTTCCCATGCATTGACATCAAGTGCTTGGTTCTCTTCTAGTGCCAACGATATCATGACATGAGGGACGTCTTCATTCGGCTCGGAAGCCACGGCGTCCTGAGGAACCCCGGATCTGCCAGTCATAGCTTGAGGCTCGTTTTCTGGTTCTGCGGGCGGTGATGGGGGTATCCTGTCTTCTGACAAGATCCGCGCCATCTCGATACTGGGCGCCTTGTGGTTGTTTGTCATCATAAAATGTACTGGAGTTGACCGGGCCTCGAAATTTCGACCATTATGCATGATAGGCCTCGGATGCTTCAGTCGAGCTAGGATTTCTGCGTGCAACATTGCAGCAGAGTATGTCCGGTGCTTCCACTCTTGCAGGACTTCTATCACAGCGCTTGTGAAAGAGTACCTCCCAGGATCAGGCGCAATGGCATCCCAGCTGCTCGCCGAAATAGTTTCAGTAATGCTATTACCGTTGGGGAACGTGGCACTTGCTGCTCCAGCACAACAGTCAAGGAGAATGAGAACGTCAGAAAGTGAACGTTCAAGTAAAGTTTGAATTGCTGACCACCTGAGGAACGTTAGCCAATATATGCGAGAAGAGACATCTGGCAATGGACTCTTACTGCAGCCAGGGCGAATCTGAGCCTCGATTCCTGCGAAATGATTAGACACGCCCAAATTTTTCGTGGAGCCTTTTGCTTACCCGCACCAGGTACTTTGTCTGGATTCGTCTATTCTTGCATGGCCACCGTAGTAAATGACAAACAGGGTATCGGTAGACTCATGCTCTTTGACCATCTGGCCGATCTTCATCATCAACTCCAAATGCGAGTTGTCAGAAGGTATGGGAAAAGTATCGGTGTTCCAACTGTACTCTTCTCGAAAGCACCGCTCTAGGTCCTCTAGCTCCGGGAGCACGAAGAGATCGTCAGATGTCCAATGTAGGAGAAGTGCCTGGACTTTCTTATACCTCTGGGATAGCCCGCGGTTTGGGAACGCCCGTGCAGCGGACTGCCAACTGCATCAGTATTCGTGTATCTAAAGCTGCCGCCGAATTATACCTACATCTTCAAGGGACTTTGCAAAGTCAGATATATGTTTGACATGGTAGTTGACACGGCTGATATCATGGGTAGTCGCCGGAGTCCTGTCATCTCCGGCGCTTGACCCATACTGGTGAGATGATGTGAGTAGGCGTCCTCCTTCCTGGGCATTCACTCGTCCACGTACGGTAGAATCACCACTGCTCCCAATGCTCATGCCATCCGTAGGCCTCCTTGTCCGAATCGTGACATATGGCTGATTATCTCCCATCGCTAGAAGATCTCGGGTTGACCGGAGTGGCCTCAAAATGTCATTAGGCACGATAAAAATTGACACAAAATGCAGAGTGGCGAGATGCGCTGTATCATGAACATCGCAACCTTGCTCGGCGCCGTCCGCGCTCACCGAGACGACATAAATCACGACGCGGGGGACGGAAACGATCGGTTCAAAAGGATGAAGTTAAGTGCGTGAACAATTTCACAGTTGAGAAACTGACGTCTTGATACAGAAATCTACGGGGTAGCATTGAGACCAAGTTGTTGGAGCTGTCTTGTCTGGTACGTCGTGCAGGCTATCGGGCTGAACAGACGCAGTGAGGCGGCCTCGGTCGCAGAATGGGGTTTAGCGGCATCCTCTCGCGGTGACCGAATATTGTGCGTCACAACCAGCGTGGGGTAGTCGAGCTACGAAAATAGGATGCAAGTTGACCAATATCACATGAGACCTTGCCAACATGAGACATTGTCACAAGAGGAGGCTGGGAGGGTGCAGAAAGAGTCTTCTTTTTTACGATGGCTGTCTCAAACCTCAAAGTGTCCGTTCCGTGGGTACAGTTGTGGCTGGCAAAGATCAAGTGTAATGTAAGTAATCGCCAAGCGTCGTCGACCGATATATATGTAGTTCATTTTTTTTTGCAAGGCCGGGTATCATGGCACAATGGCTTTCTATTCTCTATCGAATGGACGGGGTTTATATCTTAAATGACTCGCGGCTTCGATTGCATTAGCTACGACCATGTAGCATGAGCTGAGGGCCTCCAACAAATTGACCAATTGTTCACTAAGCTGGAGTATTTTGTAGAGATATTCAGCTCAGACTCATGCCTACACGTGAATACTACCCTGGCCCTCATGCTTAATGTTTTTGTGAGCATTGAGGACCTATATCAGTGCTGTGCCCATGCACGCTCCGCCAGCTCCATACGGAAGGCGTTTAGAAAGCGAAGACTTGATCCTCGAGCTTGCTGACAGGGCGAGCCTTTTTGTAGCCGAGGCTCTCAGTGGCCTTCTTGATGCCACTGACCATTGGGGGCGGTCCGCAAAGAAGGACCTTGACGTCATCAGCAGCCTTGGGAAGATATTTCTGTGTCTAGGTCAGTACAGTAAGCTCATAGATTGGGTATTCCAAGCACGTACAGTAATCATATCGGCAGTAACGTAACCAACACCGCCAGTCCAGCCCTCCGGAGGCTTGTCAAGGACGTAGTGAACTCTGAAGCCGCTGTCCTCCTTGGCGAGCGCATCGAGATCTTCCTTCAAAAGAATATCCTGGGGAGAAACATTGGCGAAAATCAAATCGATCTCAGTCCTGTCGCCGGTGGGGCGTCCTCGGATAACAGCACGGATGATCTGAAGCATGGGAGTAATGCCCGTTCCGCCGGCAACCATACCGAAATGCCGCACCATGTTGGGAGTGTAAACAAAAGCTCCCTTGGGCCCCCTGATCTTGATGGCTTGGCCAACGTTCAAGGAGGCCATATACTTGGAGATGTTTCCGGTGGGGTAAGACTTGATTAGAAGATCAATGTAGCCGGGCTGGTGATCGCCAGAGATTGGGGTGTAGGATCGGATGACTTCTTTGACGCTGCCATCGGGTTGTTCGCAAGCAGCGCCAATGGAGATGTGCTGACCGATGGGCAGGCCGAGGATGGAGTTGGGGGTCGGCAGGTTGAAACGGTAGCTACCACTATCAGCATCCCAGTCTACCAAGACAAATATGGGTTTACAAGACGATATACTTACATGGCGGTATTGTGGGAGAGAATGGTCTTCTCCTTGAGCTCGAGGTCCTGGAACAGATCCGGCTTAAGGAACTTCTTGGGCTCTGATATCTTGTAAGTGAAATACAATGATGACTTCTGAATTGGTACATACGCTGGCTGAAGTATTTGAAGCTGCCCAGAGCTAGAGCCAGGAGAACGGCGAAGGGTGCCCATTCTTTCTTTACTATCAGAGTGCCGACAATAAGCAGACCAGACGGGATGATAATCCCGTTCAAGTTCTGACTCGAGGTCAGAGATGATGCGGACGAGCTCATTGTGGAAAGTTGTGTATGAACAATTGATCGACTGCCGTCTCAGACAAAAAGGAAAAGGAAAAGGGGAACAAGTCCGATCTTCCACAGGTAGGAAGTGGAATTGGCGCCGCAAGGTTATAAACGAAGCGACTATTCTCGAGGAAGAGTCCGGCGCAAAAGCAAGGGTTGGGAATTATTTCGAAAATCAGCCCACCACAAGCTGAAGTGTTGAGGAGCTTCGACCCTGAACGTGGGGGAAGGGCGGAGGGCCGGAAAGAACCCTTGAACTGCGGGAAGCTGTAATTTTAGAGCTCTAATAGCCTTGGAGGAGATACCGGTAGGTAGAGCCGCACCCTGGAAGTGCTGGCTGGCAATCGCTAGCAGTCGCTGCCAGACGTGAAAACCCCCCACAATCTAGCGGACAAAAATCGAGTTACCGAAGGAGCTGGCCTGTAACGACAGAGTTTAGCGGACTCGATAAACAACCCGGGGTCTTCCTTCCACCTTTTTAAGGACAGAGTTCAGGTTGCAGGGAGCAAGGCCCAGCAGCGATTGCATCTGACGACCTCTAAATTGCTTACTGTTAATCTGTAGGTTCCTGTGTCAGTATCAGACCTTCCGCGGAATCGGTTACTGTATTGAGCACACAGAATTCCGAAGTAGACGCCAAGACTTGAGCTAGGCTAACTATCAAAGTCACCTGCTCGGCAAGAGTTCATAGCATGCCGGACATGCTTCGGACCTCGCGCCAAGCGCCCCCACCCTCGTCTTGACTGAGGGCCCGTCAACCACGCAAGTGGGAGTTCCCGCAGTGTAGACCTTGTCGCTATCAAGCACAAACACAAGCACAGCAGCCCCCCAACTGACAGTCCTTGCCTTCCCCGAAAGTCGAAAAAGGCAAAAAATGGGGGAGATTACGGCAGAGGCGCCGTTCCCTTTGACGGACACTGACAAGTGGATACTCTCATTGACAGATGAGGAGTACCAATATCATGACTGGGAGGATTTACGGCAGATCATTGGTCAGTAAGAAGAAGAATGATTTAGTTTTGTTGTCTATCTGCGGAAATGGAGCTGAACGATCCCGATAGCTGAGAATAATCTCTCGGTCCTGAAGCGCAAGCCCTCAGATCTCCGCAAGTACATGAAGTGGACAGGAGAAACAAAAGCAGAATATGGCTCCATGTCCCAGTACCTGCTTGTCCATCGACTGCCCAAAGCTTGGGGCATACCGCCTTTCACCCCCCAATCAAAGACGCCGTTTGAGGATCCTTCAGACTACCGGGTACTGCTGAATGATTGGCCATACGGACTGACTCCCGATATAGCCCATATCGTTGTATGGTCAAGAACCCTTGTCGAGACGGATACCCAGACAGGTGACATGACCCCGGAAAGTCGAAAGACTATCGAGGCATTCGTCAAGAGGTTCTTCATGGACAGACTTGGACCCGGCGGCCAAGACCGGGTCCTCTGGTTCAAGAATTGGGTCGCATTGCAGAGTGTTCGGTCTCTAGAGCACATCCATGTCATGGTGCAAGATGTTCCGAAGGAGATCCTGGAAGAATGGTCCAGAGAGCTGGAGTGTCACAAAGCCGCATAGAACAGCCCGTAGATAGATGGTATGTAGTCAAAGACAGAAGGATATTGAGGCGACCCGTCGTTCAAGCAGCTCGTCGTTGCTTGCGGTTCCCAACAGGCGCGGGAGCGGCGGCAGCAGCGTCTGGTGGCTGTTGCATACCACCAGCCATGTTTCGTGCTGCGCCGAAGAGGCCCCATCCTTTAATGACAGCAAAGACAGGAACGGCAGCCCACAAGATCCAGCCACCGTTTCCGAAGAAAATAACCGCAACAACACTGGCCCACGTGACCCACACGATATCCCACATGTACTCGGTCAATCCGGGTGCGCTGAGGTCTTCGCCGGCTGTCTTCAGGGCCTTGGTCGATGGATCATATTTGGGACGCCCCGTAGACTCTAGGATATACTCGCAGGCGAAGGCCGGGATAGAAAGAAGGACGTAGAGCCACAACGATCTGCGCTTGAATAGGAGGTTGGCCAGTACAAACCACGTGTTAACAATCAGGGTTCCCAGATGGAGATTTTTGAGCGACTCTGCGTTGGACTTGGCCCTGTCCTTTCTCGCTTTTTGCGCCATGCTTGACGTTGGGACCCGAATCTCCAAACAGGCTGGACGAGTTGAGCAGGTCAGTGAGAGTTGGACGAAGGTCAAAGGTTGTGTGTGACGTAAGTAAGACCAGCTAATTGTTTTTGGCAGTTTTCCGAGGCTGCTTTTGCCAAATCACAGAAATGGGCCCAGGCTGCTGCTGCTGCTAATCCGGACCACAATGGCAGTGAGGCTTGTCGATAGTGCAATAGTACGCGCGTGAGTGCAACGCGCGTGAGTGCAGAGCGCGGGGAGGTTGGATGATCACAAGCGGTAGTTATGTATGTACTGTCGCAGTTCGGACATTTGATTGATGGTGAGGCTGAAGTTGAATTTGGTGGCAGCGGACCAGGCCATGTGACTGGCCATGGTCATTTTTGGTTAGGCGCTCACTGGCTGTTGCTCTGCCAGGGCGCCGGGTCTCGAAAGACGGCGTTTACCCAAGCGGCCAGCCAATCAAAGAGGCCTGCCGTCAAAGTCACCACAACATCGCGAAGCTTGGACGGCAACTAGGAAACGCCTGTCAACCCATCCATCCCACCTTGTGCCTAGGGTTAACTTTGTGAAGGACTGGAGTCAAGTGCTAATAATCGTCCCTTCCCTTCCCTTCCCATCCGTCGGACCAGATTCCATTTTCTCGAACAGAGAGGGCAGAGGGACTAGGGGGGATCTTGACGCAGAGAACCGTCACCATTTCAACTTTTGCGACACGCCCAGCCCCATCACCATCGCCATCACGACAGGCGGCAACCGTAACGACAAGGAATGTTGCTGCTCGTGCCCAACCTTCCGCTCCCATTCACGTCCAATTTCAGCCAAGTATATGCTTGCGTATGCTTGTTCAGGGAAATCACCACTCGCAACCTGCGCCAGCCCTCGCTCCTTGTGCATCCCACCGAGTACCCGTCCACCGTGCCTGACATGTTCTTGTCGTCTTCGTCTTTCCAGCTCAAGACCATTCAAGCATTCTAATCCCATCGTCGCGCCAGCCCTTTTGCTTATCCCAACAGGCCTAGCTCCCGTGTTCGCGGCCATTACAAATCGCACTCAGCATCGGCGCCATCATCTCCAGCCGACGCAGCCGCCACTTCGAGATACCCAGGGGTCAATACCGGAGTCTATGGTAGTTCATCGCATCAACAGCACCTCATGGCCATGAGTCAGTAGCCATTGTGTTAACACACCTCCTCTCCCATCATTGACAGGCAGCCTCCATCATGGGGCTCACAGCTCAAGCCGTAACCGGCCAGCTGAGACAGCTTGTTTACTACCATCTCGACAACATAAATTACGAAAATGCACTCTTTTATGCAGAACGACTCGGCGCACACGACCCGCGCTCCAGCGAGACCGCCTACTTGGTTGCCTTGTGCTACTTCCGCCTCGGCGATTATCGGACTGCCTACGATTTCAGCAAGCCTCTCGGATACAGAGGTGTACACCTGGGGTGCGCCTACATATTTGCACAGAGCTGTCTCGTTCTCGACCGTTACAGGGACGGCATCGCTGCCTTGGAAAAGTCAAGAGGTCTATGGACCAACAAGTTCAGCTTTGGAAAGCACGGCGCATCGACTCGAGCACCAAATCCAGATTCTGCCAGTGTCGCCTGTCTCCTTGGCAAACTGTACAGGGCATACGAGGATAAGATTAAGGCTGCACTTTGTTTTGAGGAGTCCTTGAAGATCAACCCTTTCATGTGGGATGCCTTTATGGCACTGTGTGACATGGGCATTCATGTCAGGACACAAAACATCTTCAGACTGAACGAGGCATTGTTGCAAGGATTCGAAGAGGAACAACAACAACATGGTATCCTGGCCGAACAAAATGGGACGAACCCATTGGAACCAGTGCTGCTGAGGAAGGCAGCTCAGAGAATACCTAATTTTGGCCCTGCAGATCCATTCGATTCCCAAGGTTCTGCTGATGGTAACGGTGCGCTCACTGGCAACAACCTATTATCGAAATCCATCACCGAGAATGATTTCATGTTAAAGATCAGTGCAGCTCGTTCTAGAATGACAGCTGGCAATGTGCCGGTGCCGGAAGGAATGGATACACCACCATCAATAAACATTAGCCATCCTCCCATAACTCGGAATGGGTTTCCTCCCGAGCCTCCACAAGCACCGGTGCGGAGAACGAGGAATGCCCAAGCTCTGGAATCGACTCTACTCGATGCGCCTCCCAAACCCACCTCCCGGCTTGGTACGCGGCGAAATCTGCGGGCTCAAGAGAAGGTGCAAGACGAGCAAATTTTGGACCAGCCACCTCCGATGTTTAGGGCCTCGACTTCTGCAGTACCCGGGGTCGAGCGTAAGCGAACCGTATCTGGTCATCCTGTCCAGCCACGACAGCCGTCGGAAGAGCCTGGTGCACCACCAAGAAGAAGCACGAGAATAAACATGTTCAAAGGCACAAACACAAAAGCCAATTCTGGAGCTTCGACAATTGGAGCTGGGCCGACTCGGGAATTGAAGAAGGCTAGACCCCCGATCTCGAGGATCATGCGACCAACTTCTGCGACGGGAACCAGTGTCGGTAGAGCAGTCAGCGGAAACCGGAAACCCGTAGAAGGGCACGGAATGGATGTCGATCACGCCGAAGCTCCAAGGATTAAAGAAGCACATCCAAATCCCCCGGTGACGAAGCCGGTGGAGTCGGACAATACCAAGGTCGAGGAAGCCTTGAAGTCTCTGCTCAGCTTATTAAAACCTTTTGGCTCTGGATACTTGGCTCTGTCGCAATTTCAATGCCCTGATGCCCTAGTTGCATACAACTCGCTTCCTTCCGGTCACAAAAATACACCTTGGATTTTGTCTCAGATGGGCCGGGCGTATTACGAACAAGCAGCATACGGCAAGGCGGAGGAGTGCTATAGAAAATTACGTGTTCTGGTACCGAGCCGTCTTGAAGATATGGAAATCTATTCGACCATTCTGTGGTTTCTCAAGCGAGAAATCGATTTATCTTTCCTGGCTCACGAATTGGTCGATTCATCATGGAATAGCCCACAAGCATGGTGCGCCCTTGGCAATGCATGGTCTCTGGCACGTGATCATGAACAAGCATTGCGTTGTTTCAAGCGTGCAACTCAGCTGGATCCCAAGTTCGCCTATGCTTACACGTTACAAGGGCACGAACATGTTGCGAACGAGGAGTACGAGAAGGCCCTCACAGCCTACCGCCAAGCAATTTCGGCTGACCGCCGCCATTACAACGCATACTATGGTATTGGTCGCGTATATGAAAAGCTAGGCAACTACGATAAGGCCTATACCCACTTCCATTCTGCATCTCTTATCAACCCGACAAATGCTGTCTTGATATGTTGCATCGGAAATGTGTTGGAGAAGCAGCGCCAAACAGTCCAGGCGCTACAATATTTCAGCAAGGCTACAGAGTTGGCACCGAATGCTGCCCAGACACGATACAAGAAAGCCCGTGCTTTGTTAGCATTGAATCAACTAGAGGCTGCCCAGACGGAACTTGAGATACTCAAGAACCTTGCGCCTGATGAAGCCACGGTCCATTTCCTCCTTGGAAAACTCTACAAATCCCTTGGTGACAACGGCTCGGCGATTAAACATTACACCATTGCTCTCAATCTGGACCCGAAGGTTTGTCTAACTCTCCACAAGACTCTTTTTCTGTGCATTGTACTAACTGGAAAACCAGGCGAATCAACAGATCAAGGAGGCGATTGAGAGCCTTGAAGATGATGACAGCTATGAAGATTCCATGATGGCATGATTCAGGGCATGATGCTTTCAGCTTTGCACGCCTGCAGAGTCAAGCGGTTTTGTATTTGCTTCGTTTCAGCGGCATTGGCTCGGTCTGATGCATTTAAGGGCGGAAGAGTATCCCCGGGCTCTAAGATTATGAGGTAACGAGACCAGACGGGATGACTTGATGGTCTGAGCATGAAATTGATTCGGCATGGCAAAGGCGTTCAGGTATTGACATCAGGAAAGTTGCGGAAGCATTACATGTTTCAGGACTACATAGGATAGATCCTACATACGGTGTTTTTACCTATAGGCAGGTAACAGTACTTTTAGGATCGTGGGTCTTGTAACTTTAGGGAAGCTACTGATGCTGGTTTGGAGGGCCGGATTGTACAGAGAATCATCAGTACCCGTCTCGACACAAACTAATATGAGATATCAAGAAAGACCAAAGCTCATGCTTTGGTCGATCTCATGGACTTTCCAAAGATTTTTTTTAGCTTCTTTTCTCTGAACTTATCTGGTGAATTTTAACACACCTATCCTCTAGCTCAGAGTACTTTTAGAAACACTCGACTTACGAATCAACCAGCAACAGAAGAAGAAGAAAACCTGTAGTTAGTAGCAGCCCCGTGAGATGTTGCAATGCGCTTCTAGCTCATGTGACTGCCCGTGTCATGCAAGTTGCATATGCATCACCAAGTCCCGCTTCATGGAAATAGGAAATAGACCAGGGTAGTGATTGTCGTCCGAGAAGTGAGCTGTTTGTAGTGAAGTCGTGGGAAAAGGTCCGTTGATACCAGCTAAATAGTAGATTGCATATCCGTCTGAACAAGAGCAACTGTCCTGCCGGTATTTTGCTCTTTGCAAAACCAAGTATCACTTTCTTTAAACCTTACGTGCGGCATCAGGTGGGCGACTAGGCGACGCGTCGCGGGTATTACCTGCTTCTGACATGACCTCCCACTAGCTTCATTGCCGTTGCTGCTCATCTTCATGAATGGCCGAAATATGCTCTCTTCTGTCCCATGTCCAACCGAGTAGCAATACTACGCATCGACTTTCATCTTCCTCCGGGGACTCATGTAACCTTAATAGTTATTGATGTTGTTTGCCAAAGAAAGCACGGGCCATGCACCCACCCTCGCGTTGCGGCTGCGGCTGGTGGTGCACTGGATTATAGCGCAGAGCACGGGCCATTTTGATTTGGGCAACTACATAGGCGAAAAGCCCAGCAAAAAACAAGAGCGCATAGCAGTGTTCCTGCGCCCCGGATCAGACACTTGATTTGAATTAACAAACCACCCCAGACAAATGCTGATTTTTGGAAGATCAGCCAGGCAATTGCAACCCCAAAACAGACTAGTGCCCCAGCAGCACAGAATCAGTCCACGCCTTACAATCAGTAGCTGCAGGGCCCCCCATCACAAATAAATACTATCCCCCGTACCCTCTACGTCTACTGTTTCTCCTCCTTTCCCCTTTACAGCAATCAACACAAATCCATCTCCATCAATCTTCTTGACGCCGCGTCACCAAGCATCTGCATCCACTTTCCATCGACTAAACACATCTTCACACACTACTCATCCATCAAGATGACTGGACGTAAGTTGCATACTATTTGTTTTTGTTTTTATTCGCGTTGCAGTCGCATCCCATCTACGCGTCGCATTGGGTATGGTCGCGGTTCGCCGGCGTTGAGTGGTCACTAGCGGAGGGGTTTTTGGCGATGGCCTCACTCGCTATCAGCGTGACGCGCCTGGTACCTCCAGACACTGTGACCTCAACCCCTACGACGCGTCTCTTGACGACGATGCAACAGGCGCTCTCTCGTCCACTTCATTCTGTCCAGGTCATGCATGCTGACTTATATTCTCCCCCATAGGCGGCAAGGGCGGCAAGGGTCTCGGCAAGGGCGGTGCCAAGCGCCACCGAAAGATTCTTCGTGACAACATCCAGGGTATCACCAAGCCCGCCATCCGACGTCTCGCTCGTCGTGGTGGTGTCAAGCGTATCTCAGCTAGTAAGTTCTCTTGTCTACACTGCCACATACTAGAACCCCTCTCGGGGCGCTGGTTACTTTTCGAACAAACGACCAGATACTAAACAGTGTTTTCTCTGATAGTGATCTACGAGGAGACCCGTGGTGTCCTCAAGTCCTTCCTCGAGGGTGTCATTCGTGACGCCGTCACCTACACCGAGCACGCCAAGCGCAAGACCGTCACCTCATTGGACGTCGTCTACGCCCTCAAGCGCCAGGGCCGCACCCTGTACGGTTTCGGTGGTTAAGCGGATACTACAGTTCTGCTTGCTTTTTCGGCGGTAGGGGAGGGAAACTACTACCTACCATAATTGTGATTTGACATGGTTTGGCATGATACACTCATCGGCGTTTTTCTGGCACAAAGGGGAATATGGTCACGCGTATGATTTGATTAATTTGCGGGCAGCCTGTCGGTGGACCTACTTCCAGGAAATGGAAGGGGACCGACCAGAGCACCAGCCTAAAGCAAAGCTACATGATACTCAATATATTGACGCGTTGCCTTGATGCGGCGCTGCTATGAACATCATATCCTGTCTTGTTTGCTGTGACTTTTTGCATGCTTTTGTTTGTAGGGTATTCCAACGTCTCTCGAGGCGTTGGGGTATCTTGCTGCGATACTTGATACGCGGTTCCAACGCCACCTCAGGCAGTGCTTACTTGGTGCTTACCATGGTTCCATGCTCACAAGTGAGGGGAGGCATTTAATCTCTGGCTACGCCGTCCATGACTGAGGCTGTTCTATCACGACTTGTTCAGGCCTCTTCCACAAAATGTACCTCGATGTACCAAGCTACTGAGTGACCTCCCAATGTTTTCGCTGAAGAGCATGCACCGGCGTGGGTATCGTATCATCCATCATGGGTAATAGCGCATGAGTCGCGATGGGTATACACGCCGTACTGATGCTCGTGTTCAGCCTGAACCGCCTGGTATCAGATGTGGCGCCTCTAATTGCCAACGGCGACTTCCCAACAATCGCTGGAACCCGCTGGGGCCCCTCCCCAGTGCTCGAGAGAGCCGTATGCCGTTGTTGATTGCCCTGTTTCTTTGAACCCCCTTCCCTTGACTGTAGAAGACGTCTGTCTGTTTGTCCTTTTCCGTTCGTTCTCTTACAAATACTTGCGCCCCGCGGCCGCGATCCTCTGGCGGAAGACGGGGCTGGTGATCTCCTGGTTGAGGCGGTAGAAGGGACTCATGCTGGCCTTGACCCAGTTCTCGTAGACCTCGGTGAAGAAGTTCTTGACGGCCTCCTCGGTCTGCGGGCTCGTCGGGTTCGCGCCGATGCTCGTGCTGGAGCGCGACGACGTCGAGGTCGAGGTCGCCGCCCCCGTCGAGGACGAACCTCCGGTGGGCGGGATGGGCTGGTGCAGCAGCAGGAACTTGGTGTTGCTCGGCGTCATGAAGCACGAGATGTACGAGTTGAAGAAGCGGTCGATGTTCTTGAGGTACCTGCGCGAGAGGTAAGAATAACGAAGAGGAAAGCAGTCCCGGCTGATTTTCTTTGTATGCTTGGGTTTCGTCATATGGGGAGCAGGGCAAGCCGGTCCCGAAAGACTGGACCCTGAGGAGGGGAGGGGAGGAGAATAAACATACATTTGACCAGTCCCCCATTGCACCTCCTCCACGATGTCGAGCGATGAGTGGACGATGAACTGGTTCATGTGTCGCGACTCGTCGCTGAACCGCGACAGCCCGTCTCCGCCCTGCTTCGAGGTTCCGAATTCGTGCTCGAAGAGCGGGTTGTCTTGCGTGCCGATTATCACGAAGTAGTACGACATGTTGGGCGAGCTCCGAAGGAATGGCAAACGATTCGGTTGGTTGCAGTCAGGTGCAAGATGGATGCTGTCACCTACCGCACTATCATTGGCGGTCTGTCTGCGGCGGAGGGGGAACCGCTTTGCGCCGTTCTGGCACAACTTCTCAGCTGTGAGCCTGGGAAGTCGAGAGACTGACGAGAGACAGATACCGGTTCGGGTTCGGGTTCGGGTTTAGGTTTGCGGAATCCTCTCAACTTTGGCGCCGGCTTGGGAGGACCTCGACTTCGACCTCGACTGCGACCTCGAAGCTGGAGGGTCTGAGATTGGGGCCCCCGGCCGTCTTTCGGTTTCCCCCCCACTCCTCATATGACCCACCTGTCGCTCCAATCAGAACCCTGTTCCTGCAACTGACAGAAGGAAGCTTGTTGGGGTGGGGCTTTCGAGCTTACCTAAATCTTTCTACTTTGATGCATTCTACATGACCAGCTCACAAACACCTTGAATACCTATCTGTGACAAAATCTTCACAAACAATACATAATGCGGCTCTTAGACGTAACTCAAACATCTATGAGACTGGATTGTACACGCCAGAAAGACAACAACTGTTCCTGCTCAATGACCCAGTCAAAATACGCCGCCAACGGATCTTGGCACTCAGAATTATCATCGAAGAGCCTGACCTTCTCTCGTATGGCAAGCATGGATCTGCTTCCTGTGTAGCACATGTGAAGCATGCGTATTCTGTCCTATGATTTGGGCCCATGTGCGGATACGTCGCGGTCGTGGATGTTCCGTATATTTGTAGGCGTGACTGGTGCGGTTAAGATGGATAGGGGTTAGATATAAGAGAGCATACACCACGGATAGTATGCCTGGGACGCAAGTATTGGCCACTCGTCCTCATTCTTACCATCACTTCCTTTGACCTTGTAGAACTGAGCATCATCCGTAAGCCCTCTGATAAGTCAAAGCCTGGTTATAAGCAGCCACTTGGAGCTCGACGGCCAGATTCTCAGTGGTGTCGTAGTATTGTGATTTCCTGGTGCCTTCGTTTGGCAGGACGTAGACTGCCCCCCATTTGTGGTAGGGTTGGGGTTTAGGAGTTGCGAAGAAAGCAAAGTCATCATCATCTGAAGGTTTGGCTAGTCTTCATCTCAAAGATTGTCAGAAGTGAACGCAGGATCCGTCACATCAAAACCGAAGTACTGAGGCTTCGGTCACTTAGGAGCCAGCTTACCGCGAGGGCCAGCAACCGCGCGGGTTTCATCAAGTCACTGATGACCTTCATGTTTTTGGAAAGCATCTCACCTCCCTCACTCAGCCCACAACTGACGAGTGAAAGCCAGGAAGTAACACCTCCAGGCTACTGAGGACGCTGTTGCGTGTAGGTTGGTTGTGCTTGAGAAATACACACCCTAGTGACTCGTCCACTGATAAATACGTCGCTACTAACGTTAGTTACTACGCTGTATGTCCAACTCTCCACGGGGGACATGCTATCAGCTACACATTGTCGGTAGGTATCCTTGACGGGACCACATAGAGCAATAGAAAATGAATGTAGCTCAGTATCTAGAAATATAGCCCACCATCTCGCGACAATACTATGGGTATCCAACGCTTTCTTACAGTGTCTGAACTGGCGGTATCAAATGCCTTCCATGATGTCAAAATTATAACCCACATCCTGCAGGGATCCTCACGGGGAGTGCGCATTTGTGATATAATCTCATATTGAACCATGAATTCAAGCCCAACCTCCAATCGACGTTGACGAGTAACATACATTGTGGTATGCGACATGACGGAGAAACCCAACGACTCCAGGATGTATAAAAGGCACTCCATCCACGGTATATATTCTGGAGCCGCAGCACGACCATGGCAACTCCACATATAAGTATGCAATCGTGATATCTGAACAATCTGGAATGCGACGTGAATATTGATCAACAGGGGAACCGAAAGCACAAAAAGCTCATTATGCGCATTTCTGTTGCAAAGCAGCACAAACCACGAACACAGGGCACTTCTTCTACACTTGCTCCCGTCAGGTGAAGAATAGTGGGGTGAAAACTTTTAGTGGAACATTCCCTAGCGGTTGGACGGAGCTGTGGAGATGCCGGGGGATGCACTGTGGCTCGTGCGGGAAAGCCGACTCGACTCTACTGAACTTTTTGAGGCTTTCCGACGCCAACTTTCGGCCGCTGAGATTCTGGCAACGAAGGGGGCAGTGCGATCACCGACCAACCCAAGACACACACACACGCAAACTTACAAACGATGTTCGGCTTCGGCGCATTCAGAGCGACGAGTCCGCTCTCCAGCGGTCTGCTGTGGTATGTTTTATGACGTCCCGGGGGAGAGAAAAGATGCGAAAGCACACGAGGCGTCGGGGGCTGGCGGGAGAGAGTGTTTGCTGACATTCCCCTTCTTTTTCCAACAAAACAGGAAGATCCCATGGCGCCTGTCTAAGTTCCAGAAGACCAGACAACGAAGAAGACTGCGGGCCGTCGACTCGGTCGTCGCGACGCTGGACGCGGCGCTGGCCAAGCGCGGGGAGTCCCTCAAGAGCCTCGAGGTCTGGAAGCAGGAGATGCCCACCGAGGCCGAGATGCTGCCCAGGGACAAGTACACCATGTTCGACCGCAAGGAGAAGAGGTATAGGAAGGGTATTCACAGTGAGTGTCTTTCCTCCCCCCCCCCCCCCCCCCCCCCGTTCTGCTCCTCTGCCTCGCCCAGTAATTGGGGGAGGGGCTTGCAGGTCAAGATGGGCTCGGGATCTTTCCATTCGGTGCTAGAGCGTTGGCTGACCAAGATAACCACAGAGCTGCCAAAGTGGACCAGAGTATCGCAAAGACTCAACCCTCCTGGTTACTAAGGTGTTGGACAGGATATGGGCGGAAATGCACGTTGCCATGCACCGGCAAATCGGCTCGAAACGCAACAGCAATTCACATAGTAGAAGCATTATTCACCGGCACGGCTCGAAGGAGCGGGCGGACATCGTTGGGGGTCCAGCAGGGCCGCAGAAGAAGTGCAAGGCACGTGGTCGGCACCCAGCTGTACAATATTGTAACAGACAACTCGAGCTTCAAGATTGAGCTCGCTGTACATGAACAAATAGAGCAGTGGCTCGGCTTCAGCAGCCGAGGGATACGAAATCTAAACAACAAAATCAAATAAACCTTGCTTTCCATTGCTTTTCGTGACCCAACTTCCGAGTTTCTGGCTCAATGTCCCTGAGGGTATCTTTATATCAATACAACACACCGTAGTCAGATAGAATTCTGCGCGACTATCGTAATCTGCCGTAGTCTCTCTCCATCTGGTCATCACCCTCATTGTCCCGGTTTCGCTCATTGTCCATCATTCTCTCGGATTTGATGGCACGGCCCAGACCGCCTCGACCCTCGTCATAGTCGTCGCGGTACTCGTCACGCACCTGGCCGCCGGACTTACCACGACCATACTGGCGGCCCTCCTCAAAGCCGGGGTCCAGGTCCGTCCGGATGACGCGCTCGTCCAGCTTGGTGCCGCCGACGTACTTGAGGCAGTCGAGCGCATCTTGGTGTGTGTAGTACTCCACGAAGCAGAAGCCGCAGGGCGTCTTCTGGAAGCGGTCAAGGCCCATGATCAGGCGCTTGATCTCGCCGCACTTGGAGAAGAGATCGTATACTTGCTCTTCGGTTGTGTAGAAGGAACTGCATGACGCCTTAGTACTTGGGGGTGCTGTGATTCGGTGCACGGAACAACAGGTTTGAGACGGTCTGGCGACCAATGCAGGCATCGGGGCAAGACTGTGGGCAGTCACAGCCTCTGCGCCCGCCCTACTCCTGAGGAACGGTGAATGGGCGGAAGGGCTTACAGGTTGCCAACGTAGAGTGTGGTGGCATTGGCCAGAGGATCCTCTTCGGGCTTCTCCTCTGGCTTTTGGTCAGCCATTTCGGAGTCTCCATCTCGGTCCTCCCGACCACGATCAGTCCGCCTGCGCTTGTTGTTGTTCTGGAATCCCGGGTCAGACTCGAGGTCACATATCATGTGCAGCTTAGCGGGCTGTGTGGACTCACCCTGCTTGTGTAGTAGGCACTGGGGCGGTCCAGTCTTTCGACTGTATTCCTGAAGCCTCCGCGCATCGTTGTTAGGCGTGCTCTGCAATGAGTCCCCGGGGGAGCAAGTGCTGGATTCGGTAAGTTGCAGAAGTATGTGAGAGTTGCTTGTGGGCGTTTGATGAGAGGCCGAACCAATGAAAGGAAATTGACTTGATGAGGAAGGCTGAGAGAGGCAGGCGGGCTTTCCTGGGAAGCTCGGGCCGTTGTGGGAAGCTTTCAGTGAGGTGCCAAGCGCTACGGAGCACTAACTAACCCAGACTACTGTATGTACGCTTCGGTACGCAGTAACTGCAGTGCAGTACAGAACGTGTGTAGAACGCGTCGCGCTGGGAGGGGGGCAGGTTTCAAAGCTGTGAGCTGCGAAGCTGCTGCCGCCAAAGGCAGGGATCTGGGATCTGGGGTCTGGGGGACTGCCACTACTTGCTGCTGCTAACTTCAGCTACTGTTTTTGTTCCGCCAAAAAAGTTCAACTGCAGGCCGCATGCGCTAGAGCTTCAGTTCGAGTCTCAAGACAGTTTACATAACATAACTTAGTTGTCAGCAGGGCGAACTGGGCAATTCCCAACCTTCCCTTAATTACAGCAGCGCAGCAAGCCATTGACCAACGCAACCTGCATCCAACAGACCCCCCAACCTCTCCAGAAGCGAGACCCCCATCTTTCTCCTTGTCCAGGCAGAATATGCACTTTCGATAAAGCCGCGAACCATTCCGCTCTCACCGTCGAAAAATGCCCAAGATCAAAGGCTACACGCCTGCCTGGCTGGACAAACCAGCTCCGGGTTCCAACCTGTTTTCACCCTCTACAGACGAGTCCAAGCGCTCTGCCTTCTCCTCCCAAGCAAAGTCGAAACCCGGCCCCACGCGCACCATCGCTCGCTCCGGATCCCAGGTCTTTGTCGCCGTCGGGAAGGAGGTCAGATGGGCCGACCTGATCGACTTGAAAGAGAGATGGCACGACAGAACAACAAGAGGCCGCTCCGGGATCAGCGTCAAGCACGAGCACCATGACGAGCTGCTGCGAGCTGCTGCTGAAGAGGACTACGCTGGCTTTCGAGTGAGTCGCCTCTGCGCTCCGTGTACCCTTTCGATATTTTGACTAATCCTCTAGACCATCAACGTTCCTGTCGGGTCTGATATCAGCCAGCTGGTCATTTCGCCGTTCGCCGACTACCTGGCTGTCTTGACCACACACACCATTCGTATTTGTGCCGTCCCTGACCTCTCATATCTTTCGCAGCCTAGCAATGAGGTCATCAAGCCGAAATGGTGGACTCTGGGCCCGACAACCCATGTCGTCGACCGTTCTCCCGTCGCGTCTGCATTATGGCACCCGCTGGGAGTCAATGGCTCGGCCCTCGTGACCGTCACCACTGATGCTGTCGTGAGGGTCTGGGAACTAAACCCGCTTGACCGATGGTCCTTCGACAAGCCTACTTTAACCATTGATTTGATCAAGCTGGCAGACGGCACGTCGCTAGAGCAGAACTTTGCTGCTTCCACCGACACCACGCGGAAAGGATTCTCGGCCGACTCCTTCGAGATGGATGTCGCTTCCGCCTGTTTTGCTGGTAGGGGTTCCGGTGGCTGGGCTCCCATGACGCTATGGGTGGCCATGAGGGAAGGGGACGTATATGCCCTCTGTCCACTACTCCCAAGCAGATGGTCGCCGCCACCCACTCTGATCCCGTCCCTAACCGTGGGTATCATGGCCAATCTTGCGGCCAACGAAGATGACCCGGTCGTTTCCCAGGGCGCAAAGCTGCTGACCCAGCAGCAACTCGACTGGATGACCGACATCGATAATCAGGACCCAGTCGAAATAGACGGACCTCTAGGAGAGCCGCCGGCCGAGGTATACACGCGGCCCACCAGACCAGGGATAATCCCGCGGTTGCAAGGGCCATTCGACCTGGAGATGAGTCCTGATACTGAGGATGATCTAGACGTAGAGTTGACTGACATATTCACAATTGGACAAAAGCTCGACACAGATGAACTCATGATGGGCGAGGACGAAGAGCTTGAAGTCGACGACATGGATCACGAGGGCTTGTCTCTGAATGTTGTCTGCCTTTTATCATCAAGCGGCCAGTTGCGTATTTGTCTTGATGTGGAAGGCGTCCAGGCACAATGGTTACCACCCCGAAGCAAATCCAGAATTATCAGACAAGAGGAGGAGCCTATACCGGCTTTATTAACATTCCAGACGCTTGATACCCTGGGCAGTCTAGAGATGGCCGAAGATGCTTGGCCAATGTTCAGCCCAGATGTCACATCTCGATACGCATTCTACGTTACGAACACTGCCAGCATCACCTATATATCATTGTCACCTTGGGTATTCAGGCTAGAAAAGGAACTCCAGAGCGACTCCGAGGCTGGGTCTGATTTCAGGATCGACTTGCTTGTGAAGGGACAAAGTTCAACCCGCGAAAGACTCCATAGGATCCCAGTCGAACCATCTCAGCCTATCCCGGCAGTAGTCGCAATCCGCGACCCTGACCTTGGCTACATGCTTCTGACAGCCACTCCGGATGGGCCCCTCAGCATCATGTTTGAGATGCCGGTAGACGACTTCGAGCCAGTTGGTTCTGCCTCGCCCGTCGTCATTGAGAAGGATGAGGCACAGCCCCTGGACTTCTATGAGCCACGTCCCACATTCCAGGCACCACATATCTTCGAGAAAGGTTCAGCATTGCCTGAATTGCTTGTCAAACTCAACACTAGCAAACACAAGGCTATTGTACACCAGGAGATTCGGCTTTCGCCCGTTACGCTGCAGGTATTCACCGATGCGCATCAGATTCTTAGTGGGGAGACGCATCGTCTGGGCACCGCAGCATCGGAGCTATTTCGAAGACTTGAGAACTTACAGCTCGAGCTCAGGAAACAAATCTCCAAGGCCAACGAAGTCAAGTCCAGAGTCGATGCCATTACAGGAGAAGATCAAGCAGGCGAGCCAGAAACAAGCAGCGCCGCTGTCGAGCGGAGGCTCCAGGCCGCCAAGGAAAGAGGAGAAAGACTCAGCCAGCGCTTGGAGAACATGCGCCGCACTGTCGGTAAGGCGACGACGCGCGAGCTAAGCGACAAAGAGAAGGCATGGATTGGTGAAGTGAAGGGTATGGATGCCAGCATCACTGGCTCGGGCGGCCCGCCAGTGGACGGTTCATCACGCTTCAAACAGCTCGGCAATAGATACAATGAGGCTCTACACCTGAAAGAAGAGCTTACAGCGCAGGCAGAGAGCCTCGCCAAGCCGTCTGGCAATGGAGAAGAGTCGGGTGCTTTAGCGCCTGATCTTCGTATCCCGACGGATCTCAGACGAAATAAAATCAGCAATGTCCGTGGGCTTCTGGAGCGTGAGACGGCATTAGTAGACGCAGTCAAATCAAGGCTCGAACGACTAGCTGTCACCACTTAGGTATTCGAGCGACGGGACATTTGGACACGGGATGACGATTGTGGGAAGGCTGTTGCTCCCCTAAGGCTGGTAATTGCCGTCAGGCAGTGTCATGGAAGATGGTGCACCCTGGATTAGGACTGTCGATCCCGCGTGTCTCTTACCCGGGCGCATGGAATCATTGGCAGCCGGTGAAAAATCTAGACCAATCACGGACAATGGAACCACTCGACCCGGCTATCGCATCTATCATACATATTAAGCCGTGGCCCCCATAGAATCCCTCAATTGTTGATCACTACCACATCGAGCGATAGTGGCGATTTCTCCCAGCAGCGACCCGCGAAGCATGGGCCGTGAAGCCTGGAACACGAAGACCCGACCAATATGAGACGAATCATTGGTAGCCTCGCGATTGGCAGTAGACGCGTTGATGTTGTCGTAAAACCTTAATGTACCTTGTTGAACATTCAGACAACACTGTCACGTTGACAAGGACAATCAATTCACACACGCCAAGTCGCAGTTTCTTTTGTTATTGTTGTCGCTGGGATTATGTACAGTATTTGCCTGTTGCATTGGAAGCTGATGGCGTTCTTCATCGATGCGGCTGACTTGGTCCCAGAAAATTTCACACGACAAGGACTATTTGACCTCAACGTTTCCCTTATCGAACCTGTTCTTTCCATTTTCGATGCGAACATGTCTGTGGACATCGAGAACAAGTTGCTTCTCTGTCTCTGTACTATCATTCATTTTGAGAGTTGATTTCGTACCATGTTCCCGGATCTTGGGCAACAATGATCGGCGTAACAGCTACCAATCAATTCTCAGAGCCTTGTTTCTTTTCTAGTGGTTGAAATTGTACGTTGATGGTCAAGGATATGGGTCCTTATATCATGCGTTCAGTCCCAAACAAATCCAAGAGGCGGCAATCGGCAGCTGTTGACATGCTCTAGACACGGGGAAGTATGAGCTTCACGAGATACCAACTGAATCAAGGCACAAGGGCAAGCTTAAGCTGCATCATGGCAGGCTGCATCCTCCCGATGACTGCTTGATTGTACTACTGCGTATTTCTGTGATTGTCTAACAAAAGCATTGGATGGTGTTTGACAGAAGCACGTCTGAGATCCTCTAGCGGTACACCGGTTCAAGTACCACGTCATAAACAAGCTCACTACCTTGCCAGTCACTATGGTAACACAGCATGATCTCGAGATGCAGAGCGCCCTGCAAAAAAAAGCCTGTCCTTTAATTACCAGCATACCGCATCATGACTACCGCCCTGTCCAATGAATGGTATTTCAGTCTCATGGTATGCCCGATTCAACCTTGATTCGGAATATGACGTGGGTACTTGCAGCTACCATCCACATATAAATACACAGAAGTTCCCGGCCATTACCAGTTTTTTATTTTAAAAATTGCCCAACAATGAGAACCCATGTTAGTTCGTCTCTATAGTCTTCTCGCTCCCGACCTTGACCGTTCGCAGCCTATCACGCCAGCAATTATGAAGCCATCCCAGTCATTTTCTCTTGTATTCGATTACAGGAGCCAAATTATCGGTAATCCCACCCCAAGTCACCACTAATCTGTGTATTGCCTCTAACAGCGAAAAATCTATGTCCAGACAACTGTGAATTCATTTCTAACCAGGATGATACAATTTCCATCACCACTGTGAAAGAGCCTTCTGGCGGTTGGAAAGCGGTTGCAATTCGCTCGAATGACGAAGAACGTGACGCCTTAATCTCCTCTGAACCGTGCGATTCTATTCAGAAAGCCTTCGAATCTCTTCACGCCAAATCTGCGGAGGCTACCGCAGTCTACATTAAGACAAATGGCTATGGCCAGTTGCCAAGTTACAAGAAATCTGAGGACCTAAGTGATGACGATACGGCTTCTGTCATGTCCGGCTCTGAGCATTCTGCAGCCACGAGTGTCGCGCTGTCGACCTGGGAGAGTTCCGACGAGGAACTGGTCACGCCAGCCTCATCATCTAAACCAGACAGTGCATCCTCTAAGAGTTCCAAGAAGAACCGCAAGCGAGGCAAGACTCAAAAAAACCGCAAATACGAGAGTGAGACAGACGACGAGCTTGCTGACGACGGGCCCATCCGTCAGGCCATAAACCCGGTCCGTCACCCAGCAGGTCGTGCAGTAGCACGGCCTGCACCTCAAACTGCTGGCTGGACAGGACCCCCGCAACCGCCTCCCCCCATGTACCGCCCTGGAGCTATGCCAGTACTACAGCCGCCTCCTCCCCGACCAAGCATGGCTTCGGGACCATCTGGTCCCCCGACTCCAGCTGCGCAAGTACCGCCCCCACCAGGTTTTCGACCAATGGGCCCAGGGGTCAACCCACGTCTCTTCGATACGCGGATCACGATTAACTGGCTTCATCACAGCGAACAGCGCATATTCGAATCATGCAGAGCTTCGATTCGGGCCTTACAAGACACCACAGTAGCGTATGTCCGCGGGCACATGGACGCGTTCGACAATGTCACTCCCCTTGATCACTCGCCTACTAAGATTTGGACCCTAAGAGCCAACATCAAGCGAGCTTTCTTCGGCAGTGAGGCTTACGACATGAGTGGTTACAGGGGCGACGACCTCACTAAGCTGTTCAATGTTCTGGGCAAGAACGACATCCCCAGATTCGAAATCGAGGTGGACTATGTGCGTCCCCCTAGCCCGGGTCATGCCATGACCCCGGGTAACGCTTCTTCGATGCAGTAAGAAGGATGTCCGAGGTAATTCGAAGTGCAGGTGGCGTCGAAATATGAGGCTTCCGCATTGAAGCCCCAAGAGGAAAATGCGAGTCTGCTGCTGAATGTCAGCCAGGAGCAGGAGGCATTCTCTTGAGGAATGCATATGCAGACTAGCTTGGTTCTGACCGGTGATGAAATGGCGGTGACCGAGTGAGCCCGGACAGTCAAACTGCAACACAAGTTTCGGTCCCCAATCGTAATTATTCGCAAATGGTCTTGTGAGACGTTGTACGATGCAACAATGGGAGTGACGGACCCGAAACTCTTAGGTCATTTCTTGCGTTGCCCGCAAGGTCAAACCAGTGTTTAACACACGATCGGGAAGCGGCATATTCAATCTCTATTTCAAGTCATACGTTTGTCATATGTGGCGTGACTATCCACGACGAAATTTTGCTTTGACCACCCTCTTTTGACTAGGTTCGGGACCGGTACCCAAAATCAGACAGCGGTGTCTCTCTGCACACACTCCTTCAGTCGCCATGTCTCGTTGGATTCGGAGGATTGGGCATCATTTGATTGGAGAATTTTGGCGTTCGGGTGTGCCTTCTTTACTTCAAGCATGCCACGCTTCCCTGTTGGTATAACTGCTCGACCTGAGGTGTGAAGGGGGAAGTATGGAGTTTAACACCCCCCACGCGTTATCATTCATTTCGTCTCAATTTCCTCGGGAGTGCCAGCTTTTCGTTATCCGTCGTCGTTTGGATTTCATAATTTCTACACTAGCGATTGCGAAATGTTTCCTTTAGCAGGGAGCCTCAAGCTCTAAGTGGGTAGACATTCAGGGCTACAGACTGAAAAGGGGTGGCCAGTGAGCATATTGGTACATAGAGGACTGGTTTCTCTAGACTGGACTATAGCTAGAGTATTGGTATATGCCTGCAATGCAACAAAACGTTATTCGCTTGAACTGCCTTCTCACACCGGGCCGTGCCGATTGGATGAATATGTACTGCATGCAACACTAATAGACCATTATTGCTTTGAAAGAAGTATGCCGAGACTGTTTATTACCAGAATTGACATACCAGCCGGGCGAATGCAAGGTGAAGCGTCTGATAACCTTGACAATATATGCACACCTCGGTAGGAAGCGGTGAGCGACTCATGCAGCAAGGTTTTACTGCAGAGTATACCGGCCGCGCCGGATCAAATGCATGCCCGAGCGACCATGACGACGAAAAGGACCAGCTCATGCACGTGGCTTCCCACGGGTGGAAAACAAGAAGTAAGTCTCACCACCATGCTTACATCGCGGGTCTCACCTTCGCTCACCGAAACTCTTTTTTTCTCATCGCTTATCGCGTATTCCGCGTTCCCATCTTCACCGCCCTGGGAAATTACCATCAAGGATTGTTCAAATCTGATAGTGAGCAGCAGCTCCCTGGTGATTCCAAAATGCAATCATAATAATCACGCATTGCTCTTCCCTAGACTTGCTGCATTCCCCACGCTAAGACCATTTCAGCCGACCGGGAGATCTCACGATAGTAATGGCGAGCTCCATGTCTCTCTCTCCCGCCCGCCCAGGTGACCGGAAATACATCTTGATAGGCACCGTAGAAGCGATGAGAGACTCCCACACAGAAGAGACATGAAGTAAAATAGAAAGGAAAAAAAAGGCAGAAATGAAACCTCACGATTTACCCCGGAGACCGATCTTTTCGGTCCCCTCTCTCCTACGCATCCTGGCTATCGATCCCTCGGTGAGACGTGAAAGCCAAGCCCCGACCGAAGATGAAGACATCCCACGCTGGCCCCCCACGCGGACCGCGGCTCTTTCTTTGTTTGTTTTTTTCTTCTCTTATCCCGAAGGATCGCTAGCCGCGCCATCCGAAGAAGTAAATCTTGACATTATATAGCACCATACCTTGCCCCAGGATGCAGATGAAAACGCCCGGCTGTGATGAGATATATAATTTTCTCCCCGAGGTCACACTCGATCTGGCCGTGGGGTTTCTTTTGAGAATCCCCTCGGAGATGCCGAGGATCGCGAACGGCACCGCACCATTGTGGAAGACGTCTGTTTTTACAAGGGGCGAGGGGGGGGGATATCTCAATGCCCCCCCTGGTTCTTGGGGAGCCACGATCATGACTAGCCCGCACCTGCGTGGGAGGACAGATATCGAAAAGCAGAACCGGGGGTGCGTTCATCCTCGAGCGGGCGAACTGATCTTCTCTGCTGGGTACCATCTAGTCAAACCCCCCTTTCCCTTGGGACAGCCGTTTTCTTTTTCCCCTTTCGCGTCCAGAAGACTTCCGGTGAGGCGTGCGAGACATGCCCGGTACTTTTGGCGTAGATGCGCGATAATGTTTCGCTTATGAGGCTTTTGATCCTATCTCACAGACGCACGGAATGGGGATGGGCAAGAGGTTTGGGGGATCATCCTGAAATATTGTCGGGCAGTCCCTGTACTCGTTTTGGGCTAGTACAAAGGCACGCATCTCCGGCCTCTACAACATCCCATATCCAGGCTTCTGAGGATCAAGGCGCTCCTTATTGGTGTTTGATTTAAGCAGTGGTTGGAATCAGAGATCCATTGAACTAGTCAGAACGGTCTTGTAAACCACCAGAAAGCTGTACATGTTTCTAGGTCGTAGATCGAGGTGTTGAAGCCTATCAGTTTTCTCCGGGTCTTGTGCTTTCATTGAACCATATCACCTTAGACCTTCTATAGAATTTCTTTCTAGACACATGTCATCCATTGACAGGTTTATTAGCGATGCAATGCGCTGCTTGGATATGATTGCTGGCTCCTGTAATGATGCTCCCGAACGATGACTTCCTGGCCCGGCTAAAATACTCCACATAATTGTCATGACAACCTCATATTATCTATTCTGTATGGCTGAACTGGGAATACGATACACATCAGGCTTCAATAATCCCTTTCACTAAATCTGCAGCCACTTTAACGTGCTCTATGAACTCCTCCCCCCTGCCATCACCGTTGATAACGACAAGCCTCGCCCTGGCAGGAGAAAAGAAGTTAGCACAAAAACTTAATGAATGTCAAGGTGATGATCAAAAAAGCGGCGAACGTACCCATCTTCAGTCACCTCACATGACAGCCATAGAGCCGACTTGTCGGCCCAGCAGCCGCCGAGTTCTGGGCAGCCACTGTCGCCAAACGTGGTAAAAACTTTCCTCTCCTTGGTCTTCTCGTAAACCGCATCTGAATACAGCGATGGAAGCTCCTCGTCAGGCTCTAGAACTTCTTGCAGTGCGAGGACGTGTCTATGCCAACCTCTGCCACGGGCAACGTTAGCAACCCATCGCGCATGTGACTTTATGGCCGCGACCAAGAGCTGTTTTTTCTCCTGGACACTGATGGATGCATCCTCAGCTGCGGCACACAAGGCAGCAGCCTCGGCCGTCTGGACATTGAAGGTCTCAACACGGCCTCGACGGAATTGTGCCTGGCTGATGACGTCAAGGGAACCAGGGTTATAGCCGTAGTGCCGGCGAAGGGCGACTTGAAGTACCATCTGGAAGACCGAACGTGCCGGTAGCTTGAGCCCCCGGAGATATTTCGCACCGAAGTCATGGTGATCATAGGCGTGCAGCGCGTACGGCTGTACGACGGCAAGGTGTTGTTGCCGCAGATTACTCAACTGTTGCGTGAGGTCAGGGGTCGTGGGAAACGGAACATAGCTAAATCCGGATGCCACTGCTTGCAGATCGGCGGGAGTAACATCAGTATCGACCTCAACATGATCTACAGTAGCCGCTGCGATAGCCTCCTGTAGACCGTATACTGTTAGTCCATCAATCATGGAGTGCTCATACCATGTACCTGAAACCCCGTTGGCGCAAAAAATAAACGAGACTGTCTTATCATTCCATCGGTTGGCGTTGTCATCGAGCAAAAAGGCCGCACCGCGTTCAGTAGCGTTCTCGGGCGTCCCGTCGTCAAAGCAGACGTTAAATAGAGACTTCTCGATTGTTGAGAAAAACTGCTCGTTCTCGGGACTGGTAGCAATGAGTTCGCCTCGGATCTGGGCCCATGCGTCGCGGTTTGCTGTGCTCAAAACGCTAGCCATGTTGACCTCTTCCGGCGCCTCTTGTAGGATTAGCTGGAATACGGCCTTTAACCTGTCGTGAGACAGGATCTGGCCATGAGCATCACGAAGTGGGACCTTGTAGACGTGCCCACGCCGCAGCGCTACGATGTAGTCGTTGCCTGGCCATCGATCGACGCGGTCACAGCCAACTACTGGCGTTCGGTTTGTGTTGAACAGCCAGTGCACCGATTCCATGCACAAGGGCTGATCGTTCTGGTAGTCTCGCTTCACCGTTCCATCATCAAGCGACAGCTTGTAGCGGTACGCGGCCAAAGAGACCAAGGCTGCGCGCTCAGCCGGGGATTGCGGCGACTTGCTCAACCGGTGCGTGCCGAAAAAATTGTTCAAACGAGGGCGGTGGTCACGCGTCTTGAGCCAGAGAGCTGTACCGTATAACTCGCTGAGCCAGTTATCGACATTGGGGTCATCGGCAAGCTGCTGGAGTCGTGCCTGCAAGCGCTTGCCGATGCCATTGGGTTGCAGCAGATCGGTAACAGCTTCGCGAGTCTTAACAAGCTGTTGCTCGGTTCCTAAGGCAGATACCGACTGTAGGAATGCATCCATAGTGGCTTCCAAAGACTGAAGAGGGAACTTGGGAAGCACTACCTCGTCTCCTAATATGCCGTTCCGTTCCGAAGACCCATTGGCGACGGGCTCTTTGTCTGCTTCGTCGATGCCATTGGTACCGTTTGCCTGGTTGTCCCTTGTTACCAGGCCCGATCTGGAAGTCACAAGCGAGGCAAAAGCTCGTAGATCAGCCGAGTCCATGATTTCGCCGGTCTGAACCGGAGCCTGCAGCGTGTTGGTAACCCAGCTCTTGACTTCGATGGCGATGAGAGAGTCAAGACCTAGGTCGGTAAGTGGGGCATCTAGGCTGATGTCTGAGGAATCTACTGCCGTTAACGAGGACAGTCTCTCGGCAATGGCCACGAGAATGAGCTCTTCTGCTTCCTCTGCCGTCGCTGCGTGGCCGATAAGCTCGTCGAGGCTTCGTTCTTGCTTTTGTTGTATCTCGCCGCCAATTGCGTGGGCGCTGCCAGAGACAGTTTGAAGCAAAGGAGGAATAGGTGATCCTGCATCGAGAAGATATTGAGGACTCAGGCCGAAACCGATCTGGTTGCTTCCGTCGCGGAAAGCACGGCCAGCCATTGCGTAGTCCAACAAAGGGAGGACTTCCCGAACGGAAACTGCCTCGATACCTTCCCGTGCAAGACGTGCAATGCGTTGATCATTGATGTATTCGGTCTCCGTAATCATGGGAAGATCGAGTGCCACGAACTTGTTCACGCCACCTGAAGCTTCTGCGAGCGCAAACATGTCTTGGTAAGCATTTGCAGCGGCATAGTTGGCCTGAGCGGCACAGCCGACTATGGCGGCCAGAGAAGATAGCATTATGAAGAACTCGAGGTCTTCACCCGCAAACCCGTCACTCAGGTTCTTTGTTCCGGTATACTTGGGCCTGATGGACGCCTGAAGGTCTTCGACTGTCATTTGAGCGACGGTTCGATCCTAGCATTCGCATTAGCTACACAACATTCTAGCAACTACGACTAGCACAAAGGAGATATAATAAGTACAACAAGACAAGTGGAACGGAGGAAAACGTACCGCAACAAACATGGCAGCATGAAGAACTCCAGCAACAGGCGGCAAGTCATCATGTATCTGGGCCACCGCTTGTGCAACAGCAGTGGTATCGGTGATGTCGCACGATACCAAGGTGATTACGGAGTTGGCATGCTCGGCTAACTCCGTTTCTAGAGCGTGTCGGGTAGCATCGTCTGATTTTCGACGGGATATAACTGCAATATAGCGGGCACCTCGCTTCTGCAGGTGACTACATAGGTGTCTGCCAATATTCCCTAGGCCACCCACAACAACGTATGTCTTGTCCGGCCGGAGGCGAAGCTGCTGGGCCCTGGCCATGACTTTGGAAGATGAATCCGCGGTGAGGACCACCCTGTTATTATTCTCCAAGGTCTGAACAAGCTTGAAAGCCTCTTCGATATCTCCTATAGGCAGTGTGGTGATGGGAGGCAATGAGAAATGGCCCGCTTCGAAGGAAGAAAATACCTTATGCAAAAGCTCCTGAACGTATTGTGGGCGCGCCTCAGCTAGGACAAACAAATCCACAGACATGAAGCGGACACTTCGATCAAAGACACTCATGTCCAGTTGAGAGCGCTTGTAAATCTCCCATTTGGGAAACTCGAGGAAGGTTCCAAGCTTGGCGATACACTCCCACGATGCCTTGAAAGCATCACCGGTGAGCGTGTTAACGACTACATCTGCACCCTTCCCGCCCGTGAGACGCATTACGCCCGTTGCGAAGTCCGTGGTGCGATAGCTGAATATATGGCTCTCGGGAATGCCATAATCGTCTACCAGAAGTTGGCGTTTCATGGCATTATTGACCGTGGCAATGATGGTTGCGCCTATGTGCTGTGCAAGGATGATTATTGCTTTACCAAGGTAGCCTGTGCCGGTGTGCACGAGGATGGTCTGCCCGCGCTTTAAGCTGGCCAGCTCCACAAGTCCGTAATAGGCGGCCACGAAGGGGATAGGTATGGAAGCTGCGTCAATGAAAGACATCGAGTCAGGAATCTTGTGCACGAAGTGACCATTAGTAATCGTTTTACTAGCAAATGGCGTTCCTGTGAAGACAGCAACTCGTTCGCCAGGTTCATATCGAGAAGCCATGTTGGCGCCAACGCGGGTGATGATGCCGGCTCCCTCGCCGATCATCTTCTCGGTAGGCCGCCATTGAGCAAGAGCAACACCGACGTCCTTGAAGCTCATTCCCCAAGCATAGGACTGGACTTCTACGTCATCGAGGCCGATCTCTCCGGACTCTTCCTCCACGAAGTTTATGGTGTTTAGTCGACCAGGCTTTTCAATATGAACTCGTACGGACCGACTGGTCTGGTGGAAAATGGTTTCTTGCAAGTCCGGTTCCTGCGAATTAGGGACAATAGCCGCCGCCAGCTTGCGATCGGGGACATATCGTGGGATGTGGATCTTCCCATGTCGGAGCATGCTGTCCAGTTCGACATTCTCGTCTATGGCAACTTTAGCCTCCGTGGAAGTAAGAAAGCTCGGTAGCAGAGAAAGGATATCGGCACGATGGTGTTCAATGCTATCCTGAACATCAAGAGTAATAAACTGGAGGCTTTTGTTCTCTCTACGCGCGGTGCGAGCAAACCCGGTGACCAAGGCGCCATCTGGTACTATTTTATCTTCACCGTCCGCAAAAGTAAACCAGTACAGCTTGGAGCTTTTCGTCACCAACTGCACAAGATGCGCGAGCTGCTCAGGTGAAGCGTGGTTGAAGAGAAGATACTGCGCCGAGTCTAGAACTATATAGGTATGCGCGACGTCGACCACAGTCTCCGACCACTTGCGAAGAGTCGCATTGAAGCCGTGGTTTTCCAAGGCGACCGCTAGATCGCTGCAGAACGTATTTGAATCGTCGCTATCTGGTAATGCGCTTAGGATCGAGACAGGAGCACCATGCCGACCATTCCCGTTGACCGATGATGACACAGGCAGGGCAGTTGCCTTGATCAAGGCAGCTTGGCGAGCAGGTTCTGGAAAGTCGTGAACGCCAAGTTCGACATTCGAAAACCCGGAGTCTTGTAGGACATGATCCCATTGTTTGATTGACTGCAGCGGGGTAGTTTCTCTGCCTTCCCCTACCCCTAGCCACCACCCGGCGAGCAGGCCAAACGTCATGTTGTGGTACGGCGTCTCTTTCACCAACTCTACATAGGCCAAGGCACCTCCAGGCTTCAGTAGCTTATGGATATTCGACAAAGAAGTCTTTAGAGACTTCGTGGCATGAATGACATTCGATGCCACGACGAGGTCGTAGGCATAGGTCTCGAAACCCTGCTCCCCCGGATCTCGCTCCAAGTCCAGCGTGCGGAAGGAGAGCATGTGGGCCCAGTCCTTGAGGGACGTGGTACGAACCGGCTCGAAGAATCCGGCCGAGATATCAGTGAACATATATTCAGAGCAGAACGGTTCTCCGTCAGGGCTGCTGGCTTGGAACATTTGCAGCGTGGCACCTCCTGTACCGCCGCCGATTTCCAAAATCCTCAATTTCTTATTCTGGAATGTGAGCCTCCTCACGTATTCGGCTAAGTAGTGGTTCGCGCGCCGAGATTCGTCTTCGTGGTAGATACGGTACAGTAGGTTGTCCTGAAGGAATAGAGAAAGTGCATCGGTCTTTCCGGTGAGAATGGAAGTCAGCTGTGAACCGAGTCGGGCCACAAGTAGACCTTCGACGCCGAATTTCTCAAGCTGCATGGCTAGTTCTTCTGAAGAGACAGGAGCACCACTGAGCAGATCGTGGCACTCTGGGCCTCCCACGAAACTGGTCATCCACTTGAAAAGCTGAGCACGGTGGTCGTCGCTTACAGCAAGGCCCTTCTCCTGGATCTCCCTGGTGCTCGCATCAATATAATAAGCACAGGCAGTATACAGTGCCTTGACCTTGTCCACCTGGGTGAGACCTATCGTGTCACATTGCATGGGCGTAACTATCGATTCCAAAACATCGGACGTGATGGACTTGGCGTCTAAGCCCCATTGCATCTTGAATATATGGTCATTGCGCGTCTGCTCCAGCTCCTGGGTAATCCCGACCTGACGGAACTCTCCATTGGTGACAGTTAAAACGGGGAGGCTCTCGCCGTTATGCCCTTTCTGGAATGCCACGATGTTGAACGTGGTCGAGTAGGCAAATGTGTCACTTAGACTAGCTACAGCATAAAGCTCGTCGCCGGGCTGGCTTGTAATATTGGCAGAAATAATGACCTCGGAGTAAAAAGTGGGCATGGTGGATCCTGGTTTGGCTTTCTGCTGGAAGTGGTGGGCGCAGACGTGCATAAGCGCGTCGAAAAGCGCAGGATGGATGATATGCGGCTGCATGAAGCGGCCCGGCATGGCTGAGACGATGTCCGGCACGAGAACCTTACTCAAGGACTTGGAGTCACTCAGGTGGGCACTCTGCACCATGGTGAAGGTAGGGCCAAATTGATTGCCCTTGGAAGTCATATCGGCATACAGCGCATCGTGAGTGACAAGCTGAACGCATGATTCCTCAGCACTCTGCAGTGTCTCCAGCTGGGATTGGAGGCGAAGTTCGGCCTCCCGGTTGGGGGCGACGGTATCCTCGCCACGCGACTTGAGAATAGTCGATATAGTTCCGGTGCAATGTTCTTGCCAACTACCGCCCTGTTCTGAGATAGAGAAGACGGAAAAGTCATAAGTATCGGCAGCGGCTAACCTCTTAAAACTCAACACGACCTCGATTCTGCTAGAGTCCCCGGAGTCATCCGGCAATGACAGTGCCTTCTTGAAGGACACGTTCTTCAGGCGGTATCCCTCCGTCACCAACTCCTCGCCATCGCGGTCATCATTCAGCTGTTTGAGGGCTTGGATGGCCATGGCGATATAGCCCGGCCCCGGGAACACCACAAAGCCGTCGACAGCATGGTGCTTTAGCCAGGGCAGGCTTTCCGTGCCAAGGAACATGCGCCAGCTTGGATGTCCGTCAGGCGATGTAAGCACTCTGGAGCCGAGCAGATCATGGTGGGGGTGCTTTCTGTAACGGTACTCGCGGCTCACGCGAGACTCAACCCAGTGCACTGTCGTGTGATCCCAATGATAAGGTGGAAGATCTTTTGCAACCTTCGGGGACGAACCAGAAAGGGCGAGTGAAGCTAACGCGCCAACGTCCAGGGTGCATCCAGCCCTAAACAGGGCGGAGCCAGTGTCCATTAGCGCCTTACAGTCATTTTCACCCCGGACCAGGGTAGGAATGTAGCTGTACGACAACCCCTGCTCCTGCAAAGCTGCCAGGGATTGCCGTAGAGGTCCCGCTAACGCTTTATGTGGACCTAACTCAATGAAGTTCAGGGGCGTTCGGCCCAGCTCCTTGCCCAGTAGTTGGACGGCGCCGGAGAACCGCACCTGAGAAACAAGGTTGTCAACCCAATAAGACGGGCCAAACCCGCCGCTCTTCTCTTTCTCGGTGACGGACGAAAAGAAGCGCACCGTATCGGAAGAGTTGGTCGATTGGAGACTCTCGAGGCGTTTTAAATACTGATCACCCACTAGTTGCATGTGGTGTGAGTGGTATGCTGTGTCGACCTTGAGAGCGCGGGCGAAGACTCCATCGGCGTCCAGGGCTTGCTTGAGTGCCAATACGGCAGGAGCATCACCAGAAACAGTTGTGCTTGACGGGCTGTTGACACAAGCGACGACAACTTTTCCATCGCATGTGCTGAGCTTGCTTATGTATTCGGAAACCTCGCCTTCGCCCAAACCCACCGCCATCATAGCGCCGATTTGCGCGGCTACCTTTTTAGAAGCCTCGGAGAGGAAACTTCTATGATATGATGCAGCCATTGCTGTATCTTGGGTCAAAGCACCAGCGGCATAGGCCGCCGCGATCTCGCCACTGGAATGGCCAACGACCGCCTTCGGGTGTACATCCAAGCTTGCCAAAAAGTCGACGAGAGCTATCTGTATAGCAGTACTTGCAGGCTGGCTCAACTTACTGTCATTAAGCCGCGTAGACTTTCCATCTCGCGAGAGCTCTTCGGAAAGACTCCAAGGGGCGCCGAGGTCGCTGAGTATCTCGTCGGACCGTTGGATGGAGCGAGCAAACTCGGTATTCGTTGAGAGTAGGTGGCGTCCCATCTGTGCCCATTGCGCTCCTTGGCCGGTAAATACGAAGACGTTCGCGACTTGACTATGGCTCTTTTCGGGTGACGCCTCTTTCCCCTTCAGGCTCTCGACCAAAGATGGGAGGTCCACGGCAAGAACGGAGGAGCGCCATGGGAAGTGCGACCGACGACTTGTAAGTGTGTATGACAAGTCATCGAGACTAAGATCCTGATGATTTTCTATGTAACCAGCCAGGTTCTCTAATCCATGCTTAAGAGAGTACTCGGATCTAGCAGACAGAGTAAACAAGCGAGGAAGTTTATGCGTTTCTGTACCGTTTGTGGAACCTTTTTCATCCCCCGTGCGTGTGCCGTTTTGATCAACATCTTGGTGCCCATTCTCGCTCTGATGCCCATTTACATGACCATTTTGCCCGTTTGTATGAACGCCGTTCTGGTGGCCTTTCACTTCTGTGTATCGTTCCATATGAGCGTTAAACTTTTCAAAAATGTTGCAGCTGGAAATTCTAGTGCTTACCTTGTGAAAGGTCTTTCGTGATGCTATCGGGAGACTCTAGCACTACAAATGCGTTGGTGCCTCCAGAGCCGAAACTATTCACAATAGCCTTCCGAGTGGTCTTCGTGGCGGGCCACGGCATCAGTTCCGTGGGTATCTATCAAACCAATGTATGTTAGTTTGTGCTCAAGTGTTGATAAGAGTAGGCGCTATTACTTTGAGATTCCAGCCCTCGGGGTCCAGCCCAGGCTTGAGGTTCTTTAGCAGGAGATGAGGGGGAATGAGGCCCTTCTCCATACAGAGAATGGTCTTTATTAGGCCCGCTGCACCGCTGGCAGCCTCGGTGTGTCCAATATTGGGCTTGACTGTGCCAATCACAAGCGGCTGGTCAGTGGGTCGACCCTCGCAGAGCACATTACGGAGGGAACGGAGCTCCGCATTATCTCCGGCCTTAGTCCCGGTTCCATGTGCCTCGGCGTATTGAATGTCGGTCGCGGAGTAGCCAATTTCTTGGAGCACTTTTCGTGCGAGGGCCTCTTGAGCAGCCTGACTGGGTAATGTAATACCGTTGGTGCGACCATCCTGATTGGCAGCGGAGTGCCGGATGATAGTACGGATGTTGTCGCCGTCCCGGATCGCGTCATCAAGACGCTTGAGAACTACCATGCCAATACCTTCTCCGCGACCATACCCGCTCCCTCGATCGTCAAAGGAGAAGCATCGACCCTCAGGGTTAAGGACACTATGTTGGGTCAGGAAAAGTGTCGAGAAAGGAAGAAAGAAAAAGAAGAAAATAGAGACCCCAAAAATGCAACGCCTCATCTCAAGCCATCTTCATCTCTCCTCATTCTCCAACGCACAGCAATGACATGAACGTGTTCATAGAACCAAGCAACAACAGATACAAAGGCAACTTACCCAGGCATAGATAGGACGGACATTGTCTCTGGTGAAAGGACAATTCCTACCCCACCAGCGATTGCCATGTCGCTCTCTCCTGCACGCAAACTTTGACAGGCAAAATTCACACCAATCAGACTGCCGGAGCATCCCGTATCCACCAGCACTGAGGGACCGCGAAGATCAAAGACATATGAAACTCTATTTGGCACTATAGTGCGTGCTGCTCCAGTGTTGTGATACTTGTTAAGAGACAAGGGATCTCTCATAATAGTCTGCTCATAGTCATGCCCGAACACAGCCACTTCGAGCCAAGAAGTTAGTAAACACCTTCAAACACTTCAAGAAGGCAAATCAAGTCTCACACACCGTACACCGAGGTGTTGGAGCCTCGTAATTTGTTCAAGGGAATACCGGCATTCTCGACCGCCTCCCATGATGCCTCCAGGACTAGGCGTTGCTGTGGATCAAAGGCCTCGGCCTCCAACCGCGAAACACCAAAAAAGCTGGCATCAAACTCCTCAATGTCCTGGTTTAGATAGTGGCCTCCCTTATGATTAGTGAAATCCCCACCAATCTCTGGGTAGGGATGATAGAACGCAGAGTGATTAAAACGGTTCTTGGGCATCTCTGTCCAGGCATTACGTCCTTCAGCAAGCATCGACCACAGATCTTCTGGGCTGTTGGCTCCACCAGGAAATCGACAGCCCATACCAATCACGGCAATGGGAACAGGCTCGATAGGAGCCATGTTGAGTGAGGAGTGAGGAATGATATGGTGTTGAATGTTTAATACGGAGACTGCTTCTCAAATTTTAGAATCATGGGCTACTCTTGTATGTTTATATGGTTTGCTATCTACCTAGGTACGTGCCGCGCCGCAATATTCCATGCAAATTCCCTTGAATCATTTACTGCATTTACCTTCTTTCTTGTGTTTGTTGTTTTGCTAGTAGTATAGACTATTATTCTCTGGCACACCAGATGGTGTAATCAGTTGCCAAGCTTGATAACCAACCCCACGTTGACCCCTATAGCCCTCGAAAGAGAGCCTCCTGGTCGAGTCTGCTACCTCTCCCCTGCTATACATGCACGCACGCAAGTTCCGTGCGTATTGGCCGCCTGCTCGTCGTGATGGATGATCACTTTTCTGCGAAAGTCCATAAGTAAGCGCCCGCCGGTTAAATCCTCTCATGTAACCCGTGTGGGTTGACGATTCTACTGCTTCAAAGTTCTGCTTTAGTTTAAATCCCGTTACTTGTTAGATGTCGCAAACGTTCCTTTACTACGCTGACTGCATCAAGGGCCTGCATACTGGTGCACACTGCGTAGGTGCCAATATCAATATACGGCAATGCACACTATACAGATGTAACGCGGAGGTAGCACCGCAGATGGATTGGGCGGCTGCTACATGGAGAGAGGAAAGGTTCTTCTTGACATGCAGGGATCTTTTGAACCGATTTTTGGTATAGAGAGGCTACCAAGACTTGAATATCTTGTCTAGACTATGGACCTTAGCACGATACTGTTGACTGAGTTTAGGACGTAGGTTTCGCTTCAAAGAGCTAAGGCTTAAGACAAACACACTTATTTCATCTCTCTTCTCACGATGCTTTGTGCAGTACCATTGGGCAAATACTAGTCTATCGGAATTAACCAGTGACTTATCGTGCGGTGGTGGGACGCTTTGGTAATCACTATCTTCGACATAGGCTCTCCGTATATGCTGCGTCACCGTTTCCGTGAGAAATCCTAGAGATGCTCCCTCGTTAGCTTGTCCTCTATTTCATTTGTGCGCTGTGTCTATTCTTCTGATCCAGTGTGTTGAGGCTATGCCTCAATGCTTGTCATAATTCGGACAAAAGCTCCCGTGTGGTGGCCCTTCAATCTATATCTGATGGTTTATCTGCCTTACAATAGCCAACGTCGTTTCGTATTCTGCAGACATGCCGAACTTGCATATAGGAATGGAGTTCCGCCTGCACTGCTTTGGTTGCACGATCTCCGTTGCACGATCTCCGGTTGCATGACTTCCGGTTATACTACTTCTGGTTGTACGACTTCTGGTTGCACGACTTCTGGTTGCACGACATCCTTGGCGTTCCAGGGTACGTGGGATGGCGTAGGGGTCCCTGACTCAATCGATCTTTTTATCACCTTTCAGAGAGCCGCACCCACATCAGGTGTTCATGGGCAACGCAGATTCTCGCAGTGATTGCTCCATGCTCTCGGATGAATACTACTGTATGGCTTCACGTTGGTCACCTTCCGAAATGAGAGAAGACAACCATGATAATAATAATAATAATAAAAGGTTACTCGGCACTGTTGCGAATTCTGCAGCGCTAAATGCTGACATACATGAAGGATGCTTACTACCTAGCAGGACAAACCAGGGAACAGGAATCCACGAGATTTACAATTGGACAAGGAATTTTACTGACAAAATACGTAATTTACGACCCCGGTAAATATCTTTCCCATTCCCTAGAACGAACACATACGTGCACTAGGGTCATAGATGCCCAGGCGGCCGGCGGCCCGGCCCGGCGAGTATCTGATTCTTAGAGGCCTACAGTGATGATTCGGATAGCTTACGTATCAGTTCTTTGTTTGTTTATAATACTACCGCATACGAAACACACATAAAGTCGGTCGCAAAGCCGTAGGATCCGAGTATGAAGCAATGGAAAAGGCGCAGTAACACTGTGGCTCGCTGATCGTTGAGCCCTGGGGATTAGAACAGAAACTAGGTCTTGAAAAGTGACCGTTCCAATGAGGGTAACTACGATGCTCCCACACAATATCTAGTGTTAGACTAGAGCTAATCCTCATATTGATCAGGTTTTAAAAAGAATTAAAAAAATTGAAACCCCGAAAGAAAAAGTTTATTCGTTGAAATTCGCGTTGCAGCAATCTTAGAATTCAAAATCTACAGAATGTCTCTCCGGAACTGTTGACGTTAAGTGAGTCGAGGGGGGGGTTTTTTTTTTTTTTTTTTTTTTAAATTTCCCAGACCATACAATCTGGGCCCAATATCACTCTAGACTAGTATATAACTGGTCCATGTGGCCAGCCCAAAAGGAGGTAAATATGATACAATGATATTTCCCTTTCGCATCTGTCACCCGCAATTCACATCCAATCAACACGCGTCCGAAAATAGTTTTGATATCTCCCAATTTACGAGGAAAAGAAAGAAAGAAAAAAAAGATTTTCCTGCAAGTTATCCAAACTACCTCGTTCCACTCTCAGGCTGTGTCATCTTCTAGGATGAGTGGTATACAGTGGGTCTTGATCACTAGAGGTTGCAGGTCGCAATGCAGAGTGGCCAAGGCATATTCACGCCGGGAACACCATTCCAACCATAGCTTTCCGTGGAAAGCTATCCGAAATATGATAACTCTCCACTGGAGGTTAATCACTTTAGTCTTTCTTCTGTGGTTCCCGCTTGACACTCTTCCACTCAAGTAGCCAACCACAGACGAATGATAGCCCAGCGCTTGCAACTGACAAGTATAGAGCATTTTGTGTGGAATCTCCATAAGAAGCTGCAACGAATGGAGCTAGCTCAGGCGGATTCTGATTCACGCTTCCAGCTCCCATTTCAATGATGGCAGCCACCTGATCGTCCGGTAGCCGGCTCCCCAGTCTAGCTTTTAGAGTGCTCAAAAAGATCACCTGAGTAATGGCTAATCCCACAACCGTTCCAAATGCCTGTGAAAACACAAACAGTGCATTTCCCATTGGCATGTCCTCCGCTACTAATACGTTTCGGATGGCGACCAAGGGCTGCTGAACCGCGAGGCCAAATCCGGCACTGGCAAGAAACTCGAACCCAATAATCTTCCTCAACGGACTGTTGTCTATGGTAAGGGTTGACAAAAGTCCAGCACCAACCGTCAATATAGATCCACCGGTAAGAAGCCATACAATATAGTGTCCAGTCTTTGTCACCACAAAGCCGGAGAAAAAAGAAAAAACGGGGCTTGGCAAGGCAAAGCCAAGCAGATAAAGTCCAGCGTCGGTTGGCGAAAGGCCTCTGGATGCTTGGAAAAACAACGGGAGGTAGTATGTCAGACCAGTCACTGCCATCATTTGGAAGGTTACAACGGCACAGGTGGCCGCGATTGTGCGTTGCGTTAGGATGCGCATAGGAATCAGAGCCCTGTCTACGTTAGTCCAAAGACACGACAACGATAGTATAGGGTGGATGTTACCGTTCCTTCCGGTGGATCTGAAGTACAATGAACACGGCCATTGACAAGGCAAAGCCCACAAGACATCCCCAAACCTTGGAGTCAGACCAAGGCAGTGTTATGCCTCCCCACTGCAGGCCCAGGATAAGACAAGTGATAGCTCCAATTAAAATGCAGCTACCAATGGGATCGAGAGTAGATAGCTTCTCGCGAAGAGGCATCTTTGTTGATTCCCGTTCTGGCTCGCGGAAGCAAAAGATAGTGACTAAAATGGAGACAACCCCGATCGCTACATGCAGGTAATGATCAGCCAAGTGATCTTGTTGTCAATAAGGCTGCTTTGTTGTGGGGCTAAAGCACGAGAAGAGAATTGCGCAAGAGGGAAAATAAGATACACCTACGCAGGTTGATCCAGAAACAGAAGCGCCAAGTCAATCGACTTTCAGTCAGGACGCCGCCTAGGACAGGTCCAAGTACGGAGGACACCGCATACACGCTGGAAAGGATGGCAATGAAAATGGGCATCTTCTCTTTCGATACAAGGAAGGCCATGATGCTCAAGACGCCGGCATGTATACCGGCACAGCCACACCCCTGTACTGCACGACCAACTATCAGGGCAGGCGAGTTTGGCGCTAACGCACAGATAATAGAACCAGCCAAAAAGAAAACGACGCAAACGCAGAAGGTAATCTTTAGGCTCATAGTGTAGTACAGGCGGCCGAAGGTAGGCTGCAAAGCCATCTTGGTAATAGAGTAAGCAGAACCATACCATGCTACATCATCTAGGCTGCCAAAATCGGTGGTGATCCTTGGAATGACAACCGCTGAAGGGTGCCATTGTCAACCTTTCAAGTCGCGAAACGAAGACAGGAGGTAAGGAAGAGGGCCGAGAGCAGCACTCACCAAGAATGTTAGTATCGAGTGCGACTAGGAGCAAAGCGATCATTAGGGCTGCCATCGTGACGGTAATGTGAAGCACTTGTTTCACAGAATTCGGCTCGTGTTCGATGGTCTGGCTATCAGTGGTGGGCATGGCGTCATCACCGGCTCCCAGAGAGCCATCTTCAACCGCCTTTTCGCGAGACTCGACCAAGTCGTCTTTTGGAGGAGTTGCCATAGTGTTGTGATCTTTTTAGGTATTCGCACTAGCCATTGAGTATGGAGAGAATGGCATTCAGTATGGGAAAACAGTTTTAAATAGCGGTGACCAAATAGGTTCCGCAGAGGAAACATTGGGAGGAAACTAAAACCAAAATAAAAAAGTAATACAAGGGTCCCAATCAGGGTGTCGAGCCGCAGACGCGCTGACAAATCGGCGACCGCAGAGGAAAAGACAACCAGTTGTGCGTTGTTCTTGTTTGTCTTCTGGCCATTGGAACTTTTGCGCTTCGGTTGATCCTTGTTTCTTGGCACATGGCAATGCAATGAGGTATGTACCAGTACAGCTTACGAGCATTGCAGAATTGGCACATATTCAATCAATAGGTTACCAGCCGGGTGGGGACTTGAGGATTCTTTGAATTTAACCGTTGGAACGATGTGACGCTGTAAGTAGATACTACCGGTATCAGTTATATGGTTTCCGCCAGTGTCTAGATTTCTTGGCTCCATACATATGTGACTTATCATGTGAGCGGGGAACAATCACCAACGGGTAGAGCCGCCGCTATGAAGGACCGGCGAATGCTTATTGAACGGGGCTCAGCTATATTGACGTGTGTAGAATTCGGGGTTTTAAACGGAAACCAACAGTCTTGAAATTCAATACACTGCCAGGCTTGAATTGTACATAATTGTCTGCTCCCACGGCTGGACACGATTACTGTGCTGGTATGGTTATTCGCTGGCTCACCCATCTGAGCGGACTTTTTTTGAGCTGTCTCCTTGACTCCCCACATAACAAACGCCATGGTTGCCCTTGACAATCTACGCATCCTCATTGTTGGGGCTGGGCCAATTGGTCTCACTGCGGCAGCGGCACTGTCACAAGATGGACACGACGTCAAAGTGCTTGAACGATATCCAAACCTACAAACAAATGGCGGTACCATCGTAGTCCAGTCTCCAGCAGCCAGAGCCTTGAAAGAAATTGGACTCTGGGAGAAGCTGCAGAGCATTAGCGTCCCAAACAAGTCGTTCAGCTTCTGGTCATATAAAGATCCTAGTGGACCAATGATAACGTTCGGCAGGTCGTCTGGATCAGACATGGTTCATACCGACCGGCCGGCGTTGCAACGGATTGCCTATGAGGCTGCTGTCGCTTCTGGAGTACATGTGCTATTTGGCAAACGAGTTGAACGCTTAGACGAGGATGCGACACCTCTACGGGTCTGGACTGCCGACGATCAAGAGTATACGGCAGACATAATCATAGGTGCAGATGGTATCAAATCTGGAATAAGGAAGCTCCTGTTCCCATCTCAAATTCTTGATCCTGTCCTCACGACTGAGTGCATTTTTCAGGCGCAGCTCAGTGAGGACGTAACTGCGTCCGATCCTCGCATTGCACCCTACATGGACATTGGATCGGGCCACGGTACACTCGGACCGGGCCGCTTTACTTTTTTTAGGGCAACAGATGACGGCAAATTGTACTTGTTGTTTGTCGTTATGAATTACGGGACGACTCAGACAGACGGCGTAAGTGCCAGCTGGAACACCCCTGGAGATATTGATGAGCTGCGGAGTATATTTTCCGAATTTGGTGACCCACTTCACGCGTGCCTAGAGCATGTTGAGAGCTGTATAAGATGGCCAATTGCCGTTGCTCCTCCTCTGAAGACTTGGCGGGGTGTCAGCGGCAGAGTGCTACTGCTAGGCGACGCAGCGCATGCAATGGTGCCACATGCTGCTAACGGCGTGAGCCAGGGAATAGAAGGAGCTGTCGCCCTGGCTAGGCTCCTTAGACGGAGGAATCATGCCAATGCGAACATCCCGAAGTTACTTGAGCTATTCGAGCAGTTCCGGCGGCCTAGAGTTGAGAAGTTTGCCACCATGAGTCTTGGAAATGCAGCAGCGAACAGCTTGACAGACGGGCCAGAGCAAGAATCCCGCGATGCGCGTTACAGAGCCATGAACAACAGCAGCGAACCAAAACCCGTCGCAGCTCAGGAGCCGGTGACTATGGATATAAACGCGCCACAGCACAGCCCGGCCTTCCAAAAATGGATGAACGAATACGATGTAGTTCATGAGGTGAGCATCTATGTATCCCATGATTAATGAGCTTAACTAATATGAAGGCAGCTCGATCGCTTCGTGGATGAAAAATTAGTATAAGTCTTAACACCATAATGGGACTTGATTTACCCTGAAAGACTGTCGGTACGTTGAGATATATCGAGATGATTGCTTCACAGGTCTTACGATAAAGAAAGGGCTCAACGCATTGCCAAAGATAATTTTCACTTCAACAAGGCATCAATGGGGAGAGTTCGTACACATTATGTGCATGTTCATAGACGGCGTATTTGTGGTTGTTGACGCAGTTCAACTTATGATATAGTCTATGTTGAATGATAACGTGATTATGCGTGATCCTTTATGCCCACAATAATGAATGCGCAAGACATCGACGGTGGTACAAGTGTTTCTAAAACAGTTCAAATTACTCTACGCATTGTTGACCATTAACTGTGTTTGCCTACCACTGCTTTTAAGCTTCGTGTTTCTCCATTCATGTTCAACTAGACTAGTATTACACAGAGTAATAGTTGGCACGTCATCCTAAATGACAGCATGCAGGCTCGTGGAGGCACTCAAGTCTGGAAATAGAACATACGTGTTTATTACACGATCCAATGGTTCTTATTCCAACAAGATAACGAACGCTGTCGTGTTTACTTTTGTATCGGTACAAAACTTATGCTGTAGGTAGATCGCAAAGTTATCAAAAATACATATGAACTCTGACCTTTCACGCTTTATATTGTATACATGTTCCCTTCCTTTCCTGTTCCGACTATGGGTATAATTCAATTCTTCGTATTCGTCATAATTGCCCGCAAGACAAGGAATATTATCTTTCAATACCGGCGCAAGGCATATAGCAGATTAGAGCGAATGACTCGGCCGCCCCTGAATAGGCAACACCATCGTATGTTCGCTGTCGCCACTCCACCGGTCTAGCTCTGCCATCCGATTGTTTACATAGCCCGGCTCCGATTTAAGGCCCAGCCTTTTCTCCAGCGCAACCAGCTCGACGTCGCTCCGGTTCGCCAGGTTTCCCACTACTGCCCACTCATTCTGTACTGTGATCTCGGTTGAAGTTCCGTATCTGTTATACCTCTCCACTTTACGCTTATTGGCGCCTATGTCAGAAGTCCCGGCTGAGTTGGACGCCTTGCCTGTTTGTCGGGATTTCTCGCTTTTGAACGGGTACGGCTGGGTGGGGGCACCGCTGCCGCCAGTGCTGCTTCCGCCGAAAACGACTGGAAGGATGTGCGACAGCAGAGCACGGATGGCGGGCATGCAAGCGCAAACTATGCCAATGGAGATCTCGATAGTTGACCAGTAGCCGACCTCAACGTAATCCTCTGTTTTGAGAGTTGGTCAGTCTGTGCATGACATATGGATAAGTGATATGACCGACTTACGAGTGACGTTCTTGGTCGAACCAAATTGAATCATAGCCCGGAGACGCAAGATGCTGACGAGGGTGACGAAGAAACCGACTGCAAACATTGCCAATATCTGGATCTTCTTCCTCAGACTCATAGTAAGCTTTGACAAGGCATGTAAAGGTAACATTAGGGTCGCTATATCCAGGAAGATGTTCACGCCAGCGCCTGACCATCCCAGGTAGTTTACGTTGACGCATTTAGCTTGATATTCGCCGTCCCAGCTCCTCCACGCACCGTCCAGAGGCCCGCACTGGAAAATGACCGCGAGACCGAACCCTAGAGCGAATCCAACTTCGAGACCTATCATGACGAATGCCATGACTCGAAAATGTTGCTGTGGAAAGACACGAAGGTAGAAGAGCAGGATGGAGATCTTGTTTAGTCCCAGTGCGAAGGCGTATAAGACCTCCTCCCAGTAGAAATACTACACATAAGTCAGCATACCTTGCCGTCATAAAATGTATCAGTCCGATCAACTCACGTAAAGAACCTGGTTAATGTTATTGGGTGACACAGTCCACATGTCTAGTCCCAAGCCAGATTCTGAAAGTGGTATACATAACGAACCCATCGGGATGAGTATGGCTGACACTACGGTGATCGCCCAGTCATCCCATCCCCACGTGTGCGATCGCAATCTCTCGAGACAACGGAGTCCGAAGGCTGCCAGCCCGGTCAACATGAAGGCAATGCCAAGATGCCATACCAGCGGCCTCCTGTCTTCGCCTTTAATTCCGCAGGTACTGTATGAGTATTCCTTCGTCTCTGTGGTAGTACTCGTAAGCTAGGGTGCACTGCATATTGAGTATGTGAGGTATGAATTTGCCTACGCAAAGCTTCTCGAATTGTGCAGTTCGCCAAAGAACAAGTTTCAATCTTGGCTTTTAAGTCTTCGTTGGTGCAAATACATGTCGTGTTGAGTCCGCAAGTGGACTGCAGCGCCTCTACTGTGATGCATTTCAACTGCAGGTGGTCGTGTCTTGTCAGCCTCTCTCGTCCTCAATATCCAAGTCTCTCAAACGTCCACAATATTTGTCGTGGTTGGTTTCGAGACAGCATGACGATGTGGGGTGAGTTGACTTACACCACAAGCCGGGGCTATCGTCGAAGACGAGGAGCTACCGCTACTCGATGCAGCTAACACTGCGACAATGCCATATGATAACAACACTGCCCACGTAGAAAGCCTCATCGCAAGCTCATCAATCAATTATGCGGTATCCTTTTGCATTATACTGCTTTTCGACGTGACCTTCCCTCGTCCAGCAAGAAACCAGGAAAAGCAACACGTGTAGCATGCAGCAGGGAAGGTACTTTGAGTCTATAACAGAGTTGAAGGAGACAGATGGGGAACCCAGTGATACAGAGTCATCGGCCGGCTTGGGTGCCGGACCCATGTACATATATAGCTTAACCAGGATCTACTAGTCAGTCGGAGTAGGCTTTCGTACCTTATGTGAGTGTGGGTGTGGGTATCACTTTTTCGATGAAAAGTGGCAATCCATTCCGACTTGTACCTGCGTTTACATGAACCAGGGAAGCTCCCAGTCTGGAATTGTCAATGCGGTATGGATACGTGAAGATTTTGGCGCATGATCGCTTGTCGACTGGTCTACTAGCCGTTGTTGGAACACCGTTCTAATTCGATAAGCATCTACTGGATAATTGCTACAGGAGAACTTTCTCAACATTGGTTTCATAACTATCGTGGCATGAATTAGGTAAAGGGAGATCTTGTTGCGTATTTGGAATGAGCAGAATGCTCGAGCACTACGCGAGTGATATGTATGACCACAAGTCGTACTGGAAGCGCTCGGGAAGAGAATCCGTCTTCTAGTTTGCAGACAGCGCCGACGCGGTGCGAATCTTTAGCATGTAGAATGGCCGGTCCGTGACAGCAGTCTAGTGAAAACGCGGGAGTACTCCGCGAAAATGTGTGAAGTGCATATCGGCAGTCTTGTTTTTCAGGAGTCATGTTGGATTGTACAAGGACGGAGTAATTTGAACTTCCAATCCAATTGCTCATGACTGTTTTAGCCAGACAGATGATGGTGTTTATGGAGATGGGGAGAACGAGGGATGATAACTTGTGAAGGTGACTCCAGAGCATGGCTCATATGCAAGTCAGCGCCAAGAGCCGCTCAACAGTCCGTGAGCGCTCGGGGGCAACCCATTGTAGGCTTAGCTGGCTCAACTGGTTCCAGCCTTTCCTGCAGGGCATTCCCAGGTAGTATAAAGTTTTTTTTACTCCCGCGATAGCTGCGACGCGACACGAAAGATCAAAGATGAGGCCTGCTACTGCCGTGTGAATATACCGGTGTTTGTTGACCTGACAGTCCGATGTTGGTCAGGGCTAACCTAGTCTAGTCTTAAGAATTTGAAGATTCGCCAATTGGACGTGCTAATGATCTAAATACTAGCTTGGAAGGATGCGACAAGCGACATTTGATAGTTTCCTTGCTGATTGAACCGTTGTTTTGTGCATCATGCCTTTATAGTCTGGAACATAAATCGCAGTTCACCCAATCGATGATAGGGCTAGACAAGACGGCAATCTGGCGGGTGATGACCTCAAGGTTTTGTGATACTGTCGCGTGCGTGCCGAGGACCGGTGTCATTAGAATTTCGCAGTTGTCTCGCAGGTCTCTTTGAGCCCTTCGAGGAATCGCTAGGTTAGTCGATCCTTTGACGAACAAAGGGTACCCAAATAATTGATCATAGATCAGAGCTCAATCATGAATCGTTACGTCCGTTATCGTAGATAAACCTCCCCAGCAGAGCCGCACTGTTTCCAGCATACAATATGTCATATTAAGTAGGGTTATGAAATGGAAACTCAATCGGGCTCCATGTGGGGTGAACCTTGTGAAAGCTACAGTATCAATTGCGATCTGGCTCTACTACAAGTTAGATTAATGCCGATCTTCAGAGCCAGAACAACTCAACTTTCTTCCAGCAATTTTTTTTTGCCCCCTAAAAACATCCAAGCGCATTATAGCTCTGTTCGAGATGTCTGCGTTCGCAAAGTCTCTTGAGCGTGGACATGGCGCGGCAGTTGATGCGATTTCTTGCTGAAGCTCATTACCCCGAGCACAGTTTCTATGATTCAGTACACCTTCCGAAGTCACATTTTTAGAAAAAGACACATCTAGCATAAATAGATCAGGGATCTCCAGGTAGCCTTTTGAGTACCAGTTCCCACCAGATAATTGTGGCTTGCGGTTGGGAGTACCGAAGCACCAAGCCCTTCGTCGTTCCATTGAGTTAAACTGCCAGCCCTGTTTCAACAGGACCCTGATGACGACAGTCCAGCCACGCATTGTGGGTTCGTGCTTATCGTGCTAAACTGGTGACAAATAGACCACAATCAGTATCTCGTAACAATTCCTGGCCTTAAGACTTGTACACACATTTTGAACCATGACCAAACTGGTGGAAGCTCGCGATGGCATGCTGATCACAAAAGTACTTCGCACTTTGGGCTCCTGGCAACTTTCCGCTTGCTGAGCCACGCGCAAATCTAAGCGCCCGTAACGGCAGTAACGACAAGCCAAGGCGTTATCATGCCGGCATTTCAATGTGGTAGAATAACTTGCAGCAACCAACATTGCAGTGGTCGCTGATCTTCACTTTGAGCGATCCGCTGCAACGACCCGACATATTATTTGCCTAGTCGGGATATCCGGCTTCCGCGTCCAAGAACATACTCCACACATTACATAGTATTGCATTTCAGATGTAATTAAGCCAGACAATATCCGACTGCGAGACTGATTCCATGGAACCAGTCTGATGTGTTTAGGTGAAAACGGACTCTCTGAGACCGCAAACTTGCCAATCTTCTTGTTAGTGCTTAATTTCGAATGACAAGCTTAAGCGATGCTCTTTTGAACCCAAAGCTTCTGAAATAGTAAGGATTGATATCCGGCTGACCTTAGTAAATAAAGGCAATGTTCCTTACTCATTATAATATTATGCGCACGGATATTAAGGCATTTATTGTTTAACGCTTACCTATAAATGCAAACCATGACTTGAGCCAACGGAGCAGCTGCCATGGGCGAGGAGCGTTGATATGATATGAGAAGGCAAATGTGTGTGGTCATCACTGATTGATTATCTACGATAGCCGCAAACATGCTAGTATGTAAAGACCCATGCCTTTTGCTTCTCTAGATTCATCCGTACCAAATACCGGCTACAAGATTATAGATCTGAGTGTTCTCATGCTGGCATGAAGAACCCTCAGTACTTTCGACGGAGAAAGTCGTCACTCGAACCATAGGTAAAACATCGCTAATCGTTTTCGTCAGTTTGGGTACCGAATGTGCTGACCCGGGTGCTGTGTGGTGTATGTGCTTACCTCGTGTTGAACAGGCCAATGGCAGCCGACTATTCGTGCAGCTCCAAGGAATCAAAGCAGCGGGAAAGGAAACAGAGAGGACAATATAACACTGTTACTTGTGGAGACTAAGCTATAGGTGAGCAGCATTGGCTTATTATAGGGGTCAGAAGAGATGTTTGATCTCTACAATTCTCTCTCTTGAACAGAATACTGAGCGTCCCAAAGAGGTTGATTCTCTGCTGCAGTAGCTCTGTGCGTCTCTGTTGCCTCCTTTGCCCATCTGGACTCATGATCGAAGACTACTGGGTCAGCGGTCGACGCATCATTCTGTGTATCAAGGCGCTCCGCTGTGTGCCAAGGTATAACATTGGCGGATGTGTTCTGGTTGGTCATGCCAACTATCAGTGACGGAGGAGCACCCCACCCGCCACTACGAGGCGTGACCGGAGGAAAAATTAGGCCTGGTGGTGGGACTATCGATGACCAGTATTAGATGCAGAGTTCTGTCGCCAGCCAGTATAAGAATAAACTCACGCTGTCCATAAGCGGGGGTTGCGCCGCCATTGCCTTCAATGGTCCATCCCGGTGTCTCACTTGTACTGGCTTGACGGTTCCAAGTAGGAGTTCCGCCACTATCACCTTGGTGATTCCAAGCTGGGGTAGCACCCATACCGCCTAGATTACCCCAGGTAGGGGTCATGCCAACACTGCCCGGGTAACCCCAAGCTGGGGTCATACCGACGCTGCCTTGGTTGTCCCATCCAAGAGGCAGACCAGCTGTGCCCCTCAAGATATCATGAGATGCCCATGTATCTGTCTGAGTCGGCCATGCACCCGGCTGCGGTTCACTACCTGGAACCCATCTCTCGATCTGAACGCCTTGACTATTAATGAATGTCATTTGAGAACCAGCACGTAGATCTTGCTGCTTCTTTGCAGCCACTTCATCCCGGCGGCCAGCAATCCACTCAGTCTGCGAACCAGTGAATGAGATGTTCCTCTCGAATACTCGCTTCTTCATGCGCGTGATTCGATGAGGTGCTGGCTGGCGCTCGATGAAAGCTAGAGGACCCTTCTTTTCTTTCTCGATGTGGGTAAGCAGAGCCCGCACATCATCGACAGGAATGTCGTCGTCGTAGGCTATATGGTTACCCGTGCTATTGAGAGCTTCGTTGAGCTTGGTAGTGAAAGTAAGAGGTGACGATGTGAGGTGCTCAAGCTTGCAGATCAGACTGAGCACGATGTCAAGCTCAAACTTGGTCCAACGGTGGCCACGGCTGCTGCCCCGATAGGCTTGTCGAGAAGAGTAAGGCATTGTGAGATGACTCGGAAAGACTTGTGAAAATTGAGATGATTGCAATGAATTAGTGACACACAAGAAAAGTCTGCCACATTTGTTGTCGTCACTTTCCGTGACCTGATTGACTTCTTGTGTTAGAAGGGAAATCCTATTGTGCCGTACAAGTGATTGAATGGACAAAGTGATCCTCAATAGAAGGTGCGGAAAAGAAGGTGCGAATTTTCTGATCTGGGGTTATCTGGATTCTGCAGCTGCTAGATTGATGCGAAGCTGAAACCTGGTCCCTTGAGCCATTGAATGAATGATATTGTTTCACAGATTCTGGCCCTGCTGGGTTGGAACCCAGTTGTCTTGACACATAAGCGGAATAAACGAGAGGGAGGCAAGCTGTCGATGTTGATTATTCACATACTCCTTGGCGACGAAGACTGTGAACGACTTCAACTGTGACGATAGTCGACGTCGATGGTATTATTACTTAGAGCAGACTCCGGTGGCATGCCACCGAATAAAATGCGAGAAGGTCTACGAGAGGTGTATGAGGAGTTGTCTATCCTTTCGTTATTCACTTAGGCACGACCAGTGAGCGCTTTGAACTCATCAACATTGCATATCTTGAAAGGCTTCCATCTTCCTCACCTCTCATTGTCCAAAACTCACGCGCAATGTCTAACAGCATTAGCATATGGTTCTGTCAGGACCAGCTATATTCGAACTGAGCTTAGATCAGAAGTGAACATGTAAGATGCACAAAAGGTTGTAGAAATGAATCTGAATCGATCACCACGAACCATCCACTGCATTATTAAACCCCTTGAACGAGTTTTTATGTATCTTCAAGCACAATCTATCTAACCACTAATCGCGTTGCTTTTCCATCAGCTCACATCCGGCTCTAGGCAGGTTGGACAGCCATGCCATGCACAGTTGAATATCAGTTCTGACGCCATGATTTCTTCTTCAATAAGATACACTACAAAACTTACTGTTGTTACATCATGTCAATGTTGGTCCAGAGGCACAGTTTCGGTTTGCAAACAATGATTGGCATTGCATAACCATAGCGTCATGGGTAGAACATAGTCAAACAAATTCTAATAACATGAATAGGTTCATGACAACGTCTTTTGCTGAAGATATCATTGGAAAGCTGCGAGTGGTATAAGAACACAGATAGCATGCCTCTCACATAGGGATGAAATGATAGTATATCAACTTTTCCAATCTCGACACTACCACAAGTTATACCCAAAAATTTCACTTCAGGAGGTTGCCGCGGGCGTTTTTGTGGTCTCCCTGCCAGTCCACAACGCGCCGGTGTTGGCCATGTTATTCGCTGCCTTCAAGCAAACTTTCCTGGATGAGGGCAGCATTCCATCATGTTCCTGCCCCGGATCCCAAAAATAGATGGCCGCTCCGACCCGTCGAAAGTTTCCGTTTCCGGAGCCCTCCACGTCTCCACCTCGTTAGGGATGTCTCACGGTGGTGACGGTCATATTGATACCAGCAACAGCGAACTTGTCAGTAAGGTTTAGTACCCCCAACCCTAGTCCTATCAGCCGAAAGCGTCTCGCGCCTGAAGTAAGCCCGCTCTCTGGGACATATACCCCCGTGCACCACCTTTGCGAATGAGCCTAGATGGAACACCACCAGCTTTCCGTACGTCACCATAACCAGATCCTCCCGAGTGTGAGGACATTCGCATGAGCCTGGGGAATGTGCCTCACTCATCTCCAATTCCCGAGAAGGCCAGCTAACCGAACCCGCGAAGGGCGCGATACGTGGAATTAAAGGTTCCAAGCCTGGTCTGGCTAGTATTACTACTTGCCACAGCGACTTCACATCATCATCGAGTACTCACCAGGCCCTGGTCTCAAGCCTCCGAAGCCTGCACGCCCCCACTCACCACCGATGCCACATAACCTTCAGCACCTAATTCTATGCCGTTCGGTCGACTGTGTTGTGACTGTTTTGCGAAATTTGAATCCAACATAAGGAGAATTGGGACGAAAAACCAGTTATTTGTGTCCACTATATGATGCGAGCTGGTCGCCCAGTCTAGGGGCTTTAAGACCATATACATTCCAGTGGTAGTAAAGTTCTTGGAGACACAAGATGAACCATCAGTCTAAGATATGAGGATGCACCGAGAGGCAGATGTTTCGACACAATGGGGCACAAATGAAGAGGATTATTTATCTTTCTGATTAGTAGTAATACACCACTTGATAGATTTCTCATTCCATTTCCAGGCTTGCATTCGGGTTGAGATGTTACTGATCGAAGCTATCACCGAGCGTTTAAGATTGCTAGGACGGCTATTACTCGAGCTTACTGTTTGTGCCCGTGGAAGCCGCTGCCAATCCATCGATGATCTCTCCACCTATCACATAGATGATGTAAGTGGGGAGAACAAGCCACGCACCGCTACATCACTGTTAATAAACTCATTTCTCGAATCATATGACCGGGACTCACTTGGGAATGATCCAGAGCGTAATCAAGTCAGGCCAGCTATTGTGCCCGATGTTAGCGAAATCCGAGAAGTACTCATTTGCCCCTAGCATTTCAGTCAGCATGTCCAATACCACGAACATCAGCATCTGGCGCACTCACAGTAAAGCACTGTCTTGCTTAGTGTCATGACCGCAGCGCTGAAAGCGAGCAGCGCTGCCAATCCCGCGGGACGGCCTTGCAAGACCCTTTTCTCCCCACCAAGAATTCCGCCCACGGGTTTGCCTCGACCAAAGTAAATGTATAGGTAGGTAAGATACATGGCGGTCTCGACGACATTCAAAGTCCCCTGCGCTGCGGTGAAACCGTTGCGCTCATTGTATGCCTTCCAACCATAAACATAGTCGGTCTTGCCGTACAGTATATAAGGAACATAGAGCGGCCAGTTGACTACAGCAAGATGTCTCAGTTACACATGAACAACAGCCGTGTTGTGTAGTATCGAACTTACGGAAGCCGCCCTCCATGGTATACGGGCGTCCAAGCACATAAATGCTGTCCCAAATCACGAGTGGAAGCGAAATCGCAAACCAGTAGAGCGTCGCACGATCCGGCGCGTGATACCAAAGATTCGGAGCCTGTGAGACGGCCTTGGATGCTGAGCGTGTCGTGACCATTGTTTTTGCTGAAGTGCAGTACGTGTCGAGTATACAACTAATTAAACTATGGTATTTAGATTTACTAGGGCTGTAGGGATGCTGCCGAGCACGTTATACAGGTCTGAATGCAAAACTTGTACCTACGAGGTAAGCTGAGGTTTTACAGGCGCGATGCGATCAACACTGTAACTCATACGTTTTGACACGCGGTTGCGGGGGATCGGGAATTGTGCTCCTGAAGGGCGATGGAAGTGGCTAAGTAGGGTCGTGCTCGGCACATGGCGTTTCCGAGATGATACTTCCCATTGAACCCACCAAACACCTCCGCCAATGAGAACCGGCAGATCAATGAACGCTTAGTGGCCAGAATCGGAAAGCAGCGATTCAAAATTGCCCTTTGAGGACAATCAGGCTGGACCCAATGAATTGCACATTTCGCAATGGTGTCGACAAACACCTGCGAATATAAACAATTAAATAGCATGCAATGGCGAGGCTGATACTAGGGCGAGACGCTTTCCATTACATAGACTTACGCAGTATGAACCCCAAAAATCGCCATTGTCCCATCTCCGAATTACCATTCGAAACTCCGTTACGCAACCATCTACCATGGTCAAATTGTTCAATAAGGTTGAGGAACAGTACGTTGAACCCAATTTTTGTACGAACATCATCCACCAAATGGCAAGAGCAAAATCGTCTACTCAGCAAGTACTCCTAGGGGACCGGGTGGCGTAGTACTGCCATATTGTGGTGATATTTTTCAAAAAAAAAAAAATTTCAAATGCTTTATCCATGCCCGAGCCTGCCGGTCAGCCAGTAACACGGCGCTTCCAGTTCCTGCGACCGAGACACTGCACAATGGAGAGGCGATTGCAAAGAAGGGCCCAAGAAAGCATTGTACTGCTGCGTTACGATGATTGTAACCCCGACGATAGCTGGCCTCAATCACTTAACGATGATATGTACCGAGCGCCACCAAATACGCAATTCCCTCTAAAGGAAAACATCACGAAAGAATAATCGGTGGCCATCACGGGTTGGTCTAGCATGCAAATATGACCGATAGGAAGTATGAGAATCGTTATCGGTTGATTATTCGTGCGAAATAAGTGTAAAGAAGAAAGGAAAAGTCTACAACAACGGCGGACGGCGGCAGAGATTTGACCGACGCTGGTACGGCGGGTCACGTGAGCAGAGCAAGCTTTCGTTCGTTGCCCACCCTCGCAGTGGGCCACCAACCTCTCCTACTTCAAGGTTGCAATCTCTGCTTTCACCACAAATTTTCTTTCTCTTCAACTTCACACTCAACCTTTCCTTCTCAACAATCTTTCGTGATTTGCAAGAACAGCTCCGAGAATATGGACAAGCTGTTACGAGTCTATGCAAGGTAGGTCTGGGAAGGCACAGCGTCGCGCCAACTAGGTCAACCAACGCGCTTCCTTCCGCACTGTTCATGGCGTTCGGGCACTGCTTGACTGCGGCCGAACAAAACACTTTAGATAGAAACCCACAATATGCCTCCCTCTTGCGACTTCAATGCGCATGAGTGGCAACTTAATTTATCGTTCAGTGGGAGATAAACGCAAGGGTCTAGACAACCCGTCCATTCCACCCTGCTGCTGTAGATCACAGTGCGTCAGCAGGACTATATAGGACAAACATTCCATTGTGCCTGATGAAAGCCATTCTAAGAGGTTCCAACGCCTACATGTTATGAACCCCAAGGTGTAAAGAAAGCACTACATCGACTTCCCTCGGAAAAGCTTTGACGTGCGAGCCTACAATTGAATCGTGGAGATATTTTCTTAGACCACAACTGCATGTTCCACGCGGCATTCATTAATTATGCATCATCCCGTTATGACTATCTTGAACAATGTCGTTAATATCTGCCATCGAACAGATACCTGTCATCCTCGAATGACAACAGGAACCTTGCCAGTAGACGACCTGTGTAGTTCAATGAGACATCACGAGGGAAGGGATGAGTCCCCTCGTTTGGCAAAATCGGATCAGCCACCAGGAAGTCAAGCTCATAATCTACATCCCGTTAGAATTGATCATGCCCGCACGATGTAATAAGTGGTAGCACTTACAAGAGTCGCCTTGGAGCAATTTTCTCAATGCTAAGACCATCTCGTGTGTTGGCCCGTCCAGTTCGCCTTGTTCAGCGAAACTACCATCCAAAAGTGGATTAAAGGCCTTTGTCGCTGCATCTTTGGTGTGCGTCTGATAGACCTGATGGAATTGGTACGCAAACTGCTTGAACGGCATGTTTTCAACTTCTTTGCATATTTGCCGCGCAAAATCCTGCTTGTACCCCGGCTTCGCCTGATTGCGAATGTTGATTTCGTTCTGTGAGGCCACAAAGGTATCCGCGGCGGTCTCTAAAGCTTCCATGAAGAGGCATAATACCAGAAATGCGGCAAGACACGGAGCCCATTCTTTTCGTGACTTGGGCTTCAACGATTTTGAGAAGCCATCAAAAAGAGACTGCATTTCCTTGAGAAGTTGCTCGTCGAGTATGGATTTCACTTGGCGATTGAGTACCCGGGGAGTGAGCCAAGGCACATTTCGAGGTATCAAATTCGTACCCTGAAGACTGTGAATAGATGCGGGGGTCATGCATAGATGGCGAGTCAAGATATAGTGCATAGCATATATCGATAATGCCTTCTTCACCATTGAAGACTGATCGTTGTTAGTGAAACGATGCCGCGAGTGTTTATTGAACTTACGTCAGATCTCTGGCTAAACCTTTGCACAATCTTTAGTACTTTGCATGGCAAGTCTGTGTGTCTGAATGAATCTGTGACCTGCTCAGCGAATTGCGGCTCAAGCGTAATTCTTTGGATATAATCTCGAGTCTTTTTCCGCAGGTCGTCTCTATATGGTGCATTATCCAAATCAATACCAATCGGTGCAGCATCACGAGTCTGCAGGTCGAGTTGGTTCATGCCGACATTCATATGCCAATGTTGGAGGACTTCGCTAGTCTTTGCTGTAAAGAAATTTGCTCGAACTGTGAGTGTAGAGTCAAAACGGGTTCCTGAGAAGAGTTCAACTTCACAGGATTGTTCAACCCCGCCAATAGTAAAGCTCTCAATGTGTTGACTGAAGAACGAAGCCATTTGGTCTTTCTTAAAATGACCTCGTATGAAGTCCGGGAATAGCACAGGAAGGAAGTCCTGAAATTGCCAGCACATGATTTGAGGCACAGCAGCTGTGAGTTTGGTGCAGTTTTTGCATGGCCTCTGTGTATCACACTGGGAGATGTCAGTGTGTAGAAACCCCAATGAAAGAAAAATACGCACCTTTACTTTCCGTGCATGGCAACAGAAGCATGCCCCACGTCGTCTCACCTGAAGAGCAGATTCCTTCGTCTCATTTGCCAAAGGACCTTTTCTGCCCTTATGAGAGGGTCGCATCGCCTCAAAGCACTCGTACGGGTTTGGCTTACCAGCAGAGGCATTGATGATTGTTGGTGTCATGATCACAAATCTACTCGCTGGCTCCGCCTTCTTCTTCTCAATTTTGTTGTTTTTCCCTTGAATCTTTCGCAGAGGGCTTGGCGCCTTCTCTAATTTAATACCTGGCGAAACAGGACTGGACGACAAGCGGCCACTATTTGAAGAAGAGTGCTGCGACGCATCAGAAGAGATGAATTCGAACGCCTGTTCATCTTTCCTAAGATTAGCTGCATTCCATGGCAATGCATGGTCTTCGGAGGAGCGATAGTGCGCTGGAACGCTGAGGTCAGCTGTTTGGGTTGGGATATCGAACCCCTCCAGTCCAGTAATACTCGAGGCATCGAAATCATCGAGCGGATTGTAGTATTCTGAGAGATCGAAGGTGCCTGAGAGGATTGTCAGCGAACTGCTCCGATTTGTTTCGGGTCCCTACTTACTGTCAAACGGCTCCTGAAACATGAAGTCCGGATCCGGTGCAAACTGCTCCGTTCCGCCTGGAACGCTACCTATGAACTGCGTGTTGAGTCCCCCAGCATTTGGCTTTAGCGAAGTTGCTGTCTGATCGGGGTAAGACGTAGAGAATGCGGTCTGTGATTCCGTATTTAGATCTAATGGCGACATTCCTTGCGGCGAACGCTCAACGTGATTCGGATATCTTGGTATAACCCAACTGTTCATACTTCCAGCACCACTGACTGGACTCGGGGAAAAGACAGAGGCTGGGTTCGACCCGACGTTGGATCCAATATATTGCCAGGAATCGGAGTCTTCGTTAGATTCGGTACGGCGGTGGCTTTGCGCCGAGGGCGAAGCTGAAGCGACAGAAGCCATCTTATTATAGAATAAACTGTTACGAATGTTCTCCCCCCAGCTTATATGTTCATATGTTCTAGCACTATATCCCAATAGCACCGCTGGTACGCATGCAACGCATGCTCTTTAGTGGTACGGTGTTGTGAAGCCTATTGATACTGTGATGCAGCGTGGGGCTGTTCTTTACTGCTTTGGCATAATAGCAGCACATTCATTCCCAGCTCTTCATTTTTCAGGTACGACGATTCGTGGTGGTTTGTTTCGCTTCGAGTGAGACGTACATAGAAACACTAGATCTTGTAATCAAGACCCAAAAAAGCATTTCTTGAAGAAATGAAAGATAAATCGTCCTTAGCAGCCCGTTCGGAATGACGAACGAGGGGCCGTCTTGCTTAAACGTGCCCCAGAAAAGCGGCTCAGCCTTCAGGCGCTAAACCACTTAAGACGACCGACGCATGCGCCCCTAGACTCCTTCAAGCGTCGGTCATGTCTCACAGGAAGGCAGATTTGATACCCATGAGCTGCTGCTATTTTCGGACAATGCTCTGTATGGTGACCGACGACTACTTCGATAACAATCACTTGGTTGTTCATGAGACATCACTCCGAGGCAAGTAAACCATGGGGGCCACATACTAACACAAGATCCGCTCCAACGGCAGCCTTGTATAGGGATTTGAGATCAGAGCTCGCCTCGGAAGGCATGGTGGTCATCACTGGACTTCAATTATTATCGACTAGGTTACATTTTTTGACGGTCCAAAAACGCTCCACCAATCCGTCAATAAGAGATCAAGTCCTTCTCGCGAAGTCAACCTAGTGTTAGTTCTTTGTTCTCCAGTCAGCGCCATTAGCGCCATAGTATTGTCAAAATTCACTATTTTCATATGTTGAAGACCTTATTGTGACCAAAAAATTTGCGTCGGTCTACTTCTTCGCAAAATAATACTGCACTTCATATCTTGACTCCTTGAGGTGGCGCCCGCAGACCACCGAAAATAGAAAACTACAGTCCGAGAAGTTTGAAGCATCATGGCTGCTAGTCTAGGGTAAATCGCCGGATAATGCTTGAGCGATTCTAAAGCGCACGGGCCTTTGGTCCTTTCCCCTCCCGCCGACGCGGCTCCGAGAACTTCAAATTTCCTCATGATAAGCAGAAGTGAGCCGACAACCCGGGATTTGCGACGCCACGGGCATGCTTTGTATACCCAAGGCGCGGTCTGCAACTGTATTGCCCGGGCGAGACGTGGACCAATCTTGGTCCGTTCTCACATTTACCGCCGTCATGCCGGAAGAAAATGTAACCGCCACAAGGATCAAAAGGAACACTGCGTGTACTTCTTGCCGAGATGCCAAGGTCAGTACAATGTCTTACAACACCGGTTGCGCGAAACTGTATCATCGCTAAGAACGATCTACCACAAGGTTCGGTGTAACCCTAGTTCAGATCCAATCCAGCCTTGCCAGCGTTGTGCCAAATTGAGTCTGGAGTGTGTGGTTGATAAGACTCATAAACGCGTGAGCAGGAAGAGGTAAGTTGCTTTTGAACGAATTCGGAGGACAGTGTTCTGATTGCTTTACAGTAAGCTGGATGAGCTGGTACAAGAGATTCAGTCCATTAAACAGAGTGTTGGCGATCGGTCCACGCCAGTGGCTCAGCCGAGCTTCGTTGTGCCAGCTCCTTTCAAAGAGCCTGTGTTGCCGCGTCTTGGTATGCCATCGCCCAACCTGAGCGGGCCGACTATATCACTGAACGGCAATCCTCCCACTGTCTCCGCTACACAAACTCCGGCGACGACTTTCGTGGTGGACACAAATGTGGAACCAAGTCTGCCAAGAGCTTTGGACAACCAGCCGTTCTCGGGTGAGGATATAGACTATTATTTTCAAAAGTGGGTTCTTTCTCGGCTACATGGTGTTGCGACTGACATGTACAGATATTTCGAGCACTTTCATCCCTATATGCCCATTGTACGGTACCGAGATCCCAACAAAATCTACGACCAGGGGAGCGTGTTGTTCTGGACGATCATCATGATAGCATGTCGCCGCTATGCACGCACGCCAAGCACATTGAGCTTCCTTATGGGTGCAGTACGACGCGAATTGTTTTCAGTTATTTCCATGCTGCCTTTGTCAATTCATTCAATTAACGCGCTCATACTTGTGGGCACATGGGTATTCCCTGACGTCCGCTTTCTCAATGACCCAACCTCGATATTTTCAGGTGTCATCATGAATGCTGCTTTGCTGTTGGGCATCCACTCTGGAAAAGGCTCGAATCCAGAGTATAGTATTGGTATGTTCCAGAACAACTTTAGCGATGAAGAGGCCCACTACACCTGGGCAGGATATTGTATCACATCACAAAGGTCAGTCACACCTTCTCTAGCAGACACATGCATCTACTGAACATCATACAGAATGGCTGAGTATCGAGGTCTCCCTCCGCTTGGTAGCAGTTTCAACCAAACCGTGCAGAACGTCATTGACGGAAATACTCCTTTTCATGTGCCTGGAAGCTTTCGTGTGCTGCTCGAGTGCCAGAAATTTGCGAATCGAGTTAGCAAAACTATGGCAGCCTGCTTGGACGAAACGAGAGGGGTTTCTTCGCACGTCGTTCGACATCTGGAAGAAGAGTTCGACCACATAAGAGGTCTTATTTGCTCAGAACGTGCAGGTATGATCTTCTGGTAACCTCTTGAATATGGGAGCTGACCAAAATAATTAGACGACCTGGATCGTTGGAATGCTATACTTGTACAACTGGAGATTCAAACTTACTACTTAATACCCCTACCAGGCTATAATCCTGAAAGCCTCAAACGGCATGTTATCAGAGCCTATACAACAGCTCGAACCGTTGTCTCAGTTGCTCTGGAGTTAGAACGCTCGCACAGCTTTTTAAGGCACATGCCCCACTTCTACTTCAGGAGCCTCCTCACTGCGTTCTGTATCATCTACAAGGTTTTGCGCTCGTCCTATATGGACTTTCTCATCCATAAGGAGTCTGAGCAAGCGGCGTTGGACGTTATGAGTGCATGTCGGCGGTCAGTAGTCCAGGATAGAGATCTTCCCGACCGTCTGGGAAATCTGCTAGAATCAATCAATAACTATGCGCAACTCACGAGGTGGCAAGAGGAGCCGATCTCATCATTCTCACAACGGCTGGGAGCGAGTATTCATTTCGACTGTCTCAACCGCTGGAAGTCTGAGATGGACTCTTACACAGTGCGGCCTAAGAGTCAACCACCGCCGGTTGAAGGAGGCGAGACACCCGCTGCTATCCTGCTACAAGATCCTCTAGCAAACATTGACTGGAGCTTCATGGATGATTTCGACTGGAATATTGAGCCGACTTTGCTTGCACCTGGCCCTGGTATAGCACCAGGTATAGCGCCCTGAATCGGGTCAAGTTGTGGTTTGGCTGCACAAAGCAGACGAACGGTTAAGTGAAGATTCACAGGATTGTGCCTTAATATCATAATAACACTAGCATTCTAGCTCTGCGACATCCCCAAGCCATCACCGTGCAGAACTGAGCCGCCAAAACGTGCGATTATTTCCAAACCCTCTCACATTTCCCAACCCACTGGCCCCATCCGATGACTTTCCCCTGGATTTCCTCTACGATTTGTTCTCTTGTTGCCTTGGCGGCCAGTACGACCTGATCGAGGGGCTCGCTGAGACCGACGATAAAAAAGAAATCTGATTAAACACGATTAGCTCACATTTACCACTCCAAACACCCCTCAGGAGAAACCTACACCGATGGACTCCATGGTTCAACAATGGCCGGGGCGGAATATAGACCGATCCCCGTCTATTGACCCCGTAGTGAAACCCACCATTCAACAAAGCTTTGCTTTCATCCACCACCGCAAAGTCCGATGCAACTACAAATGTTCTGGTCGGTGGAATGCCCCCATATATACTGTTCAACTTGTCAGCACATCTATCATGACCTAGTTTCAGAAGGAAAAGCAGGCCCGCATCTCTAAAAATAAAAATAAAACGCTGTGTAAGCTCACCCATGGACAATGGGAGACGGCAAGGGCGCGTCCGGGTCTTCTGACACGAGTAACCATTCTTGTACTTCGTCCTTTAAGTCTCCTGGTACTTGCCAGCTCAACTCGGGGAATTTGCCGGCACCGTCATGGGTGTAGTCTAGACCCAGCTGCGCGTTGGTTTCGCCACAGTCGGGCGATGTGATGGCAATCGTGGGTTTAGAGCACGATTTGAAGGCCGGGTTTGTGATGAAGAGTCCATCGTCTCGTCCACGGAAGTTACTGAATAGCCAAGAGATGGTGACCTCGATGTAGTCCGTGACCGGCATTGTGTCCAGTTTTAGATTAACTAGTGTGCTAGGGAGGGGATGTGTGGGGTCGATGACTTAGGAGTAAGTGTTTTGAAGACGTCGCGAAAGCAACCTCGATTTATCATCGATGCAAATTTGTAAAAGATGTCTTGGCTTAAAATATGCGCAGATGAATGCAATGTTTTAATGTCCCATACGGTTTCAAGAACGTGGCCCTGCTCATATAAGGTGCTGACGGTAAGCGAATTCGGAGCCGTGGCGGCTACGGCTTGAAAGGCTATCTCACTGCGCGCTTGGAGGACGTGTTTACCCCTTCTTCGCCCATGATGTCTCTATCTCTATAAAGGATTGGATATTCTCTTACAGCGGATGTTGAATTGTTATTAGCTGGGTGCACCCTTACTGAGGGCAAGATTTCCAGGCTCTGATGAGACGAAGCTGCAAGGTAAATTTCTAGGTGACTTTCCAGCTTAGGACTGCGCAGCCGCTGCCCTCGGATTGATATCTGAGAAGTGCTGCGATCCTACTCGTCCATTCCAAATTTCCAACGACTTAAGCTTCAGCATTTTCAAAGCCGTCGATTCTGCTGCTTCCAACATATCGTCAATCTTGTCTGGATCTTGAGCATTAAACAGTTACGAAGTAAGCGCCGGCAAATTAAGGGGAGACCAACTCCATCCTGACTTGACAGCGTCAAATAATGGCGGGCGTCAATAGCAGACGACGAAGAAAGATGCTCAAGCTCTGGACTGTCCTTCGAGACTGCTCGACCGACCCAAAGGTCGGGCGCTCGCATATCGTCGCAGTGCGCAAAAGATGACGGATACTGCTCATCAAAGTTCTCGAACAGTACAAGCTTTCTTAGTTTTTCGGTCAAGAACGAATCGAAAAGCGAACAGTAAGCTAGATCTGTCACTGCCTGATCACCTTTGGACCAAGCCCTACGAGGCTCGTAGTGGAATTTCTCGAGTCTAGGGAGATAAGGAAAGTATATTTGTAAGTATCATTGGCCAAGACGATGTGCGTTTTCTTTTCTTTTTCAAAAACCAGAAGGGGGGGGGGGGGATTCTAGGAAGGGGACGTGGACTCTTTTATATTCCGGGGTTCCCCCATCTCCGATGCTTTATGCCTTGAGATTTTTATCGAGGCCCGAAATTTAATGACAGGAGCAGTCGCTATAGACAACGATGAGATTGAGGATGAGGATAGAGCAGGGACACAAGTTGGTGAGAGCACCAGTCCGACAAGTCAAGTATATACCGGAATAATATATGCTCTGCGGATATTTAGAAGATATGTTTAGTTCATTTGTGCTAGAATTTTTGCGAATGTAGATGCGAAACTGATGAATCAAAAGATAAACTTCTTGTGCTATGCGATTGGTTTCTGTCCTATATTCTCGTGATGTCTAACAACCCTCTGCATATGTGGAAGGTTTGTGGGGCCTTGCCGACCTGAGGTATCTTCTTATCATGGTGAGCCGTCATTATACGGTCAAAGCGTCGGTGTTGCCGATGAGCCGTTAGAAACGGAGACGTGGGATCATGGAATTGTGAGTGACTAACGCCAGAGCGATGTGCATTTAAGTTAGAGTATACTTACTCCTGGATTGACACAAATTTCCTGCTTCGAGCTTCTTTAACATGAAAGGATATCCACTGTGATTGGAAACCTGGTAACCCTATATGTCAGCGTTATTAAACGCCAATCACGGCTGCATCATCATCGACAGGTAGGTCTACTCTATTCGTTAATACTTATGACCCAAGTTATAAACCTATAGCATTACTAGACATGGCTGGCAAAAGATTCGCTACGACCTCGTCCGTGCCCTGTTGAGCTCCAACTTCTAAGCGTCCGCCCATCGTATGAGATGCCCCCTTTCCATGCTATCAACCCACTTGTTCACCTTTTTCAGAAAGATTCCAGCACTACATTGCAAGACTGCTTCAAAGAAGTCGACCTTCATATAGCTCTCCTCCAAAGGCCAGTCCGGCCAGAGCTCGCTTAATCTTGCCGAGTAGACTTTCCGTAGCTGCGCCACTTCCCACTCCATCCTGTGTATCCAGTAGAGTTGATTCTTACCCTCGTTATCCAGGAAATTTGGGTCATTATCCTTCTCTTGGGCTGCGGCTTCCGAGGGTGTCTCGTCTGCATAGAAATCCCGCTTCGGCTCCTCCTCCCGGCTCTCTCCAGCTAAAAACTTAGGCATCTTTGTAGCCATCCAGATCGGTAGTGCTGAGACGCATTCCCAGTCTACAATAGCTGTGATCTTGTCTTCGGGATCTACTAGTATATTCCGAAGATTAAGATCGTTGTGACAGAGGACAGTGGCCTCCGCGCATTCTTGGGTTAAAAGGATCTTGCGGAGGAGAGAAAGTAGTTTCTGGGCTGAGGTGATAATTTCCTCTGCGTCTTCTTTGTCGTCGTCATCTTCCGCCTTTTCTATGACTTTTTTATGCTCTAGTATGATAATACTTAGTTCTGAGCTCAGCCAGTCATAGCCAGAGCGGAAAGGACCCCGTCGGAATATCGTGCTTGAGGCGACCTCCCATGAAAAACTCATGAGAGACGAGCTCACCAGGAACAACTGACGTCAACAGCCCTTCAGAGTTATGCTCCTTAGTCTCTAGGCGCAGTGTCCCTATGTCTCTGAATGTAGAATCAGGGTGGCCATGGCGAAATAAGTCCGCCTGAAACTCCGCGATACTTTGTTGTGATCTCTACTTTCTGCTCCATTGACATGGTGCGCCACCACCTGTAAGCTGAAGACCCCGGCATAAGGTCCATCAAAATCCAACTTCGTTGTCATTGCTGTCCTCAAATGCGACGACTTGTGGAACCGGGACTTTGGTGTTGTCACGTACCCTACCAGCGACGAATATGTTTAATGCTATTAAGACGGGTATGATCGCTCAGCGGCATCCGAAGCTGGTCCTGAGATCAAATTCGTTCACATCTCGACTGGTAGGTGCTGCGCGTCTGTTCTAAAATAAAATCACAGGCTCATTGAGGCCGAAAGCTACCAACCCCATATTAGTGTGATCGTATCCATGGACCTTTGAGTTAATTGTGTTAAATTAGTATATCTATAATACACTGTACATCTATAAACAAGTTTGCTACTGATATTATCGAAACATTATTTATTATAATATAGCCATTGCCTCTGGACTCCCGAATATACACATATACAGCCCTGTTCGCACCTCACATATAAATTACTATACACCAAGCATCTAAAGCCCTCCACAAATTCATCGTGAACATTTCCGAAAGCAAGCTTGACGCCATGCCAACTGTGCCAGGATCCTTTCATTGACTAAAATCTCCGCCTCGATATGCAGGATGTAAGTGGCAGAAATCCTTCAAACTAGTTTCACACCAAACCGAGCTTTTGGATAACAGGTGCGAAGCCACAAGAACATAATCCGTAAGCCCATGCTAAAAATGGCACCACGATATCTATCCTGAAAAAGGTTGCACCAGCGACTGTTGCAGGGACGTCGTTGGTTTCTCCAGTCAACTCCGGCTCAGATCAAGGATATACTTATACAGACGATGTAGCTTTGAGGAATAAGCAGAAATTTCTCTAGGGTGTCATCTTCGGTTATCAATGGCTTCCTCTGAAGAAGGTAAGAGATACTAAAAACACCTAAGCGGACTAAATGGGCATCGGTAAATGGGCAATGGTATCGTAATTTATACTACAATACAAATCAAGGCGTTTATAAGATTCAATGGGGATATTTTCTGGATTCAATCAAATCGATGCCACACATCTGTGTTACTGCTATATTATGATATGGCACAATCATAGCACTAAAGCTACCAAGAACAAAGAGCATTTCGAGGAGCGAAGCAAACATGAGACAAATGTGTTGTCACCGCAGTGTAAAAGCTAGCGTCTGATATTCTTATAGCAGGTTACTCATGGTGATCTAATGCACACTTTGCGTGAATAAGGATATGATCTATAAATGGCAGTCATGTCTCCCATTACAATCGAGGCAACAAGACCATTAAAGACCTGCGCATAACATGTCGTTTCTTTTGCCAAACGGCGTCACTACGCCTGAAACGCGTTCTAATCTCGGCGTACCCGAAGAGCTAGCTCAGGAAATACCGGTTTGGGAAGCATGGTCTAACTAAGCACGATTTCTATTGCAGCAACGCTCAGTTCTGTATTCAAAGCACATGTCAAGGCTTTGGAAAATCGCATAGGTCAGTTTCCGTACAAATCATACACAACAGCATACATAGAACAGTTGTATTGTGAAACTAGGCTGTAGATGCTTTTCAAGTACTAATAACGGGCAATGTTGGCGGAGAAATAGGCACCTGACTGAACATTGTTGGTGTATCCTGTATAGTCGTAATCGGATGTATAAACGCTGCGTACCGCTAGCGTCGGACCGCCGCCGAAAGCTCCTGAACTCGGATGATAAGCGTCTCCAACTTGCGGCGGGTACAATCCTCCGAACTATTTGTCAGGACCCCGACTCACTCTGGATGGTACTTAAGTCTTCGTGCATTCATCTCAGACTGTGATTGTCAACAGCTTCGTAAAAAGAGTTTAATACAGGTTCTTTGTGAGCGCGCCAAACGAGATGGCGGCCAGTAGAGAAGATATGCTCGAGGTAGCCGGTGCCATAGGATATGAGATTCCGGAAAAGGACATCGAGGAGTATACCACACTGCTTAGTAGGATGAAAGGGGTTCTTGAGTCCCTATCAGAGATGGACGGTGAGTAAATCAACCGTATGGCCATGAGACTATGGCAGGTGACTCAACGACCAGGTCTCAAGATTACACACCAACGCCAGATTTTGCGAAGTCACCACGGAACAGCGTCCACTTCCCGGACAAAGCAGACAACCCGCTGAACGCATGGGCGTGGCGTTGCGACTGCACGCACACCGCACCTTCCTCGTGCCTGCTGCGGGGCAAGACGGTATGCCTCAAGGACAATATAGCGCTGGCCCAGGTGCCGTGCCTGCTGGGCACGGAATCCTTCACTGATTGGACGCCTGAGGTGGACGCCACGGTGGCGACGCGCATCCTCGAGGCGGGCGGCACCATCGCCGGCAAGGCCGTCTGCGAGAATCTGTCGCGCGGCGCCGTGTCCGTCAGCGCGGCCACAGGACCCGTGCACAACCCGTGGGCCGCGGGCTACTCGGCGGGCGGGAGCAGCTCAGGCACGGCGGCGCTGGTGGCGAGCGGTGCGACGGACGTGGGCGTCGGCTGCGATCAGGGTGGGAGCATCCGCATCCCGGCGGCCATGTGCGGGCTCTGGGGGCTGAAGGCCACCTTTGGCCTGGTGCCGTATACGGGAATCGCGAGCAATGATGCCAGCGTGGATTTCGTCGGGCCCATGGCCCGAACGTGCATGGACTGCGCGACGCTTCTGGGGGCGATCGCTGGCGTGGACGGGCTTGATGACCGGCAGGTCGCCGGTTGCCCCTTCCCAGGGCAGGTGCCAGGATACGCCGGGGAGCTGTCCAGGAGTGGGAGAACCGGCGCAGCAGGATTGAGGATCGGCATACTTAATGAAGGCATCTCTAGCCCTGTCTTGGAGGAGGAGTTGAAGAACAAATTCCTTGCTGCGGCGAAAGAGTTCGAGAAGCTGGGTGCCACCGTCGAAGAGGTCTCGGTTCCCATGCACGGCTCGGCGCGTACGATCTACAGCGTCATGAGCAAGATGGGCAATCACATGGGCATGCTTGGTCGAGCGACTGGGCGGAGGCAGCTCATGATGACGGACCTCTTTGAGAAGAAAAACTTTCCTTATACGCAAGACGCGCTGTCGAAGATGAGTGTCTTCAGCAAGGAAGGTCTGTTTTCAGGAGAGCTTGGGTGGACGCATTACCCATTCGCATACTCGAAGGCCGTCAACCTGGCTAGGAAACTTAGGGATAACTATGACGCAGCGCTGGATACATACGATCTACTTATCATGCCGACGACGTTGCGGCCGTCATTTCCCTTTCCACCCGCGGATGCGAGTCCGCTAGAGCACATTGATGCGAACAAGGGCATGACAGAAAATACGGCGGCTTTCAATGCTAGCGGACATCCTGCCCTTGCGATGCCCATTGGTTTCGTTGCGTCGAAGGCAAATCAAGACATCAGAGTGCCTGCTAGTATGCAAATCGTGGGTCGATTTTGGGACGAAAGTACAATATTCAAGGCAGCGTATGCCTGGGAGCAGTGCATAGACTGGAAATCATTTTAAAGTGATACCAAGAAATAGTGCGCCACCGCGATTAAGTTGTGCAGTCCCTAAATGTCTAGGTATCAATTGGTGACCATTTCCTAACATATCAGGCTCTATTTTGCAAGAACTAGCCGCAGGTCCTTAACACCACGATGGAAATGCCGAGATTCTGAGCGCCAGCTGATTTCGATTCGCATTTCAACAAACATCCCCGGTTAGAGCCAACGAACCAGTCTCTATCACACTTTACCGCTCAGAACCAGATAGACTTTTGGCTAGCCTGGCTGTTTAGTTGTTCCCTTGTTTATTAGACACTCGCCAGCAAACACAGTTGGTCTATAGTTCGATGTAGCCTTCATATATGATGTAGTGCACGCAGACAGTGCCAGCTTTTGGAACCAAGTCCTGTTACTACTAACATAATTTGTCAGTCGTAGTCATTTATGCTCCCTCTCTTGACTGGATTCATACAGTGCATGAGACCTTGTATTTTACAACGACTGACTTCTTGTTCATGTTTGGAATTCGTGACTTGTGACAGTTCATACCGATATCAATCGAGCCATTCTCAATTTATTTGTTCAAACACACAAGGTCAGAGAAGACCAGGTAGTGAATATTCTCCACTAAGTACTAGTCGCCTGCACTGCCTAACAAGACCTCATCAGGTCCAAAAAAAGCTGTCGAATGCTGACCAGACATACGACAAATGAGTGAAAATTGGGTATAATGGGTATCAAGGAACAAAAGAAATTCAATCAAGTAATGACTGCTGCCTCACCATAGGCGTTCTAACCAAGTGCACACCCTCATCATAGGCCTTTTTATCTTTCCGAGGCATGCTGCGATGAATTTCAAAACATAGTGCTCGCCCTCTTAGGGTGTATTTTGCTAAAGTCTGTCAAGCCACCAAGGTCATTGTAATGGTCCCAGTTGACGTCCGTTTGAAGACTCTTGGCAGGGGACTGAATGAACATGTCGACATCTTCCCAGATATTCTCATTAATTGTATCAGACCCATTGGACAGATTGTGGTCGTCATCCTCAAAATTTACCGATGGCATTCTGCGAACCTTAAGGGGCGCAGGCTCCAAGGATTTACGATAGCGATCCAGAAGACTCCGTGATCTCTGGGGTTTGATCGATTTCGTACAGATATCGTTGGGCTTCTCGGTGGAGAACAATAGAGCCGGAGGTCTTGATCCAGAGCACATCGACATAGCTCTTTTAGTCGAGTATTCAGTGTTTTGGCCACGGACACGGAGGCTGTTGCTGCGAAGGGATTCCCATGGATCAGCTTTTGTCGGTTTTGACGGACTGTTGGCCATTGAGTCAGATAGAGATGTATCCAAAGTCAAGGCGCTTCCATTTTCGGATGCGCTGCCGCTTGTCGAGTCGCTCATTGAAGAGGCGGTTGACGCCGAGCGCGATGCTGTTGATGAGTTCTTAATCTCTGAAACCGTAAGAGCAATGCCATTTTCGTCGTCGGTTAAGTTAAATTCAACATCATGGGTTCCATTTCCATAACCGAGAACAACGATCTCATGATATTGTTGCGACTGCCTTTTGACTGGCGAGGGAGGGTTTGCAATTTCATGATTGCTAAACAGCCGTAAAGAGCGCCGGAATGTACGATGCCTCGATAGACCCTTTTTTATGCTCGCGCGTCGAGCCGGGCTTACTGGAACGATTGGTGAAGGGGCGCTGCCTTCAATGTTGACGGACTCATCTTTTTGTAGCAATCCAAGGTAGTCGATATCAGGTTTGATATCGAAACTTGTAGGAATGATTGTTCTTTGGGGTTCTGAGTCGGTTCTCTGACCATCCGTCGAAATAGAAAAATTCCGTGGCACTCGATCCAATTGTTTGCTGACAGATAAAGGCATTAATGCATCTTCCTTCCAAGGAGGAATATTCGTAGTGGAAATGCAAAGGTTGTAAGGGGCCCCCGCAGAATCTTTAACTTCAATAGGCACTTGAGTCACCTGCCTCAGCGTTTGGTACATTGCGTAGACGAGGATCCACCTAACCTTCCGTGCATCGATGAGGTTGAGCTGTTCTTGCTTGTCTCCTTTTATTGGTGAATAAATAGAGTCTTCCTCAAATCTCCTGTATGCCCTCACAAGATCGTTGTCGAGAAGCTCGATGTTAATCTCGTTAGTCGCTCGAAGTAGAGCAACGTGGTGCTCAGTCTTTTGAGTTGTCGAGAGTTTAGAATGTTTGCCAAACCATGTCATTCTTTTTAAAGAACTTTGCGAACGGACATTTGGAAGTAGTGGGAATGGATGGCTAAGATTCATGAACTTGCTTCTCGCATCAAAAGCTTGAACGCTTTGCAACGCACAGATACCGCCCTGGGCCGAGGGTAGCACTCCCTGTGAAGGGTCGAAGGTCTCGTCAACTAAATACTGGTAGAGAGCTTCGAAGTCATCTCGAAGTTCTCGGAGTATATCCACTTCGAAGATGGTGGTACTTGGATGGATGGATGGTGGAGGATAGTAACCGAATTTGGCAGCGTAGAAACCGTGTAACAAGGTTCTAAATCGCTCCAGATGGGCTCGTCCGCCAGAGTGAAGGCCTAGATAAGCTTCCGAAAGCTCATCCTGCAAAAACGTACTCAACATCTTACATATCTGCCCGAGTTTCACATCCGTCTCGAGGAGTGCTTGTCGCAAAAGCTTTCGTGTGACAGAAGATATCAGCTAAATCTGTCAGTATGTATTCAATTGCTACATTCAATCGCCTTACCTGATATTCTGGGCTTAAAAAGAGCCGGTTGCTCATACCACAGCAATGCGCAAAGGCCTCGACGTAAAGATCATGTATTTGAAAAGCCTCTGCAAAACGAATAACCGCTAATGCGTGAGTTGGCTGATTTTTCATATCCAGATATCCCTCTTCGTCCATGTATCCCATCAGATCCGCCATGTTGTCTGCGTCGGCTGCGCGAAACTCTTGCACGCTTTGGCGTAGATTTTCAAGTGCTTCGCCAAGGTACTCCCCGACTAGCGACCTCCGGAATACAAAGGCAAAGAAATTTCTAGTTTTGAGATGATACTTATATGCTTGCTGCTTGTCCGACCCAGGAGGCGCTGGGATATAAAGCTCGATTCGTGGCTGATTACTCATTCGGGCATAATGCGCATGGTCTGGGGCGGTTTCAGAAGACGAAGCTATTTCCGAGACTTCGTTGGTGGTGAATCTGTCCAGTAAAGGGTAACAGTTTGCCTCTAGAAGCGCCGAGAACGAGACTTTGAAGGCTGGTCCTCTTCGAGACTGGCCACGCCCGTACAAATGTACATAGCAGTCACCATCACGATTCCACAATTCAGGATCCTGCGAGCCTACGCGTCAGCATCGTACACACGAGACGCTTTGAATTTCTTTCCATGATGTCGAATTCTTACCCTTCTTAAACAATCCCATCTTGAACTGGACCTCGCCGCGCCGTCCCATCGCATTGTGCCCAGACTCCGCGGGTGCTCCTCTGTGATCTTTTCTGATCTCTTCTGCTTCCAACCTCTTGATCGCTCGGAGACTCCATTATATAACGAGAAATGCCGGAGTTGGGACATATCGTCGAGTGCTCAAGACAGCGTTTTGAACATGAGGCTGACAACCGCGCTTCGTGCCAGATAACCAGATAAATGGACCGCCGTTGTCTGCGGTTCGGATTTCTCTCACCGGCGCATTCCTGGCGCGGCCACAAAAGGACCAAAAAAATAGTTAGGTTGGCATGCGCATCAAATCGACAGTTTTCCAGCGATATGTTGATCCACAACTCAATGTATTTAATCGTGATATTCGGGGGTCTCAGTTGATCGTCACAGGCAGTAACCTTGAAGATATGTGACAAGAAGGCAAGACCCAAAAAAAAACCAAAAAAAAAAAAAGCTCTCAAGGGAAGTCCTTGAATACGGCAGACCATGTGAACCCCACCTGTTTCTGGACGTAAAATTGGAATGAGACGACAAGAGATGAGCAGATCACGCAAGCGTAGATAAAAGAGCTCATCAAGCCAAGGAGTTCACTATCCTCCGACTAACACCTAAAGCTGAATGGTGACACCACTGGTCCCCATTGGCCGCACCGATAGTTTGGTCCAAGGAGCAGGGGACTTGACATCCCTGCTGCTGCATTCAGCGGATCAGCTAGAGCCCTTGCAATTGGCGCCAATTCAAGACGCATCGGCATCAGCTATCTGCCGAGGACGGATATGGCATCACAAAGTTGGGAGGCTGGATATGGGTTATCCATGACCGCCAGATTATCGCTGTAACTTTACTGCATAGTTCCAACGTTGGGAACTGGAACCTGGTGGTTGCCGATCATTGACAACTAAGTATGCCGTCTGAGCCGCTCACTGAAAGCTAGAAATTAATGCCCAGGAAGTAGGATTTACTTCCGAGGCACTACATTCGTAGTAGCGTAATTATCTCATTAGTGCTAAAGTTGCCACAGCTACACCGAGTGGACCGGACTTTGGGGAATGTGGTCTAGAGTTGCTGCAGCTCTCGGCGTCCGGGCTTCGAATGCGACCTGCAGGATGAGCTGGACCATTTGCGGACGCGCTTCCCTGGAGGTTCCGGCAAAAGTGTTCTAGCCAGCCATTGTTCAAGAGTTGACAACTCATGTTGCATATTCGAGAAAAGGTGGCTTGCTGTGACCGTGTTAATAAATGGGCGGACGCATGAGCTGGTGGGGTCAGCGATAACGGATAGTGATAGTCGTGCGCTCCCGGGCCTTGGCAATGGGAAACCCTAATTGCAGCCAAGCCATCCCGACCTGAAGAAACATTGCGCGTAGCGGATGGGATGAAGTCGCCTAGACTAATACCCTGGTGAACAGCAACTCCAGGTCCAACCAGACAAGGCCTTTAGCCCATGGAAGGCAGACAGGCCATCGAGCTGATCAGTGCCGTTCCCATCGACACATTGTATTGTTGCAAATCTAATAAGCACCCCGACTTTGTTAGGGGTATAGCCTAGTGTAGTGTAGTCTGTGTTTGCTCAGCCCGAGCAGGGCTTAGATAGCTTATTTCGCTTCGCTCGTATCCCCATCTTTGCTTGCAGCTAGGTATCGTATCTGGTGTTGTGTACACTGCCCCTGGAACGGTCTACTGCAGCCAACATACAAGCACAGTTCATGGCGCGTTTGACTGTTAGCTAGATGCGAACCCCACCTGGCCACCCTCCAAACGCCTGTAATTCATAACTTTGGTGGCGTTATGATGACAAGCTGCGGCGGCCAGGTGCGGGGGCGTGTCCGACCCTTCAGCTGTACCTAATCAGATTAGCGAGCCAGATCCTTGGAACTAGGATATTGTCTAACCTAGGTTGATCGTTCTGTCATAGCTTCGAAGGGATTTGCGAAAAACGGGTGGCCTCCCACTGGTACTATGTATAGATAGTACCATGTACACGGTCCGGTCTCTCAGTTCGCATGCAAGCCTTCGGCAAACAGTATGCTGAATGTCGCGCCGACAAGGGTTTTGTCGGTGGATCATGGTGAGACGCGTCAGACATTTGATTTACATGGCGGCGTCGAAACGTTGCCTCTACTGAAGCGGGAAGCGGGAAGCGCACTGAGCCGCGATGGAATGCCGCCATATAGACTACAGCATGGGACAAAGCAGAAACCCGTGGTAGGAACATGCAGGAGGATTCACGACAGTTGATGACGATCTAGTTGTTTCACAATCGAAGCTCGTGGAGTCTGGGCCAAAACTAATTACATGGCATGGTATGGGCGATGACATGTTCAGGACAAAACCCTCACGTGAAGATTCTTTACGGCGCCGGCGGCAATCTGGAGTCTTGTAATTATGGAATTTGGAATTCTGGAATTCTGGGGGCATCCTGGTAGCCATGCCGACAGACGTTGGAAAGTATGATTCAGACCTATGGTGTCACTACCTGGCCTACTATATTGCCTATGCTCATAAGCGTACCGGTTGGTATTCGAATGCACCTGGCACCTTCTTGGGCTGTAACTTAACGCTGCATCTGCGAAGGGCTTCGGTTGAAAACAGTCGGACTCTCCCTAGCGCATAGCTGCACATGCAATTGGTGTGAAACGGCCATGCATAGCCAGGCTATGGCCGGAGAGAGATGCTGTTCTCGTTCTCTCGAGCTGCTTAAGTATTGCTTGGTACAGATTACACGAACGCACTCGTTGCCTGCGTATGTGAATACCTACTGTACCGTAGTCCAGGTTGAAGTTATACATGGCGTCTCACACAGTTGCTGGCACCTGAAAGTTCGCAGGTCTGCCAGGCACTAACTACCGTTAGTTAGTCATTCAGCTGCAATGCCCCAGCTGTGTGCTTATCGATAGGATAGAGCCTCAACCTGTCTGGGTTAAACATGGACGACTTTCATCATGCAAGCACAAGGTCCGATTTGGCTTTCGTTTCGTGCCTTTGAGTCTTGACGAGACATCTACTGCAGCGTCAGCTCTTGCGACTACTCTGCGGCCATGTAGCACCGCCTACAACCAGCAATGGCTTCATTCAATCCTTACAGCTACATTCAATGCCCATGCTACGATTCTGCGAGACGCACGCGTTCGTCCGAAGACACACCCTCTCCCTCTACAGCAGGTGCACCCGACGATGACGATCATGCCTTCGATCCCCGTGCTCCTAGGTCGAGCTACAGCTTGTACCCCATAGAATACCTTCTGTACTGCGTCGACTGCAACCAAATCCGCTGTCCGCGTTGCGTTTCCGAGGAGCTTGTGACCATCTACTGTCCCAGCTGTCTGTTCGAGGTCGGTGCTAGCAGCGTAAAGACCGAGGGCAACCGGTATGTGCCACGCGTTCTATGCACCCTACAACCCTAATGTGCTACCATTTCATATCCATGGCGAGGTACACAGTGCCGTATAGCATGTCGTATCGCATAGCATAGCGTACAGGATGGGCCTAGTCCCCTCTCCAACTCCTAACTTGCACCTCGATCTGTTCACCTGTCGTCCAATGGCTGACCGTCGGCGACATCCACTACAGATGCACCCGTAGTTGCTTCCAATGTCCGGTCTGTGTCGGTCCCCTCGCCGTACAGTCCCTTGAGCCAGCACCGGAAGCCTCCCATCTCACGGCAGACAACGCAGCACCGCCAGCACCCGGCCCCTGGGTTTTGTGCTGCTCATATTGTAATTGGAGTTCGTCCGAGATCGGCGTCAAGTTCGACAAGCCTCAGGGCATCTTTGGCCAACTGGCCAAGATACGCCATGGTGATGGGAACAGCGACATCCCGGTTGCAGCTGTTGATGCTCTGCCAGCGAGAAAGGATGCAGAGGTCGATACAGGTTCCGCCAAGTCACGTTTTGCAGCCATGAAATCATTCTATCAATCTCAACTCGCCAACTCCAACACCAGTTCTGGCAGTCTAAGTGGAACTTTGGGAGACTATGGATATGGTTCTCCCACGGCACTCTCCCGGATCATGAGCCTCTACTCGGGTGGAGGAAGTAACGTGTCTACCACCAAGACAAAGAGCAGACCCGCAGTCATGCGCGAAGCTGAAACGTCAAAGGAGGGCTTTCGGCTACCTGATCTTGACGAGGCTAATTCTATCTCGGACCTACGACAGGCTGGCTTCGATGGCACAGTCACGCAATCCCAAGCCACCTCCCAAGTTGAACAGGGGGCCCGATTCTCTGAGGATCTATGGCCCATTCCTCACCTGCTTCGCTCCAAGAGGGCCAAACGATGTCCTGCATGTCGGCACATCCTGAGCAAGCCAGAGGCCAAGGTGAACAATACGCGGTGGCGCATAAGGCTGGTGGCTGGAGGCTTTATCCCCTCCATCTCCATCAAACCCCTCATACCTCCTGGAGCCCCTGCGGTTCCCTCAACTTTCCTCACCCCTATGAAACCTACGCAATACCTGCTCACATTCAAAAACCTCATGTTTGACCAGATCAAGGTTAGTCTGGCTACGCCCAATACCACTCCTGGCCGGTTTGCGTCACGAGTCACAGTACTCTGCCCTCAGTTCACCATCGATGCCAATTCGGATGACTATGACATCAATGAGGTCCTCAAGGAGGATCGTGTGCGACGTGACCGCGCGGACAGCATGCATCAAGCTGAGCCCGGAAAGGTCTGGGAGCGCGGCCGCAACTGGGTCAGTATTGTCGTCGAGGTCATACCGGCGTCCCTCAACATCGAGCACAAATCAGTTCTCTTAAAGAAAGCCGGCGAGTCTGAGGGAGACGGCCCCTTGAGAGAGGATGAGGATGTACTAGAGATACCCATGTTTGTGAGACTGGAGTGGGAGAGCGACCCCACCGGTGACCATGTCAGTGCTCCGGCGGGCAAGGACAAAGATGGAAAAGAGAAGAGAGAGCTGGCGTATTGGTGCGTGCTTGGGATTGGAAAGATCAGTCAGGAATAGACTGGATAATGATAGAGACATGATACCCCCTTTTTAAGATAGACAACAAAAGCATTCTACACGTTTTTAAAAAAACACACTTACGAGTAGCTAAGTATTTAGCACCGGTTGATGTAGACAATTATTGGTTTGTTGGGTGCAACAGATCGTATCTGCAGACACACTATTGTATATTACTAACGGGGTGTGATACCCATCATTGCCCCTTATCGCACTAATTGGTTATCACACTTGCAGGATCCTCACTCAACATATGTCAACTTAAGTGTGAAATCCTGACCGTAATACAGCATAGCAGTTAGCAAGCTTTTATCTCGATGTGTCAAAGAGACAGAGCGATAACGCCTCCTGTGTGCGGATGCTTGACAGCGCCAAAGAATTCTTTTTCAAAGCAAGAAATGGTAGCTCCTAGGCTTCATTGCATGCGGATATCCGTCTTATGAACCTGGAGGAAATCTCACACCAAAAGCGTCGCGGCTGGACTACTTGCGCGGCCGTTTGCAAAGAATGGCAAGTCTTTGTCGAACGAAAGAACTTTCTCTGACTAATATTATAGGCATGACGCTTACAGGAACTCGGATATATGACTACCCGACGAAGAGGTTTCATTCGACATATCTGTTTGGATATTGAGCTTCCACGGTATACCTGTTGCCGTTGTCAGCAGACCGAGCTATGGCCATGAACGTCACGACATATTAGCCCTACGGTCAGATATGCCATGCTGAAGCTGCTTTCTGTTCTTCACACCTGGCAGCCCACAGGTTGTCTGGGACTGGAGCTAAGCGCCTTTCCACCCCCAGCGACTCGGAACACTGGTTCAAGAACCATCATTTTAGACTCGAACATGAAGATGACGGAGATTTGGTCCAACAGCAGGTAGCTGACACCAGATGGCATGACCCAAATCACGGCTGGGTCAATGGCCAGCAGGTCGAGGCTCCTCGCACCTCGGCTATATTGTGGCTCTTCTTCTCGCTCTGCCGGATTACTTCCGAACAGTATCCATCTTTGAAGAATTCAACGACCAGTTTACATCGGCACTGGACAGCGACACGCTATACTTGGACCATGTAGATGCCAAACCGGTCGCAGACCCCACGTTGGTTGGAAGCTTTGGCCTCGAGAAGTCGTCGATTTGAAGATCTTTCCATCTCGTATGTGATCGATGGTCGACAATTTTCCAACTCCTGTTGGCTATCCCATACTTGGCCCCGTCCACGATCGCCAACACTCACATCATCATTTCTAACAAAGACGGCCCCTCGTAAGAATGTGTTCATACACTAATAATAATAAAAAGTGCTAGCCTAGCTGCGCTAAGTATGCCGCAGCTGGAAAGTATGGTATTCTGGAACAGCAAGCATGAAGAAGCATGCGCCGTCATCTATCATAGGAAGAAGGCAAGCTACACTTACAAGACTTGGTACCTGGGATCACGAGCTCAATCATGATGTGGTCGAGTCCTGGCAGAGAGTTGCTTCTGGTTCCTGCCACCTGCGGGTCAAGAACAAACGAGCCCATGGCGTTATCAACTCCCATGATGCCGTCCACGCTTTGCGCTTGCCAGGTGGAGTCATCAATCCAGCATCACTATGGCAGACACGTCAGGAGGGCGGGATGCAAAGAATGGCCTGATCAGTTGTTCTGCCCTTCTTTTTCGATTCGGGACCCACTCAGGATAGTATGCCGTCTGGCGGCCTCGTGGTGTCCTGGGTTAGTAGCGGCAGCCCTCTTAAGGGCTTGTCAGTGAAGCCAAGACCAGCCTACGAGATAGGTAGTACCGCACGATGAACAATTGGATACTACTCATATTATTCATGAAGATGATTCCTGCTCTAACCAGAAGTGTGCCATCCGCTAGAACGGAAGCGCCGGACGTAATATATGCGTAGTGAACTTCGACCGAAATTCACACTATGGTGCAATTCTAAATATATCCTACTATCTGAGATTAGCTTACATTTGTATTTTGAAATATATATCACGACATTTACGAGAGGGCTTGAGTGAAGGTTGATGGCTCGTCAAAAGCTCAGTAGATGATATTCAAAACGAGGGTACATGTATATTGAAATTACCTCCTCTTGATGGGGCATACGTGAACTACTAAGTAAGGACATCACATGGAGCCAAGAGACAGAAGAAGTGGATTTATGGGCTTGTCATCAAAACCATGCTCGTTAATTAATATCACAAGCTATCTGAACGCCATGCCCTTTTTGGTATTTACGCCGGGAAGAGAAGTCCATTCATGCTATCATCGAAGTCATGTATGCTGAACCAATACCTTCCGAATGCCCTTCCATGTCAAAACGCCGGGTTTCGTCACTCCGGTTCGCCTTGGTTCCCCACCGTGCAGCTACTGCCTAACCCTAGTACTCAGTAGAGCCGGACTGGGGGAACTCGAAGGTGACACCACGGCCAGTGAGACGGCGGTAGACCTCGGAGTAGGTGTCGAGTCTGTAGTCGACACCACCACGCTCCTTCTCGTCAAGGACAACCTTGAGGAGCTTGCTGCCGTCCTCCTTGGTGCGGAGACGCTTGCCGACGATCTCGACGGGGTAGACGAGGTCAGTCAGGATGGCGTCGTGGACAGCAGTCAGAGTTCGGGAACGAGGACGCTTCTGGGTCTGGGTGTTGCGGGAGCGGGCAGAGCGCTTGGGGCGGGGCAGGATGCGGCGCGAGGCGAGGAAGACGACGTGGCGGTCAGAGAACTTCTTCTCGAGCTCACGGGTCAAGCTGGTGGTTTGTTAGTGGCCGGACGGGTTGTGTCGAGGAGGATGCGTGTATAGGGAAAACTTACCGCTGCTGGACGCGGTGGAATCCCTGGAGAGAAGGGACGGGGACAAAGATGGCAATAGCCTTCTTGCCGTGGCCAACCTCGATCTAATCAAGATCCAAAGTCAGCAGGCGAGCTCCAGGAGACAGACATTCTGAAGGGAAATGAATGTTCCTTGGACCGCTTCCCGTCCTATTCCTTCAGATGTTTTGTATTGCTAAGTGGCTTGAAATATGATATATGTCGTGGTGGAAGTCTAGGTAGGATACGAATCGCTCGGGATGTCGTGGTTCTTCTCTTTCTTTGCTTCATCTTCCTTTTTTCATGTATCATAGCATTTCCAAGCCATCGTAGGAACAGGACCAAGTCGCGGATCTAGGAATCTAATTCACGTTCATCGGCTCTTTTGCTTTATCTTACCTCACGGGCAGAGACAATCTGCAGAGGTCGGAGAGCGGCCTTCAGGTCGGCAGTGTTGCTCTCGAGGTCGTACAGAGCACCAGCAATGCTGGTCTCCAACTCGGAGGGGCTCTGCCTCGAAGGGCTGTTGGCGGCGATCTTGTTCAGAGCGGGGGAAGACATGATGGGCGACGGGACTCTGGGTGAGACTGGCTGTTGTCAGGCTTGTCGTTGAGGTTGAGAGAAGTCGATCGCGAGGCGCTGGATAAAAAGTTACGGATTTTTGGGGGGGCCATCAAGCAAAATTGAATTGTGGGCAGGTGCGAACAGAAAGGTGGGAAAACCCCGGCTAAAGTGATTTCAAATGGTGGGGTTGGTTGGCCAATTGAACCAATCCAATCCAGGCCAGACTAACTAGACAAGACTAGTCTAGAACAAACCGCAGTATTGAATAGTGTCAGTGGTAGGAGTGGTTACTGCAAGTGGTGCTGGAAGACTGGCAAAGATTGGCAAGACTGACATGCAGTAGTGTCATTGTTGAATACAATATCCTACGATTGGTAATCTCCAGTGTGCTAAATTTTTGGACAGATCTTCATGTCTGTCATATTAAGTACTGAGGACTACTTACTGTTGTGAAGCTGGATGCTAATACAACAAAGCCTGACACTACCTCCAAGTAGAATCAATTGGGAGTTGGATCTGAGCCCGAACTCGTCTCATCATGAGCCTTTTGTTTTTGAACTATTCCGCACCTCTATCCATTTATAGAACCATGGATGCGTGGGCGACTTCGATACTGGCAAGACATCATTGATCATTCGTGTGTCATCGTGGGACTTGGTAAATTCTTATGACATTCTGCCACAAAAAAAAAAAAAAAAGAATTAAAAAAAAAAAAAAAAAGCCTCGCTCTCGCCCTCGTTTTCCATTATGACAATATCACCATATCTGCACCCTTGGCAATACGCTTTATGCGGCGCATATTGATCCCGATGACATCTCAAAAGGGTGCACCTCTGCTGCAGACTATCCTCGGGACGCTTTTCGTTTACTCAGCTCCAGACTACATCGCACAGCAAATGCTCCAGAGTCCTGACTGATGTATTTATTCTTTGATCTGGACAAGTGCTTAGCTCAGCTGGTAGATTATTGTGGCTTCCCATGATCTAGGAAATGATGCACCTTTCAGTACGGTGCCTTGGTCTACTGTTGCTGCCCCCGGGTACGACATATAGTCGTTTCACTTGAAGGAAGTATTGCGAAGTTCTGGGCTCATCCGGTTTCATTTCTGTTTAACACGCTTGCATTCCCATGCATACCTTTGCTTGACAGCTAATGTCGAACCCTAATACCGAGCTCGAGTTGAGCTGCCTATCGGAAGGCAAGTTCTATGTTCGTGATATTGCCAAAGTACGCTTCATCGGCTGCTCCACGGTTGACCCGTTTGCCGACGGATCCGGCTACTGCCCCCAACTGGACCTTCGACCCTCAAGTTTCTCATCAGGCCATTGTAACGAGATTCGCAAGCAAAGATGCGATGACTCGGATGATGACAAAAACTGGTATACTTGTCAAGCTTCGCCGCCTTTTCTTGAATATTGCCGATCTATCCCTTGCCAATCAATCACATGTCAAACAGAGGATATCATTCCTGCAAGGTTGAGTCACGACCAGACTGCTGCTCAAGCCTTGATTGGAATTACATCAACTGCCTCAACGCCAACGTCAAACCCATTACAGTCCTCAAACAAAAATACCGGGGCTCATTTGTCGACTGTCGCTATCATAAGAATAGCCGTGAGTGGTGCCGTGGTCGTCTTAATTCTTATCGGGGTATTGGCATATTAATGTAGCTGATGGGCGTGGGCGTGGGCGTGGGCGTGGGCGTGGGCCACAAGGACTGGATTGTACTGGATCCTCGTAACCTATATGCCACAATCTCTAAATCTTGACAAGCTGGATCGCATCTATGTATAGGCAAATAATTCAAATCGCGAAGCTGAAGGTTCAGTTCACCCGGACTGAAAGCTCTGGATATTTATCGAACCGATGGGCAGCTAAGAGAGTCCTTGTAGCTGGACTCAGCTAGGCACTATACGGTTTACTGTAACTGTTAGAAGCAGGGAACTCTCCATCAGTCTGACAGGGCTGAGCAAGCCTACGTCTATGGGAGCGGCAGCTACTAGCAATCTGCCAGCTGCAGTATGTAAGCGGATAAAGCCGCTTGTGAGAAATGTTATAGGTGTTATTGCAGTCTATATCAGGCTAAAGAAGAAGAGTAATTGCCCTTTTATTAGATCTGTGATGGAGTTTTCAAAGGAATTCTTAGCAGCGCTTATTGCCCTGTGCTTCCCTAGCACAGGTCCTATGGAACAGCCTAGGAGACAGACAACTAGTCCTATAACACAGTAATGCACTTTACTAACAGCTTACAATGGTACTGTTAATATGTTTATAAGCAGGTAATTCCATAAAGCTTGTTCGCAGAGAATCGTAAATCGACAATACTACAAGATTCTACAAAATTCTATGGGTATATTTATTTGATATATATTGAACTCGACCCCTAAGACCCTCCTTTACAAAGATATGAGAAATAAGAGAGAAATGTTACGACGTTGGAAAACGTGCTAACTGGCATTAAATGGGCCTGTCCGGGCTATAAGTGTAGACGGAAGGGTGGGCCTTATAAATATTATCACTATTTCGACCAAAACTAGAAACGAAGCTCTAATTATAAGTGGTGTATTATATTGAATTATCGGCGAAGAGTCTTATATATCTATCTGTCCTATACGATCTATGTTATACTAGCTTCAAAAGATGGCGGGGTGAACAGCCTCGCTGGAGGATAGAAACTCGTCATAGGGTGAAGCGCCTACCGCCGTAGCAAGTCGTATTACCAAGACACGACCTGATCTACTACCTATTACGATCGTTGATCCTGCTACTCTTGACGCTACAGGACGACACTCTGGAGGCAACCAAATAAGGTTATTACCATTTTGAACAATCCATACACGGTTAGCACTAATACTATATCGATGCTGGTTATAAGCGTTTGATAAAGCAATTCGGGTCGATGGCATAAGGTCGGTAAGAGATGACGTCAGAAATATGTCATCTGCATCGGTCAAGAGATGGGAGCTATTATCTGGGTCAAATGAAATGTAGTTTATAATGCGGTTAACATCGAGCGTTTGTAGGCAGACGCCAGAGCTGGCGTCCCATAGCTTGACTGTACGATCGGATGAGCCGGACGCTACCCGCCCGTCGGCCGAGAACGCGACGGACCATACCGAACCAGTATGGCCCTCGAGTGTCTGTAAGCAAGAGCCAGAGCCGGCGTCCCATAGCTTGACTGCATCATCGTATGAGCCGGACGCTACCCGCCCGTCGGCCGAGAACGCGACGGAATATACCGAACCAGTATGGCCCTCGAGTGTCTGTAAGCAAGAGCCAGAGCCGGCGTCCCATAGCTTGACTGTATCATCGTATGAGCCGGACGCTACCCGCCCGTCGGCCGAGAACGCGACGGACCATACCGGACCAGTATGGCCCTCGAGTGTCTGTAAGCAAGAGCCAGAGCCGGCGTCCCATAGCTTGACTGTAGAATCGGATGAGCCGGACGCTACCCGCCCGTCGGCCGAGAACGCGACGGACCATACCGAACCAGTATGGCCCTCGAGTGTCTGTAAGCAAGCGTTCCAATCTGCCTCAACTTTCGGCGCTAATTTGATCCAAGAAGGGTATTCCCTATTAAATAATCTCCTGATCAAACTCTTGGTAGGACTGAATATAAGGGCTGACGTATAAACTTGCAATGGAGCGACCTCGATGCCTCCTTTCTGCGAAAGAATAAATCGGCGAGCATCTTTGACAAGACTTTGCAATTCTTGTGAGTTAGTTTCGATCTGTACATTATTAGATTCTCCTACTAATAATGTGAAAGCTTTGTTTAAAGCACAATAAAAGCTTACCAGTGTCTTCTCCAGCTTCTCTATTGCTTTCACACCTTCCGGGATGTTACGCATTAGACTTAGAGCCTCTAGCCATTGGAGATAATTGTTTCTCAGGAACTTCAGGATACTACTGGTAAACTCCGACTCCTTACTCATGCCTGCCTTAGTCACAACTCCCGAGTCTTGGAGATGGTCTACCCAAAAGATGCAAGAGTATCGAATGCTAGCCAAAGGATCAGACGCAGGGGTTTTGACCTTTTCGACGGGAAACCCAGGATTACGCAGATCATAAATGTCGCGTCTCAACGTGTTGTAGAGAAGGTCTAAAGACCTTGCGAAGATCTCACCATGTTGGTGTTGGATACCAGAGCATAGGATCTCATCAGATGCATTTTCAAGTAGGAAATCCTTGGCGGACTGATGCACAAAAAAGATGCTGCCTTCCCGTAGAGTCAGGAAAGAGCCACATGACGCAATGATTTCTTGAACCTCGTCCTGGCCAAGGTCTTTGAGAGACAGGACCAAGCCCTTTAATTCATCCACACTGACAGGTTGATACACTGTCGAAACCAGAGCCAGGATCTCGCGACAAACTTCGGCATCCTTCGATTCAGAAATTTGTTCAATCATCCTCTTATAAAGCGCATTAAGACCTGGTGGAAATGACCTCAACGTTCCAATCGTGTGTCGTTTTTGGACCTTCTGATCTGCAAGCTGGTGACAAACCAAGGCTACCCACAGAAAGGTCCCATCGGCATTGCTAGTCAAGTAATGCCGGACGGCATCCTTCGTTTTCTCGTCATACTTCTTGGATTTTTCCAGCTGGTCCACTTTATACTCGATATAAAAATTGACAGCTCTAGCTACGGCATCTTGATTTATCTCGAGATGTAGCTTGTCCATTTGCTTCGCATTATTAAGCTTCGCTTCTATATCCGACCAATTGCGACTAGAAATGATCCATTTGACAGTTGAAGAGTTGACAATCAAATCAAGTAGCAGTTCTCGGTCAGTGTTGCATTCATCTAAGGCGTCAATAATGATAGTCGCGTCTTTGAGGCTCGGGTCCTCGAATATAGCTGTCGCTATGTCTCGAATTTCATACCAAACATTCGCACCGGTAAAGAGCTTTTCGCGTTTGTCATCATACTTCTTTCGTACATGCTTAATAAGCGAAGGATCTTGGTCTATAAGGTTATAGATCAGGCCTCGCATTACAGATATCGCGTTGTCTAATTCATTCGAAGTGGCTTGGCAGAAAAAATAAGACAGCAAATCTGACGGATTCTGCTCTATTTTATCGATGATACCGCAGAGAAGCATAGTCTTGCCTTTGCCAGGATCACCTTTGATCCAGAGCAGCCGACTCTGACGGTCGTTTCGAAATCGAATAAAGTGATCGTGCTCGAGAATCCAGGAATAAGAACCCTCGAGTAAGCCGCCTTTTGTTTCTTCGATGCGCTTCTTATCCTTGCGGGGATCTGTCACGAAAAGGTCGTGTAAGCACTGATTGTCTTTGTCATCTTGGAATCTCCTCTCTTGTTGCAATGCTTGATTCTGGATGGTCAAGTGAATGTCTTGGAGACTCTTCTCCATAGCGCTGGCAGTATCCGCAAGCCTCCCAAGCCATATCGTGGCTTTTTCAGTGTTGTATTGTTCCATATCTCTTTGGACAGCAGCTTCGACTTCCTTGATTTTGCTAAGCTGGTCCGCCCACCCATCAACTTTCAATGCATCCCTAGATATGGTTGCAAGCCAGTGGCGATCGTAAAGGCAGATGCTCTTGAGCTGATATGAGAGAAGCTTCTCGTAGACCTGCCGGATGTTTTTCTCCAACTGGCTTCGTAGTCCTGCGAATGATTGTTCATTGCTGTTCTCATCGAGAAGAAGGGATGCCAGATTCCAATACCATTCCATTCTCGATAGTACGTAGATGATGCCTTCGCGATTTTCGCGATCTTCAGCAATGGGGTTTGATAGAACCTGTTTACCGTAAGTCAGAAATAGACCGTTTTCCTGTGCTAGAAGAACATACCTCCAGCCCAAGACACACTCCAGCCCAAGCAACGGCGGCTTGTGGAACGAACTGTACAGCGCTATTCATAAGTACCCTCGCAGTTTGCACGGCTTGCAGGACGTTCCCAAGACCTTGTTTGACAGATGCCGTTTTCTCCGTCCGATCCAATCCGTCAAGAACTAACTTATGCATTTGAACGGTAGTTGGCTTCCACGAAGCTGTTATCACGTGTTCAGCGGCTTGATCGAGCTGAGTACTCGGTTCGTTTTGGCCAAGTTTAGCGGCTATGATCTTTTCAAAGGCCTGAGTCACTTTAGGCTCGTTTTTTTCAAGGTCATCGTAGGCTTCGTGCCAAAGTCGCTCTTGAGGATTCGGCAGCTGCGAGTCCTTATCTGCCCCCAAGGAGAGCTTAGAAGCTGGTAATTGTGACGAAGTCCCGGGTGCTGGCTCAGCTATAGGCTGGGACGAAGTAGGTGAAGGTGTCGTTCTTGATGGAATTGAAGTTGGATTTGACGTGGGCTCTAGGATGGAGGTTTGCCGTCGCTTTTTGATCCTGTTTTTCACCTTTTCCCACCAGGGGGGTGCCATTTTGTGTAGGACGGTATATGGCTTGCCCCTTGATGGATAATTTTGACGATATTGGGGACTAGCAGGATGGCTTCGCCCTGAACGATAATGATTGCAACAGGAATGAGCTTCTATCAGAATGCTAAGCGGGGTTTTCAAAGCTGCAAGATGAAAGGCTGCAAAACAATCCTGGAAATAGGGCACAGGTTATAAGGCTAATCAGAATCTGCCATGTCTGCCTCGGCGCTTAAATATCTGCTTGGGGAGGTTGATTGGCTATGCGCGTCGTTACATAGTTACGGCTTGACTGCTACATGACATATTGATACGGCGCTTTTCATATTCCCGATCGAGTTAACTAAGAAAAGTTCAAGTCACTGATTTGGATTACACACTCGCCAGGTTGCTTAAAGTAGACCATATTGATAGTAGCAAATAGCGCAGCGGGCCGGTCCGTTCACTTTCTTTGTAGGCATGCTTGGCTAGGCTGTCCACCGTTTTGGCCAGGAGCCAAATCCCTACTGGGAAAGGGCGTCAGAAGGGACTTAGGAGTATACTAACTGGGAACGAGAACAAACTAGATGGCGGTATGCATCGACGTTCATTTTAGCGAGAAATGCCATAGAATAGAGACATAATCGTTGCTGTATTACGGAGTAAGAGCGCACGTTTGAGCGACTGAGTTATCCTATACGCGCCCCGCGATCGACCTGCGTCTGACTCTGCCTAAACTGCCCGACGTGTCGAAGCTTGATTACGCTGGATGGCCCTGCTGAACGGGACGACAAAGTGGACAAAGCTTTACAGTACATAGATCAACGACTGCTATCCCTGTTTTTACAGGTCAGATCCCCGCAGTTAAGCACTAGGTTAGGTTAGCGTATCCCATATGATCTAACGCGCTTTTTGTCGTTAGGAAAACAACAAAAAACATACAACACTGGGGATTCGCTGGCCGTCACCGATCCAACTACTAATCCAGCGCTTCCCAGTTTATCCAGGGCAGAGCGGACGGGATGCCGAGTTTTCTAGGAGCTATGGTCGTATGTGCTTGGGATGTCGGAATTGCTAACTATGTAATAAAATACAGAATGAACATCATACTCGTAATGCTAACAAACCAGGCCAAGGCCCCCAACCTTGATGTACCGATATTATTATAATTGCCACCATTTCATATACCATCAAGGGCTTATGAATGGGTGGGGGAAAAAGGTCGCTCAAGATTAGAGACCGATCACTTTCGAAAGTGACACGGGCATATATAGGATATCTAAGGAATCGTGTAGAAGGGATGGTTCATAAGCTACTTAATGATCTATGGATCCGTGGTCATACACAAATATACATATTAGTGCCTTAGGCAGCTATGGTAATCATGGCGGCCCAGTCACGGTGATGACCACGGTGACGCCCTCTGTATACCGTATCGGAAAAGTAACTACGGTCATAAAGGGTACACAGCGCTTCAGAGTCAAGCCATTGAATTTTCCCATTGTAGTAAGCAAACGAGGACAAGCTTGCCAGAGTACGTTACTTGTTATTGCCCATAAGGTCTTGCTGCTTGCCGATGCATTCTAGATATAGAATATAATAACCAGTAAATTATTACAACTATCTCGGCTCACAAACAAGACTTATAGACGACTGACTTTGGCACGGATGGCAAATACATTGCTACTGTATCTGGAGACCGCGCTCTACACTTATGGGGGAAGAGGAACTTCTAGAGGAAAGGCAACCCGTCCCGAATGCTGTACGAGCAGAGTTTGTAGAAACCGCGGCCTGTTTTTCGCCAGATAGTCGTTCCCTGGCTGTTGCATCTCTTGATAAAACAGCCAAGATCTGGGAGATTGTTACTTAAAACCTCGTTGTCTACATCGGAGGGGATAACGGGCATCGAGATGGCCTATATGGATCGCACGTTTAATCAGACGGCCAACAGCTAGTGATTACCTGTTTGGACGACACGAGGTTTTGTATACAAGACCCACACTCCTCTGCACTGTCACTCAAATAGTCTAAAGACGCATCAGAAACACAAGATATATTATCACCGTTTCAACATCGTGCCCAACCTCTAACTACAATTCCAGCACAAAATATACCACAAGCGGTGGCGACGTCATGTCTGGGTCGAGAGATGGAAATCTCAAAGGTTGGTAAGCTAGAATGTTACGATGTAATCGAGTATTCTTGCTTACCGGGACAACACTGCTACGCGAACCCGATGACGACTGCCCGAGTGGAGACGAATGCCGTGTTGTATAAATAATTAATCGAAAGGCACTGAGCTTGCGGAACAATGGAGCTGACACTCTGGGCTGAATCATACGATGTGGTCAGTTGTGAAGGCTATCGGCACTTGCAGGCGGACGGCCTGTAAAAATACATGTTTACGCCACGTTGATCTTTGTAAGCTGAAATGGATTCGATGGACAGTAAATATTTCTTGTTGTCCACTGCTAAATTGCGAATGTCCAGGACATAAGTTCGAATGTATCTCTCGGATGTGTATCGAATAGTTCATCCTTCTTCCCTCATGTGAGCTTGGTTCCTCCTCCCGCCCAGAAGGAACAAAACAGACGATACAAACACACCGGTTTCCAATAACACATCTCCCAAGCCTGCCACTTTTCCTAAGGTCCCGAACCAATACGTGCCAGACACGATTGACGATCTCATCCGTTATACACATAAAAAAAAGAACACCAGACAATATTTGACGCCTAAAGCTCGCAGACATAGCCCGGCCCACATTATGTAGTGATACCTCATCGCTGAGATGAAAACGAAGGCCACGGTCTAGCATATAACGAACGTCCTAATCCAACGCCTTGCTGATAAATGAATTTTTGCAAGATCGCCACTGGTGCGCATCCAACCCAAAACACAGGCCATGATTATTACTCATACGCCCTCTCCTCATATTTCTGGACATCACCTATGCGAGCCTCTCCTCATTCCAAGGCCTGGTCCAGACGTTGGCGTTCCCATGCCACTTGGGCTGAATACCCCAAAAGTATCCATGCCATTCATTCCAGTGGCATTGAGCTCCTGACCAAGCTCAGGAGCCTCCAGGTTGAATGGCATGAACCAAGCACTGGAGGGCTCGGCAAAATTATGTGGTAGTCCGTCAGTACCAACCTCGCGGCCTGGATTGCCAGGCGCAGTACCATTCGGCCTACCGCCACTAGCTAAAGCATCCCAGTCTACCATCCCCTCGGGCCCACTAATGGTTGTGGGATCGAGGCCACCGTACGCGTTGAAAACCATCTGGCGGTCGAGTTGGGGTAGCATGCCGGTGTTGTTGGTCAGCCCAAGTGCAACTAAATCGGGGTTGTTGTAGAAGGCCGGATGACTGTGTGCATGCCCTGCAGCGTGGTGCCCGGCGAACTGATGACCAAGGCCATGCGTTATTGGACTGATCGGCGAGAGCGCGTGGTATGCAGCATTTGCAGAAGCGGCTCCTGTATACTGGTGTGAGTTGCGCCTGTCGCGAGTGACATCAAGGTGCAAAGAGGTAGGCTCACTGGTCTGCCCGCCGAGACGGGCGGCATATTGATGGCGCTGAGCCGCCTGAATACGCTGTTGCACATGCTCTGGGATCGAAGAGGATAAATCAGTAAGAAGAGGCTCTAATTGCTGCGAGGCATCACCCCGCGGAGGCAGACCGCCTTTTTTGCCAGCAGCGCCAGCAAATGACCGGCGTTTGGCTGCTGATGGTCGGATCGGCCCATTACTCGCGTCTCGGCCTTCTTGACTTTGTGGCGGTGACAGTTTATTGAAGAATTCCTCAACTGTATTGTATGCATCCGGCTTTTGGCCAAGGACAGCATCATCGCCTATGTCTTTCTTCTTTGTTGAAGCTGGGTCGAGGAAGTCTGTCTGGGAAACTCCATGTGGGTAGCGATCAAACCAATCCCCATATTGAAAAATGGGGGATGCTGTGGTCTTATCTGTGGATAGTGATCCTTTCTGCGCGGCATCCGCGCAAGATCGAAACTGTTCCCTAAGATTTTCTGACATGAAATGAAACATGCCCCAGTGCCGCTTCATCTTTTGCAAGAACCTCACATTAGTCGTCAGGTTCCTCTTGGATGATTGTTCCACCGCGGTATTGCCTGAGAAGATACCGAATATATGCACGGTGCTCGAAAGGAATGCGCAATAGCCAACAAACGGAGCGGCTATGAGGTATGTGTCGGCATCTCTTAGCAGGTCGGAGATCGTATTTGCTGCCGCAAATGCCTTTGCCCCAGCTTGCGTTATGAAGGTACTCGGTACGTCGGACTGAGCAAGACCTGTAGGAGAGGAAACTGCAAAGCGGTTCATGAACAAGACGTTCTGCTGTATGGATATGTGGAGGAACAGAAATTGGTTCGCCATGCCTTCCGTGTCATGTAAATGTAAGTTCTCAGATGTGTACTTCAAGCCATCAGGAAGTCCTTGTGCAAAGTCCTCGGCCTGTTTGAGTAGTGACGAGTATTTGGAGTCGGAATCCCACATGGAGCGAGGGTCTGCTTCTTTTCCGCCTTGGTTTAGAAAGCTGATGATCTTGCCCCATAACGAGATAGAACGAATCATATAAGCGGCGACGCCCATATTATCCTTCGCACTGGAAAGTTGTCCTTGATCCTCAGGTACCGGATGTGGCACTTTCCCGTCGAGATCCTCCGTGGGGCCCGGCATATCGAGCTGGAACAATTTCTCTTTGATTGGCAGTTGGATCCCGAGGGTTTCCTCCTTGATGAATATCGGACGGTCCGTTCCTGAAGAATTGAACCGGTCCATTAAAAAACATGCCCACATGGTCCTCCGGCGGATCTCTCTGTCGATGAAGCTCAGCTGAGAGGCGGGGTTGGCGGCTGTTGGATCGTATTCGAGGTCTTTATGCAATTGGAGGGCGAATGCCATCCTGATGGCCATACCTCCTAATGCCCAGCTTCTCCCTCCGTGGCAAGTACCAAACTCGTGTAGCCCCAGAATGAGGAGACAGGTCAAGACAGTGATATTCGGCCATTCGTATCGCCGTATCACTATGTCGCGAGCAGATATTGCCCATTCCTCGCCACGCAGGAAATGTGGTTTGTTGGTGAATATTGGGTGGTTCGAAAAACGTGCTGATATGGCGCAGACAGATAGCACCAGTACTGGTGGTAGAGCGTCGGCTCTGTGATATGTTAGCACTTAAGATTCTTCGTGTCAAGGCTAGATGCGCAACGGACTTTAATTTCCTCATATAACTCGGTTTGTGGAGAAGATGATAAGCCTGACCATAGATGTTTTCAAAGAAGACGTCTGCCAAATGGATCTGTATCTCCTTTGAAGGCAGGGCCTCGCGGCCTTCAACTAGAAGCTTCCCGTCCTCTTGCTCTTGTACCTGCAATGATGCCGGCTTGTTGAGATCGTCCGTTTTGGCCTTTGGTGGCTGCCGCGCCCAGTTATCGAAATCGGCCCCGAAAGCCTCGTCGGCAGCGCGTTTCTTTGCGTTCTGCTTGCTATTGGACACGGAGCCAGGAAGCTGTGGCTTTACCTGAGCCCGCACAACATGTGCCGCTGTGGGATCTTGCTCTGACTTGGGCACAATCTTCAAAATCCGATCCTCCATGCGCTTGAGCCGCTTGTCCAACATGGCCATGTAATCGGTGCGTGGGGCTGCTTTTCGAGTGGTTACTTTGTACACGCAAGGAATGCGCGCGCGCAGACAATGCTTGCAAGCCGGCTTCTCGCCAGAGCAGCGTATTTTCTTGCGCCGGCATACTATGCATGCCAATGGTAGGCGCTTTCGTTCCTTGCCGGCCTTTGTCTTCAGCTCACTCCAAGCTGGATGAGTATCAGATTTGGGGTCCCGTGATGAAATCCCAAGGTCCTGACTATCTCCTGGCAGCTTTGTGGTCAGTCCGAACTCATCCGACATATTATCTTCCATTGAGTTGGTGCCGTGTTGATTGCTCGCAGGGCTTTCCTGTTCGGAGCCGTCACGAGGTTGCGATTTGACAGGTAGTTCGCCCATGGCATAGTTGGATCCGGATGCCACCGAGTCGTGTCGTTCTCCAATTGATGATATAGAGCCCGCGGTGGCATTTGCGAACATATCGGCGCCATGATCCTCCAAAGTCATTATGTGATTGGCTTCATGAATGCCGTGGTAAGGAAATGAAAAATCCGGGAATTCGGTTGCCTCCATCATGTTGTGTGGGCGCGTGGGATCCGTGAGACCATTGTCGATCGCATCAATCGGGTATCCGGTCAAGTCGGCGGTAGGTCCGGGTAGGCCTGCAGGAATTTCCGTCTCAGTACGGTAATGGGGAGCTTTAGAGAATGATTGCAGGTTTAAGCGGACTCGCTCGGCGGACATTGCTCAGCTGCGTTTCTTTGGTTTCAGAGGCAATATGGTAGGCAGCGATGTATACAATGCGCAGCTTGAGCAACAATCGCAACAACCGGAGGGCGTACCAGTCGTTCTCAACTCCTCGCTCTTTGGTTGCGGTCCTGCTCCTGTTGAGCTCCAGGGCCCCGCGCGGCCGGATATTGCAGTAACAACTTCGGCCTTCCGGATAGAGATGCCAGAAGCGCTAGTGTCGTAGAGTCGTATCTCATGGGGTTTGCAGAGGCTTTTAGAAGAGCTATATATGGACAGAAAAGAAGAAAAGCATAGGATTCGACCTGTCAAAAAGGAAGATGGCGAGACAAAGATCGAAGTTCAAAAAGTAAGGTGAGCATCCACCCAAAGGCACATTGAAGAGAAGAAGATTGGCGGGAGACGGATAGTGTGTGACCGGGGGTCCTGCCGCGGTAGAGGGACGGCGTCGTCAAAAGGCCTGGCGCTGCGCTGTCGCTGTCGCTGTCGCGAGGTGGCTCAAGCTGCTAGTTTAGTTTAGACTAGGTCGAAGCCCAGGTGGTAATGGCATGGGGGCAGGGGATATTATGGATACGGGTATGGGTATTGGGCAATGCAACTTCAGCAGCGTGGCCGGCCGCAGAGAGGATGTGGGGAAGAAGACCCAGTTTCCTCGACATGCGTACACCACCTTACTTCTTCTTGGTGCTCCGTACAATGGACCGCGAAGAGAGGATGCAGATGCAGATGCAGTACGAGGTGCCCGTCCTTCCCGCACACTCAACTCATCAGATCATCTCGTGATGCGACTCAGTTCGCCTAGGGCTGCTTCTGCAGCTTAAAGGCTACCGTCAGTACAAGGCCTATATGTCTCGGAATAGTAGTAAAACGCTATGCAAGACAAATGGTAACGTGGAAAGTAAAGTGTAGGGATGCGTGACAAAACCTAACAGATTTGGCGCTTTCGCGCCTGGTGCTATGGCACTAGCCTCGAGGCAATTGTGCAAGCCCTTGAACGATCGCTGTGGAGGAGGGTGCTCATGTACCCTCCGCAGCTAGGTCGGGAGGATTATGGCATAGCTGGCAGCCCTGTTGCCTTGTTTTGAAAAACAAACCCCAAGCCCGACGCCTTGAAGTGATAATCGAGATGACAATCGTCTGAGAGTGAGGTTGTTCGCCCTTTTCTTTCCAGGGTCCACGGTCAAGTTAACCCAGACCTCCAGTTAGTTGACAGAAGTACCTATCTGACTAGCAAGCGTCCAGGTGCGGGTGGGGGACGGACTCGAGCTTGTTAATTGGATGCCGGCTGTGGGAAATCGAAAATGACTTATTAGCTTCAACCTGCGTTGCGAAATAGAGTACTATGCGCGTCTTCTTCACCGCAACCTATAAACGTGGAGTGCGAGAGCGAAGCACAATTAGATCTGACAATGGTTGCTGCCGCAAGTTCCTGGTTCGATGAAACAGCTGAATGATGCCAATAAAGGGCGGTTCGTGTGGCGATGGCCGCTCTGCAATACTATTTGCTTGCAAGGTACGAGATCACTCAGCAGGAGGTTCTTGCTATACTCTCTACAAAAATACTTGCACCGCATCTCAAAACTGATACCTGCAATCAACGCCGCCACTTACTGCTCTCAAACCTAGAACTTGACCGCACGCCTCTTCAGCCAAATCCCATGCTTGAGGGATGATAATTTGCATCTTTTTGAGACCTCGAATAGGCATTCGTGACGAGCCCGGCTGTAATCGTTGTTGGCTGCTTAATATTTACTTGCAGGTCATGTTTGCAAATGATAAAGTTCACGGTCAGAGTGCTGTACTATGTACCATGGACTGTATCATTTGCAAGCTCCTTATTACTCTATGGCTACTGCAGTCAATGCACAGCGATGGGTACAGCGCAGCGTGTGATCCCCCATCTTCATTGGATGTTCCTCAATATGAAGTGCATCCTGACACTTGACAGATTGATTAACTGCAGACTTTCGTGTTAGTGGCATAGCGCCGCATCACGATCGGCACGAGACAAAAAGGAATTGGCAGCTTGGAAACCATGCATTAGTCTATCATCGTTTCGTTCTGGTGAACACCAAGATCGGGGTTTTTAATTCCTTTCATTTTGTTGATATATCTTTCTGGGCGGCGAATGATTGTTTCTTGCATTTCCTCTGCCCGAGTAGGCGGCGGCTGAGAAGTTGTGGATTCTGTTGGTGCTCGGGTGGGGAGAAAGTGATAATCTGTAGCAATCCTATTGGGATTGGGGGCCGCCTGGACAATGTCTGTCTGGGGGAGAGTGAAGAGAAAAGTGGTGCCTGCAGATGTGCAGTGGCAGCTGGTGAGTGGAGAAGCAGTCTGCAAGTCAGGAGGGGAGCTCCTTGTGGTGCAGCTTGGCACTGTCCGGGGTTTCCCATATCGAGCTTGATTTGATCCCCAAAAGAGACTCTTGAGTCGACTGTGTTACATGACTTCCTCGTCTGAAATCCAAGGGCAGGCTACGTTTGTCAACTGGCAAGCCGTACGAATCGTTGTGTCATCTTCTGCTGCCATGATGTCCATGGTATCCATCACGAGCTTTGACAGCAACGACACGTCTGTGCTGGCCGCCCACTTGCCTAGTTCTGTCAAAGGTATCTTACGATCTCATCTCTTGAACTCATCGTTTGTGTTTCCCTTCCTAGGTCTTCTCAACAAAGATACCAGTCGCAGCACTTCTCTCTTCCAATCTGATTATGGTGTTGCATATTGCCTTGCAACCGGCTAAACCCCATCGAGGGCATTCACTCAGGGTTTCTTCCAAAGCGGATCATGGGTGCTCATCGGTCCCCTGTGCAGTTGTGTTGCTCTAGACGTTTGATTTGTTCAAGGAGCTCGGCGGTTTTCAGCGGCCCGCTTTTCAAGTTTGGTCGCGGAAGGACACCATACCATCGTCCCTTGATGCTTGATGCCTGTTTGGTGCGTGCATAGAGTTTGCGTGCACCCGTTTGTCAGCATTATCAAGATTTCTTTCCCTACACGAACATGACCTCCCCTTGCAGCGGTCGGCGAAGGGGCCCCTTTTGGGGTTACAGTCCAAGCTTCTGGAGCAGCAGATTGACTACTATCGCTAACTAAACTCGCTGTCATGTTGCAAGTGTACACTGTCCTTTGTCAACTGCAGGGTGACGCCGTCGTTGTGACATGGTCATCTCTTGACTGTAAAGATGAAATCGGCCACCAAAGTCCAGAACATCAAAGACCATTGATCGTCATAGGGCGCTCTCTCTCAAAAATATCCCCCAAGACCAGCCGCGTCCAGATTTCAAGGTACAGCTTTGGACTAAACGCTATTTGATCATCCTTGCGATGGGCGATCACGTTTACCAAGCACCTTACCCTCGCAAGGCGTTGGCTGGTCTTGCTAGTCCAGCCAGACTACTCGCCTTGCCATGCCTCTATACACCATTTTTAAGGCAGATGGTACATTAGGGCCTCTTTAGTGAGATAACCATGTACTTTGCATCCAAAAGCCGGACCGGGGTCTTGGATTGGCACGACTACCATTGACTGTTGACAGTCCTCCATGACAAAAAGATTGTCTCGTTCTGACGTTATACCAGATTGTTGCTGTCTCACCCCGACAGTGTCAAGTCATCACGACTGCCTACAGTGTAACCTGCAACACACAGCAGTCTAACGTTGAAATCAGCTCGACACCTGAAGCGTCCACATACCCAATGCGATGATTGCTTTGGAATCTACGCTCCATGCAACCATAATCATTTTGCAACCTCACTCTATCAAGCTTCTTGGCGCGCTTCAATGCCCACGGCTGGTCATTGGATATTTCTTTGCTCGTCAACATTAATCTCCGAAGTGCTTCTGTTCGGACAGAGATCCCAGTTTGAATCGAATCGGGAACGCCTAAATTAGGAGGTCGACTTCTGATTGATTATTTCCAAGACAGCGCCGTCGCATTCGCTCGACGCTGGTGACTCTAGTTCGCCACGTTTATTCTCGAATGCTGGCATCGAACGGTCTGATAATGAAGTGATTGACCATGTGCAGTCCTATACTGGAAACATTACGCATCGGAGATTTAAGTTGTTTATTCTAGTCTACCTTCTACGATTGTGCATCGACGTTCCAGTGAGATTCTTTTCTACTAATCCTTTAAATTTCCTGTATCGTTTAATGAATGCAATGTTGCAAAAGTACGTGTTTGCGACTTGCCTTCTATTTTATCTCTAAACGGAGCTTAACCGTTCTGCAGCACTCGATATCCAACCGTGCTACGGGTTCTGTTCGTAATCGCTCTGTATTGTTTACGGTTCCTGTGATATAGCCCTGCTTTGCGCTTAAGACTTCTCATCATCCGCTACATAATAGCCTGATCAACACCACCAAGCCACCAAAAGCTCGGAGTCTTGCCACCAGCATCGCAAGACCATAATCAGGGCACAAGACTCGCCCAAGCGAGCTTAGGATATACAGGACTGCAAAATTACAACCAATGATAAATTTGGGACGGTATTTAAACCCTATTTTCAAGTCGCACGTGTCACAGCACCGACATTGGTAGATATTTGCAGGCGTACTGATACGACCACAGCCAAGCGAGATGCGCTTGTGGCAGCGTGTCACAGTATTTGTGCCTCTTAAGTTTCTTATTCGCCTATCATGTGTCTAGGAATACACGACAACGACGCGTCAGAGCCAGCTCTAGCTCATCGTCGAAAGACCTATCTCTCAGGCAACCAACCGAGACATCCACGTCAGTTCGGCCCGCTCCAGCAACAAATGCAGATCAAAAATTTTTGGGGTTCTACCTCTAGACTGTTGGTAACACATGGGCAAATAGATTGTGTACCACTATACCTTCTCCAAAACCGTCACCCAATATCTGGTGGAGATGCAGCTCATGCTAACGCAGTTGTGTTATGCAAGCCCACTGTGGAGCCGGCGCGCTTCTGGCCAGCGTCTCGTGACTTGATGGAGGACGCAGTCTCGTTACAAGACGGTGATTGCAGAAACACCCA